AAGTTCTCTTTTTATATCTTGGTAACTTTTCCATCATAGGCAAGGGTCCATCATTGATTATTTCTTATTTATCTACAAATGATTTATCTTCATCACCATTTTTCTTTTTTTTTTTATTAATAAAAGGGACTATATCTACTATAATATTTTCTTGGTTCTGGATTGAATTTATTTAAAAGTCTTTAAGATATTATCAATATTTTTCATAAATCCTTTATAGACTATAATATGGTTTTTGACCTTTTCATCGTTACTATCTAATTTCTTGTTATTCTTTTAATTGTTTATATCTGTGTTTTCATTTTCTCTACCATAATTTCCGTGATTTTCATTTTCATTATTATGATTCTCAATATTTGAGTTTTCATGATTTTATTTTTATTATCTTTGCTTTTTAAACCTCTGTTTCTCTTATTTTATTTAAGAATCATGCTCCATTTACTATGAAAATCCTTCTTCTTATGTAAGGTATTATGGATTTAATTGCTTTGGATTGATATCAAATTCTAATTTTGGTAACAAATTAGATTATTCTTTAGGATTATTTGAAAATTAATCTATTTAAAATCGATTTAACTTTAACGCAGTTGAAAATCCTTTTTCATCATCTATTTTCTGTTGAAATAACTACTTTGCTTTCTTTAATGAATCTATCCCATCCTAAAACTTATTGCCTTATATTTAATATAACCCTTTATAATATTATGCAGCAGGATCATTTTCTGAAATACTTACAGCCTTCTTAAATCTTTCTAAGCATTTTTTTTACAATCCATCCAAAATCAAATACTTTGGATTTTAGGCATCATTTGAATTCAAAATTTTTTCAATATCATTTTCATTTAATCCAGTTTCTTGATTTTCCTCCAAATACAGCCCCCACCTCTCTTCCAATTCTTAAAAAGCGCTGCGTTATTCTTTGAAATTGACCATGGCTTTAGCAATTTTGCAGAACTTTTCAAAGCATCTATCTTCATTTTCCAATTTTTTCATTTCTTTTTCAATTTCATCTGAATAAAATTATTCATTCACATTTCTTAATATGACAAGGATATCTAAACTTGTTGGATTGTTGTTATTTACCTTCAAACTCTCGAAAGCTATGATATCTTGTAAGGCATCTGTTTGTAAATTTCCCAAATAAAAATTTTCCTGTTTATTCACAATAAGTTAAGCAGTTCCTTTTCTTCCTTACCTTCCTGTTCTTCCAAAACCTTATTGTTAAATTCTTATATTCCTAGGTAAAAAGGACATAATCACATGGAGTCCTCCATTATCTTCCAATTCTTAGTTTGTTATAAGATCTGTTCCTCTTCCAGCCAAATTTGTTGCAATGATAAGAGTACCAGGCTTAACCTCATGATCTATTTTCTAACTATCGTCAAAGTATGCAATAGAATTATAATTTTTTTATTTGAGATACATTTAAATTGTATTGACATCTTAAATCGTCCGATTAATAATGAGAACTGCTCTCTTGTTGTTAATCTATTATTAAACAGCCTAAAATATAGCATTTTTCCACTCTTCTTCATTAGAAGCTGCATATCCTGTCTCTTCTTTTAACAGTCTCTTTTTAAAAGGGGGTATGAAAACAAAATCAACATTGTACTCTTTAGCTAATAAATTCTATGTAACTTATGAACCTAAAGTACCAGTTAATCCTAAAATTTTATTTTTGTATCTTTTAAAAAAGGTAATATTCGACAAATAGTTTGTGTTAATTGTCAATGAAGTCATCGGAAGATTATGCTTTAATTATACAAATTGATGTAACCCTTTTTCCCAATGCATATTATCTCCATGTATCACTCCTGTGTTCTAATAATCAATTATTCGAAGCTTATCATTTTCAATTTGATAATGGCAATCCTTATGGAGTTGATATTTTGCATGAATGGCATTTTCAATCCATGTTTTCTTCATAAAATCAATATATTTCAATCTATATTTAGGGATAAATTAGTATAATGCTTCTTTTAGTTACAGGTTTAAAGTGGATTCAATATATTCATTCAAGTCAACACTATAATAATTATCTTTATCGACAATCATAACTTTATTTTCTGTTGATAAATTTGATTCTGTCTTACAAATTTCATCCCAGATTAATCTAAGAACCTTTGTTAAATCAAGCATTCCAGGTATAGGGGCACTTAATAGTGTCTTATGACTATTTCCATCTATAAGCATAGAATCAACTTCATCAACAATAATATATTCTTATTTTCTATTACCCATGGTATCTCTTTCTGAGTATTCATGTCTTAAAATATCTGCTTCAAAACTATGGGGATCTCCATAAATCACAGAGCAATTATAACAGGGTAGCATTCCAATAGTAGATTTCTATGTTTCATTTATATTATGGGATACTGAAACTGAAAAGGATTTATAAAATGATTCCAATTATTAAGCATCTCTAGTTGCCAAAACAGGAGAGCTAGTTACAATATCAACATTAGCATTTTTCTTTTTATTCAATAAAATTGCAAGCATGGCTACTATTAGAGATTTCCCTTCTCCAGTATATATTTAAGCTAACCGTCCTTTATCATGATTATGATTATATAATTCTATTACTGATAATAATTAGGCCGGCCTTGGATAATATTAAAAGTGTTCCTTTACTTTTATGCATATAAATAATAAGTCTTCATACAATAAATATGGTGAAGGCGTAAAATTTATATAGTTTACATTTAATTGCTATTAGTTTTCAAGCTATGAATATACTTATTATAGTAAGTTTAATAATTCTTAATTAGATCTCTTATTGAGAAAGTCAAATTCTTTAAACAGGTCATTTATTATTTATTAATTATTGGTTTGTGCTTACTCTTTATTGGGTTGAGCAGGCATAGGATTTTGAACTACTGGATTTGAACTTGATTCAAAAATAATACAGGCTAAATGCTTAAATTAATCAGCAGTTTGAAATTCATGTTGTGTTACTTTCTCAACTAATCCTCGATCCATTTTGTTTTTTTCAACAAATTAGAGGATATCTGTTATTTCTTGCTCACTTTTAATTTATTTAGATAAATTCTATTTTAAATTCTATAACTCTTAAGGAGTCCAATCTTACTCAAATTCCATATTTTGAGAGCTTTCCTTAATCAAGCTCTCTTACAATTTATTCCAATTTTCCGAGTTATCAAAAAGAATTCGAATGACTTATTCTGAGCTCTTAAATTTTTGGATCTATTGATCTAAAATTTTATAGCTAGTCTTAGGTGAAATTCATTTGCATGATAATCTCTTAAAAATTCTGATTTTCTTCAGCTGACCACTTTGTATTTTCGATCAACTTCTGCATAATTTTAAATTTTTTTTGTTTCCATTTTTGTTTAAAAATAATAGAAATATTCTAATTCTATTATTTTCCAGTTAAATAATCAATAAAAAATCCATACTTTACATATTTAATAATTTATCATGTTCTTCAATTCCGAATTCCTTCAATAGAAAATCTTTTTATTGATCATGGTTCTTCTTAAAAATAGAAGGATAGAGGAATCAATCAATTCAAGTAATCCATGATATTTAATATTTTAATGAGTAAAAATGTGGAAATAAAATAAACCTTTTTACCAATTTTCTTATGAATTTTGAAACTAAATGATTGTTCAAAATCAAATTTTGGGTAAACATTATAGTTTGATAAATTCAAGTGAAAAATTATTATGGACTAAAAGATTTTTCAAATATTATTGATAATAAAAACTAACAAATCAAGTAAGAATAAGGAAAATGCTCAAGATTTTGAAGATTTGAAAAATTTGTAATTGAAAATAGACGAAACTATGGATATTTAATTTATTTAATTTAAATTATGCAATCTCATTATTTTATTTGGATATGATAAACAAATTCCACTCTTGTAAATACACTTTTTTAAAGTTAGAAATTTGCCTTTTATAGTTCATTTCCTTTATTTTACGATTGCTGTTCTTCATTAGATTTAAGTTTGCTTATTCTTTTTTCGAGTATTTTTCTAATTTTACTTTTGATTAAATTGATAAAATCATAAAGATCAAACAACATATATGAAATTAGAACACTTACTAAAAGAAACATTTAAATCCAGCTCACTATGATTATAAAATTATAATCAAAGTATTGTTACAAAATATCCCAATTTACGATTGTGGATGCTGTAAATAATGTTAGGGATGCTTCCATGATTATATTTTTCATTTAAATTTCAAATTCTTCAGTAGTCTTTGTGTTAATAACGTAAATTAAGTAGAATCCATTGATTAAGGTCATTAGCAAAGTTTAAAGTATCTGCTCACGCTAGTAAAATACAAGGACTGATACAATTAAAATCTTTTTAATTAAAAGAAAAAAGGCTTATTTTTGAAACCAATATTGGTCTAAATTTTACCTTTTCCAAGTAAGTACTCCGTTCATTTAATATAAGATTAGTGCAAAAACGAAAATTAGTATTATAAAAGTAATAGCCAGGCGAACATAAGTTCTATAAAAAGAAAAATCATGGTAGGAGGATATTTCAAGCATTGCCATAAAGATCAGATCCCAACTACAAGCAAGCAAAGTACTATGGATAAAACTTCTGTCAATTTTTTTAATCTATTTATTGAGTTTTCTTTAGTATCTTTGTAAAAAACGAACAACTTTTGGGAAACCTTATAAAGGTGAACTCATCTCCACGATTGAAATAACTCTTTCCAATAATAAACTACTCATATAACAAAATAATAAGGTGAGGAATAAAAAAATTTCACTTCTAAATCCTTCAGTTATATCTGCATTGACTTAATAAAATTAAAATTTTTCATATGATTCTAGATATGGAAATTTAAGTAATGAAGCCTTCTGGCTAAAATTTACGATGCTATCTAGCAATGATTACATTGATATCAATTCGGATGATTGAAAGTAAATAATCAAAGTTTAAGGGTATAAAACATTGATAAATTTAAGATATGATTGCTGCTAAAGGGCATCCAACATTCCCCATAGTGAAAGTGTATTTCCTAGTATGATTAAAATAATTGATAAAGCATATATAGATAGAAAAGATACTTTACTAACCAATTATATTGCCTGAGCTATTTAAACTTATTCATCTGTTAAATAATTAGGTTAATTTAATTGCAAATAATCCATCATATTTACTAAAGGGGCGAGATTATCATTATATAGTTATTCTGTTAGTTTGACTGTTAATATTGGATACTTGAGTTGATTAGTAAAGATCTCAACTTATATAATGTATTCTACCTGCAATATAACTTAATACTAAGCAGATTGAACCTCCATAATAGTAATATTGTAATAAGTTTCATTCAAATCAATGATTGAAAGTTCTATGGAATTTTAAAAATTGATATCAGAAAGTAATTAAACTTCCTAAGAGAATTTGATCCTAGCATATTAATATTAATTTTTCTGCTGGATAAATTCACAAATAAGCTGTGGATACTTAACAAATGTGCAATCAGTGCCTTAATTGCAGATCCAATTAATTTCCACTTAACATGTTTTAGAGCACCCATCTCCACTATCTAGATTTCCGTCATCACATTCTTCACCATTTTATAAGGTCCCATCTCCACATACATTTGAGCATTAATTTTCAATTAGTTGAAATCCAAAATTACAAATGTTGCAAGTGCCATCAATGCATTCAAAGCAATTGAGAGGACATGAAAATTTACATAGATAACATCCATCATATTCTGAGGTGTTATTATCTTCACATTATTCGCTGCCTGCAATGATGGAATCCCCACAAATTGTAGAACAGGCATTATTCATAAAATAAAATCCTGGCAAACATAAATCTAGACAGATTCCAAATTCGCAGTTAATACATCCTATTGAGCAAGAATAACGGCAATTGAAACAGCCATCAAATTCGATATCATTACCGTCATCGCAATCTTCAGAGTCTTAAACTACAAGATCTCCGCAAGTACCAATGCATTCATTATCAAGTAATTTTAAATTGTTCTTACATGAATAACAAATTGTGTTTACACATTCCTAACAATTTTGATCACAAACACATTCTTCAAGACTGTAAGGTGCTATTTAATCTCCACAAATATCTAAACACTTACCTAAAATTAAAATCTATCCAATTTAACATTTATAACAAACATCATCAATACAAATCTAACATTAAGCTTAACATAAATTTTTTTTCTCAACCTAAAAACAATAATTATCTTCCAAATAATAGTCATTCTCACATACTTAGCAGATGCCTGAAATACATTATAAACAATGATCACTGCATTAAATTTAACAACTATAGCAATATGATGATAGATAGGAATACTAACACTATTCCTATGAAGTGACAATTTGATAGTTACAAATTGAATCACATTTGCTTGTTAATTAATTTAAAATGAAACCATTTTAACATACAATACAGACTTCTAGTAAAGAAACTTAACAATTATCAATTGGAGGATAGCTTTAAGGTTCAGTGTATTCTTCTTGAAAAGTTATAATAGAGGATTTCTAATTGATTTGTTTTTCACAACTAAATTCATATTCTAAATAAGTCCAACCATCAAAACAACCAAGGCAGATCATATTTTAACAGACTGAACATCCATCTACACATGAAAACATACAGCCAAAGCAACCATCAAATGGAAATAAATTGCCATCATCGCATTCTTCATCCATTTCAACAAGTTTGTCACCACATATTGTTGTTTCTAAATTAATTTATTTTTATACTTATAAAAGTTTAAATGTCTCTTACTCCAAAGGACTCATTAGAATATGATTCATCCAAGTTATTTATTATTAAAATTTTGGTATTTTATTCATAATGAGGAAATGTCATATCTATATTAATAAATACATCTTAAGAATTTAAACTACAAATTCCATATAAATAATTAGGAAATGAAGTTAGTGGCGATTCCCATATTAATTCTCCAGCAGCAAACGTTTAGAAATGATCTGCCCATTCCCAACTGCCAATCCTGAGATACTTTAGTTTTATTTTCATTTAAGTATGAACTGGCAATTTCAATAAAGTCAATTTCAGGATAGTATCTTTTCCACACACTTCTTTCCCACATATAGTAGGAATCTCTAAAATTAAATATCAATCTCATACCCAAACAGTTTTATTTATTTTGGTTTCCATCTTAAATGCTCCATCCATCTGTAACAAAGTGGTCAAAATTAACTTCTGTATAGTAGGAATGAGCTAGCCTCCAAGTGTTACAATCAGCCTCCGTGTCCTTATTAGTACAAGTAAGGCATTCTGGAGGACACTCGAAAATAAATAGTTCGAAATTCTTAAAGCCCCAAGATTCCTTTTTTTATGAAAAATCATACATCCCAAGCGTCCCCATTCAATGTACTAGTTAAGTAGATGAAGGTTGACAATCCTGTATGATCTAACTCCATTGATATTTAATGAATTGAATCTTTTCTAGTTTCTTATCCACATAAAAAGTTTGTGCCAGCTAAACCTGAATATCTAACTTTGTACACTAACACTTGATCTACATACACTTAGAAGTATTCATCGACATCCCATGAATCGATTCTAGGCTAGTTATGACAGTTTACATATAAAGAGTCATAGAAATTTTCATTCTATAATGAGGAGGTAATTGTAATAATTTTGTAGCAGCTTGCGTATTTGCAAATCTTAGATGGCCTCCTATAATTTCTTATGAGCCACATTTAGTTATTACGGTAGCAGGATCAATGTTTAGAAAGCTCCAATCTAAACTCATAATATGTATTACTATCAGTGTCATCCAGAATAGTATCGCTAAAGGCTGAATAAACGAGGGTTTAAGAGCTAGTTATACGTAAGAGGGTTAAAATCAAGAGCATTTATTTACAAGAAAGTATTAAGTAAAAGTTGTGTTAATTAATGAAGATTAAAAAATACTTTTTAATTAAGGAATTTTGTTTTGTTGAAAGAGCATTCTAATGGATTTCCTAATTTTATTTAAATACATATATATTAAATTATATGGAAAAAGACTAAAATTTAATTGATTTTTTATATCAATATATCAGACACCAATAATAGAAATATTGAAATCTAAATTGACAATCTAACTTTATTCTATAAAGTTAGATTGTCAATAAATTGAATCAGCATGTTGTGAGTAATGATTGCTCACATCGATTACATTGGTAATGTAAAAAAGAAAATGAAAATATAATTATGAGCGTTAACATGTAAATTGACAGTTAATTATAAGAGTTAATTAAAACAATAACTCATTATTAATCGTTCCTAGTTTTCTATAAGCATACATTTTATTATACTTTAATTTCATTTATATTAATTAATTTTTGAACCAGTTAAATTGATAATTATTTATGCCATTCTTTCGTTGATGGTGAATTATTTACAATTGTCGTTTCAAAATTCTCTAACTAACTTAGAATGAATGTAAGCTTTTTAATGAGATAAATAAACTTTTAAATTTAATTAAGTTTTTATTATAAAATATTTAGAACTAATATTTGATATATATTCCGAATAAATTATTTAGGGAAATTGAGAAAAAACTTATTAATAGAAAATCAAATTTTTCCTAATCTTATATCAATAATGGCTATCTTTAAGTATAAGTTTTTCATAGTCGTCGTTAATGTTGGTTTTATTTAAAATATATTTTATTCAAATTAAAGATTTTTCGAAAACAGTTTTCTTTCATAGGAATCAATTAAGTTAAATTCTAAAATTGAATTACATTTATAAGGATTTAATAATGAATAGGTATAAACACTAATATTATACTTGTTTCTCAATAAAACTTTCTTAACAATAGGGTTTAATTAATATATTCCATGAAGTATATTCTTGCATTCTTTAAGTTTTTCTCATATATCCAAAATACCATAAAGAGATATTTTGCCACATGATAATTAAGAATATCTTTCAAAACATCAAAAAGATGAAAAAGATTTGCCAAAAAAATATAAAGAGTAATTTTAGTGTAAATTTGAATAAAATGAGGTAAATTAGTTTAATAATTAATATTTAATTTACTATGAAAAATATATTTATGCAATATTTTCATTTTAAGATAAGTTCCAAAATTTCACACTCTTCTAAGTTAGGTGTTGTCTAACCAAATAAATGAGTGGTTGTATCTTAAATTTAGTATTAATCAATTTAATAAGCAGTTCCTAAAGCAGAAGAGCCACTCGTGAAATCTGATCCAATATAAATATCATATCCTTAACCAAATGATGGCCCATAGGACTAGTGTCTATATATCGCATGGGCTTTATTGGCTTCTTTTATAGGATAAAATTAATTATGAGTCTATGAAAACAGAAAAGATGACAATGTATCATCTGGCACATAACCATTTTATTTTTCTATCCATTGACAAGGAGAGTAAGCACCAAAGATGTTTCCACTCTTTGATTTATAAATAATGAGTAAATTCTTCTTTCCATTAATTTTGCTCCAACATTTTGTATGATTCAATCCATCTCTAGTTCCCAAATAAGTAAGAAAAGAGCATTATATTTTCATTTTAGATTTTTCTTCAATCAATTTACTAACTTCAACATAAAATTGTGGAGTTATAAGCTTAGGTTAATCTCTTAATAATTGCTAGAATTATTATAACGAATTAATCTCTTAGTTCTTTTAATTTAATTATTCAGAGGATTCCTTTTGAGCTTTGGTAATTTGTTATTTTAATTCCTCTATTTGTTTATTTAACGATTAATTAGACTCATTCAATTGAGACTTATCCTTTTGAAGTTGTGTTATTTATTAATTTAATTAATCTATCTTAGAGTTAAGAGTTTCAATCTTTTGATTAGATTCATCCAATTAAGCCTAGACGGTCTATTGTGATTACTTATATTAATTTAATTCTTGCTCCAAAGTTGAGATTTACTTTTAATGTTCTTCAACCATGATTAATGACTTCATTTTCTTAGAATATAACTCAAACGACTAATATTATTTTTATTATTAATCTTCTATAAATAAGTAGGATAATTATCCTTTTTCTTGTAAATCATCAATTTCCTTTTGTAAATTTTTATAAAAATTACAAGAATCTTCAAAGATTGAACAATATTGTTCTAATTGTGAGAATTTCTTAATAAATGCTTTAGAATCTGAATTTCTATCGTATTCATTCTCTGAAATGATACCAGTAATACTAAATTCATCACATTAATCTTAATTATGAATTCTAATTAAATTATGTTTAGTCAATAAGTCATATTTGACGAGATTCTCCAAATTTTACTTTAAATTTTAATAAAATATTAAATCCACTTAATCTTATTCTTATTGCTCCAATTTTACTTTTTGATTCTTATCTTTCTAACTCAAAAACTCTACTATTTTAAGAACTTCTTATTCATCCAACTCATATATGTCTTCAACAACATTTGAATTATCTTTTTTAGTACTTTAATTCATATTTCTTTATCGTTCCAATTATTAGATTATATCTGATAATGTCTAATTATAGATGTCCTTTAATTATTGAATAGATTTAATGGCAGAATTAAATTTAGAGTATCTACCATTATTGTATTTAGAAATCATCAATTTTTATTATCCTTTTAATTCCTTCCATTTTGTATTTGCATCTTCAACTGTGATGTATTCTCTTTTTGGAAATTATTAAATGCATTTCTCGCAAGCCAAGCCACATTATTCTGATTCATTTTAGCTTAAGTTAATCATCATAATCTTTTTGCCATGTTGACTACATAAGTATTTCAATGTTGGTGTTTCCTAATAATATTATAAGTAGATTTATACATGCTTCTCAAATCTTCTCTTTGGAATGAGTTGTCCAATTTAGAATTGAGACTTGATTTAATAAATTGATTCAAATATCTGAGAAAATTATTATGTATTTGACATCATACTAAGATCACTTTGTATTTTATCTAACATCTAAGTAAAGCCTTCTAAATTGAATTCTTATTTGATAGGTTCACAATTAGAATTTCCATTATAAATCTATGATAATGTTTCAATGTCCTTATCTAAACTCAATTCATCAAAACTTGTTTTCTTTTATTCTATTTCTTGTTCGTTTGAGCTGATACTTTCATTAATTTTATTTTGCAATTTATCGAATACTTGAGTAAAATGATCATTGACCTTTGAGACAGAACATTGAAGATTCTAAACACTATTTAAGGTTTCTTGTTTTTTTTTCACTTCTTCATCTTTGTATTTGTTTTTCAACTCTTTAATCATCTCAATAGCTTCACTCAACAACACAATATTATTTCCTTAAATCCGTTCAATTAAACACTTAACACACAAATATTTCTATTTCTGTTCTCTTGCTGCTTTTAAATCAACCGCAAGTATTTCTAATTGATGAGTTTGACAATTCTTATTTCCATTCTCGATAATTGACATTTCTAGAACAATTAATTAAATATTCTTAATTCTCTTAATATCAATAATTAAGAAAAAAATATAGAATTAAGTCAAAACTACTAATTGCTATTGTCCTTTATCTTTTCTATGCAAATAACGATTGAAGGGATAGAATGTTCATCTATCCTAATTCACACGTAATTTTGTTATATAATCTTCATAGAATAATATTAAAATACAAATTCCAGTAATTCAAATTGAATCAGTTTACAATCAATTATTATTGTAATTATCAATTTAATGTATCTTAGCATTCTCCTTTTCTACTTTATATATTAATAAATAAAATAAAGATTTATTTATATTATTTATAAATACACAATGCTAAATTATGTTAAAATAATGAGAACAAATTATTTAATTTAATGATTTATTATATTTAAAATATTTTGATTCATTTTTATCTTTTTATTGTTTATAAATTATTACTTAATTCGAAAATAAATGCCTTAGAAGAGTGCCATCTGCATATCTATTATTAAAAATATTGATGAAAATAGAAAAGTTGAGTGCATATGATACTGCATTATTTTTATTAAAACTGAAACTGTTTTCAAGACTTTAAATCAAATTGTATCAATAGAGCCTTAGATTTATTTATGGAATCTTAGATTTTGATTACTGAAGTATGATTCCTTATTATATCGAAATTGTAAGGGCTTCTTGATTTAATGGCTCATTATAAATAATAAATCATCATTATTTTATTTATCATGCATGAATCAGTGATTCTCTCCAATTCCGAGTTAGATAAATTGTTATAAAACCTGAAGTCAATTTGGCTACCAAAGAAAGAGAAGGAGGTAGAAATAAGAGTTTACAAACTGATTAACTTAAAATTAGAAGTTCAATCCTTGATTAAAAAAATCACGGAGAAGGTTAATGAAAGCTTATTACATATCGATAATATGATCAATCAAACAAAAATTGAGGTTTAGTCAATCAGGGGAAATATCGACAGGATCTAAATTAAAGAACTTAAGGATTTGAATTCTCTAAAGCAATCTATAAATGTTTTATTGTGTCAGTAAAGTGCAAGTTTAGGCTAATAATTAAACAATTTGTAAATGATTTGGAAGGTTAATATATTGGAAAATATGGAAAGGAAATTGAAGCAATTGTCTGAGGGTGACTCTAAATGTAGTTTTGATTAATATTTCAATTTATCATTCAGATTAAAAAATAATAACAATTGGATTTGTGACAAACATTTTGAGTAGATCTTTTATGTGAATTTGTCAGAAAATGTGAATATTCAAAATAGATTAGCTTGTAAGAAATGCCTATCATAAAATCAGGAGTATAAATAATTAGATGAATTACAGCAGTTATGGGAATAAAATGTTCAATAGACTTTGGGGAAATTCAATCAACATTAAAACAGTCTCATCGTTTATTGGAACAAATTAATTGACGAACTTCAGAGATTCAATAAAATTGTGTATTCCTCATCCAATCTCAAAAACGACATCCTTCAATAATAGTTTTAATTGATGTAAAAGGATTGGCCCTCCTTATCAAAAGTAGAATTACATGACATAGCTTGCAATTAGAATAGATAGCAAAATTAATTCATCTTCTCTTAAATTGAAGAGGAATCGTTGATCAAAGAAAGCCAACTGCTTCACTTTATCAATGTATTCAAACAATTTGTAAATTAATTAGATAGTACAGATGGCTCCAATCAAAATGAAATCTCTCTCTAAAATTCTTAATTGCAATCAAATAGGATTGAACTTGTTAATCCGAATATGAGTTTTAGATTTGAATTAATCAATCGCATTAAGTAAGACAGATGTTTTTCCTTCGCTTTTTCTTTGGATTCCTCTGTTATGGTGGCTGGATAGAACCGTATGATCAAAGTCTTCGAGTTTAAGGATGGAAATCTGTTAGAAAAGCAATAATTGACCGATCATAAGGACTATGTGAGATGTCTGTATTTCATGAAAAGACTATGCAATTTATTTCTGGAAGCAATGACAATTTAATAATGATTTGGACTTGGGATGACAAAAGAAACTGGTATTGTGAGTAAAGGTTGGAGGGTCACACGGATTACATACGGGGAGGATTAATAATGAATATCAAAGAAGATTTAATTATATCGGGCAGTGATGATAGCACGATTAAGTTTTGGACTAAAAATAACAATAATTGGAGTCTTCATCAGACATTGAACGAGCATAAAAAGGAGGTGAAGAGCTTAAGTTTGAATGATTCATAGAATTAATTAATTTCGTGTTCTTTTTGGAATGAAATCCTTGTCACTGAATTTAAGAGTACTCAAAATTTATGGGTTACAATATAAAGGATATCAGTGGATATGAATGGTTATAGTTTGTGTTTCATTAGTGACACTCTTTTTACATTTTAACCTCATGAATTGAAAGTGATGCAGATTTATGAATTAGATAAGAATACTAAACAATTTGTGATGACAAATTTAGTGAAAATTAAGTCTGATGACAACAGATGCGATTTCTTTCCTTAGTAGTTTAATAAGGAGAAATAGGTACTCTTACATAAAAATGGAAGGACAATCAACATTATTAAAACCATTGATAGTCGACAATTTATTCCTGTTTAATACATAGAAAATTGTGATAATTATCTGTATGGAGCTATGACTCATGATGCTTAATATTTGGTGACATGGGACAATGAAGAAAAAGAAATAAAAATAAGAAAATACAAGGAATGAATAATTATTATTAAATATTATTGTAATTTCTCATTAAATTTGTTCTCTTTCTTTAGAGTAAGATTGAAATTGTTAAAAATATAAGGATATTATATATTGATATTTAAATTTCATCCATAACTAATTAAATAATTTTTAGAAAGTACTTTAATTACATAATTTTCAGGTGAAGATCTGACATTCATCATATTATCATATTGGTCACTTAAAATACATTTATTTAAATAAACAATAAACAGAATTCTTAATCTAATTTAAGTAAATTCATTCTATTCAAATTACATTAAATTGTATTAATAAAAAGAAAACATCTATATTCTGATTAGTATTAATCATATGTGCTTAATTATCCTATTCATTATACTTCTAAAACAACTGTTACTATCTTATTCTAAATTAGCTAAAGTTATTATTGACAGTTAATGTAAATTAAAGGAAATTTCTGTCTAATTCAGTTCCAAATTATTGTGTTTATAGTATTAGCAGAATAAAATTGATGATAAATCGAATGATGTTATGAATTATTATACACAATATTTTAGAATGTAACATATAGATTAAAAAGATATTTTCAATATATAAATAAATAAAATGACAAGAATTCATTTAATACTTAGTTGTTTAATAATCCTTTCCCAATAATGCTCAAATTTGAAGGATAATACGCTTTTTATTACGTCGACTCCTGATGAGATGATGAGGATTCCATTGTCATAAATATTTACTTCTAGCTCGTATGATTAGATCACTTTTTCACCTGTTGTCCCATTTTTTACAATTACAGCTCCCTTAGAAGAAGTGTACAAGATGGGTATCCCTGGAATAATAGGCTTGACAGTATCAGCCAAAATGTTAAAATCAACATCAAGTGCTTAACCATAACACAGGATGGCAAATCTACGTTCTGAAAATGGCAAATATTATTCTGAATATGACCTTAATTACTATTCTACTATTCCTAGATTAGATACTCTATATCCCAGCACATTAAGGGCAAATTCATAATGCTTTGATATTGCATTGATGTCTACAATAGTTGTTACAGAATGCTCTAATGATGATGGAGATTACTTTAGTATTCTGAAAATTAAGTAATCACCTCCTGCCTATCTACCCATCGAGAAGCCACTCGATTCTTTTAGAAAATTAGATATGATCGATCAATACCTTTTGAGAGGGACAGCGAACAAATTGGAACTTTATTAAGAATAGGAAGAAGCAATTGTGCTCCTAAATAATTTAGACCAAGCTGCTTTGAGAGTGCTATTGAACAAGGACACCTTTGAGTTGAAGATAAAGGACTTCCAAACTCATACAAATGGGTGGATTAGTATTTTAAATGGATCTGGAAATTTAATTACCGTGTAGTTTAAAAATGATTAATGGCAATTAATTAGCGACATAGATACTCAGATACCAGATGTTTATTCATATGATTATAATGTCTATACGAATACTTATGTTATCCTCTCAAAAACATAGTTATATTATAAAGCAATCACAAAATAGGTATTTACTGCAAAAGTTACTGCCAATCCTACCGATAAAGTGCATTTACTAAGAAGCTCTATCATTTTGCTTTAGGACAAGACTCTTGTGTAATACTCATAACAATTATACAAACTCTATTCTAAGACTCTAAGTGGTTCAAATAATTCAATCAATTCAAATCCACATTCTGATGGATTTTTAGTTATTGACAATGAGAACTTTTCTGAGTATGCCACAAAGAATGAATACTCATTACAATTTTAAGCTGGCACCTTACCCGTGGCTAGAGACTATAGAATGACTAAAATGATTTAGAGTAATAGCTGCGAGATTCAAATCTATTATACATCTATTGATATTGAATGGAAAAATATTTACTCATCCTAGATTCCTTAGGCTTTAATTGCAACCAGTGTGTTTTAAGACAAAGTAGATGTAAAGTTGAACCCCATATTCCAAGGATCTAACTTAAAGTATGAATTTCTAAACACAGATATCCTAAATATCAAAGTGGATTAATATTAAGAATTTGAAATATCAAACATAGATGATACTCCTGATGTTATTTATAGGAAAGCATTATCACATTAAAATAATCCTCAGATCTAGATTATCTAATAGCACAGTGATCAATAAATAAGTGGGTTCACTTGTGAAGTCGAATCGAATCTGAAACTGAACTGTAAATCCATATTTGCCAAGAGACAATTCACTCAATTGTAAGACTCTGATAAATAACTCTGGTGGTTTAATTAAAATTCGATCTTCTTGGCAATTCTACAAGATTTAACCGTAACAATTTACAATGTTAACTATGAAGAGAGTACATTTGATACATTGACAACCATCAATTTAGTTTCTAATGCCAAGTAAATTGTAACTGATGGCATTCACTTGTTTATATCAATGGAAAAATTAATTTAGGCATATGCAGTAACTGTTGAAAACAAAGCCACATTGATTTATAATTAAGATGTGATTGTGGATATGGATATTTATGCAACTCCAGCCTAAAAGAACCTTGTGTTTTTGGAATAAGATGGGGAATTGTAAATCATCTCTTTTGAATTCGAAAAGATGAGTCTAATTTGGTTCACACCAGTTGATACCAATTACGATTAAAAGAATTTAATAATTCTGAAAAATCATATTGTGAGAATAATAAAAAAAAAGGGTTCAGAAGAGTACATAGCAACAGTGTATTATTTAAAGAATCTAAATAATATCTCCCTTGAGAAAAAGATTGCGATTGGCAAATTTAGTGCTGTGAAATTAACGCAAATTCAGGTTAATGCTTAATAAAACCTATTTTATCTTGTTGGCTAACAAAATGAATAATACAAGCTACTTGTACACAAGGTGGATGAGCCAAGTATAAATTCGATGTTTTTAAGCTTATCATATACATCAACAGCTTAATTCTCAATTGCCAATCAATATTGTTTAGTTACCGATCAAAGTGCAAATAAGCAAGTCTTATACAATCACTATATCACTGGAAATTATTTCGTTTAGTCTCATTTGAAGGAGAGCTATTAATAAGCTTAGTACTCCAAACTCATCACTCTAACAGTATAAGTGAAGAGTGACTCACAAGGTATCAATACCGAAGTGGTTCCAGCTCTAATTGTGAACAGAGGTGTTACGATCTTTTAGAATCAGAGCTCATTGAATTTAACATATAAAGCAGATGGGGCTCAAAAACACTATATAGATTTAGGATAATCATGGTATAATGGTCAAGCATTTGACATATCTTAGAGCGAAGCATCAAAAAATATTACATATGTTTAGACATTATCTAAAAAGGCTGAGACCTTGGAATTCAGTCCTTACATTTAATAGTTGAATCCAGACAGTTTAGTCTAATTGATTGGCAACAAAATTGTGTTAGTAAAGAAGGCTGATTTGACAAAAACTGAAATTACATTGGATGCAACCTACAACATAAATAAATTGTTACTGGTACAGGATCAGTACCTATATGTTGAAACATAAAAGGAATCTCAAATTTATTTAAAAGTTGTAGAATGCAAGGATTCTAAATGCAAATTTTTAGAATCTGAACTAGCATTTGCAACTAATATCGACAAGATTTTCCTTCATAAAAACAACTTCATCATTTATTCTAAACCTATTCTATATGTGTATGACACAAAAGGGGATCCCATCAATGTATCTGCCTTTGAACAATACAATAAGATTCCTACATTCTCATCAACATTCTTTGTTGAATTCCAATATTTACAAGATGACGTGTATTAGATTATTTCTGTGGATGTGAGAGGGAATATAAATTTTAATAATATTGTGCTATCTAGGACATCAAGTGAGAATTAAGTGTTTCCCCAAGATGTCTTAGGTATATTGAAGACGAATTAATTATATGTCTAAGAAAACTCAGTATGTGTGGGAATCGTGTTAAGAAAGGATGAGATACTAATATTCTACAATAATATAGCTACGGTTTCATTTAAATTCGAATTTGATTGCACTAATAAAAAATTATGCAATCTCAAGTAATTTACATTGAATGGTGTTTATCAATAATATGGAGAATGGGTATTGTTTAATATCTATCCAATTATATACTCAAATGAGAATATTCTATCCCTGATCTATTGGGCTTAATCTAATTATGAAGTACTCATATATGATCTCGAAACTCCAAGTAGCAAGGAACATCCGAAATCAGCCATTGCTCATTTGACTGCTCCGATCAGTGAAGAAGATCCAGGTGAGATGTATCATGTTTAGTCATTTGTTTATACTTAAAATGGACAATTACACTTATTGGCCTCTGCCGAAGACCCGACTAAATTACAACATTACACATTGTAGAGATCCCCTCAGGTTTGTACTACTTCTGCTGAAGAATAGGTTAACGAAGTCATCAAATTAAATCTACATAATTCCATCTCAAATGTTAATCTTAACCTGAATATCACTATTACCGCAACATAAGATCCAGATGATGACGATGATGAAAAGAAGTTCCCCATTTGGGCCATAATTCTTATTGCGTCAGGTGTATTAATTATAGGAGTTGTGATATTCATTTATTGCAAGAAAAAGAGTTAGACTCAAGTTGATGATGAGAAAGTGTTGTTGGGATGATTGTTATGTGATTTAGATCGTTTATATTCAAAATATAATAATATATATGTTATTGAGTTCTTGAAACGCATGTGTTTGCATGCGGTGTTACAACTGGGTTTATTATTATGATTGTTAGAAATAAAATATTAAATATTTATAATAAAGGAAGTCCATTAAATAAGATTGTATATTATTGAAAAGTTATTAATTAATTTAAAAGAAATAAAGAGTGTGATATGATTGAATATCCTTTACAATGCCAAGTGGATGGTCACGAGTTCAGTCCTGTCTTGGGATGTTGCAAGTGCAGAACCTGTAAAAATTTAAAGCCCTATTGTCAATATTGCATAATCGACTTCCATGCTGAACATCTAAAACAATTATAACCATTGTCAAAGATCCCTGAATGGATTCAATAAAAGATCCTAATTCAAAAGAGTGTTGGCAAATATATTAGAGAAATATCAATGTTGGCATAAAACTTAGACGATATGCTCTATCCCTTGTACATCCAGTCAGAAACAAATTTAGCATATCTAAATTTAAAGAACTTGAACTTGTTAACTATTAAATTACTGAAAATAGATACGATTGAAACGAAAATAATACCAAAATTAAATGATTTAATGACATACATAGAAGCCTTGAACAAGGAAATCAAAACCCTTGACTCCACTGTTGATTTCGAAAATCAAACATCCTCCTTTACAGTTACTTCTGAGTAGAGAGAACTAACCTAAAGACCTTAGGAGAATTTACAATAAGAATCGAATCTCAGTGGTAATTCACAACAAAAAATGGATTTCAGATACACCGCTGAAAAATTGAATATCAATTTCACCAAACAAAACTTGGAGAAGGTCAAAAAAATTAGTATAGACAACGGTGGTAAAATCATTAAAAGTGGACCTGATTTTTCAAGACTCATAATATGTGAACCTGAAATTCCTAATAATCTGATCTCAAGGTTCGCTCTCCAAATATTAAAGCACAAATGGGTTTGTGTTGGAGCTTGTCATAAATCAATCATTCAGAAATAAAAAAACGATTTGAATCTGTGTAAAATTGGGCATGGGTATGATAGTTCTTATTTATATTTAGAGCGTATTTGATAGAAAATTCTGGGTCTACCTATTCTCATCTTGATAAGGAAGTCAACAATACTGAGCACCCCTTTAAATTTTTCAAAAATGATATCATCATCATTGAAATAAATATGAAGGAAGGAAAAATTATATGGAGAAAATAATCGAATCTAATATTATGGGTAAAATAGTTTGTTTGAATGTAGAAAATGACAATAGATACAACCTTAGATTTGCATCCGTGCGTTCACATATTCAATTCAAAAGTATAAATCATAGACGAATACTGATTTTTATTTTCCATCAAATTTTTACAAGATATTTACTATTAATAAAATATATATATGTGGATTTTAATCATCCTGAAAGTTCATATATCTCACATTCAGCAATTAAGGGTTATGGACTTCCAAAAAATGTATTTGGATTAAAACCCTATAATTCAACATTGTACGTCTATCCCAATTTACATAATCCTGATTAAAAAGTTGGTCCAATTTGAAGATCAAAACCGCTTCCAAATGTAGGGCCACAATTTTACGAACAATAAATTGCAAACCTTTTTTTCTATTCTTTCAGTGGGTATAATTAGATTTACTAATCTTTATATGAGAATATGAATGATGAATTCGTAGGATCTTCCACATAATTATTAAGATGTGATTCCCATTTACAAGGTGAATAGCCTCCAAAGATTACATCCTTTTTGGTTTTAAATATCATTAACAAATTTGATTTAGTATTAATTTTGCTCCAAAAAGAATTTGAATTGAAACCATCCTTTGTGCCCTAATATAGTAATTTAGCCTGGCTGATCATCTTTGGATTCTTATCTGTTATTACTTTCACCAAATCTAAGAATTATTCTTCTGATACAACCGTGGATTTCGTTGTATCTAAGAGTCCTAACATATAACTTTTGCTCATTTTAGAAAATAAATTTAAGTATTGTTGTAAGCAATCATCTATTTAAACTTTGAGGTTGTCCATTTGAAAGTTGTTCTTTAATTATTCTTACAACAATTTTTTATACTTAGATATGGTTTCATCTAGGTAACCATTCAATCCATTGGTATCTCCTTAATTGACTTCATTCAAATGTTATGATAGCTTCTATTCTATCTATTGATAGATGTCTATTTGTCCAATTTATTGTGAATTACCTAATTCTTCCAACAATTTTACAAATTGAGGATATTTTATTTTCTAATTATGTTTTTAAGAATACTTGAACCAAATCATTTTTGATGTTAACTCTCGTTTCAATGATTAAGTCAACTTGCATTTTAGCTTTTGCTATAACTTGATCAATAAAAACTTGAAGTTGTCTCAAAGATGATTCAACATTTGCAAGTTCCTATTTCAGCTCATCTCCTGTTAAATTTGCTAGGTTTTAGAATATATTGCTAAACTTCTCCTAAGATGTCAATTTTTGAATTAAGGAATCCGGAGATGTTAAGGCCTATAATTCATAAAAATGCTTACTTTCTATATAGAGATGATTTATCCAAAGTCAACTTTATTCGAATTGTCTTGTAATTAATAAATGCATTCTCCACAAGCCAACTTAGCCTAACCTTAATTTAGGATTATAAATTAGTGTGCAAACCCTTAATGTGATTAACAATATGTTTGTTGCTTCATATCTAAATTATAAATAATTATTAACAAACTATTAATATATTAATTGGTCTTATCAAACTATCTGAAAAAATCTGACAGCCATTTAAACTAACAAAAGCTGTAAAATAGTAAATAAGACTTCATGTTGTTATTAACTTGATATTTTTACAAAAATAACTTAGTAATTCGTCATTAAATTCACATCTTTATTAAAAAAGCAGGAATAATTTTATAGAAATACTATTATTTATAAAATTCCTTTATATAATTAAAAAATACTTATTATTATTTTTAATCAAACTTTCAATTAATATTAAACTATAATTATTATAAATTATGGTAGAAATGTTTGTTCTAAAAGAACTTAATTTTATATCCCTAAATTGAATTATTATAAATATATATGTTCCTTTTGTAACAATTATTTAATCAATTTCTCAATATTTAAAAATTATTGAATTATGTTCTTTAACTTATCATTGAATATCAAAAAAATAGAAACAATTTGCTTCTGTATTTGATGATGTGAATATTGGTTCATCAAAGGAAGGACAAACCTATTTCTTGAAGCTACAATTTTTGTATAAATTAATATTTAAACATCCTCATAAATTCTTTAGAATATTATTATTCTCAAAATTTTTGAGAAACTAATGTATAACATCTAATCGTTATTTATACGCATATCCATTAATAACATGATTATCACTATTACATGTATTATATGAATGACTGAATTCAAGTCGAAATTTGACAAAAAGAATATCCTTAAAACTTCTATTCTCTGGTTGAAGAAAGAAAAATTTATTGTATTATGACAAATATATCATTTATCCAAAGAAATTCGAAGGAATACATTTAATGCAAGGGAGAAATTTATAGAAAAATATCAATTTCATTTTAACATATTGATGAGTTTAAAAATTCAAGTTAAGCTAGCTTTGAAATTCTGAGCCCTGAATGATCAGATGATACTACAGAACCTATTATCCTTTAAATCTGACGAATCCTCATGGCCTAAGTTCCTTAATTCATTTAGTGCCACATCACTAAACCTTTCCAAAAGTATGGCTTTATAAATGTGAACTTTAAGTAAAGTCTAAGATTGAAACCTGATCTGAACTTATTCTTAGAGATTTGATTTTCTATTAGGCTTAAATAAGGATTTTTGATGATTAGTATTTTGATTGAGATATATTTTTACTAGTACTTTAGGAGTGTGGAATTTACCAATATTGCGTTTCTCAAAACTGAATACTACCTAATACTCTAATTTATTTTTATATCTAAATTATTGGCCAAATTATCAAATTCCAATTTTAGTTCCCTTGCTGTTGATACAAATTCAAATAATCTGTCGAAACTATGGTTTAACTATTTTTGAAGATTAAGCCTGTGTAAGATCCAAATCCTACCTGTACTCTTTTTTTATATTTTATAGGGATATTAGAATAACCAATTAGAAAATATATTAATACGAGAATATTTACGAACTTATTTTATTCTTATAATATATATTTATTAAAAAATTTCTTATTAAGTAACTTAAAACTGGCCTCGATTGCTATTATTCTTTGAGGGGCCTTCCCATCCTCGTGAACTAAATCAATATACGTAATATATAGAACTCTGATGCCATATTCAGTTTTTGGATTTTTTTCAGATAACTTTAGAAATTCTAAATAAACTTTAAATAAGAACGATATTTTTAATATATTGGGATTTTACAATAAATAATCATATTAATCATCTTATTATTAAAAATCGAGACTTCATTTATTTAGGAATAAAATAAAATTATGTTTAAACTCAATATTATATTTTTAATTCTAAAAATATTTCTAATAGCTACAAACTATTTTTCTTTAAATCATACGTAATACGATTTAAAACCTAATAGCCATTAGCTAAAAATTGAAATAAATTTAAATCCAAAATTTTAATGAAAAAAGATTCTTCCACCAAAAGGCCATATGAGAAAGTCTCAAAAATAAAAAGACAGAACCTTGTCAAGCTAGTGTTCCATCAAGGAATCAAAATAAAACATGTATTATTTAATTCTAAAAATAGGCTGCCAAACAGCTCAAAATAAACTATGCCGCTGCCAAGACTGTTATCAGTCAGCACAGATGCAATGTTATACTACATAATATACAATACAAGTCCAACCAAAGGTGTGGATTTTAGAAAATCAATAATACTAACAGATCATTCGGCTTAATATCAAAACTAGCTGGAGAAATCGTAAAAGCTACTAGCCATACCATACCGGAGTAAAAGAATGTTTGAGATTAACAAATTTTATTTCAAAAACTTCTTTTTCAACTATGAATTACAATCTCTTGTAAACAATATTTTTCACATTAATTTATAAATAATAAGAATAATATTCTCGAACTAATAAGTATCTTTTTAATTGCTATGTGAATAGCAATGCAAAATGAAGACTTATCAGAAATTATAGAATTTCTTATCCTTCTCATTCTACGGATAATCATATTTAAAATTATTACTTTCAAATTAACATTAATATAACTTAATATGGAGTGTTTTAACTTCTTCCTTTAGAGTAAAATAAAATTCATCTTAAAATAATAATAATAATAAAATACAAGAATTGAAAAGAGCATTCTATTTTAAAGTAATAAATTATATAAATTATTGCAAAACCCTAAAATTTTTTGTAGTGAAGAAATACTAAAATTATTAATAATTGTACTAAATTGATGGGTAAATTGTCAATAAATGAACATTTACGAATTTTTACTCAATCACATTTTGATAAAATAATTGATTTAGTCCGCTGTTGATTTATAAATATATAAAATATTTAATTTTTTAATTATGATTGTAATAACAAATTATACAATTATACAAATATGGAAAATTTATTCATTTCTAAGAATTTAATAATCTATAAATGAACAAAAAATTATTAAATGACTCTTCCTCAATTTTTTTCAATTAACAATCTAAATCCCATGTATAATTCAAGCACAATTAAAACCCCACTTATTTTAATCTCTATCTGAAAAAGTTAATGAATTAAGAGGATTACCTCAAATATTTTATGTGAATAGTGATGATTCAACATGAATAATTCATAAATAGAATTCTTTTAATTACAGAATAAGTAAAAAAGTTGATAGAAATTGATTAAACAAAAAAAAAATAAATTAAATTACATGGGTCCCTATCTTACAACACCAAATACTTAGAAAGAAACGTATTAAGGAGAAAATGAGAAATTCATCTTCGCTGCTACCCATATGCAAGGTAAGATTATATAATATTTTGATAAGGTTGGAGAAACAACATGGAGGATGCTCATATTTCATAATTGGATATTGAGCCAGGAGTGTCTTTATTTGCTGTGTTTGATGGTCATGGAGGGAAAGAAGTAGCTATCTATGCTGAAAAACATTTTCAAGAAGAATTATTGAAAAATCCAAATTACAAGTAGAAAAACTACAAGCAAGCTTTAATTGAGACCTTCTTGAAAATTGATGAATTATTATTTCAACCACAAGGACAAGAAGAATTGATAAAGATTAAAGGAAGTGGTGATGGTAACATTTTAAATTCATATGTTATAGAATTATAAGCTGGAGCAACTGCCAATGTTGCTTTGATTGTAAATAAGACTATTTATCTGGCTAATGCTGGAGATTCAAGAGCCATGCTATGTAGAGACAATAATCCTTTGGATTTGAGCAAAGATCATAAGCCAGATGATGAAAAAGAAAAGTAAAGGATTGAAACAGCTGGAGGTTTTGTGTAAAATGGAAGAACAAATGGTATATTTTAGTTTAAGAAAAGGAAGTTTATCTTTGAGTAGAGCAATTGGAGATTTAGAATACAAAAAGGACTAGAAATTTAGATAGGATGAATAAGTAATTATAGCAGTACCAGAAGTTAGAGTGGAAGAAATTCAAGCAAATGACAAGTAATCTGTATATTTAAGATCGAGATTCTTATTAATGGGATGTGATGGAGTCTTTGAAATTTGGAGTCATAAATAAATAATCGATTATGTTAATTCTCAAATGAGGTAAGTAGTGACGAAAGAAGATATTAGGATTGCAGCAGAAGGATTACTTGACTCTGTAATCGCAAAGGATACATCAAGTATTAATAATAATTATTATCAAAGATGGTACTGGATGCGATAATATGACATGCATCATAGTATATTTTAAGTAATGAGGATTTATAAGATGTTATTAAATATCCTTTTATTTTATTCTATATTGTTGATACTCAAGCTTATTAAGCTGGTCTTGGACCTCCTCTTGTTTTTTATCCTGCAGGTTTTTCATTGGCCCCGTTCGATTGATTGTTGTTTCCACTTGTGTTGTTATTTCTTCTATCATCTCTTTTAGCATCTCTTTCTTCTCTATTATCTCTTTAATTTCTGTTGTCTCTATTATCTCTGTTATCTCTATTATCTCTGTTATCTCTGTTGTCTCTGTAATCTCTTCTGTCTCTATTATCTCTATTATCTCTGTTATCTCTTCTGTCTCTATTATCTCTATTATCTCTATTATCTCTGTTATCTCTATTATCTCTTCTGTCTCTATTATCTCTTCTATCTCTATTGTCTCTATTGTCTCTGTTATCTCTATTATCTCTATGATCTCTATTATCTCTATTATCTCTATTGTCTCTATTATCTCTATGATCTCTATTATCTCTATTATCCCTATTATCTCTTCTTTCTCCTTTATTTCTTTAGCTGTCATTTCTTGGTTTTCTGCTTCCACTTCTTTATCTGTCATTTCTTTCTCTGGTTGGTTGGACTTGATCAGCAGGTAAGGGTTCCTAATATAAGAATTATTTATATACAAGGAATCCAGGCTCTTTTCTGTCTTATTCAGTTGGTGTCTTGGTTAGTTTGATTTGGAGGGAAGCCAAATTTTTAGTGACACTGACTTTGACTAATCCTTCCTCTAATGGTTCGTATTCTTCATTAATCTGAACAGCCTAGATTTTGTTTATTTAATATAATCCAGCAATTCTTTTTCTAACAACATCAGCAATGATGACGGCTTTGGAGATGGCATTTTCAATAGCTGTGATGAAGATAGTATCTTCAACGGGAGGTTGATCTTCTCTACGAGGACCTTACAAAAGCCACAAAGCTTTTCTGACTTGGCTTGACAATTAAGCTTTTGTAGCTACTCTAATGACATTAGGATTAGGCTTTTAATCCTCAACAACAATCCTGTGATACTTTCTTTTTGTGGCCATATTAAATATTAATACAAATCTTTTTTTTGAGTAGCAAAAAAACTGTGTAATATATATATTATCATTTTTCTATCTTCATTCCTTTATACCACATACAATTAATGACTCTGCCATCCTTGTAAATGTATTTTCCTTTACCATGACGCTCCCCATTCAACCATTCTCCAAAAAATAATTTACCATTGTGGTATTCCACCCTTCCTTCTCCAACTTGTTTGTCTAACTCAAAACTAAACTTACATGATTTTCACTTTACTTTCCAATAAATATGTTCCCATCTGGACTTATCAGAGTTCCTCTTCCATGCTTCATCCCCTTCTTAAATGACCCTTCATATCGAGATCCATCAATATTGACTTACAAACCCTCTCCATCTATTTAGTTGTTCACAAAAGTGCCTTAATAATAAGATCCATCCGGTTGTATCAACTTTCCAAAGCCTTGCTTTTTCCCCTCCACAAATTGTCCTTCATAATAGAGCCCATCCGGCCATTTTTATTTGCCATATCCATTTTATTTATCATTCTTCCAATTTCCTTCATAAATAACTCCGTCGCTGTTAGTAAATACACCATGTCCATTAGCCTTATCATGTTTCCATTCCCCTTCATACACATCACCTTCGCAACTAATATATCTTCCAAATCCATTACATTCATCATCCTTCCACTCTCCATCATAAATTGATCCTAAATAATTTTATCATTCATTAATTTACCATCTTTCCATATCAATTTCCCCTATCCTTCCCTCTTCTACTGAAACAGCTCTCCTATGTATATACTCTCTAATAATTCACTTAATATTTACTGTCTGACAATGTTAACTAATACACCTTCTTGCCGTGAGATCTATCGCTACCATTCATAGATGTATCAGTGATATGGCTATTGTAAATTGACCCATTCCTGTGTTCGATTTCAGTATTCTTATGCAAAAAATTGTCAATTATTGCCTTGTCTTCCTATAAGTCTAACCATTTCACCCTTTTCCCTTCAGCCCACTCTCCATACCTATATTCACCAGAAGGAGCCTAGTACAATCCAATTCCATGTTGTTTTCCAAGTTTCCACTCCCCAATATATTTCCTACCATCATTCCAAATAAATGTTCCTAATCCTTATTTTTTATCATCCATATAACTAATGTAACTCTAATTTAATACCCTCCTTCATATGATCTGCCATCCGCCCAAATAGTCTTGCCCATTCCCCACATCTTATTATAGACCCATTCTCCTACATAGCTTCTCCCATCAGTCCAATGATGTGAGCCATATCCATGTATGTCATCCATTTCAAATTCCCCTTCATAATAGGATCCATCTTGGAAAACTAACTTGCCTTTCCCATTCTTCTTCCCTTCATAGTATTCACCCTCATAGGAAGCACTGTCGATCCAAGATTCCTTCCCGTAAATATGTTTTACACTATTTTTCCAATATCCAACATAGGTGGCACCTTATTAATAAAAGTATTCTCCAAATCCGAAAATATCCCCTTCATGCCAATAACCACAGTAAATATCTCCGTTCTAATAAGTTTTCTTACCAAACCCATGTTGTTTATTATTCTTCCACTGGCCTTCAAAAACAGATCCTAATTTTGCTTTAATTTTGTTACATACCATCTTAAAATTTTCCAATACCCAAGCCATGCTTCATGTCATCAAGCATTTGGCCATCATATTCGATTTCTTCTGAAATGATGCGTTAAAAGCTAAATTTTGTTTGTATTTGTTATGTGATCTTTTCGGATGTGTATATTTTATCCAATGATTGATTTAGTAAATGCTCTAAATCTTCTTGTGGGATGGTTTTTGAACTCTAAACAATTTGATTATTCTCAATAACGCAATCTATGTTCTCGCCATCAATCTTGATTACTTTTCCAAGCATTTTATGATCTTCCCAATATCCTTCAAAAATAATACCTTTTTTAGATTGGCTAAATTACCATTTGGATATATTTGAATTCCTTTGCCATGTCTTTAATTGTTTTTCCATTCGCCCTGATATATGGAATCTAATGATTCAGGCATAAAATACACCATCTCCTAAGATGACTTTCTAGTAAAGAGAATATTCGGATTCCTGTTTGAAGGATGCGGCTGATTGTTAGGAGGTACAATTTTGAAATTCTTGTCTAGACATTAATGATAAATTAAATTATAACTATCAATTATAAATTCATTATAATGTGGATGCTAATTGAATTATATGGTCATTTTATCTGAGTTTTTCCAAATGTTTGAAACCCCCTAATTTTTCAAATATTTATTTTGAGTTCTCATCAATAAATAAGTGAAGTACTGCTTTTAAAGCCAAATAGATTGCGTTTGGATCATAGATCTCTCTAAAGAAGTCGACTAATAGATTGATGACTCCATTGTTGATTAGGTCCCCATAAAATGTAGGATCACAATTGACAATGTAAGTGGACACAAAGTAGCCTAATTCCAATTTCATTTTAAGATCTGCCTTCTCATACTATTCATAAATGCCTTGAAAGAGCACTCTCAATTCATTATGAAATCCTCGATGCGTGGCTAGATTAGAGAACGTAGAATAGACCTTGACCTAATGATTAGAGTTCTTGATTCGGAACAATTCATCCACAATTGGATACCCAAGTAGTAGCTATAAAAATAAATCAAGCTACATACATCAAGGACTTCATCTGATTGGTGACCTGAGAGATAGTTGATAAAGTTAATTGAATGATTGGGGTTAGAAAACAATTTCATGCAAAAAGCTCTGTAAATAGTTAAGAATTGTGCACAATTGTAATCTTTAATCATCTCGCAGAGCCCATTTACACTCTCAAATCTGATACAATTGAATATAAAGTCTAGGATTTTTTGAAAATTCTCGTTTCTAGAGTTGGAACAAAAGTTCTTTATTATGGAGGCTGCTAAATTCATAATCATTTCTGAATTCTGTCTTTTCAAACGATATAGGAATGCATCATAGAAATTTGAATCGAGGAGAATTCGATCGCAGGCCTGTTCTTCTACGGTCATATTGTAAATCAATTCAAAAACTCTATGCAAGATGACTTCATATTTTGATTTAATGAGAAGGTTGATTTGGTTAAGGAAATGACCATTGCCGTAATCCAATAAATAATTGACGCAATCATCTGCCAGTGTTAGGTTGATCAAAATCCATAAACTGTTGTTTGTTAACTCCACTGTGTTGACATCATCTGCGTAGGTTGGAGAGCAGTACTTAATCAATTCAGGCATTAAATTGTCTTGCTTTAGAGATGATAGTTTACTTTTGATGGAGTTGTAGAAGTCGTTGATGTACTCTTGAACCTTCATTGAAGCCACCTTCATGCTTAAAATTTTAATTTATGAGAGAACCTAAATGTAATTTATGTTGATGTACTAGGGTATTTCGCTCTGGAAATAGTTTGTACTCCTCATATAATTCTTCCAGCTTTTGAGCGATTTCAGAGATTGTTAATCCAGATTCAAATAATTAATTTAACTCTTTGATTCAAAATATACTCATTACTCTCATTGAATGGATTGCTTTCGTAATTGTGATTGCTATTTGTTATAATCCTTTTCTTTTTGAAGATCTCTTCCCTCGCAGATTTTTAAATGGAATTTCTAAAATACTCCCTCTTTAATTTAAGCATTAATTATTATAATGAATATTTCATTCAATGATTTGAAATTTGTACAACAAATAGGCCAGACCCTTAATCTTGAAGAGAGGTACTCAATTTTATTCATACAACCAGAATGAGGATACAATTGGCAATCCTTAAGATCCAGGAACATTATGTTTTTGATGAAGTTCTATTTTGGGGCAGAGTTGAGGGAGTCGAAAAGGACTATTACATAGCTCTTGGAATTCAATATAAGGGCCAGTACGACTTCCCATTGAAAAAATTCTTTTGGAGGTACAAAAACATCCATTTTTTAATAAAGTTCCAATAATTATCATTTTGCCGAATTACCAAAATATAATGAAGAATTTGCACAAAGAGCTGAAACCTTAAGAGAGCCCTTTACAGGATAGCATGAACACATAGTATTTAGAACAGATGAAGAAATTAATTTTGAGGACTCACTAGAAATTCCTGCGTAACTGCCAGCTAAAAATTTCTCAGAATTGGAGAGACTATCCTATGTAGTTTAATCAATTGAATTTCAATGTGCCTCAATTCCAGTGGGCTCATACAGATTGACTCCAACCCATGAATTAATCAAGACAACATTCAAGGGAGTCACTGCAGAATTGAAAAATTACTAGCATTTCAGATAACCCATCAGAAAGGATAAGCAAGATCTCATAGGTTTGCCATATTGATATCCTTTATAGCTCGTGATGAAGCACTATATAGACCTGACTTCTTAGATTCTTTAGTTGACGATACACCTTATAATTAATGGTCTGTTCAGACTGACTCCACTAAAAGAAATGTAAATCACAATTTAATTTGTAGATCACAATTAGAAACTTAATTTGGCCAGGATATTTAAGTTACAATAATGACTATACATTTGGATATGCTTATTTTGGGGATGGGATTAAAAATTCGGATTTTGAATTTTTATTATGATTTCCAACATATAATATATTTTGTTATGTGTTTTATTATTATTATTATTATATAGGTCAATGTCCTAAACATTGATTGATTGCTTCTGAAGCATGTAAATTTACCTATTAAGCAACATAATCATAATAGGCTCTTGATCTGTGTGTGTAAAATCCATAGACTTATGAACCAAATATCATTGATCCAACGAATCTAACATATTTACTAAAATTACCTTGGTCCTGTTCTTAAGTATGTAAATCTTCTTAACACAAAGTATGATAAAACTGCTGTTCCCAATCCAAATTTAAATCCAGTGCTCTCCTCCTATTATAAATCCAAGAAGGCAGTCTTGATATTTTGAACATCGTGAATGTCATATTAGAAATCTTTTTCTGCACTCATTATTAATAAATATATATATTAATGTAAATACTCTAAAATTAATAATCACTATAAAATATAAATGTGTCCTCAAACCCAAGAGATAATAACTAAAACTAAGTGGCGAAGTACATATTATCTGTTTATGCTTAAATTGTAGGATTCCCATAGGTATAAAGGTTAAAATTAATCAATCCAAAAGTAAAGATACTCCCTTCTCAATATTTCAGTCAAGATAAAAGCCATAATCTACTTAAAGTAGAATTCTAAATTAGTAAGTCTCACAATATCAATCCTCTTTTTTATGATAATATAAAAATAATCTAAAATTAGATTTGATTCTTTTATTATTCCTATTAGTATAAACCTTTTGTGTTTAATTCCTTTTAAATTCACTTAATTTCAATATCCTTATAGATTTCAATTTCTAATTTCATATTTGAGGGTTTAAGAGTAATGATTTCTTTTTCTGTGATGCTATGTTCTAAATGAGTTGTCGTTCAAATTTCTTAATGCCACCAAGATATGCATTTATTATAATTTATTAATATTTAGAATAATTTATAAATAGAAACATTATATCACATTTAAGCTTCATAATGTTGTTACATAAAATAATTGAAATACTGAGTTTTCATCAGGTTTTAGATGAACTTTCTATCTTATTCATCATTGTTGTAACTTAACAAAAATTCAATATACTCAAATTCCAAACCATTTTCAGCCTATTTTTATGTTTTAAACAATTACTATTACACCATCTACATTATAAGCTGGTAATCTGGAAATGATATAATCATTAATAATCTTTTTGAAACCCTAGAGAACCTCTTAACTTGTTCTTTGATCAATTTCATCAAAGTAAAACTTAATGACCTTCTTATCGTCAAATTTATTGAACTGTCTTTTACTTGGGCTAATTAATATATATAGCAAAAACATTACCTTTGATTACGCATCTGATTATAATTTTCAAGGGTTCCCTATATTTATTGCAAGAGCCCGCGAAAAGAAGGTATAGCTGTTCCTTCCAAAATGTTGCTAGCCTTACGTAGAAACTTATTTTCTTGATCTCCATCCAAAAATACGAACAAGTGATTAATGCAGTAATTAGTAAGTTCCAATGATTAGAAATCAATTTCTGGGAGATTGACCCCAATAATTATTGGAACTGGTGATTGAATCATTTCTAATAGTTGTTCAGGTACATTATAAATGATTGCTTGTGTCCATTCTAATGGGCGAATTAGGTGATGGAAAAAATGGCTATTTAGTGTCAAATATGATACACGATAGATGTTAAGATGCTACTATTTTAACACACAAATATAATTGAGACTTCAGACATCATCGCTAAGAATATGGTTAAGATTTCATTGTAATTTAAAACTTACAGGGTTACATTTGCACTCCACAATCGCAAATCAATATCCAAATTTAATTGATTTGGAATTTTATACTTGAGCAAACTAGCCAAGGTTGGGATTTCTAACATTTGATGTCCCTACATAGGTGTGATGGCTTAGATTTTATCCAAGAATTTAGTCAATTCATCTCGAAATTCCTAAATGATATTGAGTTATAACATACAAGTATGATTTATTAGCCATCAATTTCTTTCGGAATTTCATTTTCTTCTTAAATATTCATCATCCATCTATTTGATCTATTGAATTTAATTAATTCTAAATAATCTAAATGCTTAATTACAAATAATTGAAATGAGTAGATCTTGGAATAATTCATAAAATGGGAAGTAAGTCAAAAAGCAATACGTTTTCTTGTATTTCCAGAAAATTCTTTTCTCTCTGTTTTCAAAATTCGATACAATGTGATCAGGAGTGGTTTCAACGTAATCATCGACAGTTAGGTAAATTCCATAGAGCAGCTTTTCAGGGTTAGCCTGATACATTAAATTCTGATTAGTATACTCAACGAAATCTTAGGTGGTATCATGATTTTTAATGGCAAACACTGAAAATTTGTCCAATAATTCGTACTTATTACAGGAGTAAATGATTCTGAAATAATGAATTTAAATACTGTTTTAATCTTTCAACTGAATCATTGGTCTCTATTCTTTTAATTTGATTTCCAAAAGGATAAACAAAACCTTTGATAATCTCTTCTTATATAGAGCTAATGGAAAGTGGATGATAGGTACATATTTAACTAATCGCTTTTATACAAGATACTTGTAGGTAGAATCCCCTCTTTAATATTAGGGTCTTATTCAAATTCTCCGAATTCCTTCTTTTCGCAACCCAAGATATAAAATTGTTCATACAATTTCAAAGCAGGTTATTACACATCTTAAATATCTTCAATAGATTCAATGCAGGATTAATTTCCAACTGAGTTTATTTTTAGATCTTATCCTTCTACATGGTCGGTGTCGGTGATGGATGATTTATTACTCAAAAAATTGAGTTGCATAGATTTTCTTAACGAATTGTCCCCTTCTCCAATTTTTTGGCCCTAATAATATGGTTTGTTGTAATACAATTCTATTTGTTTTTTATGGAATTCCATCTGTGATTGCATCTTTTATCTAGATATTCGTTAAGCCCTAGAGATAAGTGGATGATTTTTTGACATTGCTATTGGGTGCACCGTGTAGTTGTTGATGATCAGGACTGACTTCAATTCTAAGATCGGGTTTTTTGGGTTATGTGTTATCTAACTTAGTCGGGGAGTCCTGACTGGTAATGGGATCATAGTCGGTGTTAAGAATTGAGCCAATATTGAGTTGGGAATCCTCTTTAGTGTTTAATTGTTCTAATTCTTTTTTATAGAATTCAGTTTATGTGTGAGTAGATTGGGTCTACACTACAGGTTAAGAAAGTAGACGGTTTATCAGATCTTTCAACTAAGTGTTGTCTTTCTCAAGGAGGAGATTTCTCTCCTACTCGAATTCTAATTTCTACATATTGGCAATTAGAATTACTCTTTTTAAGTCTGCGATGATTTTATCGACATCATCATTGTGCTATACTTTGGATTTGCTCAGTCCAGGGGGAGTTTGATGTGGTTTATCTTTGTCCTGTGTGGAGGGTTGAGAATGTTGCATAAAATAATTAAATAATCAAAATTATATGGATTAGCAATTATCTGGGGTGCTCATAAAGAGGGATAAATGGAAGGCTGAGAGTAAGGTGACGAAGTGTGAACATTGCGACAGACAATTCTACTATTTGTTTAGAACCAAACACCATTGTAGGAAATGTGGATTGGTATTTTGTTCGGAGTAACATTATCTATATATTATGGAATAGTTGTAGCAGCAACTTCATCGATGGCATTCATTTCGCATAAAACACAGAGAAGAAAGTAAGATTGTGTGGAGTTTGTTATGATTAAGTATTAAAATTGTTGAAAGCATAAGGATACAAATTAGAAAATGCATTTGAAACCAGAGTGGTCAGTGTGTCTATTGACAAGGGGTAATTGAATTTATCGAGAAGAGAATCGATACATAAATTGGATGATCAATCCTACTCTATCTCCAGATCACAAACCACTCAAGTGACTGAAGAATAGGAGGATAACATGAATAATGATTAGGAATTCAATCCTGAGATCATTTAGGTGAGTATACAAAGTTATTTTCCCCCTGAAGAGTAGAACAAAAATAAGGAATCTGAATTATTGAAATCCTAATTGTCACTCCTGAAAGAAAAGTGTTATTCTTAAATGGAAAATATTTGTGATCATAGTTTAAAGATCTTCATTCAACCTCAACGCAATCACGACAACCACTTCGAAGGACTCAAATCAACGACATTTGAATTTGTGAAGCGAGCAGTTGAGGACATTTAGTTTTCATCTCTCAACTCCGACCCATTGGACATCACTTGCTATGTGAAAACCAAGTTGCTCCCATACAAGGATTACTCATTGACTTGTTACTTCCCAGGAATTGTTATCAGAAAGAACATTGCGTTGAAGAGAATGTAAACTGAACTCTACAAACCTCGTATTTTGATTATCCATGGGAATCTGGATTTCATAGAAGAGACTTAACAATTTGATGATTTCATATTGAAAGAAAAAAGAGTGCTCCAAGATTACATCGAGAAAATTAAAGAGAACTTCAAGCCTACCATTATCATCGTTGAGAAATCAGTCAGTAAAGTGGCATTGGATATTTGTTGCAAATTCAACATCACAGTTGTTCAGAATGTGAAGATCCATCAATTAAGAAAGATAGCCAAATGCACAGGTTCTAAATTTGTGCGTCTAGACAAATTGGATGGCTATATACAGAAGGAGACATAGGTGACTGGGAATTGTGAGAAGATTTTCTTTCGCAATTTCCCAAGGCCAACTCTTGACAAATAGGATGTAAGTGGAAAGGATAATACACTGATGTTCATTGAAACAAAGGACGGCAAGAATGGAGTGACAATTATGTTATCAGGACCACAGGAAGATTTACTATAAAAATGGAAATAGTGCATTGTTGGATGCATGAGATTGGGCAAACACTTCGATGTGGAAAGATACATAATAGTGTGTGAGTAGAAATTAAGATAAAATAAACAATTCAATTTTTGTGTGGGTGATTTTACAAAGTTTTTACATGAAAAGGTGAATCTCAAAGAAGTCATCAAACCTGATCTAGCTTATGTAAAAATTAATTATGCTAGAGCAGACATTCACAACTTTAATGATATCAAGGACATGAATGCCCTATTGGCTTATTAAAAAGAGTTTCCACCTCAGAAGGATAAGGTGGTTGACTTCTTTGCTGATATGTGCAACATGCCAACTGAGAAACCCAAGGCTTATTATCAATCAAATGATGATATGTCCATAGGTGCATTCATCATTCTCAAAGTGGCTAATCTGCAATTCAGATGCGAATATTGTAAATTGCCCCGGAATAGTCATGTTTCCATCTATTACAATGCTGGCAGATATGTGAAATTCAGTGTGGATGGGTCGATGAATCAAATCAAATAGATAGTGTTGCAGAAGGAATAATCGCAAGTTCAGCAGAGTGATGAGAATAGAACATTTCTATTGAAAGACTTGCCAAGCATCATCAAACAGAATCATTCCAATGAAAAGATATAGATTGAAACTTACTTCGAATGCAATCTCTGCATGCAACAACTAACAGATAGGGTCATCTTGAGTTAGAAATACTTGGAGTACTCCTTCTTAAGATTCTTGTAGCAATTGTTCCTCACTCAAAACAATAGTACAAATCAATTTCAGAATGCAACATCATGCAATCACACTCAAGTGTAAAGAGTCTACTCCTATTACGGGTATCAGATGAAAGTGATGGTGGGGGAATTCGATGTCTATCAAACTACCTTGTTGAATTTCTCTGATAGTTCATTAAGTGATCATCTAAAAATTTGGGAGTAGAACTACATCAGACAACACAGAGATGAATTGATGAATAAGTTGAATACCTTTGGAATTACATTGATCAATCTCATACCCAAATCATTAGCCAAAGGCGAGATTGATTTACTCATCAAATCAATTAAACAACTCAAGGAGGAATGCGAGAAGATACTGGCTGAAACACAATACACATCAATCTTTTAAGTTCTCAAGTAGTCCCAAGACTTTGGACTCCAGTACAAGAACATCATGCAAAGTATCCAAGAACACAAGAAGAAGAAGGAATTGAATCCAGATTTTAAAAATATCATACAGAATGCTGCTGTGAATTTGAAGAATCAAGATTCCATCTTAACCAATAACACCAATACCATCAAGACTACTTATGAATTAGAGAAGGTTGATTCTGGAAACAATTTAAATGAAGTCAAGCAGTATCATTCGAATTAAGAATTAGAAGAACACCATCTCCAATCAGGATAAAAACATTCATTATAAGAAATTGAAGAAACAAATCATAGAGAAAGTTCAGGAAAGAATGATTTGAGTGATCTTATCATACCACCCAATTTTTCATCTGACGCTGACATCCAATAGTCACCTCTATTTGTTAGAAATCACAGAAGAAATGGATCTGAGATTCAAAACAACTACGTCATTAATTTAGTTGATGCCAATCAAGGGTTACAACAATCCATTCAAAAAACTCATCATGATTCCAATAAAGACCTTGACAATGTGAATATTAACCAATCTAACAATTTCATCCCTGCTGTCGATGTCAATTAGAATAATAACTTCTAAAAAGAATGGAATATAAGTTCCTTCCTTGCAGAATAATAGAAATTGATCAAGTCTCAGATGATTTATGTAAATGTTTATTCTTTACTCTAGGAATTTGTTCCAATCTACGAGAATCAGCCCTTATCCTATTTATCGTTCACACTCAATCACCCCAAATACATCAATGAAATTTATCAAAAAGAAAGTAATTATGCCCATTATTAACTTAAGATTTTGGCATGATTGAGTCTGTTCAAAAATCATCTGAGTAGGCTAAACTGTTCTTCTAATAATTATTATCCCCCAAGGAACAGAAGTAAGAAGTTGAAAACATCAGATACATGAGTGTTGATTTAGGTAACAATAATTTAAATCAATAATAAATATATTAGAAATAGGATAATAGGGACATCTTTGTATTGAAAATCAATTACGATGTTGAAAAAAAGAATGAAAAATCAAATACTTTGATAATGCAATAACAATAAATCTAAAACAACCTATCCTCTCAATTTGATGATGCTCAAACACTATAAGAAAAATCATTACCATTAAATAATCCTTAATAATTTGTACCCACTGCCCAAGCTAGAAAAAACAAGTGGATTGAAGTGTTAATCTACTTTCCTACTCAATTTGAAGCTCTTAGATTACTTGCAGGAATCACCTTAGCTTAATTCATCAAATCCATCTCATCCACTAATATTTGGAGTGCATCTGGAGGTAAGTCTCAGTCTAAATTCTACAAATCCAATGACGAGCTATTTGTATTCAAAAAATTAGAATAAGACAAAGAGTTTATGATGTTTAAACAATTTGCCCTAGACTATTTCAAACACATGTACAGACACTTTTATGAATCCAAACCCTCTCTATTAAGCAAAATCTTTGGAATGTTTGAAATTAGAGACAGAGGACAAACCGAGTACTTTTTAGTCATGGAAAATCTGTATTTCGGAATGGGTGATCCCTCTAATCTCCTGGTGTATGATCTCAAAGGAAGTGAAACCAATAGACTAGAGAAAAAGAAGAAAGGAGTTCTTTTAGATACGAATTTCAGAATTGACAGAAATTCAGAACCCATACCTATTCTCAAGGAAAATTACAGATACAACGACAGAGCATTCCAAGTACTCATTTCATTCTTATTGTAGATCGATTGTAAATTCCTAAATAAGCAAAATGTTATTGATTATTCATTATTATTGATCATCGACTAAAAGTAAAAGAAATTGAGGATGGGTATCATTGATTATCTAAGATTTTACACTTGGGACAAGGAAACCGAACATTATTTAAAATATTTATTAAAAGGAGGAATGGTATTGCTTTGAACTAATAGTTTATAGGTGCCCACCATTGTTAATCCTGGAGATTATAAAAAAAGGTTCATTAATGCAATATTAAAATATTTTATACCAGTGTGAATAAATAAATTATTAATACTTTTCTTTTCAATAATATTAGTAAAATTTGTCAACATATCTGATATTTTAACCCATTCTGCTGCCGATTTCATTATCAATAACATATTATTGACATCAACCATGATTCACTTCTACCTTCTTTTGCCTGTTTGTCTGATCCTTTATTTTCAACATACTTGAGCTTTATAAAATAGATATTCAATAATACTTTAGTTATCTAACCTATTACATAAGGTTTTTCAATATAATCTCGTTTAGTTACCAACTTAGATAGAAAGTAGTAATTGAAAACATTTATATTAATATTATAAAATCAATTACTTGCTTTTTAATATAAAATATATGACTCTATTCATTTTTCTGGCCTGATTAGATCGTAATTTAACTTTTCTCGAATCAAGAATAAGCAAAAATTGAAAAAATTACAATAGAATTTTTTTTAATATATTTCACAAATTTCTAAAACCACCATCTTTTTTAATTTCTAAAGTGAGGACAATAGCACTCTAATTATTCATTTAGCAATATTCGTTAAGTAATTGATTTGGATTTAACCTAATCCGGTCATAAACCAAAGTTATTGCTTCTTAAGGCATTTCAAGTAAGCTTGAGAGGTTTTCTATTATTGTTTGAATTTCAACAGTGGATTCGCAATTTATAACGTAATTTTTGCTCTTTTCTGGATATTCAATCATAATTTATATCATATCTTGCTCACCTTTATCTGTAATTTTCTAATCACTCATGTTTTTTTGTATTCAAGTAATAATTGTTAATTATTATTAACAAAATAATATAAGTGTATTGGTTAAGTACGACAAAACTTCAAAATTTAATCTTGATTCAGAAACAAGAAGATCCAGCAAATGATTAGCTTGATTTATATATTATAATCCTATAAAAGTTCGAATTAAATAAATTGGTGAAAATTAGAAAACTTAAGTTTGGAAGGTTATGTTAACTTTTATTCAATTATACATATCTATTGAAATGGAAAGATACAACTAAATCATATATTTATTGTTATAGAATACCAAGAATTTATACTTAAGAATATCAAGGTATTTATAATAACTACTATTATGTAAATATCGTTGTCGGCCATACTAAGCCTAAAGCACCGGATCCCATTCGAACTCCGAAGTTAAGCGGCTTAAGGCGAGGTTAGTACTAAGGTGGGGGACCGCTTGGGAAGTCCTCGTGTTGACAACCCTTTTTTTTATTTATTTATTATTTCATAATTATTTAATTTTTTTAATTAAATCGGAATTAATTCAATTTTTATTACAAATTTTAAATCCAAATATAAGACAAAATATTTATAATTTAACTAAATTCTTTATGAATAGGTCTTATCGGTCACTTTCAGACAAATAAATATGTAGAGTCTCCATATTTCTCAATTTAAGTGTTATATTATATTAAATATTTAACCATTATACTCTTTATCTTTTGTCTAATAATAATATTTGATTGTTATTAATCTTTTTCTATTATGCTTCTAGTAACAGCAAATTTTCAATGATCATGTTCTTCTGTTTATACATTGACCAATAAGAATTATTCAGCTCTTTTTATATAAAGAAATCTATAATATTATTAGAATACTATACATATTCTTGCAATTCTTCTTTATACTGTTAGCCTTACTAATTTCATAATTTATTATTCGAGATTTTATCTCTATTTCTTCGACTGTTTTGCTTGATTGAAATCCAGCCATAATCTCAATTTACATATAAGTACCCTTGCCAATAGTAGTCTTTATGCACTATTTTAATTTGAATTGGGAATCTGTTGCCGAGAATAACCAATTTTGCTAAAGATTTTCTGAACATAAGATTGTTTAATAATAATCACTTTTTTCCTATTTCTATTAAGATACTTCTCATTTTTAATAATTCTAAGGATACTCCTTTTCTTCCATTAATCTCTCAAACTTTTATATTACATCTATTATTAATCCCATAAGTTCAATTTTAATTTTCTCCTATGATTTGACAGGTCCTATTTGAAGTGGACAACCTGTATACCCTCAAATGTAAATAAATTATGACTTTCCTAGATTTGTTGATTCTTATTTTCGTTCATTTCAATAAATTAAAATTTTTCATGTTAATTTATTGTTAAAATTAGTTTAGTTTAGGATGAAGCATACAATAAAACAAACATTTAATATTTTATTAAATAATAATTGAGTCAACAGCATCTTGAAACCAATCCACAAGATAACATATAATAATAAGCGAAATAATTGAGTATTTATTATTTTTTGTTTATTAAATTTGCAAGAAAAATCTTGAGAAGTATTCCATTATATTATAAATTGAGAAATGCGAAAAAATGTCGTACTAGATATGAACAAACCCTTAAAATATCCATCTAATGATGCATCTGTTTGCTGGCCATCTTTTTAATCCTGCAATTTCAGCTCTCTGCCATTAAACAATTCCGCTGAGAGCAATCCTCATATGCCACTAAGCAAGTTTAGTGACTCTGAAAGCGAAAACAATCGTGTTCCCAAAAAATTAGAAAAACTTTGCTCCAATCATTGCTACAGTAAGGAAGAAAATCGAAAATCTCTTCTTATCCAATATGAAAAGTTCTGGTATTCAAAAATTATTTTATCCAACATAATAAACCTTACACTCTTAGGTTTTGCCTTCTATTTACCTTACCTTTACTTCGAGAACTCTATGTAATTAGATTATGATAATTTCTAGTGAATCAAACCCATTGCATTTTTCAATTCTTCTTTTTTTATTGATTTTGGAATTGTATACTCAATTCATCAAATTACTTTGCAAATTTCTGAAAGACTAGACCTTTTCGGTATCATTACTTAATATTACAATCTTACTAACCTATACAATCTGTCTAAAAACAAACAATATCATTTTATTTACTATTTTATATTTCCTGATATTCTTAAGAATTTTGAAATTTATTTAAAAAATGCTAAGTTTAATCTTATTTTTTAATTATTAGTAACACAATATATTTATGAATTAGGTAAATTATTATCACAAAGATAATTGTCGTAACATTATTCCAGATACACTACTTCGCATGTGTTTGGGGAGTATAACTAAAAATGACAAGTTAAGAAGACTTTATTTATTTAGAATGCTTTTATAAATCATTTCTTATGTTTTATTTAAATATTAATCAAATAGAAAATTAAAATCATTTATTGATAATAATCCATTTGACGATTAGCATAATAACACTTATTTTTGTATTTATAATTTTTTAATAATCCCAATAACAATTGTCAAAATATGAATTGGCTTTAAAAAATTATCAATTATTCTTAAAATGCAACACGTTAGAATTTAAAGTCAAATTACTCTTGTTTCATTATTCAGCACTGTTTTTATAATTAGAAAATCAATTGAATGCCAAAGATGATATAAAGAAAAAGTATTTGCTTGAATATTTAAAAATGAAATTGGTAAGTCAAGAGCTAGGACAATTTAATTTTCTATCTTAAGCTGCTTTAAACGAAATCAGTGTAAAAGGAGTGTTTGGATAGAATTTGAAAAAATAAGTATTTTAAATTTATAATTTTGAAGAATCAATAAGCTGAGATTAATGGATTATACATTATATTGGTTGGAATTGTCAATATAGAATTTATGGGGATTAAACTTTAGGCTGAGAGACGGAAGATTATTAATTTGTGTTTAATTGAAATGATGAACGATCAAAAATAGGGAAGAGTCCAATTCGAATAAGCTGATAACAATGATATTTTGTACTTTTTTATTGATCAAGAGTAATTCAATGGTTGTTTACAACAATAATTTGAGAAGGTAATTAACAATATAATAATATTAAGGAGAAGTATTAAATGATAAAGGAAGATATTATCTTTAATAATAACACTAAGTAATTGAATTTCCAATGTCACTTTTGTAAATAATTTCATCCAACTTTTAATTGTGTTTGTCTGAATATTAAAGGAAGATTCACTTATGATAAAACCAATTAGGAGAGAGGTCCTATGTTTAAGAGGAAGAATAACAATAGAACTAAGGCAGCCATCTATTAATAAGTAATTTATGACTGGAGCTTAGATAACTCACTAGGGAACGAGCAATTACAATGTATTTGAAATGAATTCAGACAGTTTCGAAGCCTTTTCGGATTTTTCGAGTGATAAATTAAGTTTGTCGAATTAGCATATGCATCATGAATTGATTGGTAAGCAGACCTCCATAAGTCAGATTCAGAAAGATATGCTGTAAATAGATATTATTTCAGATAAGATTACTGACCCTATCATAAGCAGTACTTTTATCAAGCACTTTCAAGTTCATGAATCGACTCAAAAGCATCATGCAGAAATGATTCAGGCTGGATTTTAAGAGCTCGATGTGCTTATGGATGTTGACAAATTTTGGGAATATGAACATTACAACATTAATTTCAACTTAAATAATGTGATTCAGAAATTAAATAAATAGAAATTTTTTGAAAATTTTTTATAATAATAATGATTTTCAATTTTTGTAAATATAAAATAATAAAAAATGTCTCATCGATTGCTTCACAAATTTTAAAACAAATCAGTTCAACAGATAGTTTAAGAATTGATGTATGATGAATACTTAGAAAGAGATAACATGTTAAGAAATGCCTTCAATTCGTCTCCTTTGAAGGCTGTGAAGAAAAAAATAGTATTTCCTAAGAATACATCCAATTTATAACCATCATCTAGTTTGATTACTTAACAGAGTTATCAATGCAAAATCATTGGAGTAGTGGCTTGTTAAAAGAAGAAACACCAGGAAGCGAACAACGATGTGTCAGTAAATAAGTTATGCATTTTAGTCCAAAGAATGTTAAGAAGGCAAGTAAGCCCAAAGAATTGAGGGGATTGTCGATATCGATATCTGATCATTTGGATAATGTGGTGAGGGAGAAGAGCATTTTGCCTCGGATTCAAAGGCAGACTCAGAAGAGCTCGGCTTTTAAAGAGGATGATTTTGAAGGGTATAGGTTGTAATCGGAAGAGATGACCCTAGAAATCGATGAATATATGAGGATGAAGAGGGATAAGGACTCTTTTTAATTGCCTAATATTTACTCAAGAAATTAATGATTATTTTTATTATAATCTCCTTATGATGCGATTTAATAATATTTATTGTAATAATATATTTTATTATAAGTTGTTTGGAGAGTCACCATCAAAATGTATGACTGACCTACTTTAAGGCGGCTATGTATAAATTAATTAAATAAAAATTAGAATTATAATTTAAAATAAAAAAAGGGGAACGAATGTCCAAAAAGAAAAAGGGCTTGTATTTCATTGAATAGATTCTCGATTATCAACAATATAATGGATAAAAATATTATCTTGTTAAATGGTAGGGATATAACAACAGAGATTGTACCTGGGAGAAACCAGAGAAGATTCCCAATTTGCCTTATTTCTTGAGTGAATACGAATAGAACGTCAAAAATTTGGGATCCAACTTCTATCACGTTGAAAACGATGAACCACCCATGCTAGAAGATTTTATCGGAGTGCCAAGTCAATAAAAAAAATCTGTATTGCAATAATAATAAGAATAAATAAAGAAACTTCAAGATTAAGTGAGCATATTAAAGCAAGAATTAAACCAAGTTAAAAAACAGCAGGAAGACATTTTGTAGTTGGTGTAGACTCTTCCCTCCGAAAAGAAACCGCTCTAGCCAAATTAATAACAGGATTCTGAGAATATCTAGGATTCAATTTCCGAATTATCTCAAAAGAATACTGAGGTCAAGTAACCCAATGAGGGAGGGTTCGAATATGGTGATCAATTGGATAAAATCGGATAGGCTGCATAGATCAAATAAACAGGCATCAAAATGTATTATTTGTTATGGCAAAAGCGGCCTAATGGTACTACTAAAATCAATATATTAGGAATAATTCCAAAAAATCGATGGGTGAACAGTGAGTATCTATAAAAATATGATATCAAATCATTGTGTTACTATCTATAAAAAAAATTATTATGAATTTATGTTTATTTCAATAAATATTTAATCAAACAGATAGACTAAGCTTATAACTCTGAAATCTTTATTAAAATAGAAAAGATATCAAAAATATGAATTACTTTATTTAATTTATTACAAATGAACAATATTGTATAGATGTTCAATATATTGGATGGATACCAATAGAATGCATTTGATCTACATCTAGACAAAATGCAAGATATGTAGCCTAAATTACTGTAATATATAAATTAATTAACAGTTCTTCTATGTGATTAAACTATGTTGTAAATTTCTTATGTTATCAGGATATCATAAAGTTTCATTATTTAGATTCTAGAATAAAATGATATCTATGGTTTCATCATACACAAGTTGATTCCTGTAAATTGTATTTTTTCAATAGGAATGACTTGAATAGTTTAGGTAGATGGAAAGTCAATCTTCAATTAATAATGTCGTGATAGAGAACTTATGAATGAATAAAATTTATATTAATCAAGAAGTTGATTTAATTTATATACAATCACTAATGCTGTCGATAAATAATCTTGCCAGAATAAATTGCAAACCAAAAATTTGCCATGAATTCGTAATAATTAGAGCTTTCTAATTAGATTCACATATCAAACAGAATATCAACTATAATTTTAAGCTTAATTTCTTTCAATTCGTGCAACGATATAAGAATCAAGAACTCAAATTTATTATTATTCTTTAAATATTTCAGATAGTATTTAAGAAAGCGGGATGTATAAATAATGAAATGAATTGTAAATATCGTTGTCGGCCATACTAAGCCTAAAGCACCGGATTCCATTCGAACTCCGAAGTTAAGCGGCTTAAGGCGAGGTTAGTACTAAGGTGGGGGACCGCTTGGGAAGTCCTCGTGTTGACAACCCTTTTTTTATTTATTTATTATTTCATAATTATTTAATTACATTATTAAGTCATAATGAATATACATTTTTAGCTTTAGCATATAATTATAATATAGCATTTGATACAAATAATTATACATTCAAATTTAAATAATTAGATTCATTTTAGTTCAATTGGAGAGATAAGGCCATAAAACATGATGTTAGAGGCTGTTATTACACTATATGTTTCCAATTAAAACTAAAAATATATTTAAATTATTTACCCTTCCTTTTAAAATTTATAATGTCACCATCACCAGTGTCGTTCCATACAAAAAGGCCACAATAGAATTGACAAATAACCAGTAATCAAATACCAAGGGCAGTAGACTAAAAACACAGCATAAGGCAATGGCGACTAAATTATTATCATGTATTTACCTAGAGGAAGAATTCTTTGCTTTTCAATTGCTATGTAAATGAACAGAGTCAAGGTGATTAAAATATTAAATAGAAACTGTTGTAAGGCAAATTAAGTAACTAAATCGGCAGCTAGCAAATATTATAAATATATTGCTTACTAGTAAGTTAAATCCCATTTGAAACGTGAATTCTTTCGTTGCTGAAGGATCTGCAAAACGTCAAATAGGTCTAGGTAGTAAAATACACTTGAAACAACAATATCACGCAATTCTAAGGATACTATGGAATATAATTATTTGAATCTACCTGTCTAGAGAATTTGACAGTTCCAAATTTAGCCATTCCATACATCAAAATTACTGATATGTGAAATAAGTAAGGAGATATTAGGTCAATAAAGGTGGGCATTTCCCCTTTTTGAAGGGCATATAGGACAAAGAACTGAAATAATGACCAGATTATAAAAGTCAATAAGACTTTCAATAGGCACCTCTTTTACAATTTGAAATTTTATTAATGGATTAGGCCTGAAGCAGTATTATTTTGTATGTTATCCTGGTCTTAACTCATTGCTGGTTCTTGCTGAGCTGAATTTATTTCAACTAATTGATGTGTTAGACTTTGTTGGAGGTTTTGATCTTAATTTGAAAATTGAAAAGCACTTTTTTAAGGGCAAGATATCAATTGTTATCGAGAATGGTAAAGCTTATTTCCCATTAAATAATATTTAATGATATTCCATATTAATAAAATGAGTTACTATATGATGAATTACAAGATATATATGAGATTCCAAGACTATTTATTTTATACTTCTTTTTTGAATAGGTAAAACAGAAGGGAATAGGAGATGTGACAGCATTTCATTATAGAGATTTGAGTTTTGTAGAATCAATATTTTTTTTCATATTATAAACAGAATTTATACAATTTAATGAAATTCAAAAATATTATAAATTATTTTCTTAATAATGGTTAATAGAAATATAAATTTATAATACTAGACTGAAGAGTCTTGAATGTTTTATTATTGAATTTCTATTATTGTAGATATTTTTCTCTATCATTTAACATTCATATGCAATTAATATATTTATATTAATTAATATTTATTTTAGGATAAAAATTAGAAATAACTCAATGAATTAAGCTATTACAGTGATCATAACATTTGCACAGAAAAACAAAGTTTATAACATAGAAATAGATCCATTAACAAAAGTCTAAGAGTTAATCAATGAATTTCATGAAATGCTCCATCCAGCAGGAAATGAGAAGATATAATTAAAGTATTAAGGAACACAACTAAGACCAAACCAAACATTTGAAGAGCAAGGAGTAAGAAAAGGAACTTAAATTGAACTGCTGGTTGAAACCTAGGGTGGTCTCTGATTTATCAATTAAACGATGATTATTGTATTGTTAATTAATATTATAATGCAAAGAAAATAAGTACAACTCATCTTCGTTAATTCATCTTTGTTCATTCATCTTACACTCAACCAATTTAGAGATTCTACAATCATTCTATTACTTTATTTAAATTATTAATAACAGCACATATATTACAATAAAAATTCTACTCATAGGAATCTTTATCAAAGGTTTTCGTTAAGTAAATTAAGTAATCTGCGAAGAATAGAATGTATTAAGGAGAACCATGGTTTTTAAATAAGTATTTGAGAGTGAAGATAATGTTAATTTCTATTAAAAAATTCTTCAATTAATATAATAATCTTGGATTGATGATAAACACCAAACGAAGTATATTGTATAAATAGGAGTGCAATACAATAACCCCTGAAAGGGAATTTGAGTGAAAGCAAGGAATAAGCATGTGACTAAAATAAGATAATTAAATGCTCATCGTTTTTTTGAATTCATGCTGATTTAAGTCACAATAAAGGAATAAATAGAACATATAAAAGGTGTATTATGTACCGCAGCAGAATATGAAGGAGATTAAGTTCATCAAAACATATTATAAATTATTTACTTCATTGTTGTTTAATACTATAAATTAAATCTATTAATGCAAATCACGCTGACTGTAAATACCACCAGGAGTATTGTAATAACAGAAGATACATTTAATTAATTGATGCTTAATATGGGAGGTAAATTATCATTTAAAATTAAAAATGAATAATTCCAACTATCTAAATACAGATTTTAATCTCAATGGATTTGATATTATGTTTAGCATACCCATAATATCTTAATATATTGCTTTAGTATTATTATAATTTCTATTCAATAAAGCTTTCAAATAAGTAGTATTTATAGTTAAACCCATTTTGTTATTCAAATATTATCTTTTTTTTCTATATTGATGTATATGGTTCTCATTTAAACATGGAGACTTTATGAATAGATATTTGTTATATAGTATTTGAGCACTTTCACATAGGATCGTTTCCTTTAAATGTGTAAACAATTATCAAACTACTTTAGAAATTCCTTCTCAAATTCATGGAGCTATAAAGATAATACAGTGGATTATTAATAATTGATAATTAGATTGCAATAACAATTGATGGATAGAATTATAATTCAATATCTAGATTTAGTTTTTGCTTAAATATTAGCAAATTGGGACAATTTTTTAAGTTATTCTGGCTGAGATTGCATTAATTGATTCTTTTTGATCGTTTCCTTTAGTAGTTTGCTTGATTTGGTTTCTACTGAAATTCTACTCTTTGCAGTTGATGGTCTGTTAGAATACGCTTCGGCTTATTTCTTCTCAGCTACTGCTCCGTAATCAAAAGCCAGAACATTTTTTATGGGAGAAGGAGTTCTGATTTTTAGAAATAACATTATACCTATTTTTTCTGCCGAACACTTGCTATTTAGGAATCTCAGTCATTTTTGGTTTACCTTAAACAACTTTTTATCTGATGTCATGTGATTATCTGAACTCTTAGAATTCTTTGGCTGTGCACAAATTATGTTTAATGCTCATTATATTTGTTTTTTTGAAATCCTTTTCTGGCCTAATATCCATAGAGGCAAAGTGTTGCATATGACACAATACTTCTCCCAGAGACTCTTCTTTTACAGCCACAGTTCTAGATCCAAATGCACAATCGGGAATTGGGTAGGTACTTGGTTTTGCTTTGCCAACATCATCCTTTACAATTAGAGGATTTGCTGAGAATTTTTGCCAAGGGTAAACAGTTTTATTTGACATAATGACTAAATATATTAATTACTAATTTTATTAATAAATAAACACAGATATATATATATTATTAATAACAACATTATTAATCTCAATATTTACATTCGAAAGCTCTCAGAAGAGAGATATTAAGGTTAAATAGAGTAATATAGAAAAAAAATCAGCTAATAACGATTTTAATGAAATTTATCAAGTGATTTTTATAAAAAACCAAATTATTTCGCTATAAAGATGGGTTGCTCAATAAAGAATATTTAAATTACAGATAACTAATCTAATTCTTCAGAGATTTCACAAGACTTGTAAGAGGTGGAAATATCTATACTTTCTATTCATAATGGAATAGAGTGCTTAAAGTTGAATATTTAACTTGAAAAATAAAATTATCCGGATGATATTATCATGAATGAAATCTCAGAACAAATGCCGTCAAATTGGAGTTCTTAAGAATCGAGTATTCAATCAGATCGTCCATCGATGAAATCCTGCTTAAAACAATTAAGCAGCAGTCTATCATTATCAAAACAAACACCTGAAAAAAAAGTTCATTTTCATGTTTCTAAGTCAAAATTTTCATAATAGAAGAAATAAAAAAAAAGAAGAAGGAAAACTGTCAACCGCCCTTAGAAATAAATTAATTTAGATGAAATATTTTGAAAATACATATTAGAACATTAATATCAATTTAGATATTTTTATTATATTATCTTAATTAACTATCAATTCAACAGAAAAATGTAGAAACTTTATATTAGATTAACAAATTTGGTTTATTGCCTCTATTTTTTAATCATAGACAATAAACTCCAATATTTTCGTGCAATGATTTTTAATAATTAAAATGTAAAATAATTATTTTGATAATAGTTCACCTTTAGAATAACCCTTATATATTTATAATTATAGAAAATTTTAATAATTTGTGACAAGTCGTATTAATTATTTTTATCAAATGTTATAAGATGCAAATTGGGTAAAATTAAATTTTTAATTTTTTGAAAAAAGCCTGATAACAACAAATTATATATATATTAAACAGATAATTTATTTCAATTACTTAATTATTAATATGCATCTGCTTCATTTAATTACACTAAATCTAATAAACCATATATGTGCAAGCATTCTCCTCCAATATTCGTGCTCTTAACATGTACTCACATAACCCAAGGACTTTTTTCATTAATATCAAAATCTTTGATACTGCCTCTTTATAATGACGGTAGTTTCTTTGGTTTAGAAGATAACAGAATAAAGATCTCCACTTTCAATAGTCAAAAGATATCAATAAGGTCTAATTACAATGATTAAACTTTTTAAAGATTAGCGACTTCCTTGACATATTCTTGAATTCCAATTTATTTGTGTTTATCAATGATGTGTACACTTCCAGCTAATGAACCCCTTGCGATGTTATTTTCATCATATTGACCCCAACTTACACAATGGATATCCTTCTTATGTAATTCTCTGTCTATACTTTATCTAAACTCCAACATTTCCCTCCTCCTATTCTCTAATCCCAAAATAATTTATCTGTTTTAACAATAAGATTCTAATTATTCTGATTAAGACATGTCTTCAAATTCTGCTTGATTCCCCTTCAAGACCGTTCTTCTTATCTAATTTAATTGAATCGTTTTACATATGCTGCTTAATTCTCTTGCTTGTGAATAAACGATTGATAATCATTAATATCCCACAATACAATTTTACAATCCTTGCCTCCGCTTCCTAATTTTTATTCTTATGACCAATCCAAAGCAGTTGAATGACCCTGTAGGTATATCTGCATGTGGGTCTTTTGTATTTTATTGTGCTTTTTTTTTGTGACAATCCACACAAGCACATTGCTATTGTAACTCTTCGTAGCAATTAATTTTTGAGTAGAATTGCATTTGATGATATTTACATCTCACCGATGAACAATTATTTGGCTTATTTTAAAATGAGAATTATTATAAAATTGCAATTGCTGGAACACAAAAGTAACTTAGTGATTTATGTGATATTTCACTTATGGGATGTCTGGATACTCATTTTAGATTACCTACAGTAGTCACGATTAATTGACAAAGCGTTTATTTCCATATATTGGTAAATTCATCATAAATTCCATCTGTTTTAATGGCAAAATATACTTTTTGTCTAGTGTATTTTTTGGATTCAATCACAATTAGTCCCCATTTCCAAGAAGTAACTGGCCAGTCTATGGCGTTTTATATGTGAGATCTGTAATGCAAGCCCTACAAATCTCAATTGTATTATTTAGGAGTTAAATTATTCATGTTGGATATCAATAATATTGAAATTTATATTTATTTTCCTTTGATTAGAAATATTAAGCATTTTCATGTTCAATTAGGCTTCTCGACATTTATTGTATATCTAACTGGGATGATGACTGTTTTTTGAATTGACTGAACACGTTGAGGTAATTAAGATGACTTTTCTTAAATTCGGATATTATAAATTAATTCTAAACAAACCATACTTCCCAAATCATTCTGTATTAATTAAACAAGATTTTTTACAAAATGGATTAAACTTACAAAAGAAGCAAACGAACATACATCAAGAGTTCTTTGTAAACCAGAAAACTTTTAGCTGAACTAGTCTTAATTTAAGGACTCAAAATAAAAAATGTAAGAATTTCTCTATCTCTATAAAGGCCGCTAAGAAATTACAGATCAAGTATGCAACTGCGAAATCGATCATCCTATATTACAGGTAGAATGTAATTAAGAAATAACAGAATTACAAACCAACAAAGCAATGTTCTTATGCTTCAATTAAAAGTGCTATTACTTATACTATTGTATCGAAATTAGCAGGGTAGCATGTAAATTCAAGATGTATTCACTTCTTAAACGTTACAGAATCTAAAAAATGAATAAATATATATTATAAATGAATTATTATTGGTGTGATTTTCATAGTAGAGGAAAACATCAAAAGTTGATTCCATAAGTAGAAGGTCCTTGAGTTTGTAATGTTATTTTAGTATTTAATGGTAAGTAATTTATTTCTTAAAATTTTAATGATAAATTCTAAAGGTCATTTTTATTTTATGTTATTTAGAAATCAGGATATCCGATTGGTGGATGAATCAAGTTTTTGGTCTTAAATTTCATAAGAATAATCTTAATTCAAAGTAAGTAATTAAAAAAGATTATAAAATTAATTGTAATTAAACTGTTCCTTATATATGTAAATCTTGGTTCATAGTAGTCATGCGGGAACAATAAAATAATATCAGAAGTATTTCTATTATTATATATTAAATTATACAATAATTTGTAATGGGTCATTGTACAAGTTAAATTTAACATAACAAATCTCCTCAAAAATAAAATCCGAAAACACTTTCAATGGGAACAATGAAATTCAATAGTGAGCTATTTAATATTAGATTGACTCATCCATCTAAGTCATGCTATCTTAAAATTGATATCGGTGGATATTTCAAATGCGATACTCCGAAGCATTTCGACTTAGAGGGCAAACATGGTGTAAGATTGCATAGTTATATAATAATAGTGGAAGAGAAAAATAACATTGCAATTAGAAGCGAGTGAATTATAATTGAAGGAAAAATATTTGGTTTTCTTTCTGTATGAGGATGATAAAGAACTGTCTCAATTGAGGATTGCCTTGTATGACATTATTCAGGGGCCTCAATTTTTTGATTACCAAATAGGTAAGGGCAGATTGTCGTTTAATATGATAATGGCTTAGATCCTTTAATTAGAGATAAACCCTTAAGATATGATATGCACAATGAACACATGCATATAAGAGAAATAATATGTATTCAATTTGAGGTTGGTGACTCGAAAGATGCAATTCCTCTCAGAAAATTCAGAGAAGTTTAATAACCCTGCTTTCATAAGAGGCAGAAGTGCATCATACAATAGCATTCAGGATGAGTTATTCAGAATACAATGGCTGAGCACAGAAATGCCTCGATTGATAGTGGAATTGCCAATGAATGAGATCTCAAGTTCTTCATTGTAGGTTTGCATTTGGAGTATAAATAAATCCTTAGAGGATCATTCCCCAACTCGAAAGTCTGTCAAATCTCTAAATTTTCATGTGGAATCAATAGAACAAGTGTTGTTTGCTGAATCGAACATCGCTCTAAATTATTTGCTATAGAATCAGGAGGAATAGATGGATGATCATAGTATTCACAGATGCAATATAACCAAAGGATTGTGGTTAAGAGGGAATAAGATCGGACAGATGCAATCAGACTTTAGGATTAAGATTCCGGTGTATTTGAAATAATAGATGATTGGGTTGAGAACGGAGAAGGGATGCACTATAGGGACAGGTATATTAGCAAATTAAAGCATAAAGGAAATTAGTGAAGTAGTAAATCACTTTGAGAAATTGAGTTAGGTAATGTTTAAATTATCATCCAACAATCAAGATTCATAAAAGTAGCAATTGATGACTGAATTGCAGAACTCGGCTTAGTAATTGTTGGTAGTGGTGAGTAAAAGTGATAAAGATTCACAATTGCGATAATTTTATTACAAGAGTTATGATGATTTGATGAAGGGCTAGGAGATATTCATAAAAATTGCAGAGAATCTCTTGAATTTTGTGGACAAAATAGAAGGTAATATTAGAGAGATCTATTATGACATTTTATTAATTGTATGCACTAGAGGTGAATTAAGTTTAGGGTCAATGGGATATTTTGATGATTGCAAATAATTAAATAAAAAGCAATTGAAGTTTAAGAGTCAAATCTGTTGTCATTTTTAATAATTTCTATATAACACATTAAACATTGCTTTATAAAAGATCTGTTTGAAAGCTATGTCTCCTAAAGAGAAGGCATTCGTTGAAAAATTCTTGGTGAGTTCATTTTTCAAAGTTCCTGAATTTAGGGAAGCCTTTGTTAATGCGCTGCAAAATCCAAATGATCCTGAATTATCGGAATGGCGTGGGACTGATTATTAATTAGATGACCCTGAGAATTTCAGAACTGAACAAATCACGGTGTTATTTGATTGGCAGAGTTACTTTTACAATTATTTGCCTTCTAATTTAAATATCAATGCTGTTACATTGACTTCAGATGAAGAATGGCGTAGGATCATTGCTAAAAGAAACACAACATTCTTCTTCCTTGTTTAAGCTTTATGTTTACATATCTAATAAAAGTTCTAAAAGGACATCATTCCGTGGAAGGATATTCCTGGATATCGAAAGATTTTGAAGACTCTATTGTGTGAATTAAAAATAAGGGAATCATATCCTGATGCTATGATCAATGCAATCACTCAGGTTGTTACTAATGGAGGTCCGTTGAATGTTATTATTATGATATTGTACAATAAAACTAAGTAAATACTTTGTAGTATATATATTAATAGCATTTTTTCGAGTGATAGAGTTGTCCATGTGATGGATTTGATAAGTTAATGTATATAGCAATGTTAAGCCATTCCAACTAACTTTGATTACCCATTTTTTTTGAATGGATTGAGAGTGGCAGTTACTCAAAGTGAAAACGCTTATGTGATCGCCAAGAGTTTGCACTTAATCTATAATAACTATTTAGTATTCCCATTAGAATTTAAAAAAGCCATCGTGGACTTTCTATTTGAAGGTCAGTGTTATGAATTGTTTTTGCATTGGTCTAAGACCGTTAGGAGTGTTTATATCAGTCTACTGATCTATCGAATTTATCATCTCCATAGAAATAACAAGATTCAAATTACAGATGAAAATTAATTTGACAAATAGTACTTCCAAATTACTAAACCAAAAAGATTGCAGAGTTATTACGAGAATAGAAAGGAGGAGACTCAATTGATGGTATCTGATTAATTATTTTTAGTTAGAGTGACTATATTTATTTGAAGTATTCTAGATTTATGATGAATATTGAATCAGCCAAAGCCAAATTCTTCAGTAAATCTTTAAATAAAGAATTGCCGTTGGTGTAAAGGATGAAGATGAAATTAGAATAAAAACTGAAAGTCGAAGGTTCATCTTTTAGAGATTTGGTCATTTGTGAAGAATAGAGCAAAAATCCAATCACTGAAATGGATAAAAGAATAATCTACGAGAGAAAGATAGAGTTCAGGAATCCAAACAAAAAGAAAACCATTATCCTCAATGATAGTCATATCAGATATCTTTCTACTGCTTTGACTGAATACAACGAAATGCAAAAACAATACACTAAATGGAGATAATAGAACATTGCCTCTGTTTAGGCTTCCATTCAAGGAATGACTGATGAAGAAAAAGCTGCAAAACTCACCTAGTTCCCAGTTCCACAAATAAAGCTCATGCAAACCTATGACATGAAGGAAGGCAAACAGGATTGACATTGTATTATGTTTTCACTAAATTATTTGATAATATTATGTTTAACATTTTCATTGGCATTTTTGGTCCCAATAATCAAATGTCACTGCAATATAATGTTATTATATTGCTTATTTGGTTAACTTTGATTTTACATCATGTTGACCGTACTAGTTGTTTCTAGTTTTGGTTAACATTGAATAAACATCTGATATTAAAACATTTTAAATAAATGACTAATATCTGCTAATGTATACAATTATCCCATGTTATTTGAACATCCCAAGCACCTTGGACACAATTGTGGATTAAATTGAACACCAGGTTAATTTGAATTACAAATAAATTACTATTCCTATTATTAAATAGTTCCCAATTATTCTTATTACTCATTCACGCCTAATAATAACTATTATTATTGATTAATCCCAAGCTGCCCATATTCCATTACAAATTTTTAGAAGGCTTCGCTTTAATATTAATACTATTGATGCAACAACTCTTAAGGGTTATATTAATTTTCATTTTTATTTGGTTCTTCCTTGACAAATACTTCCTCGGATACTTAGTTCTTTTTTTCATCCATATCTATATTTTCTTATTTCACATTAATCGATGTGCATTTCTTCACCTTAGACCGAGTCATTCTATCAGCAGCATCCAATTTCAAAGTCTTTAGTTAGGATTTCTTTATTTTAATAGAACTATTTATAAATTTATATTATTTGTTTTTCTTTTTCTTTTTATATTTTGTAATATTTAATGAATCTTAAGAATCTTCCTATTGGTCATCTTCATCAGATTCCTCTAGATCAGATTGATACTTTCTTTTTAGGTTGGCATAAAATCTATTTTTAACCATATTTTCCTAATAAATAAGTAAAGGATATTACAGGACGACCATTTAAAAAAGTGGAGATATAACTCCACTTAGTTCCAAACTTCTTGTATAGTCTCAAAATTATTTTATCCTCCTCATCAGTCCATTTCTCATTGTTAATATGTCCTTAGAGCTGATTTAGATAACGTTCTCTAACTTGCTTTCCAGTTCTCCAATTCATAACTGTGCATATCTTACTCCATTTTTTCCCATACTTCTGCACCAATTCCTTTAATTATTCATCCTCCTCTTGGGACCACAATTGTCTTTAAAGCGTCTTAAATCAAATAAAAAATATTACATTTTCTGGATGTAATGATTGCCATTTCATCATGCACTCAAGTGGGTTTGGTCCGTTTAAATACTTACTTATCGATTTCCAATTCCCCTATTGACAATCGTACTGTTCGTTCAGTTTCTCAACCTCTTCAGCCGTCCAAACATAATTACACTTTTTAGTTAATAAATTAGAACAAACCTCATAAATGCCTTCCGAATTAACTCTGCTTTTCATCTAGTTGGATGCAGCACTAATCTCAGATGTAATCATTTCTTTTTTAAAAAATATTACATAAAATCAAACTCGATATCACATTTAATACTAAGAAATGACAAATTATACTTTATTCCAATCTTTAATTTCTAATTACATACATGTATACAAACACAATCTACAATCATGCAACTCTAAACAGAATCATTCAAATAATAAATCATTAACGTAATATTTTCAATTCCCATTAAAATCATCTCAAATATTATTATATTTATATCAAAAAAGCTCCATAATTTCGTTTCCAAATTAAAGATAAGCTTAATTGGCTCTTTTAAAATCACTTCTTCTATCCCAAAATCAATAATACTTTTCAAACCTATTATAATCATTGACATCACCCTCCTCTTTGTGTCATTCTTTAAATGGCTAATTTGTTCACACTTCCTAAAGCCTTCTCCCCCTTCATACAAATCCGTCTATTGTATTAGAAAATGTAATTCTAACTTTTCATTTTCTTTCAAAAAATAGATTGCCAAAATTTTCATTATGTCATAATAATACTCTAATGTTTCTCGGGATAATTGAACCATTATTTGTATTTTATTCGAACATAACTCGCTGAATTATAGGTAACTTTGCACCATTTAACAAATTAGGTCTAACTCTAAACTCAATTTATAATACAAAACTTTTTAGAAGAATAGAAGCAATCTCAAAAAATGTCAACATTATAGAATATTAGATTTAGGTTAAAGATTTATACCTTTTAACAATCATCTATTACTACTATTTCTCTACCGTTATTAATTGTAATATACATATATTCATTATCATATATTAATATATAAAGCACTATATGATCAGCAACATTTAAGCAGCAGCGGTGACTTAGATTAAATTTATTGACAGCTCTCCACAAAAATATTGAAATAGATTTATGTTATCAATTGTTTAAATGTATGCTGTCCTGGTAGTGCACTTGTGTTCCCACCTTTCTTTAATTTAATTTAATTTTGTATTTTTTTCTAAATCCTCATTCTCAAGGACCATGGTATCAATAGTCTTATTGTCTTCCCCACTTGGTTTTTTTTATATTTAATGGCAAACAAAACCAAATGTCCTATGTAATATGTCCTTTCCCTCTTTTCTATTAATCTAAATTGTCTATCAATTATGGTTTAGTGTGGCAAATTTCTATGTTCCCTCCTCATCTTATTTTTCCTTTTTACAACTTACACTATCTAATATAAATATTCTTATTAACAATTTTAAATTTCTATTTCTTAAAATAAATCTTAATCCTCACTCAATAATAATGATATTCAATTTAACTGATTCTTACTTGTAGCTTTGTCTTACTAATCCTTCATACTACATCTTTATCTTAATTGCTCGTTGTTTGCTTATATTAATTGATATTAAATTATCAAACCTTATTTTATTTCATCTAAAAATTTATTATTTTTTAGTTTTACTTAAATTGAGTGGAATGATATTTATATCTTTCAGCTTAATTTTCTCATTCATTCCAAAACAATATTAAATTTGTATTATTATTCAAAATTTTCAGAAATGATAATTTCAATTCTGATGTTTAGCGTGAACACTAACTTTAGAAGTAATTAAAACTTTAATACAATTAATTCTAAGATTAAAAGAAAGAATAGATTATTTGAATAATTGAGTAAGACTGATTTGAGTAAATAAATTGATTTATTTAATTATTAAAATCTAAATTCAATATTAATATAGAAATTTTAAGATTTTTTTACATAAACTCAACTTAAGTGACAGGAATATTGGTGTTCTAGTGAATACTTAAAGTAATTGAAATAATGGAATGTTGAGCGCAAAGTGAAAGAAAAGCTGAAAAGTTAGCTTGTAGAAATCTTTATTTAAGATAATCAATTTTTGCAAAGCACTTAGTATTTTCTTTAAATTTGAATAATTCATTTTGAAATATTTAAGAAATTAGCAAGTAAGCCTATAATGGAATATTTTTGAAATTCGTTTATGGTTACTTAAATTTGATAAAAATCGAACTTGACACTATATTTAATCAAAAATATGGATTCAAAAGTTTGTGAAAGAGTAAGAAAATTTCTTTATTTATTAAATAATAATATATATTAATAATAACAAATCCATATAGACTTTTCTCATACAAGGAGTGATTTTAGAATTAGAACGCCATGAATCCAAAGTATTGAAATTATCAGAAATTTGAATCAGAAAAGAAAATCAAAAATATTTATTAAATTCATAAGTTCGCCAAAAATTTTGATTGGTTACTTTAACATCGGTTATTGTAATAATAAAAAGCTCGAAAATCTGTAAACAATAGAAGATATTATTGGGGATTCTTATTAATAATTATCAAAATATGAATAAATTCGAGGATTGATTTTTCTTTATAAATTAAAATCAGCCAAGTCTTATCTAATAATTTTTATTATTTTTCAATTTGGAAATCTTATATGAAACAAAGTACTTAATCTATTCTCAAGTTACGCCCCTACAAGAAAGTGCCTCAAGATAAAAAAAAGCAACTAGTTGAACTGGTATTTTAGAAAGATTGGAAAATTAAAAAGGTCTCTATTTATTATTTAGCAATAGGCTTCACTCTACCTCCATATCAATTACGCTACTGCTAAGAACGTCGTTCTGAAATATAGAAAGTTTTCCATTCAAAAAAAAACCTCAAAGCTTCCAGAATCCAAGAGATGCTAGTACAAACTAATTGGATTATCCAAATCAAGAATCTAAGTTATAAGTAGTAAGGGAGGAATACAATAAGGGGATGTATGATTTCAATATTTTATATATATATATATAAATTATAAATGGATCTCTATTTGCAGAATCTTTGTTGACACCTTCAATATTATAACATACCTAATTGAAATGACAAATTCACTCTTAAATTAAAAACCTAAGCTAAAGTAGTTACCGTAACTTCTCATTATAACTGAATATCTAATATGTAGAAACAATTTAGCCAGAAAAAGTTGTATATTCTCCTTAGGAAGATTAGCAATGTAAATAGCTATTTATGCTATTTAAATTGCTCCATATTAACTTTTTCTATTTTATAAATCATCATATTAATAAAATAGAAAAACTACATTGTTTATTCTTTAATTATAAATACGATTTAGATTAATTTGAAATAATCGTATTCTATTTTTAGATCAAATTCAAAAATAATAAGCCATTCATCTCGATCAATAAATGATTTAATACTGATATTGATGATGTCCATTATAACTAACATTTTAATACTATATCTTTAGTGTATTTGAGTTAATCTAATTTGTCCTTACATAGATCATATTGAAATCACTCCAATGATAAAATATATTGATTTGCTTTTTTGGTATTTAAGAATCATAGTTTATTACTTTATATTTTAGTAATTTTCTTTGAATTGAATATTTCAAAATAGCAAATTTCGATTATTAATTTAAGATTAGGAGAATTTCCAAATGTAAAGGGAATTTTAGGGATTAAAACAATTTCTATATTGTACAAATAAAGAGTGAAATTCGACATATGGATTCCTGATTTTATAGAATAAAATTAAATTAAGAATGGAGAATGAATAAACTAAGAATCGCTCATTTGTGAATTAATGCAAAATTGTTTTCCAGAAGAACTTTTTGCTTTACTTGAGGGAGAAATAAGTTTATGGAGATTTCTTCCCTCCATTTATTTGTTTCATCCTATTATACTCAGCAAGTATTATATTGTAGGATAATAAGAATCTAGTAGTGAGATTGCAGTTTCATAAACTAGTGCTTAATTTTTGCCAATGAGTTTGTTATTACTGACTCGAAATGTGATAACTGCGATGATAAGTGAAAAATCAGAGAGATAAAAAGAAACTTAAAAAGTAAATATCATTATGTAGAAATATAGATTATGGGTTTGAAACCTAATTCGTACTCATTTGGATGGATCTTAACTAACTACGTTAGATTATTCGCGGTGTCATTCTTTTTCTTGATTTTGGTTGTACCAACAGGAGTAATGAAAACTAATGAGATTAACCAAAATTCTCTGACGATGAGTGAAACCATAATAGGGTTTGGAATGTATGGGTTGGCTCAATTGCAATTGTGCTATTTGATTGCTGCCATCTTCGAGACCCCTAAAACAGGCGCAGATTTAGCAGTGGTTATAAATGTGTTTGGGTCGATTGGAAGTCAACTTTTGACGATAGAATACATATAATAGTATGAATTTATTTAAATTCCAGACATTCGTATGTGGTTTATATCCTGAGCTTGATTCCCTCATTTTGTTATAATGTATATCCATATGTATCAATTACTGGTGTTGTTGAGTTTGATTTTGGAAAAAGAGAGTATTTTGGAGTACTTCTATTTGATATCCTATTCTATGGAATACTAGCGTAATATTTAGATTAAGTTGTACCTAATGAATATGGGACAAATAAGCATCCATTGTTTTTTTTAGGAGTAAAGAATGAAAATTAAATGAAGAAGAAAAATCATGTTGAACACACTTATGTTGAGCCCTTAAATGAGGAGATGTAAGATGGCTAAGATGAAAGCTCTGCTATTTTCCACGAACAACTGAAGAATCGCATAGTAAGCAATATATCTCTATATATAGTAAAAAGCTGTGTAAATAGAGGATTTAAAAAGATATTTCGGAGATACAAAGGCAGTCGATGGATTGACTCTCTCCATATATGAATCCTAAATTCTCTGTTTGTTGGGACACAATGGAGCTGGGAAGACAACTGCAATTTCTTTGTTGACAGGTCTAATCAAGAAGGATTATGGATAAATTAAATATTATGGAATTTCAACTGATGAAGATTTGGATGGCATTAGAAGCTTTTTAGGAATTTGTCCCTAGAAGGATGTCTTGTATAATAAAATGACTGTGGTTGAACACTTGACCTATTATGGCAGGATCAAAGGACTTGATGGTTAGACTTTAGAGAATCAAATTGAAGAAGTTATAGAAAAGTGTGCATTGGCATCAGAGAAAACAAAACAGGCGAGTTAATTATCAGGTGGAAATAAAAGGAAATTGTGTTTGGCTATGGCTTTGATTGGTGGATCTAAAGTGATCTTCTTGGATGAACCTACTTCAGGAATGGATCCAGTCACAAGAAGGAAAATATGGAATATTCTATTGCAAATGAAAAATGAAGGGAAATGTTTAATCCTGACAACACATCATTTGGATGAGGCTGAAGTGTTGTCTGAAAGAATTGCCATCATGGCCAAGGGAAAGTTGTTGACTGTGGGAAGTGTTGATTTTGTTAAGAAGAATTTTGGTATCGGTTATCATTTGAATATTTATAATTTAAAAAATTCACTAGAGATTTGGGAAGATAAAGTTGAGAAAATCAAGTCATTAATAATGAATTAAATAAAAGATGCTCGCTTAGAACCTTAAACAGCCAATTTGTGTGTAAGCTTCTCAGTTCCATTTGATAGCAAATCCAGCTTATTAAATATATTTGAAATTCTAGAGAATGATCAATCTATTTAAATCAATTTATTGATGAACACTTTAGAAGAAGCCTTCATCAATATTGGTATGGATGAGGAAGCATTCTTAAAAAAAGCTCAGATGAATGGATCAATTTAAATTAACAATTAATTTGAATAAGAGGTAAATCTTAATGATGAATTTGCAAAAATCATCCCTCCTAATTGTCTTAAGAATGATCCCGTCTACTCATTCGCTTTGCAATTCAAAGCCTGTTTCCTAAGGAAATTATTTGGAATGAAGGGGAAAAGATTGGCAGTTCAACTATTTTTTTCATCAATCTTTTGTGTCCTTGGTCCACTATTAGGTAGCCTGACTAAAAGCACTGTTAAACCAATTGATGACGAAGATGATCTTAAATCGTACTATTTAAGAGAGTATATCATCTCATTTAGTATTTACCTTTGTGCTTTCATTGAACTTGTGATGGCTATGAGTATATCCAGCACTAGTATTGGTAGTGTGCCAGTTCAGGAAAGATAGCAAAAGCAAAAATATGCTCTTAATGTAATGGGATGTAGAATCGAACCTTACTGGATAGCTAATTTCGCATTTGATAGTGGTGTGGCTACTATTCTGTTTCTAATTTACTCACTAACAACACTAGCACTATAAGTGGAATAACTTAACTACTTCGTTGTATATGCTTTGTTCTTCTTTTGCTTTTTAACCTATGTAGCCTTATCATACCTATTATCATGGCTATTTACAGAATTCCTGTCCTCTTTGAAATATATGATGTTACTGATGATCTTTATATTTTATATGCCAGGCATGATCTGCTTCTTTTTGGTGAAGTAAACAATTTTCAAATGGACTCTTTGTTTCCTCTTACCAAGTGTTTCATTATTATCAGGATTAACAGCAGTCTTGGATCTCAACTATAATCCCTCCATTATTGAAGTTCCTAGTTTCTTTATTGAATACCCATGGGTGTTTGTTTGCATACTTATATTTCAAACCTTGCTCTACTTAGCATTGGCGATTCTTATAGATCATCGACAATTATTATCAGTAAATCAATAACCAATCATTGTCGAATCCAAAGATGGAGATGTCATCTAAGAAGCCAAAAGAGTTTAAAATGAATCCTGTTAAGATAGAGTCATCGCTAGGAGGATCTCAAAAGTATATGCTAATGGTTTCTAAGCATTGAAAGGTACATCATTTGGAGTGGAATCCGGTTAGATATTTGGATTGTTAGGTCCCAATGGAGCAGGAAAGTCAACCACTTTTAATATGATAACCTGTAGACTCAAACCAACTACTGGAGAAATTAAACTAATGGGATAATTGATTGAAAAGGGTAAAGGAGAACTCTTTCAAAATGTCGGCATCTGTCCCTAATTCGACAGCTTATTCGAATTGGTGACTGTCAAATAGCATCTGATCATTTGGGCATATTTGAAGGGTTTGAATGGAACCGATGCCATTTAATCAGTGGAATACTTTATGAAAGTTATGTAATTGGATGCATATGAGAATGTTCATTCAGATAAATTGAGTGGAGGAAACAAAAGAAAGTTATGTGTTGCATTAGCATTAATGGGTGGTACTAATATGCAATTCTTTGATGAACCTTCCTCTGGGGTTGATCCTATTGCAAGGAGATTCCTTTGGAATGCTATTTAAAATGGAGTCAAATTAAGGAATGGTGCTGTTATTTTGACTACACATACCATGGATGAAGCTGAAAATTTATGTTCCAAAATTGCAATTCAAATCAATGGACAATTTTCTTGTCTTGGAACACCTTAACACTTAAAATAAAAATTTGGTGATGGATACAGAGTAAGTCTAGAATTGGAGGAAAATTTTTAAAGCTAGCAATTGATTTCCTTAATTAAATAAGAGTATCCCATGTGCGATATCTTAGAGGAAAATAACTATAAAGTTGTTGTTCAATTATAAAAATAAGGATTCTCCTTCTTTAAAGCATTTAGCTTCTTTTTAGAGGTTATCCAAAATTAACATAAATATATTAAAGATTTTTAACTAAATTAGGCAACATTAGAATCAGTATTCATGTACTTTGCAGGTTAACAAGAACAAATTGAATAAGATGAACTCAAAAAGAAAAAATGTGTGATTGCTTGTTGTGGTAATGATGAAGATGATTGAAATTTATATTTATGTGATTATTGATTGTTTTATATTTTAAATATGATTGTCAATTAACTACCAATTCAGTAATAATGTGTAAATACTTAATTACATATTTATATATTACCATTTTTTGTGAATTTATGTTAAATTTGATCTAATGATTCAATAAAGCATTGTATTGGAAATAGATAAAGGTAAATAAATTCCATAATAAATTAGAGTTTGTTTTAAAGTTTCAATATTTTAAGATTATTCCACTAAGGTTCCTCCATTTTATATTGCAGATATAGGAGAATTGAAATATATGCCTCTATTATGTAATAGTATCTAAATATCTGGAATTGTTAAGCTAGAATATTATTACAATTATGTAATGATTGGCTGGAGAATTAGATTAGTTTTATAAAAAATCTTGTTTTTTCGATATGCCATTCAAAAGAACTAATTCTTAGCACTTTAGAAATTATTAAGTGAATGCTAAGGCTCTATATTAAACCAACTTAAATTCATTTAAGAAATTGAAATCATAACAATTAATTGATCAAAGCATTTTGTGACTTTTGAGGTGATAAAATTTTTAACTTTAAAATATCTTAAATATTAAGCTTTTAAGATATTATTCCATATACATTTAAAATTTCTTATAATATTTCATAGGTTGATTTATTTCATATTCCATAAATAGTTTATATTATGAAAATACTTTTCTTATGATTTTATCTATAATATTCTCTTTTATTTTTTTGTACTTTTTTGATAGACATCTACCAAAACCCTATTATCTCCTTATTTGATAGATCATCCAACATTTTAATAAGAAATGCAATTAGTTCAATCAATTAAAAATTCTTTAAGATAGTAGTTGTTCTAGGCAAATTAAAATTAATAATAACACAAATGGTAATTATAATACTTATCCCTTTTTAAGTGATAGATTTTAAAAGAATATGTTAAAATAACTGGCTTGTATATTTAAATTAAACAATTATTATTTTTTATTATTTATTATCAAATGAAAGAGATGAATATTTTTAGACCAAGAATTCCATCAGGTCATTAATTAAGACCTATCAATGAAAGTAAACAACTTAAAAACTAATTTTATAATTAGAGAACAACTGTTTATAGTACAAAAAATAAAGAAGATGTTTACATTTAATCTAATAAAGGAAAATAAAAATAAGAATATAATCAAGGAAGCTAAACTAAATAATAAATTTTGAATAGGCTTTGCGACTTAGAATAATTAACTTTTCGTAATATTAAAGAATAGGAAAAATTAAAACAACAAAAATATGATTCCCTTATTCTATCAAAGAATCAACTATTTTATTGTAAATCAGAAAGCTATGAGAAAATTGATGATAAAAGAATTAAAATTTAAGGCAAACGATATTTAACAGAGCTTGATATTAATTTCAACCCAAGATATTTAATTTAAGAAGGGAAATTTTCTGCAAATTTAAATACGAGAGACTTCAAATTTGAGGAAGGTAATGAATATTTAGGGAAATCTAATCAAATAAAACCTTAGGAGAAAATTGAAAATTAATTATAATAATAAAGTGAATAAAATAAAACTAAAACCTCACAATTTAGGGCTTAAAGTTTGGCACCATCAAGAATTATTATCAGAGAACAAGGAATAATTGTTAATAATTACCGAAATTTATAAATTAAAAGAGTAAATAAAAAAGTTTGGTGTAAATATAATCAATAAATAAATGAAAGAGATGAAACAATATTAAAATCAAAAAATTGGTTAACAAGTAGTATAATTGATAGTTTTGTGTTTTATCTCAATCTAGAAAGCGAAAATCAATATTTTAAAACAAGTTTAGACAAGCAAGAAGATATAAAGCGAATCTTATTTTTACCCACTACTTTAACCACATGTTTTGGAAAATCATATGATTTTAAAAAAGCATAAGATTTATTTTAATAAGAATTACTTTAATTTTAAGAAATGAATTTCGAAATAAAAAACTTTTATACAAAAGTAGGATTTCCTATAAATAAAAATAATTATCATTGGCAATTTATATTATTTGATTATGAAAAGAACACTGTTGAACTTTTTGATTCCTCTAAATATCTATTTGATCAAAATCTGATTAAAACATTATAAAAATTATTAAATTTAGAAAATGCACAAGTAATAGAAAATACTGATTTTGGTGAATAAAATAATGGCTATGCATGTGGTTATTATGTTTGTACATTTATGCTTTATTTCTATTAACTTTAGTTTCCATCTTAATTTTAATGTCCTCAAAAAATTTATGATGAAGAGAATATTACTAAAAAATTAAAAGAGATTATTAAAAATATGGAACCTTAATGAAAATTATTTATTTTAACTATTCTAATATTATAGCATTTGAGTTAATTTACAATATCTATATTTTAAATATCTATTAAAATCATAATTTTTTTGAATTTTTAATTGTTCATTTTTGCTTAATTTAATAATATCAATTATTAAAAAAAATCTACTTTTACTTGTAAAGCATATTTTAAAGCTTGAACTATTAAATATTTATATTAAATAAATTAATTATAAATAATAAATATAATAAAATATAAATTTTTGATAACGAGTGATTAATTGAATTAAACATTTTGGAAAAATATGTAACTTATTCGCAAAATTAATCTAAAGTTATTGACCACAATCTTCTATAAAGAAGATTTTAACATTTCATCATATATAATTAGTTCGAAGCATTAGATTTAAAAACTTAATAAATATGTTTATTTTTATTCAATATATCGAGAATTATAAATTTTGATAAAATATCATAGAAAATTCTTCTGAAATCACACGGATAGGGCTTTGAGTAATTTATTTGGGAATGAAAAATTTACTAAAATTACTGATAAATTATCAATGATTGCTGAGCTAAGATTTTCTGCAGAGTTGGTTGAAACATCAAGTTTATAGATATTCACGTTTCTATTCTTCTTTTGTGTAAAAGAAATTAATTTTCATTTATTGAATAATATATTTCAAAAATAGTAATAAATGCAATTTAATTAAATGGGTGTATTTTCAATAACTTTAATAAAGTTTTGAGGATGGACAATAATTGAATTTGAAATCTTAAGAAGCTCAACTGGAAGTAATATACTTGAAGTGCTCATGAGATTGATACAATTATTTGATTTATCATATTCTGAAATGATGAAGAAATTTCCATTGAATTAGTCTTACATTTCTAGATAGTATTATATAATATTTATAATATGAATCTCAAACTCCTTCTGTCTGAGAATATTCAAACGAGTTTTAAGAGACATCATCGCCTCCAACCCTTGTAATAATAGTAATCTTGCACTTTTTAAAATTTATAGAAACTATCTTGCATTCTTAGGGAGATTTAAATTCAAGTTTTTGTTTCATAACATTGTTTCTATGACATACGATGATAGTTTTGGCTGCCGCATACTTGATATTCAATTGTTTGGCTGCCTAACGATATGGAATGAGATTAGAAATTACATGTTTTATTTTATATCCCATAAGGAATACCATATTCATAAGAGTCTTTTTTTTAATGTTTGAAACTTTTTAATAGGTTCTAGTTTATTGGGAATTTTATTTCATTTTATTAATAAAGGATTTGAAAAATTTAAATTTTTAGCTACTTTTAATGAGTTTATAATATTGAGTTGATTTTAAAATAAATGTGAATAGTTAAGGCTTATGCTATTCGAGAACAAGCCAAATTAATTTAATAAATAATCTTGTGGTCTTATGTTTCAAAGGCTATTTCTAATCTATTACATAGAACATCTTTATTATACTATCTCTTCTATCCAGTAACAATAGCTGTCTTAAATATGCTTCAAGTTTGAAATTTTTTAAACCTTTTCAAACTTCCATATTATTTATGATAATTTATATAGTAAGGAATGTGATAAGAAGACCTTTCATTAACAACAGGTTATTTTTAAATTTAATATATGTAATAATAAAATACAATATATAGAAAAGAGAAGTGAATTATATTGGCATCAGTTTTATTAGAAAAACAATATTGAATAATCATATGGTTCTAAAAGTTGTAAAGTGAGACATTAGACATATAAATTAGTCTGTGGCTATTTTTAGATTTTGAACAAAAGTGAAAATTTAGATTAGGAGTAGAAAAAGAAAGAGATGTTGATGGGATTCGAATGAATATTTCAGTTTAGTTGAGGGTCGAATAAAACATGATATCAGATGGTGTTTTATCTGAATATCTATTAAAATATAAATTTTTATATATTAATTTTAGGTTTTCTGTTTATGAGTTGATAATTAAAATATTGATTTTTAATCCCGCAATTATTAATTATACTTTTTTGTCAAGAAAATCTGTAAGAGTGAGAAATATTATATAATTTAAATTTAAATGAAAAATATCGTGGTTTCTTATTATATTTCAACTTCTAAACAATTTTTATGGCGTTCCAAAAAAGAAACGATTGGTTGTATTTTGAAATGGCAAATTTGTAAACAGTGCACAGATTGGATCTAAGAGTTTAGCTCGATATTATTCTTCCTTCAATAAGGCATGGTATTCATAAAATGAAATATACCCATCTTGGTTTTGATCTATCTTAACAAATAAATTGGAGCCCCATTCATTAATTTATTGTTCATAAATGATTTAGTTTTAAATATCCTAAAGTAAAATTTACTAATTACAAAAATTGTTTACAAATATTCACATAATTAATCCTTGCCGAACTTTCCTTCCTTATTTGCATACAACAAATAAGTAAACTTCATGATTATGGTTTCACTAAAACTGTATTATTTCATAAATCAAAGAAATTACCTCTATTGATAAAAGATAGAAACAAAGCAAATAAAATCCTAGAAGTCAATTGGATTCTTGAGTCCATTTCTTGCTAAAAAGGTGGCAATCTTATGTCCCAATAAGGGAGGAATCTTCATATCCTATAAATAATCCATAAAATTATCTTGAAGTATTTATCTATACTACTATTACAGATTATTTTTATCAAAGAATTGATTGATTGACTAGGTATTATATTAAAAATACATCAAAAAGATTCTCTATATATGTATATGGGAGTTTAGTCAATTGAAATATTTATTGCAATTACTACCCTTTGTCTTTGGTATCTAAATGCTTACTTTGAATAAATACCTGAATTGTTCTCCAAAAACCACAACATCTGATTGTCTTGAATTTATTTGAATTAAATATAGGTAGACCCTTTGTTCAGGATTTCATAAATTTTCTTCATTGAATAATCTTCCATCTTTAATCTGAAGAGTTCTACAGCTATGACCTCCTGAGAGACCTTGACACTTCCAAATTGAGTTTCAATGAATTAATCTGCAAGTTCCTTGAATTTCCTAAAGCACATTTCATCTATGATCGAAAAGTCATCATAAGGTATTTTGTTGGGGTGATTCTAATTAATTACCAAGTACAGAAGAGGACCTGATGTCTACAGGCCTTATTCTACATGCTTTTCAAATTCTAATAAGGTAAGCTAGGTTTTCAACACTATCTTGCATCTGGAGGAGTTTTAATAGGTATTCAAATACACTGTGGTTACTACACAACCATCATAGGTGGCTTCAGTGCCAATTATTAATAGAGTATCATCAATTAATTCCTTTTTACTAGTTAAATACTCCTAAAACAAGGCAAGATCATTAACCATGTATTGTAAGAAGGAGATGAAATTATTGTGGAACACTTGATTATTCTTGATGAGGTCGTTCAATGACAAGGTCAAATGAGTGAGTTAAGTCACGATCTCACAAACTGACTGGTAAAGGGGTTTCAAGTATTTCTTTAAAATCAAAGGTTAATATTTATCTATGTTCTCTAAGATCTTAACAAAGTATTGCTTAATCTCATTGATAGCTTATTGATTTGGAAGTATCTAATAGATGGTTTCTAAGGCTTGAAAGGATAATTAAGGTTTTTGTCTCAACATTGGTTAAAAATGGAGATTAAAGGTGATGCAATACTCAGTAATTTCATTAATCACAAGATAATCATATTGGCAGTTAACCATAACTTAATTATTCGAAGTAAAGACTTGGTTATTATCATTAAGTGCTTTTATGAGTAGTTTGAATAGCCATTGATCTGTGGATAGGATTTAGAAGGTATTACTATCTTGGCTCATTAATCTTAAGATTGTGAGTATCTTATATTTGAAATATTTCTAGAAGTTGGCATCTACATTTTAAACGAATTGACTCTCAAGAACAAAGAGGAAGGACTATAGATTGTTGGATTCTTACAGATATTTTAGGAGTAATCCTGAATTCTCAAGACAGAGGGTCTTAAAAAATAACTTTTTTGCCTTATAACTAATTTATGGATTAGGATCTGTAATAAGTTACATTAAGATATTCAATAGATTATTGGATAGGAGGATATTTTAGGCAGTGAAATTTTGATAATTTAATTGATAAGGCAATTTGAATATCTTTTTAAGAGTGCTTAAGATTTGCAATTTGAATCTGTTATCTGTTGTTTAATTTTGTAATTATTAGAGTAGAGCAATAAGAACGTCTTGGTGTATTTATGTAGCCAATAAAGGTTGAATGATGATGAGCATATTGATTTGAATTTGAATTCTGATTTGATTTTTTTCAATAGATTAAATTAATCCATATTGTTGATAGTAGTTGAGAATACTCTGGAGCCAAAGTAGGTTATCAGGTAAGGCATTCATTTAAGTCATAAATTTGCTTGCTTGATTATTTTCATATCTTGAGAATAGACATCCAACGAACCAACTGTGATAAAATATCTTTTCGTCATCAGTTTATTAGATCTCTAGAATGGCTTATCTTTTGGTAAACAATATTTATTGAAATGATTTGTCGTATAAAATTAAATGTCCTAGTAAGATGTAACCTTATTCAATGATGAGATCATTTTGTGTTTCTGAGATGATATTTAATATGGTATCTACCAATAGACTGCTTTGAATGGGGATGAGTATTTGGATGTCGTAGATGTGAATGGTGGCTGCAATTAAGGTGAGTGCTTGCATTCCCATAATTTGATTTTAATCCTTTTCATCTATGGAGCCTTGATCTTTTTCATCATCAACCAAAAGCAATTTGAATAGGTGATTGCAATACCCATTATTGATGATCTAGACGATCAATGAATTGACATAATCTATTTTGTTGATTTTCACATGGGGTAATCTTTATAATAACACACTTTTGAGAGATTAAATAATTTGTGCTGTCAAAATATTAAAGTCTTAAAAAAGAATGATGTCTTAATGAAGTTGGTTTAAGGAGGGTTCAAAAGAATCTCTGCAGATGAAATAGTATTTTTTGATTTATTTGTTTGATGATCTGTTTTCAAAGGATGCTAGAGTTTGTTCGACCTATTACAAGTTTTAGGTTGTGAACAGTTATTTGAATGGAGAAGCCAAAAATGCTATTTGTAATTATTGGAGATATCTAGAAATTAATTGTAATCCATTACTAGCTCTATTCCTCAAGGGAGGACAATGATTTCAAGTATTTTAGACATTGTACTTTCTTGAGGTATTCTACAAACAACTTCAAATATTCATTCCAATCAAGTTTCCCATCTTTGTTTTCGTCGAAGATGTTAAAGCATTCTTGGATAGTAGATTATGACACCTGATTATTTTCTGCCAATCTGTATATTAGATTGGTGAAATCAGCAATTCTTGAGATTATTTTAGAGGTATTACCCAAAATGAGTTTTGTTGATTCCCAGAATGCTAATGAAATTGCTTCGTATTTCATTTATATGAAATTCATTGAGGATTCGCTGACTAAGTATGCGCGACTCTTAATCAATAATTTCCATTTATTTATTTTATTAATTTATTTACAAAGAGAGCAAACTTATTTTTGTTTCTAATTCAGATTATTACAATCCAATTTCTAAGTTTTAAACTAAGCATTTACTTTATGAATTTGATTTCATTGCTTCATTGATTTCTTAAACTTGATTTCATTAGATCTTCATCAAATGTTCAAAACATTCCTCTTCATTTATTAATTATTATATTTATACAATATAACCTTGAATGTTCCATATTAAGACTCAATTTGTAAATGGAATCTAATTCATAAACAACATTCTGGGGATTTCTTTTGACTTGATGATGATGTTAAAGAGAGAGAGAATTTAATTAATACTATTTCAATTCATAGTTATATGAAGATATCACAATTAATTATTTGATATCGGAAATAGAATCAAAGAATTAACAATATATTTTTCAATAATAATTCCATTTATAAAGAATGGGCTATTTCATTAAATTAATAATTGAGTAACAAATCAATTTGACACAATTATGTCCACTACTTTAACTCTATGATTCTCTGCCTTAGCAACTTTCAAGATTGCCTATATTTACTAATAATTATCAAATTAATAATATTACACTTCTACATATTAAACATTCCTTTCGTTGTTTGAACCAATCAACAGCACAATTTGAACAGACTCCTCCATGACCACATGGTATATTGACTGTACAACTTTGTTATTGAAAACAATTAAAACATTATTTCATAGTTTCATCATGTTAGACTACTTCAGTTAAAGTGGGAGATTTTATGTTAAGAGCAGCTGAATTTATTTCAGTTTAATTCCTTTGATCCTCTGGTAGATAGTAGGTACTTGAGATCCTAATAAGTTGTTTAGGAAAATCATTTAAAATGTTATCCCTACATTAATGAACAAATTTCTTTTGATTTCTAGAACTTGGAAAACTGATGATTTCCAGTTCTCCCTCAGGATATGTTTGAGTTTGTGGTTTTAATTCATTTAATATAAAAGCTGATAGTATTTTTTTGCGATATAAGGTGTATACCGAAAAGACCAAAGTATAGAACACACTAGTTAATATTGAAAGGTAATAATTATGTTCCATATTTTAGTCCAAGAAAATACACATTTTACAGAGGGTATAGGCAGGCATACCACAAAAACCAAAAAGAAATAAATTGACCCAAATCATCCCAATTATGTTAATCATCAGTTTTTGCCTTTAATCCGCTCTACTATTGAAATATTGATTTATTAGATTTGACAATCTGAATAGAGAAAACAATTTCAAAAGTATCACAATTAATAAAAATATCCATAATATCGAAAATGTGTAGATCCATCTAATTGACAACCAATTTATAAGTTTCATATTTATGAACATTAACTGAGTAACAAAACAAAATCTTATTAATACTACAATCTATGGCCATTATTTATTTAAATACTAATTTCTGTTGATTGGCTTGATCTTTGTTCCTATATAACGAAATCATCGATTGCATCAACCATATGGTTGTATAGAGTGTCAAAAACATTGACAAGTATTGCATTTAGAAGTCGTTGTTATCAACAAAATAAATCAAGCAACTCTGATCATATTTATTAAACATACATAATAAGATATTAATCCAACACCCCACAACAATTCAAAGCAGAAATCTGGACTACTTCTGGTTCTGACTAATACACGATTTTTTATACATCTAGTGAAAAGAAATACAAATTTTGATCAAATATAGGAGATGTCCGATGCTGAGAAATAGAATGGGTATTCTAAGGCTCAGATTAAATGTGAAGGATGAAAGTAACAAGGTCAAGAAACAATTAAATAGTATCATTATCAAAAGAGCCTAAATAGAATAGCTCTTACTGTAGTTAGCCAACTATAGGCTATCTATAAATAGTTTATTGATTCAGATTCTACTGGTAGAGCCTCGATACTAATTTCTGAATTATTTCTCCTGGGAGTTGAACCTTGGGATTATTATTAATTCATTAAAAATATATTGCATCAAATTCAAATATTTATTACTTTAAAGGCAAAAATGTTATAAGGTATATATTTAAATATATTATAAAAAATTCTAATTTCATATATCGTTATTAATTTTTGAATTTCAAATAATAAAATATATGAATAGTTCTCCCTACATAGTAAAGAGAAAACAGAGAGTTGGTGATTGGATCTGTGGTGTATGTAAAAACTTAAACTTCTCATTCCGAAATCAATGTAATTCCAATGAACAATATCCAGGTAATCGATGCAATAAGTTCCCGCATAGAAAATCTTCAAAGCAATAATTTCGAGGTTTTCGAACATTGGTTCTCATCCATTACGAGGAACCAATAGAAAGCGTAGATGAATTACTAGAAAACCAAATTGATCCAATAGTTAAATCAAGCCTTTTGGTATTGGATTTGGATCAATTTTGAATTTACAAATTTTGTATTTTTTTTTCTGCTCTCATTGAGAGTATAATTATATAATAAATTTATTTACGAATATGAGTGATTTGAGACCCTACTTGTTGAGTCAAAATAAAAGTGTGCATCATTTCCAAAACGCCTTCTTCAAACAAGAACCATCACCTAGCAAGTCCCATCGTAAATAACTAGAATAACATGGATCCCCTAATCATTTGTCAACCTCTCTTTCCTTTTCCAAGTCATTTGCCAACAAGCCACAACAATCCCAATCCGACACATCTTATGTCTACTACCTTATCCAGTAAATCAAACAGATGGAGTAGACAATTGAAGAATTGAAATAGGAGAATCAGTTATTGAAATCACAACAGAAGATAGGATTCCTGGTATGAATCACTGTAATATCAAATAGGATTTACAATTTCAACACAATTAAATGAATAAATATCATAGTATATTGAAATCTGTGCAACAAGTCAAGTTGGATAACATTAAATTAAAAAAAAGCATAGAATAAATGAATCTGATGATGAAAATCCATATGGCACCTGTGAATGAAATGCTCTCATAATTGATTCATCCAGAAAGCACTGTAATTTAACAAAAAGAATTAAAAAATCACTAGTAGAGTGATTCAATTAATGAATCAACATTAAATGTCAAAATACACGCCAACATTAGCAAATATTAATCTAATTATAACAAGTATTCAAAATGTAAAACTGAAACCCAATTCAAGGATTAAAAATGAATATATATATATATATTAAAACCAACCATATAAATAGTAAACCATATAGTAAATATCGTTGTCGGCCATACTAAGCCTAAAGCACCGGATCCCATTCGAACTCCGAAGTTAAGCGGCTTAAGGCGAGGTTAGTACTAAGGTGGGGGACCGCTTGGGAAGTCCTCGTGTTGACAACCCTTTTTTTTATTTATTTATTTTTTATTAATTTACTTTAAAAATAGGAATATCAAAAATGTTATTATATTAATTAATATTAAAGTGGGTTGATGGTTAAATTAGGTATAATTTAATTGAATCTTTGAGCACCAATATTATATGGAATCACGCAAATCTATTTGCTGAGCATTTTTAGCATTGTAGATGATGGTTTATTTGAAAGTTCAAAATTGGGTACATATTATCTGTATTTGATGATAATGTTTACTTTAATTTTCTATGGGTTCACTGCATTCAAGGATGTAAATAATAATGATATGATAAGCCAGGATTTGTTACCATCAGTGATTATTAGTACACAGATAGTTCGAATCCATATTAAAAAAAGCGATAATCATTTCATCCACTTCCAGGCAATTCTCAACTGAGAACAAAGGAGCAAGTTCCAGAAGAACGAGTCGATTTAAAAGTTGTTGAATAAGCTAAAGAGAAGCCTAAGTACAGTCTATTCATTATTTGTAGGAATAAAGATGAATTTGAAATGGAATGCGAGGCTTCGGTTGATGAATAGAATTTCCCTGACAATGATATTCATAATATGGACAATAATGCCAAGTCTTATGAGAAAACCCCAGAGAAATCAAGGACTCCGTCTAAAATGGTTTCGCAAATGCAAAGTCCACATCAGAACAATGCTCGAACCTCTTAAGTGCTTTCTCAAGGGAGTACAAAGCCTGATATCAATAACAATAACAATCCCAACACACAAACAGAACCTCAATTCAATTATCAATAGGAAATCAATGTTGAATAAGTTGAACATCAATAATCACCCAAATCTGCGAACAATGATAAAAACATAGATCAAAGTGTACATCACGGGAATAGTATGTTTATTGAGAAGAGATACTGTCCCATTTGCAATCAAGATTAAATCATACGCTCTAAACATTGTAGAAAGTGCAATAGATGTATAGCATTGTATGATCATCATTGTCCATGGGTATTAATACACATTAATATATTTAAAAGACCAGCAATTGCATTGGGGAACGGAATAGATGTGTGTTTTATTGGTTTCTATTTTTCTAAATCTAAGAAATCATATACGTTATGAGAGCAGTAAGTGTTTTATTCTATGCAGGCTTTTCCACACCTTGACTTCTCTTAATACAGCGGATGGTTTTCATTGATGGTCATAATCAGTATAATAGTATCAATATTAATGGGATTGATGGTTCTCAGTTTATTTCTATTCCATTCTTTATTGACTTGTAAGAACATGACCACCTGGGAGTATAAGAGTTGGAAGAGGATATCATATCTTAAAGATTTTCCATAATAATTAGGATCACCCTTTAGCAGTGGATGGAAATAAAATCTTCGCTAGTATTGTCGTTTTTCTGTGCCTAAATTGACTAATTGGGAATATAATACATAAAATCTGAATTTTATAAAATGAATAATTAATCAATATAGTGATAATCAATGTATCAATTTGAAGGAATGATTACCCATTTGAAATGTGATTTTGTTTACAACATATTCTACAAAGTAATTCTTGTTAAATTTAATTTATTAATAATTTAATCTCAATTGTAAACACAATCACTAATTAGAAATCTAATAAATAAATAAGAATGCTATTACTTAAAAAAGTAAGACATTTTAAAATTACCATTTTTTTATTGTACTTTAACTCAATTACAATTAAGTTATTTATTAAATTGAAACAAGAATAAAATTATGGAATTATATTCTGAAACTTAATAGAAATTATATTGTTGTTTCTTAGTGATTATTATTAACAAATTTAAAGGAGGGGAGCAATTATTTAAATTCTCAATTGACAATATTGCATTTTCCATAAAATTGATATTTGTGGAGTACAAATATATGAGATCAATGGGATCAAGTACAAAACCGTGCTGTTCAAAGAAATACAATGAAATGCGTAGTTGTCACTTGACTAGAATTAAGGAAAAAGAAAGGGATGATTTAAAAAATGAATATTCAAATTATATTATTATTATTAATGGAATAGCACAAACATATTTTGAATGAACAAGATGATCATCTTAATGAAATAGCCGATATTGCAAATAGGTTACACAATGCTGCTGTAAACATTAATGTTGAAATTGATCATCAAGGAAAGTATGTTCAATCTTTTTATGACTTATAGATAGATTACCTAATTAGATGTAGAAATGGATAAAACATAAAAGAAGATGAATTTCGTATAAAAAAAATTAGGAGATTTACTAAAAACTAATGGTATAAATTAACACATATGGAATTCTAGATTAAAGTTAGATTTGCACAATCCTTATACTTTTTGGGACGCTTTGTGCATTAATTTTCCTCTTGATCTATACCTGATTTTGAATACATTATATAATAAAATGATAGCATACAAATAATAATTGAAATCGTCTAAATTTGATAAGGATCACATTATGATAATCCTTATAATTATTCTAATTTTTGATTTAGATATTTAATAATTAATTATAACAATGATGTCTTATTGAAATAAAATAATAATTATCATTTATTAAGTGAGAAACCTTCATTCATAGTCACAAACAATTCTGGTTCTTGATAGGAGAACCTATCATAATTGTCCTCTTGTGCCATAGATTGCATGGGTGTATCTTGCACTACTTCCTGTGTAAATGTCTAAATGAAAATTCATAAATAGAATAGTGATACCACATCAAAATTTCTAAGATCTCTATCTCCAAACAATTTAGGTTTGAAGGGAGGAGCGACCTTTTTATCCATGACATCATTCCAATTGACACCATTAAAGAATGGATGTGACTTCACTTCATTGGAACCATCCGATCCTAGTCTATCTTTGGGCTTTGGAGGTTAATTAATAAATACTTACATTATTCTTAAGTAATTACTTAATAAGATCAGAAGCTTCTTCTGAGATGGGAGTCTTGATTTCAATTTGTCTCTCTAATCTACTCCGAATCATTTGTCTTTTATTCTGGGAATAGAAAGGAGGGATGCCTTACAACATCACATACAAGAGGATCCCTAGGGAATACCAATCGGCACTTTGATTGTGACCCTAAGTAAATTAGGATGGGGAATAAGTTTACTTTTTTCAAATATATTTCTGGAGCCATGTAATCATAGGTGCCACAAATGGTAGTCGTGAAGTCTCCTTCTTTGATGTCTACTTTGCAGAGACCGAAGTCAGTGATTTTGACATGTCCATCTTGATCGAGGAGGATATTTTCTGGTTTTAAATCTCTATATATGATATTTTGACTATGGAGATATTCTAGAGCCAGGATAATTTCAGCACAATAGAATTTAGCCCATGATTCTTCCATTTTGCCTATTCGCTTCAAGTGGTAAAACAATTCTCCTTTGGAATAGGATAATGATTAATACCTCCGATCATAAAATCAATTACAAAATACAATTTCTGTTTTGTTTAGAATGCATAATATAAATTCACTATAAAAGGACACTTAACCAATGCTAAGATATTTCTTTCTGTTTCCATATAAATTCGAGAATTCATTTGTTGAATAAGATCTTTTCTTAAAATTTTCATAGCATATAGTTTGGATTAACTCTTGTGATTAACTAAGACTACCTTGCCATAACCACCTCTTCCAAGAACCTTTTCTAGAGAATTCATACTTTAAGAAACTCAAAATCCTTTAGAGATACTTTTTCCTCATCACTCAATCTGATTTGCTCGACTTACAGTCCATCAAGTTCATCTTCCTATTAGTACTTCTCTTAAGATAAGGTTGTGTGCTATTCTGCTTCCTACTTTGAGAGACACAGTCCCATTTATATTAATAATCTCTTTGTAAATATATATTTTAAATAACATCATATGTGTTATGATTAAATATCTCCGATTGATGCTATTCATAATGCTTTCAATTATTAGAATATGAGTTTAATTTGATTGGGATTCTATTAAATGAGATCATTGAGCAAGCCAAGATTGTCATTCAATTCAACCTTTTATTTTAGCTCATCAATATTTGTTGATAAATACCTTAAAAGTTCCCTTTGCTGAATGAAAATATTATAAAATAATATATACAGTAGAAGTATTCAGGTTTCCAAAAGGGAGACGATTGAATCATAAATTGTTTATGTTAATCTTACAATTGCAATTGATCTCCAATCTATGATACTTAAATACAACAATACACAATCATTCTTAATTTTTTCTATTTCTTCACTCTGGATGTATCTGTATTATTCATCCTGATCTCTAATTAATTGGTGATCACCTATCTATCCTATCAAATAAATGAAATCTTGAAATTATTAAGTGCTCATTATCTTAACAACCTTTATTTTCTCCTCAGTAACACTGTCTTGCTGTTTGTTTTCAGCCTTCAATTACTGGGGTCTCCCCTTCCTACCCTTGATTGACTCAGATGATGGTCTTTTAGTCCCATTCTATAATCCTATTTAATTCATACAGGTGTAACTCCAAGATGTTTATTTTTGATGTGGGTATACAAAGCAGCATTGGTCCCATACTTCTTTCTACACAGGGAATCCCCGCAAATATATTCTTTGACTCTTTTTTTAACTTCAGAATCACTTGAAGATTATGAAGTTGTTATCATAATTAATAATTATTCTAATTTATTGCATCTAAAATCAATACTGTCAATTTTCTTTATTATAAAATATATGTTAGATGAATACCAATCTTTATAATAGCATAAAAATCATCATTCATTTTCTAGCCATTTTGTTCTTTTACCTTCCACCCAATGTCCTTTTTTTCTTTATCCATTTGCAGTGATATACACTCCTTCTCCGTGTTATTTCCCATTTTCCCATAATCCCTCATATGATCTTCCATCAGGCCATAAAAACTTCCCAAATCCCTGTTTCTTATCTTCTTTGTACTACCCTTTTTAATAATATATACATTCCCAGTGTATTATCTCCCGTCTGACCAAACAAAATTACCATATCCATCCATTTTGTTGTGTTTCCATTGTCCCTCATAAATTCTTCCATCAGCCCATTTATAAACGCCCTCTCCGTGAATATCATTCTGACTAAAATCTCCTTCATATCTACAAATAAGATAAAGTTCAATACACAGATCCGTCTGTCCATGAAAATTTCCCCTTCCCATCTTTCTTCCCCTATTTATATTGTCCTTCATAGATTGCTCCGTCTGGCCATTTCTCAATTCCCTTTCCATCTTACTTATCCTCATTCCATTCCCCCTTATAAACTGCTCCATCCAAATGAAAGTATTCTCCATAGCCGCTTGATTTGTCCCCGTTCCAATCTCCTTAATACAAATCTCCATCTGCATGAATCAATCTCCCAAAACCAAATGCCTAGCCATCTAACCAAGTTCTATTTATAAATTATAGATAAATACCCTTCATATATAGATCCATCCTTCCAAATCTAAGTTCCTCTTCCACATCTGAGATCATTTCTCATTTCTCCAGTGTAAAGTGACCCATTGTCCATTAATATATCAGACTTATATGTTAATTCGTGAGAGTCAATTATTTATTAAATAACTTATCATATTGATTAATTGTACCATCGTTGACTCTGTGCTCAAACTACCCAAATTTTCTCATTGTTTATAACACTTATTCATTTGTAATTTTTTGTTCCAAGTCTGTCCAATATGAACTCTTTGCTAATTCAGTCATTTAAACAATAAATAATATTAATACTTAATAAGATTATATTTCGAAATATCCAACTTAATCCGATCTTCAATTTCAAATTATAATTCTGTTAGATTCAACAACTTATTCAAAAATCCAATCATTAAATTATATTTCAATAAACATTCCTCTATGTATTAATAACAATTTTACTTCAACTGATATTTATAAACTCATAAAATTTCTAAACTTTTAAGCAAATTAAAAAGTAATATTCAATTAAAAATAATATGTATAAATTAAATACCCAGTAGGGCCATTCCTTCTTCAATCTTCAAACTCCAATCAATTATTTCTCAAAAAAGAACTTATTTTAATCAGCTACTGAAATTAAACCTAAAAGAATGGATTCTTACGGGAGATCAAATCTAGCTCCTCGATCATTACCCAAAGAATTTTGGTTTAGAGACCATCCCAAATCCAGTAGGAAAAAAAAAAAAGAATTGCTTAAAATATTTAGATATTTAAACCCTATGTATTATGAAAGAATGGAATAATACCAGCATTTACAAGATTATCAAAATCAAGTCTGTACACCAAGTCCATCGAGAAAATGGAAGAAGTGTAGGAATATCACTCTAACTAAACCCTCATAAACTAGAATGACGTCAGGAATAATTAAATAAAAATTTCAAGAGACTCTTCATCTCTTAATTCCATAAAAGTATTCATCTCCTAAAATTGCTCGATCTTAAGTTTAATCCCCAAATAAAAATAACAATAAACCAAGTAATGAAACTAAAAATATTAAGCAATTCTAGCAATTTGATATATTGGAATCAAATCATACAAATTATGTACCAAGTCTATTATCAATTGATAGATACAATAAAGAAAATAGTATCAATTAAAGTAATACCAATAACATATCGTACATATAACACAAAGATATCTCTTCTAGTCAAATCACTCCCAGAAATAAATTTATCAAAGACTGTTGCAGATTGTATGGCTTAGATTCGCATAAGATACCTACAATAAATAAGTTGGTTTTCTAGGATCAAATTCCCTTAACTGAATCATACGAAACTAAAAGTGATAAAATTAAAATGTTAGCAAAATCAATTGAGAAATCAAATTATCAACAGAATAATCTACTGAATTTAAGAAGAAAGCAGAAAGAATTACAACTGAATCAAAAATAAAGATTACACTCTAATTCACTAAAAAGAATATAATGCAATGTATATAATAATAGTGTGAATAGAGTGATGAGTACATACTTTCCCTCTCTTAAACAGATTAGTAAGCGTAATCTGTGATCAAATCTTGCATGAATTATTTCATAATTATATCTGAATATAGAGTAAAATTAATTAGCAATTCATTTTTATTCCTAATTGTCTTTATTATTCTCTGATTCTTTTTACGATTATGCTTTTTATTTTAGATAGAAAAAGTTATCTCTCTCCTTCTTGGTATAGAATGCTCTCAATGACGTTATTTAATCTTGTTACCATTTGATTTCATCATTGACATTCAACATGGGTTCCATTTTCATTTCAGCATATGGTGAATAATTCTATTCCAAATTCGATTAAGTTCTCCTGCTTTTCTATCTATGTGTTTACGACTTGCTATTAACAGGATTGTATTATAAATTGAGTTCCTTCAATATTGAGATTGAACAATAACAGAGAGGATTCTTGCCTTCATCATTGAGGATATCAATGTCAGCTCCATTTGATATGAAGAGATTGATTAACACAATATTATTCGTGATGAATGCAGCAAAGGTAGGAGTAAGGCCTCCTTAGCAAGGCATGTTGACATCGGCTCCTGCATTGATGAGGAAGTTACAAAAAGTTATACTCTATAATTGAGCTGCATGATAGAGAGGACAAAACATGTTTGTATCATAACAATTAACATCTTGGGGTTCAAATTAAAAGCCTGAATACTCTGCCCAATTGGTATTGCCTACTTTCAAAGCCAAAAAGAGCTTTCTCTATTTTAATTTCAATTAAATCATTGAATGAGGCACTTTGACTTTTGAATAATCCATTTAGACTCCTTTTTAATATTATTATTTGGAATTGCCAGCACTTTAAGCTATGGCTTATTTAAGACTCTTATAGCATTCCTCTATATCAAGTCCATTATAATTTTTAGATTTCATTCTATTAAGAATTCTGAAGAACTTAGGATTTTTGTCCTTCTCTTAATATTCCTTCTATCGTTTCCTTTCTCTTTCTCGAATGTATCTCTTTCTGGATACATAAGCTTTTAATGCTCTCTTAATTTTATTAATAGCAATTAATTCAATTTCTGGAGTAATCCAATCTGATTTAACTTCACCTCCTTCAATTCCTTACAATTAAGGACTCGCATACTTTCTAGGTTTCTTGGGTCCTCCAGTATAGAAGTTCAGAAAATTAGATTAGTTTTTCTCGAATTCCTTTTTCTAGACTTTCAATTTATATTCACTAAAGACCTTGGCTGGAGTAGGGAAATACTCCAATTGTTACTATGGAGTTAAACGTAATTTGGATGACGGATGAGTTTTTCTGATGACATTCATCAATGTTAAAGGTTCTTCTTTGGATGGGAAGATAGGTTTATGGACTTCACTTTTAACTCCTAGTTTTTAATCTCTTCTTTCATTTTTCTAGGAAGATATAAAAAGAGTAAGATTACCTTTCGTTTAATGACATTCATCATAATTTCCTTGAATTTCCAGACATATGGATTTGCTATTGGATTTCCTTATTTGTATTCTTAATAATATAAATTATATTTTTCTGAATCTTATTTCATAGTAGTTTTAGTTTTGTCCTTCATTTCCCTCAAAATAGTGCACATCTTAATTTATAACTTCTTGATTGAATTTTGTTTTTGCTATTACTCTTGTATATTTTTGGCTTATCTATTTTTAATGAATTACACTTCATTTCTTTCTTTAAGAAAATCATGTCTTGTTTGATTCACTTATTTTTAGATATCAAAGTGACTTTTCAAAATATTCTCTGCTATCTATAGTTCAATATCACTGATAATATCTTGATCTAAATGATTGATTGCACTTTGAATGAATCTAATTATACTATTTAATTTAATACTTTTTATCAGAACATCGATTTAATAATACACTAGTATTTATGAGATACAATAAATCGTCCTCATTCATTGATTAATATGATTCAAATTTCGATTCTAACTCTTATCGTTTCTATTTATTCTATTGTCCCTTATCTAGATTGCTTACAAATTCACCAATAGCTATACTGTTCCAAGAACTACTATTGATCAATTTGCTTAATCTCTATTTTGCAGACAATCTTTTAGCTAAAAATTGTTCTTCTTTGCTTTAGTTCCATTTCTCAATCCTAACAGATTTTGGTGAATTCAATTATCCATTAGGAACATTTCTTTTATTCTTAATGGTTTTTAACAAATTGGTTAATTCATCAATAATTTATCTAGTATCTGGTTTCTTGTAAAGTAAATCTTAGATTGTATCACCAGTTCGATTAGACAATTAGAATTGTATTTTACTAGAATTGTTTTTATCATTGATCATTTCAACCAATGCAAATTTCAGTCTTTTTTTCAATTATCTGAACTTCGTATCAATTTCAATCCAATCAAAAATATCCAACATTTTATCTTAACCATTTGTAATAATTGTAATATTATCGCTCTTTCTTCTCTGTATCTCTCTCTAATCAATTCTCTATTTCCATTACTTAAGTGAATCGAGTACTTAATTTTGTAACTAACTCAATATATATTATTCTCTTTCTTAAACAGTCTCAAATTGTTATATTCTATGTAATGATATTCTTAAATGTTATCATCTATTAAATACCCTAATTCTTATGCAACTCTATTCAATTCTTTGATTACTACTTCATTTTTATCGAAACATTGAGTACATAAATATTCTACTTTTTCAGCGAAGAGATTCATGCAGAATTCATCATTATAGATTTCACAATGTCTGCGTTTAGGAGGATTAATTTCTAATTGTGATATAGTTTATTTTCTGCTTGCATGAGCAGATGAATTTATTGCAGTACTAACTTAGCTCTAAGCAAAACTGTTTGATCTCTTTAAAATCTTTTATACAGGATATCTTTATAATTGTCTTCTGAATTGATGTTATTGTGAGAACTGCTTTATTTTCTCATCGAATTATTAAATAGTTTCCAACCCTAAAAAAATGTCATCATCCATTTATTTTTATTATAATATATAAAATATTCTTAATCAAAATCATCTATATGCAAATTATTGTTATTTGATTGAAGACATAAGAAATTAAACAAATACAACACAGAACTCTAAGAAATTGAATTTATGAAATATTTGTAGTATTCATATAATGATAATTTTTTAACAATCAAATAAGTTACCTAAGTTATTGATTATTTTCAATTAAATAAAAATTTCTAATTTATTATATACTGAATCTTATTGAGTGTTACAATAAGTTAAAGATATAACCTAAAGAATTTTGCAATTGTTATTAAATATAATTAGTTCTTGCTAAATAAAAGTTGGATTTTATAGAGTAGCATGACACTTAAGTAATAATATGTAATTGATATTTTATTTGTAAATATAAGATGAGTATGATTTCCTTAAAGTAAATTTGAGCATGAATAGGTGATATAAATTAGATTAAAATGAAATTAATTAATCACTTTTAATTATATGTATATTAGTTACAATATAATTAAATAAGTAATTAGAATGAAAAAAAATTATAATTAAGCTAGATAACATTCATTCTAGATTCCTAAGATTACATCATTATAACCCTTATTTACTACTTATAATGAAAATCATACTGAGCCCACAACTCCAATAAAAATTGATTTAAAGGCAAAGCAAGAATAAATGAAGTTAGAATTAGAACAAAAAAATAAATATTTAGAATAGATTCTTTGTCTAAAATAAGAACGTTATCACCACAATCGAAAAGAATTACTGTATCATAAATTATAAAATATAGAGTAATAATTACATAAATGGAATCAGACTCGCAAAAATATTGAATTGTAAACTGATTTTCCTATTCTAGCATAAAAAAGGCAAAACAACAATATTTGTGTGAATATTACAATTCACAACAATCCTCTAAGCCTATCTAAACTAGATAAACTTAATACAAGAATACCAGTTTTCAAGATTTCTAATAAACCAAAACCAACGTCAGAAATACTCAATCTCAACCTAGAAAGTAATCCTTCTTCAACATCCAATATCAAAAGAAAATTAACGAAGTAATCATATTATGCGACCCTTTTAGATTGAAAATAGAGTGCATGTGATGTAAAGAAAACTCAAATTGGGTAATTTGGATTCACAAGTCTCCAATTCCTTTCAAATACTCATTTAAGATTATTCCTAATGATGATGCTACATTAACTTATATTTCATAAATATTTATTTTTAAATAAAACTGCAAATCCTTCTTACCTAACACTATGATGCAAGCTCACCTTCATGTATTCTCTACCATTAATAAACATCACTAGGTCGGATAATCACAACCCCATACCTCAGAAGCCCCAGTCCTGTAATTCTTAGGTAAATCTAAGAAGCGTAAACGTCGTTCACTTGACACCAACGATTGGATTTCTTTACATGACCACAAAATAAAAGGCAATTCCCATACCTAATACCTCATTAGACTTAAAGTCGACAATGTTGTATGGTCTTTCTGGACTAGATATAGTATGTTATCTGAGCTCCATTAAACCCTTGATGAAGTGATCAAGTCTCAATTGCCCACTTTCCCAGAAAAACGACTCTTTGGTAATCTGAACCCCAATTTCATTTAAACCAGGAAATCCTAACTTGATATATATCTTTAGGTTCTAAATCAATCTCATCTATATTTAGGCCATCTTTAACGACCCATGTGTTCGTGATTCCAAAGTATTCCGAGACTTCATTGATAATTCCAAATAAAAAGCCTTCAAAAAAGCTGACCTTGATTCCCTTAATCGATTTAAATTGGATGTTTGAAATATATATATAAAATTAGAGTATTAATGTTTTTATTGCTTCTCTTAGCATTTGTCCATCCAATTCCAATTTCAGATCAAATCTAACCTACCTTCCTTAACAATCTTGACACATCGGAAGCCAGTAAACCTATTTAAACCAAAGAAGTATTCTTATTAGAAATTGCAGATTATTTCTAAGGGACTCCTTTCTACAATTTTTTAGGTAACTTTTCATTTCTTATTTATGTAGACTTAGAAAATAAGGACAATCAAACCAAAAGAATAGTGATTGCCACTGTTTTGTCAATTTTTCTAATAGTCGTTTTGTGCGTGATTATCTAATTTATCTTGGAAATAGCCAAACAATCCAATATTTAATTAAGTATAGAAAAGAAGTCAAACTTGTCTGATTGATGAGTTTTACAACCATGAATCATGGTTTAGTTTTAATTATAATTATCTTAAAATAAACCTCCTATTATAATTTTCGTATAATTTTTGAATTCAAATTATAACTAAGCACATTTGATAAAAAGTATTATCCTTTATGTTTTATCAAATAAGTATTCTTACAAATAACATTCTTAGTGTTTTAAAATATTAAACTAATTATTTCCATTAAGAGAATAACTATAATATTCTAAAATAGATAAGATGAACACTTCTTTAATTATAATAAAATTAAATCAATATTATTGTTGCTTTGGTTTATGAAACAAAAAGAAATGGTAAAATTTATTAATAATGGATTTTCGGCTAATTACATAGGATATAGGTGTAAGATCTCATACATTTTAATCCGAATCATTATTGATGAATAATTTATATTTGTTCATATTATAATTGAAAAATCCCTTATTATCTTTTTGGAAAAACTCAACTCTGCATCATAAATAAATAAGGTTTCAAATCCTATTGATAATCATCTAAATTTAAGAGACATCATAAATTGATGAGTTCATTAATGAAACTTCAACTTACAATGCAAATTAATTTAAACTATAAATTATATATTATGATATTAAAATTAAATTAAAGCAGGAATTATATTTTAATATTTTCAACATAGTTTTACTTGATAAATCTCACATTCTACTATATTTGGGGTTGTCTAACCAAATAAATGGGTGTTCTTAGTAGCAATCTAGTATTAATCACATTAATATGAAGTCCCTAAATTAGATGAACCACTTTGAAAATCCGCACCAAAATAAATATCATAAGCCCCAAAAGTAGGTCCATATGATTAATGACAGTAGATAGCCTATGTTTTATTTGCCTCCTTTAAATGATATATTTAATCATGAGTCTATGAAAATATGAATGATGACATTGTATTATCCTGAACATAAGCATTCACATATTATTGCCATTAACATGGAGAAAACCCCCCAAAAATATATCCACTTTTGGATTTAAATATCATTAATAAATTTGTATTTCCTTGGACTTTACTCCAAAAACTTTATCCATTTAATCCATCTCTGGTGCCCAAATATATTTGTTAAAAGTTGATTACTTTTTTATTCAATCTAGACTAAAGGATACTCATAATCTTTTATTATTAATAATATGACATCAACCTTCCATCATAAATTATTGCAACTTATACAAAATATATTAAATTGAATTACTAAACAAATTCTGCTTAGCTAAAATTCAAGGATTTAAATTATCTTTCTAATTCCCTATATTAAGGGTAAAATTCCTGATTTGGATCCTCTGGTTCCCTTTTTATTCTATCTAGCACATCAATCAATTTTTAATTTAATTCATTACAATCATTTTTTGTAAGATCTTCTAAATATTAATGAAGAATCTTTTCATTTTATATTATATCTTCATGTTTAATGTTATCTCCTAGTTATTAAAAATTAATTGCAAACTATTTAAATTTATCAAATTGGGTTATCTAATTTAATTGATAATATACCTTTTGCAATTCATCTCTAATTTTATTCTTCTTCTCTAAAATACAATTAACTTAGTTTTTTAATTCTTATTATACTTCTAGAAGGATATTTTATATTTAAGAAATTTTAGTTTCAAATTCCTCAAGAATATTATCCATGGCTTATTTATTACATTTATCTAATTTAATTAAATATTCTTAAACAGGTGTTGATATTTTCAATTTTGATAAAAAAAATTCAGGGGACTTTAAAGCCTTTTATAGTATATTATAATTATACATTTTTAACATGAATCAATTCTTAATAATTCACATTGACTGATTTAGTTTATAAATCCAAACAACATTCATCACAAACAAATTCTGTTTTGTCTTTTTCAACTTTAATGAAAAGTATAAAGGATCCTTCATGTTTAAAACAAGGAATTTATTTCATTTTAGTTTCTGTTTCCATTAGAAAATCAATTAATTATTAAATAATTTGATATTAACAATCATAAATCTTAATATATAATATTTAACTAAAAATACGAAAGAGGTCTATTATATTATAACTAACAAATATTTTAATAGATAAATTGAATTTCATGAGAGATATTTTGAAATTATTATTAAATTATTTATTTATTATAATCTTCACAAAAATGTTAACATGATTATTTCACATACTTCTATATTTGGAGTAAGTTAACCAAATAAATGTGTACTATTAGCATATTAATAACCATCCCAATTATAATGGTATCCTAAGTTGGAATAACCAGATTGAAAATCAGATCCAATCTATAAATCATGTCCATTGCCAAATGTTGGCCCAAATGATTGATGACAATAAATAGCATACAATTTATTTTCTTCTTTTAAAGGATATATTAGATCGTGAGTCTATGAGAATAAAAATGATGCTGTTGCATTATCTTAAACAAAAGCACCACCCATTTTAACCCATTAGCAAGGCGAAAATCCACCAAAAATATTACCACTTTTAGATTTAAATATCATTAATAAATTAGATGTTTTTTCAACAGCCTTCCAAAATGCCTAACTATTTAGTTCCTAATTTTATCCAGAAAATATCAAATATTGATTCTTAATTTTTTTCTTCATCTTTACTTCTATATTTGTTAAGATTTTTGTACAAAAATCACTTTTTAATATTGTGTTTGTTCCAATTTTCCATGATATATTTACAAATTAATAAACACATTATAATTCTTTCAATCCTTCATCATTCTTTTGTAATTTAGAAGTAGCATCCGTTAAATCGGCTTCATTTTTCTCAATTCTTTATTTCTATTAATTTATTGTATTCGCTTAAGCTTCAACAGTTTATTGCAATATTTTATTTGCATTTTCCTCTTCTTTCAATTTTTTTTATTAAATCTCAATTTAGGAAATGTCTTCTTATATTTTCGCTTAAAGTTCTATTTATTTCTCTTTTAACTAAACTAATTCATCATTCATTTGTTTTATTTGTAGTGTGAATTATTCAATTTATTTTTCATCATCTAGTAATCTTTACTTTTATTATAAAGTTTCTTCTTGTAATAATTTCAATTACTTTTCATTATCTTCAGCTGTGATTAATGTAATCATTTTAGTTGAATTAGACTAAAATTATTGAAATTCTTGTTCAAATTTTTAAGGTTAAGATTAATTTCTTTCATCTACCTCTTTTTTTAAGTCATTATAAAAGCTAAAAGAATATTCAATTATAGATAAATATTGTTATAGTCTTTAGAATTTTTTAATGAATTAGTTATCATCTAATTTAATAATACTTTCATTATTTTCAATAAAATCTTCAATGTTTAATAAATTTAATTGATCACCTTGTAGTATATTCATTAAATTATGAATAGTTAAGATATCATATTACATTAGGCATTCAAGATTTTTCTTTAACATTTTATAAACCTTAGAGTCGTTTTCATCTTATGTTTTTTATTTTTCTTTTAACTCTGCATGCTAATCTTTTTTACACAAAATATCCACTATATCCATTACTTCTTTTTCATCCAATTCCTAAATATCCAAAATTGAAAGATCATTATCTTTCTAATCCAAATATTCCTATTCTTTAAATTATTTATCAAGAGATTAAACGATATCAGAGATTTCTTAGTTGTATTTATTTTTCAATTAACTAAGCATTTGACTAGTATTTTTAAATTTTCCTTTTCTTTAAGTATGATATGATTCATTGATGCTTTCCTTTTCTTCATTATATTTGCGGAATCTTTAAATAACATCGCTTAAACTAACATATTGATTATGAAATTCTTAAATGCATTAAACACATGCAAATCTATTTTAGGGTTCAGACTCATATAGATTTAAATCAACCATAATAATCACTTAGTTATGTATTTTACAATTCTACTTCAAACTTAGGGTTTTCTATATAATTTATTAAAAACTTACATTAATCTCCATTTAAAATGGCTCTGATTTGATCTAAAATGATTATTCTATTTTTTTGATTGATAATATTATTTGTAAGTATTCTTGTGAACCTTACATTTGCTTAACCTATTCCTTAATGGACCGAAAGAAATTTGAAATTATTTTTGATTTCTCTTGTTCATCAATATTACCTGAAGTGCCTTCTTGTATTGAATTATTTTCATCCAAGCTTTTTGATTCTCCTTGAGAATCTCCTTATTCTATTTCTTTCTAACTTTGAGCAATTTTTTCACCAATATTATTTTACAACTAACCAATCACTCCCTTCATAAGTTGATCAAGCTTATCAACTGATTATTAGAGTTCCTTCATATAATTGACTCGTTACTAAGTTTATTATTTAATTTCCATTTCGCATGTATTTCTCTTTTCCTTAGCTTTTATAAAATCTTCATACAAAATGATGTTTTGAATTCCAATCATTTATATAAGGCATTTTACACACAGATATTTGATATCTTATGAATCAGATTAGATCTCTTAGACAGCGATGATTTCAAAATTAGCATGATTTTGACATATTCTTTTTCCAAATTCTTGATCAGACATTATTTAATTTATTAACCTTATAAATACTTTAATTACTTTATTTGTATACCCTTCAACGTTTAATCTATTTAAGTGATAGCTCAGAAAATTATGTATTATTTAGAAATGTACTTTTTTACAATTATTCTACCTATTCGATAAAAGTATGAATATTAAAATAAAAAGGTTAAGCCAAACGGTTAATCTATTTTATATTTTCTTATTCCAATTGTTGTAGCATACTTAAATAGAAGAGTTTCTAATGGAATATCTAAACAAATAATTATTGAGAGTATATAGAACTTAATAATATTTTTAATTGGCACTGTTGTTAAAATTTAAACCCTCGAAAAGGCAATTTGATTTTTACCAAAACAAGATATTTTTCATTATATCTTTTTAATATAAAATTGTCAAACACAGATAATGTAAGGAAAAATCCAATTTTGGCAGCAGTTTTTTGTGCAAGATCCTTAAATCATTAATTTAGAATTTCAAATAATAATTTGTTGCTTAATTATATGTATTTCAAAATATTGTAACATGAATTTTTTGGAGGTTTTTAAATCATTCTATCTTTACTATTATCATTTCTATTAAGGCAAAAATGTATAATATTATTTGATTTTTTAGGTAAATTTTGTTTGGATTAATGCAATTGCATAAATATTAAGAATTCATCTATCAAAGTTATTTTTTATTTATATTTGATTTATTTTATATATATATAATATCATTTTAAAATAAGTTCAAATACTTCACATTCATCTAAATTTGGTGTTGCTTAACCAAACAAATGAATATTTTGAGTTGTAATTTTATGTTAATCAATTTAATAAGATGTCCCTAAAATGGAAGTTCCACTTTAAAAATCAGTACCAATTTAGAGGTCATGTCCGCTTCCAAAAACAGGACCTTAATTGGAGTGACAATAAATAGCATTAGCTTTATTAGCTTCTTTCAAAGGGTAAAATTAGTTATGAGTCTAAGAAAATATAAATGATGATAATGTATCATCTTGAACATATCCATTAATAGTTTATAACCATTAACAAGGAGAAAAACCACCAAATATCCTTCCATTCTTAGACTTAAATATTATCAGTAAATTAGATTTTCCATTTATTTTATTCCAAAAGCTAGTCTGATTTAGTCCATCCTTAGTTGCTTAATAAATAAGTAGTTAACACTTAATTGTCTTTTTTACTTTAGTCTCTATCTAATTAAATACTTAACCCGAAAAGTAAGTACTGAGAAGTTTAGATTATTCTTTTAATTACTTAAGGTCTTATGATGACTAATTGTATTATTACTGAATCCTTGCAATGTCTTGATCCTTTATGGTTAATTTTCCTTAGGCATCTTACTAGATTCTAGTATTTTCTTATTTTAATTATTAGATTTCCTATTTTAGTGGTTCAATCTACTTAAAATATTCATCTTTTTTCAATATTTCCTCTTTTTTTTCTTATTTTAATTATTCTATTTACTAATTTAGGATTTCAACCTTCTAAGTAAATTTCTCTTTTTCCTCTAAATTTTTTTTATTTTCTTGTTTTGCTTGTTCTATCTACAAATTCATTGTTTCAACCTGCTTATTCTAATTATTCAGTTATGTTTGGATAGTTTATTGTTATTACTTATTTTAAGTTAATTATTCTGTCAATGTAGATAGTTATTTATAGTTTGCTTCAGCCATCATCAATAATTTGATTTTATCCGAATTTTATTTGAAAGTTTCATATTATTATTTGATAATTTATGATTGAGTTTCTTATTTAGAATTCAATAATTCAGATAATTTTCCTTTTTTCTATAAATCGTCTATTTCTTGTTGTAGAGTCTTATAAAAATTAAATACATCATCAAGGATTGAAATATATTCAACCTGTAATTCAAATTTTAAAAAAAATAAATTCATATCAGGAGCTTTCTCAATTTCTTTAACTTATTTAATCTCATCTACCAATTATTATTATTAATTTTAATTCTATATTCTTAATAAATTATGTTTTGTTAGCAAGTCATATTTCATCAGATTCTCCAAATTTTATTTTAGATTCTAAAAGAAAATTGCATCAATTTAATCTTATTCAACTTACTCCTTTTTTAATTTTTTATGATTATCTTTCAAACAAATAATTTCAACAGCCTTCTAAATTTCCTGGTCATTTAACTCGTATAATTCTCCAACCACAGTTTAATTAGCTGATAACATATCTTTATTAATTATTCTCTTTCTTTCTAATTATTGTATGATATCAGTTAAGGTTTAATTATAAATATCCTTTAATTATTAAATAGATTTAATGGCAGAAGTAAACTTATTAAATCTGTTATTATTGTAATTAGTAATCATCTAATTTTATTACCTTTTGAATTCTTTCCATTTTATATTTGCATCTTCTATGGTTATATATTTTCTTTTTGGATATTGCTGAATACATCTTGAACAAGCCAATCTACTTTGGTTGGATTCGTTTTTTTTTTCATTGAGATGAATCATAATGATTTCTAATCCATGATCATTATTAATACATCTTTAACTTAAGCTAAGAGTTTTCTAATTAATTTAATGTAAAACTTACATGTTTATCAACCTCTTTTTGAGGGATAGGTTGCTCTATTTGATATTAGGATTTAATTTTTGTAATTGACCCAAATATTTGAGAGAATTATTATGCATTTGCCATATACGACAGTTGGCTTTAGACATTTTCCATTAACTCTTTAAATTCATCAATATTTACTTTTTCTTTGGGAATATCATAATTCAAATTTCCCTTATAGTGAATAGATAAAGTTTCAAAGTCTTAATCAAATTTTAACTCTTCTACAGATTACTCCTTAAATTAAATTTCTGATTTATTTGAATTCTTAATATTATCATCAAAATTATCTTAAAGCTTCCTAAATGTATCTGAAAAAAGTTTATTAATTTCAGAGACAGATGTTTAAAGATTCTTTATATTTTCCAATGTTTTTTGGGTATCGTTCATTACTTATATTTTACACTTTTATTTCATATCCTAAATCATTTTAAGCCCTTCTTTTAGAAGTACGATGTAATTTTCGTCAACTCTCTTAATCAAACATTTAACACATAAAAATTTCTCTTTCTTTTCTTTTGCTGCTTTTAGATCAACAGCAACTATTTCTAATTAATGAGTTTCACAAATTTTTATTTCAAGCTCGATAGATGACATTCTAAGGTATATATATTATCTAAATATTGTTCAAAAATTGAATATCATCTCAATATGCGAATTAAATATAATAGAATTATAAACTATTTCTATTAACCTTTGTTAAATTTTATTTAAATTCCCCAATTTGACAATTAATGATACTCTCTTTTTATATAATATAATTGAAAATTAATAAACTAATAGAAAAGTTTAGAACATCTAAATGAATGCTCCTTGTAAACGATTCTCAAATTTTCATAACATGCAGCTGGGTGTTCAATTTTCTTGTCCTCCTAAATTTTTGATACCCTTCTTATTTATTTAATCTCTCTAATTTGTTTAATGAGCCTAATTTTCTTAGCTGAATTTTGCTCTTTTAAACTAAGATTTTTTTATTTAATCTAAGTGCATTTTTGATAAATCTATTTTTTAATTTAAAGATGATTCTTCCGATACTTAATAATTACTTTGTTTGAAGCGCTAATAATTTCAAATGGTCATAATTAGTAGGAGGTGGAAATGATTTTGGGTCCATTTTGCGTCTTTCTTATTATCTCAAATTTCATTTCTTTGATCATTTATAAGTGAGTATCTTATAATATAGAATAGGTTTCTTGTTGTTGTCATTGATTGGAAGAATTATTTAAATATTTTTTTAGTGAAAATATTGTTGATCTAAATTAATTTTTAAATATATTATCCTATTTCCCTATTTTGATTGAGAATTGCTTTGTTCAATTGCTAATGATCATTAATTTCGAATTCTGGTTCTATTCCGAGGAGTTAGAATTTAAATGATTGATTATAATTTTATAGATTAATAATGATATTAGTTAAAAATAGTAATGGTATGAATATATAGAGTTGACCTAATAAAAACTATAACAACCGGATAATTATGGAAATTATGATTAAAAATAGGACAAAAATAAAATAACCAGATCAAAGAATTAAATTAGTTTGCTTTTTGGAGTGCTGCTTTCTTAAAACAATTTTTCCAAGGGAATTTTGCTCTTTTGGTAATGGTTAGGGGATTGAAATAAAATTTATTTTTTCGAATAGATTTCTAAGTGGTAATATGATATCGTCTTGAATGCTGAAATCATTATGTGTCTAGATGAATAATATAGAATTACCATATTTTCAGAGAGGTGATACTATTTAATTTTGGATTTGGTTTATGATATCAATCTTTTAGAGTGATCACACGTGATGAATTAGTCTTTTTATCCATGTATAACTAACATGGGACATGTTACATTTGAAATGATTTTTAAATTATCAAATTTCTGATCTATCAACTTAGCCAACACGGATCCTAGTTAGTATTATTTATCATACCTATAAAACTTTGAGCAACTTCTTTAAGACTGGTGTAACCACTAATCGTTATGAGAGCAGCAGGATTGAATAAGGAAGCCAATAGACATGCAGGACCACATCCCATGCTTCTTCCCATGAGAATAATGTTATCTTTTTTGATTCTTCTTTTGTTGATGAAATATTAATAGACAGCTATGGCATCTTCAGAGATGATGTCTGCAGAAGCCTAGTTTATAATTATATGGTACTGATTGATTTTAGTAGATTCCATAACTAGGATACTCGACTAAGATTAGATTTACGTTAAATGTAGAAATGATTGGATACAAATATTCATAGCAATTATATCTAGATAAATGAATTATTTCTTACATGTCTTCACTGTTAGAATGGAAAAACATTATGTATTTATTATTGAGGTCATCTAGGAAGTTCTCATGCTTAACTAGCAGAACTGGAACTTAACGATTTTATGGTACACCTGAGACTTTATTTAGAAGTGATTACTGCATGTAAAACATTACTCTGAGTTGCCTGATTAAATCTGGAGTAGTTCAACATTTGGTAAAAGTGATATGGATACTTTGGTGTAAGTTGACTTTGAGCTAGGAAAGAAGAGCTTGTTTAGTTGCATCACTGTTTAAATATGCTTAACAAATAATTAAATAATTATTAAATTATGCATTCCAAATTTATACATCAAGCACAATCGACAAAAACAAGTGAACCGGCTGCTCGAATATTCCGTTTTGAGAAGCAATCATCTTTGAGATAAAAACTCAAATCAAATGAAACTGACAATGATGCAGTATCAAGAAGAGATAGAGCTATCAAGTCAGTCGTAATTATTATTACTATGTTAGACAATCCTATAAGAGATTACAATTACGGCTAACAATTCTAGCAATTCAAAAAAACTCTTCAAATTAATTAGTTCATTTATGTCACAAGAACAACAGATGCAACAAATTACTGAGTAATTAGATAAAACACAGATTGTAACATTGTTCCTTAACATCCACCTTTTTCAAATACCTCAACTAGTCCACTTTCTACATCTACTATATGACTGTCTCTTATAATTGGATACACAATTTCAGGATGTTTTTAAATATATTTTGTTACTTAACTACGAACTTTACCAAGGTTAAGCTGGATAATTAACTAGAATACTTGAAATCTTGTCTGAAATGCAAATGCTCAATCCTGATTTTAGTGCTTTTGAAAATGAGTTCTAATTTGATATTGAAGATGTAAGAGATTTCTAATTCAATCTAGGTTTCTAATTCATTTAATCGAGTTTAATTGAGAATTCTATTCTTAGCTAGCTCTATTGACATTTTACATGCATTAAAGGGTTCTGTTTCTCTCTTTGAGTAATTAGAGTCCTTTGTCTTTTCATCTATCAAAAAAAATGAAATTCCTAATATCAATGATCTATAAACTCTTGTTATAGCTTATATCTTATTAAGTGAATAATTAGATATCTCAAATAAATTAGGCTATGCTAAGCAAGCACTCGAGATTATAGGCAAGAATCCTGATTATTCAATTTTTGAATTGAAGAAGAGATTCATTATGAATGCAACAAAATTATCATAAAAGTACTTAGGACAACAAGTTTATGATTAATTATTGAGTATCAATAGATCATTCAGTCCTGGATTCACTAGATAATCACTCACTAATCTAATTCCAAAAGACAATTAATTCTTCAAGTTCCTAGTGTCATAATTAAAAATTACATATGCAATTGATAATGATTCAAATTTTTAGATTGATTCTAAGTGCAATAGTTTATTGACTGAACCTATGATCAATCAACTCTTGGATAGGTAATTCAAATATATAAACAATAGAGTCATTCCATAGGCAATTAAAAAGGAAAAAGTTAATTCAACATTTACTGAACAAAGCTAATAAGACAAAAAACCAATAATCATAAAGAAATAATTTTCCATTAAATAATTAAAGCAAGAAAACATCATTTCCTCTTAAGTTTAGGTACAAAATTAAGTTTAAACTCCCTCATAAAAAACACAACCCTAATAATCATCACAATTCAAATAAACTACTACAAACAAGTTGGATTCAAATGAGTTTGAAATCTTATAAAATAAATTGGTTCATCAATAACAAGAACTTCAAGATTTAAAGTAATTATATTCTAATTAAATGTTGCAAAAGAAGTCAGATCAAACAGCATAGCAAAGCTAATAGAATGAATAATTAAAAAAAAAAATAGAGTCATTAGAAGGAAATCTTGTTTAATTAAAAAATGAAAATGTTATTTATAAGAAAGAGAAAGATTAAAAACAAAGTGAAGTGTAGGAACTGAGATCATTCATTCAAGATTTATAAGATAAACAATAAAAATTAGAAAAACTGGTGTAGCAATAATATCAACAATAGCAGCAATAGCAATAAATACAATAATAATAATAAACTCTTCTTTAATAGTAATTATCGAATCCGGCACTGCAATATCTGAAAACTCAGTAAAGTAGCTACTCAACAAAGGCAAATACTAATATGAACATCTAAATCCCAATAAGTAATTCTGAAATTAAGAACAGACTCTTAGTCAGGGGTCAAAGTTAAATGAGCCATTCTCCTGGCGAAGAATTCAAAAATGAAATGGATGATACTAGTCCTAGAATCATAAGATAAAATTAAACTTATTTACTTCAATTATTGGATCTCCTTGATATAAATACCGGTTTTACTAAAATATATAATAAACTACATTCTTCAAATGAAAATAATCCTTGGGAAAGTGAAGTAACAGTAATTCATAACTTCAAAGTTGATGCCATGATAGCAGAATCAAGCGAAGGAAAGGTGCTGATGTTAAAGGCTTTTAATTCATAAAATAATTAAATTTGTTCAGAACAAATACAATTTGATCTCTTAAAAAGTTTACTAGGTTATGTAGATTTCCAAGACTCTTTGCCAACTAATTTACCAAATATAAGTACAACCCATCAATTCTTCAAATTCTTAATTTTACCATACACAGCAGTTGTCCAAGATGAAAACACTTAGTAATATAAAATATAACTTTGGCCTAAACCTTATGGATTATTGAATGGATTAAATTTAAAATTAGATTTCCTTGATTTTAATTGTCTTGTTTATGTACATCATTTGGAAACTGATTAATTTAGAGTCATAATTTTTGATCCTGCAAATTATGACTGCTTTAAGCTAGATTTAGAATTAGATTACTCAACTATGGACATATTCTTCCAAGATGCTAAATCTATTAAAGATGAATTCAACTATTATTGCAAAAGTAAATTATTAAGGCTAACTGAAAAGTCTCCTAAATTTGGAGAAGATGATGTGGCTGAAGCCCTGGTTGAACGACATTTCTCTAAAGAGAAAGTCAAAGCAGTCATAGAAGAAGCTAAACCGAATTAATCCTTTTCATAAGAATAAATTACTTTGAAATCCCCTCAAGAATTTCTTAAATACATTAAATCTATTGTTTAAGCTTTTGAATAGTAACTCAAAGCATAGCAAATCACTTTTGCCAATAGTATATTTGGAATGAAGTATTTCAGGTGTAAAACTTGGAATGCAGGGACAAAAAGTTAGATCTAAATTATTAAAGAACAAATAGATTAATAATAAATATCTATCCATCTAGCAAATTGCTTTGAATCATTTGGACCAAGTAAAACTAAACTCAAAGTTAAAGGTAATACTCTTATTAACTTCTCTGCAATTCAAAGGGAATTTGCTGTCTCTTATGATAAACTGCAGAATGAAGAGAGAGCAACCATTTTATAAACTATTTTATACTCCTACAACCTTAACATATTTGAAAAGTAATGTGAATAGGACGAGTAATAATTTGATAAAAACCCAATTATTTAAAGTATTTATGATTGTGGATCATACAAAAGGTAAATTATCTTCAAGTATCATAAGAGTTATTGCCTTTGACAATGGGAAAATAACTTAAGTTAGTATTTAAGTTATTGGGTCCAATAGGAGAATGTGTGGTATTAAATTCTCAGTATTTAATATTGATGAAACTATTGAGCATGGAGTGTTCTTGCCAGTTTCCCAAATTGAATGGGACACTAGAGCTATGGAAAAATAGAAGATTAAGGCATCAGTATAAAATGTACCATTTGCAGAGTATCTGCTAACTTAGATTCTAAAATGTCCAACTACCTCAACTGTAAAAATTAAAATTTACAAATATAGATATTATTTAAGAAAATATTAAATTCTGATTTTAGATCAAATCAAATTAATAGCAATGAAATTAAAAATCGAAAAACATTCATTGAAAGAATTGACAATATATTAACTTGGTAAGAAGTGGTTGCAAACTTATGAGTATTAATTTATATGTTATTTTTATTCATTATATTTGATTTCTTACGTTACATTAATTTGATTTGATCATTTCTGTTTCATCTAACGGATAAAAATCTTTAATAGCAAATTATTAATAATATCCAAAGTATAGGTATGTTATGGTAGTTATACTTCCTCCAAATGAAGCATTCTATTAATTACATGTATTTATTTATATTCAAAAGAAACTAAATAAAACACTTTATTAAATATTGGAGAAAAAAAGGCTAGAATTTGAAAATTAAGAATAATTCTTAAAATTGTAAGACTATTCTCATCATATTTCCTTTAAACACTATTAAATGATTTAATCTTTCTAATCTAATTTTCCGAATGTTCTGATTAATTAGAGATTGAATCTAGAAAAATAAAATTGATTTGACATCATTGGACTTAGAGCAGAGAAAACAATCAAAAACAGTGAATAAATGTATTAGGGAACAAGAGATGGGTTAAGTGATCATTTTCGATATTACATTAAAGGCAGATTTAACTTGCTAATAATTTTTTTATCCAAAGATGGATATGTATTTGGCGGATATACTCCTTGTTTATGGATTCCAACTTTTTACAGGGAAATATGTTTAAGATGATTCATTATCCTCATTTTAATTCTCGTAAACTCATGAATAGATTTATCATATAAAAAACAATCAAAGAGATAAAGCTATTTATTGTAATTATTATCATGGACCATGTTTTTGTAGTTGGGATATCAAAATACTATCAGATTTTTAAAAAGATCTTCTTATCATATATGAACGACTAATAAGTGTGATTAATATTTAATTCATAAAAAAAAAACTCATTTATTTCGTTAATGCAATCCCAATAAATGATTTTTTAAATTTATTTATCCTTCAGTCTATAAAGCAACCCATTAGTCATTACTTATCAATATTAATATTCAGTATTGATTGGATATTTAAAAATTACAGCTCATTTTAAATTATATAAAAAAAACATATAAATTCACTGATAGCTAAATAAAGACTACGAAAAAATCAAATAAGAAGAGCCAAAAAATATATAGAAACATTTTAAAAGGGTTTAGAAACTTCAGATCCAATGAAATCACCTTGGAGAGAAAATATTCTGGTGATTTTGTAGTGCCTTTGATAATTTTAAGAAGTTCTAAATACTTCATCAGTGTAGATATTTTTCTCGAATACACGCAGCATTTATCACAAACTAAGCTCAGTTTTGTTTATATTTTGTAAATTCAATCCAGCATGCTTCAAAAAAGGTAGATTTTTAATCATCTACTAAAAATAACTAAAACAAAAATTGAAGTAAATGGCTTTAATATTAATGTGATTTTTCTAATAGATTCAGCTTCAATAATATTTTTTATAGTTTGATATTTTAAATTCACATTTTACAATTTGGAATCAAGTAGTATAATGATTCCATAAGTCTTCATAAATAAATGTATTTTGAGAATTAGGTTATGATTATTTGAGGAAATAAACTCATAAAATCGTATTAAATACAGATGTATTTCTTACATTCGTTTACCATCACAAGGTATTCTAATAAATTAATATCTAACAATCATATTAGATTCTAACAAAGAACTCTATATTAATATTAGATAATTTTTTGGATTTCCTCTCCGTTATCTCTATTTTTTTTTTGAGTTAATGGAGTTCTTGGTTGATTCAACATTTTAGGACAGAAAGAGTTAAACAATTGTGAAACTAATTAGATCTAGGAAATAAATTGAGAGGATATTAATTGAGTTTGGAAATCTAAAAAAAATATATTCAATTCACTTTTAATTCTATTTAATAATGAATTAAATCTCGATAGGCTCACACATCATTATATCAATATTAAAAATCTTCATCTCAATTTTCAAAACAAATAAACTCATCGTTTATCCGATTTCTGAAAAATAATTTCATTAATGGCGATTATAAATTATCTTTAGTAAAGACAAATCATAATTAAAAAGTGAAGTTATGTTAAATTTAACAGATTCTATATTATTTTAGAAAAAACCTCTTTATTTATATATATGAATTATTTAAATTAGTTAAATTTATAAGTAGGATAAATATAATGTTAAATTATTTTATAAATATAATCTTATATCCATATCAAAGAAAATAGATATTTTTTATTAAATAATAATAAGAATGGCAGAGAATATCATTCCATAAAAAACTGAAGGAGATGAACGACCCAGTCTGTGTTTCTAATAAGAATTGGATGGAGACAGTATTGTGTTAATTGTTATATTAAGAAATAATCTATAAGGATGTTAGAAAAGCAAATATTCCAAATACAGCAGATATTGCATACTGTGAGATAAGAATAACTGAATTATAGGCTGAACTAGATGCCTAACGTGAGTAGGTTTTCAAGTTAGAACAACAATAAGATTTGTATGTAACATATGAATAGACAGTAAATATTACAATAATAACTTTCTAGATAAATTAATTGCAAGAAAGAAACTAGATTTTAAATGATGAAAATAAATAGCTGACACTTTTGCTGCGTTCTAGAACGAAAGAGTTAGATTTAGCAAAATTTAAGATTCTTGAATATGAGTAGCAATTAGAGAGATTAAGGGATGTAGAATAAGATTATAAAAATACTTATGACTAATTGTAGGTGAGAGATAAAGAACTAAGAGAGGTAATAATTTTTTACTAAGTAAAAGTTGACAGAAAAGTACGGATAATTGGAATTGAGGCACTCACAATAGAAAGTACTTGAATTAGAGAATTTTGAACTTCAAAACAAATTATCCAATCTCGAGAGTGATTTGAATGTGTATAAGGATAGGAACATCAAATTAGAAGCTGAGAGAAAGAAACTTACAGATCTGAAGACGGAAGTATCTACAATTTCAAAGATTGAAGCAACTAAGAGTGAGGTCAATATTTCGTAAGTTGCTATATCATAGCCAGCATAAGATTATGCTAAATTCAAGGCACAGATATAGGAATAATCTGATCTTATTAACTAAATGAAAAATGATATTCAGGAAAAAGATCATAGATTAGGATTGCTTAATCATGAACTTATTAATTTATAGGAAATATTATCAAATAAGAATGAATTAATATCTTAATTACAATCGTAACTAGATTTATCTGATTCTAAACTAAAGGAATTAGAAGGCATGGCTGATAAATATAAATCTAAGCCTACTACTATAATTAAAACTATTGAAAAAATAGTTAAAGTCACCCCAACAGATGCAGACGAAGAAAAGGTCAGGCTAAATAATGAATTAGAGAGAGCAAACTTTGAAATCGAAAGATATAAGTTTGAATTTAACTAATTGTAATAAAAATTAGAAACTCAAGAGAAAATAATATCTGATGTAATTGTCATTAAAATATCATTTTAGTTAACAAGAGATATCAGATAAATAATTTCTTTAAATGAAGAAATTGAGTTGTTAAAGATAGACAAGGCCAATCAAATAAATGCTTTAAATTAAAAGGAATAAGATTATGAATTTACTTTGAATTTATTAAATTAAAAAACACTAGAACTCTAGAATCTTGATAAACTTAGGTTTAATTTAGCATTTGCTGAAGATCAGATTCAAACAAAACAAAGAGAGATTATCTCTTTGAAAAGAAGGGTTGGAGATGTTGAGAATTCAAATAACTAATTAAAATAGTTATAACCTGAATTACGAGAGGCAAAGAGACTTATTGAAGAATTAAGATCTGAGAATGAAAAATAAGATTAATAAATTAAGTAACTCAAATCCAATTTGATGGATGCTGATGTTGTCATTAATTAGTTAAAAAAATTAGAATAAAGAATCAAAGCATTATAAAATACAAATTCTTTATTAAGACAAGAAATAACATAAACACTTACTGAATCTGAATAGTGGAGACAAAAGTACAATCAAGGATGCTCTGAAATTACTAGATTATAGAGACTATTAGAAGTGAATTAATAAAGATAATAACTTCTTAATGAATTAAATAAGAATTTCAAAAATGACTTTGAAGTACCTGATATCAAAGTAGACCCACTTCAATCTCCCCAAAGGTTAACTAAGCAAATTATTTAAGATGATTCATAAATTTAAAAAATGAAGAATAATTTAGTTGCAGTTGAATTATAACTAGAATCAGTATTTAGAAATAAAATACTTGAATAATAAACTTATTAAAGCTAGATTGATGAAATTAATTCCAAATATCAACTGAAAAAGGGAGAAAGCGAATCATGGAAATAAAAATACTTAAAATCGGAATAAGAAAATGTTAAATTAATGAATATCAATGAGAAATACACAGTATTATTACAAAGATATAATTCTTAAGAAGTTATTATAACTAGTCTTAACGAAAAAGTCAAATTATTGACTTTAGAGATGGATAAGAGCAGAACTGAAGTTTTTAATTTGCATTTGCAACTAAGTCAGTTGGACGTTTATATATAAGAAAGGGATTAATTCAAGCAGAGAGCAGACGCTTATTATTCAGAGATTTAAAATCAATATAAATAGATTCCACTTTTAAAAGCATAAGTATTAGATTTAACAAGATAATTAAAATTGACTGAAATCCCTGTGATTCATGTTGCTTAAAAAACTGATGCCCTTGAAAAACTAAGACAATAAAACGTGGAATTAGAATAAAAAATTGATGATACATTAGAGGATTAAATTGATGAATTGTACTAAACTAATCAGGTCTTAAGGTAAGAATTGACTAAATAAATTGATATCAATACCCAATTGATGAAGGATTTATCTAATGCTGATAGAAAGAAGCAAGATATACTTATAGAACTTTAGTTATTATAAGCAGTTGAAATAGATTACTAATAATTAAAAATTGCATACTTAAACAAACAAAAAGAAAATGATAAAATTAAGATGCTAAGTGACTAAGTTGAATTCAATTAAAGAGATCTTGAAAATGCTATACATTCATCAAATCAATTAGGATTAGAATAAAAAAATGAAATATTAAAATTGAGAGAGAGAACAAATAATTAAAATGATTAAGTAAATTAATTATTAGTCAAACTTAATAGTTTATAATAATTGAACAATGATTATAAATTTAAATTAAAGATGTTCCCTGAATTATAAGAGAAAGTGAATACATAAGCCAAATAGATTGATGATTTGAAGAAGGCATTACAAAGTTCAAATGAGATAAGGGATGAATTAACTGCTAAATGCACTTTATAATAAGTCAAACTTTAAAGTTTAGGTCCTCTTTAATCAAAGATTGAGAGTCTATAATTGATACTAGATGAGAGATCAAGATAATTAGAGATATAGTAAACAAAAGCTTTAGAATTGGAGGATAGCAAGTCAAAACTCAACTAAGAATGGAGAAAGAAATTTGATGCTGTTGAAGTCTAATTAAAAAACCAAAAAGAATTAGAGTAATTGTTGAAACAATAAGAACATGATATTAATGATATGATTAATTTGAATAATAAATTAAATGTATAGAATAAAGAATTAAATGTTGCTAATTAACTACTGAATAAAGATGTTGATCAAAGAGATATCGAAATAAAGAGACTGTCAGCGATTGAAACCGATTTCAGAAAATTAAATGAGAATTTATTAATTGAATTGTAGAGAATTGCAGATCTTACAGATAAATTACAAATTTCATAAAATCAATATGATGCTGCAAAGAGAGATTAAGAGAGATTAGAAAATAAGTGTGCTATGATGTCTAGTGAAATTGAGAGATTATCTGTTATGGTTAAAAATAAAAATATAGAAATATAAGGAAATAAAGCTATTTTACATTAGAATCAATCACAAATTGATCAAGTTCAACCAATATTTGTCGAGAATAAGAGATTATTTGATGAATTAAATAATGTATTAAAATCGAATGAAGAATTGAAAATACAGTCAATATAATTGTAAAAATAAATTGATGAATTAAAATCAACTATTAGTAATGGTAGTAGCTACGAAAATTAATTAAAATATGAATTAGATTAACTTGAATAGGTATTAAGAAACAAAGAAAATGAAATCAGTGAGATCAAATAATTATTAAGACAAAGTGAGAATTAAGTGAAAGAGACTAAGAGAGATGATTAATAGTGGATAGATTAATAGACAGAAAAAGAGAAATTAACAAATCAATTCAATTATGTCAATGAATTGTTGAATTCTAAAAATGTTGAAAATGAACAATTAGCTAAATAAAATCACTTATTGTAATCCAAATTATTGGATAATTAAAAATTAGATTTCGAACATTTGGAATTAGCATTGAATACAAGAGACAAAGTAATTGAAGAATGGAAAGGCAAATTTTAGAGATTATAACAAGACTTATAAAAAGTTATAGAAGATAAAGTAGAATTGGAAAACAGGTTCAGTACAGTAGATTTAGAGATTGAAAGATGGAAAAGAAAGGCAAATTCTAATTCAGCTGAAATTGAAATGTTAAGAGTAACCATTGATTAACTGAATGATGAGATTGAAAGATTAAATAAAAATACATAGGACCTCTTAAATGTAATACTTATCTTATATATAAAAGGAAAATGATTCATGGAGGCATAAGTATGGTAATTTATAATAATTGATACCTTAAATGGTACATCATTAACCAAATCCAGAAACTTAAGCATATTAGGTTACTCCAGGAAACAGTTTCAGAATTCCCCCAGGAACTGAAAGAAATTAGGGTAGCTTTAGAAATTAGCCACCTCCTCTTGATTCTAGAAGGTCTTTTAGAAGAGCTACAACTATCGGTCTAACAAAACCATGAATAGTAAATAATAAAACCATATATGATATAATGAACATAACCAAGCAATTTTGATTTTAAGTTCTATAAATTATTGCTATTTAATTATTTTTGAGTTAAATCTCATAGAATATAGATGTGAAACTGCTCCAATGTGAGATGATTAAACATTTAATATATGACAGAACACTTTTTATAATATATTTATCAATCATCTGTAGCAATTCTAATCTAAAATATAGGATCTTTGTCAAATTGTTATTTTTGGGTGTAAATTGGAACTAATGCTTCAAGCTACATTCCTCCAATTGGCATTGACACTCCAATACCAAGAGAAGATCTAAAGTTTTATAATAATGACTTTGGATGTCCAAAAGTTAATAATGAACCATACCAAAATAATTAATATGATAAATTTTTTTCTTTCATACCTGAAAGATTGTGAATATTATATTTAAAATCGAATTTAGCAAAAGTGTCATATTTTCTATTATACAATTTGCTCATCTCAATCATTTGATTAAAGCCTCTAAATTAAAGATTGTGAAATGTATCATTTAAATCTAAATGAGTTTGACTAAAGGCTAAACCATAGTTAAATGATAATTATATTGATGAATTGGCAATCAACTTTTTAATTTTTTTAATTCTATTTCTATGTTCATACAATGGAATCCATAATTGATGAGACATCCATACTTTGATAAAGGGATTTAAAGTTAACTTAGGTATTCCTAAACTACAGTTGAATTTGTTGTTATGACCTTCTATTATCCCTTAATCTGCGTATATTTTTGAAGAAAAAGGTCTAGAATAAGATATGATAGTGGATTAAGTTGGAAGAAAATCTAAATTATGCATGTATTTTCGAAGAAGATACCTCCCTTATAACGATTCTTCTTCTTCAATTTTATTAAATCTGAATTAGTTTGAGATATTCAATTAAGTAGTTTCATTATTATATGCAAAGCTAAATTCACTAAGATTTTCATCTATATTTTAGATTTACGACATTTGAGCTTATCTATATGCAAACGAGTAACTAGAATCTTTATAATCTTTGTAGGACCAACTTAACGACCAATTTGATTTATTAGTACTTAAATTTTAATCATATTCGAAGGCTAATTAATCGTGGATTCCAAAAAAATTTTTATTTCCAAACTTCATCTTTAATTAATAGCCTTGAGTATCTATTTCATTCGATGCAGATAGAAAATAGGGTAATTTATCTTAGATATCAAAATGTAAGATGATTCCATGTGGATACTTCTTTTAGGATGGAAGGATGAGTAATCTAATTTGGGAATATAATTTTGTTCTTTCAAGGGCATCAATAAATGAAGATGAGATTGCCATGAAATTTTCTAAAGATAAGGATTTATCTTTGATGTGCTTTTTGTGTTCCATATAGTAAAAATAAAACAATTTTCTTAAGTAATTTTATTAGGTTTTGGTTGATGAGAAAGTGGCTCCAAAATAGTTAAGTTTCATTTCTGACGCTGGTATTCCATGCTTTTATTAGAAATGATTAAGACAATCTATAATTGGTTCTTTGTCGCCATCATTATTGTATTCTTCTATAATCATAAATATATTTTTAATTTTTATAATGACTACTATTCTTCCATTAGGTAATATTGTTGTTAAAAAGATTAGGTTTATTGGATAAGGCAATATCATCAAGAGTATGGATTCTAATGAAAGATGATAGAGAATTCGAAGGGACTTTACGTGGTTTTGATGATTTCTTTAGTATTAAATTAATGATTGATTAGATATGGTTTTGGAGAATGTGATTGAGTTGGATGGTGGAAAGAAGAATAAATTGGAATCAATTCTTTTGAATGGTACTCAAATATGTTTGATTGTTCCTGGAGGGGAAATAAGTTGAATAATATTTTTAATATGTTAATAATCATATTATTGTTTTAATCCTGTAGGACTTAATGTTACAATAATTCATTGATTAATGTGGATTAATAGACTTATTACTACAGTATAGATTGCCAACCTCCTACTTCATTAGAGCTTAATTGTTCATCATTATCTAGTTATGTAGAGATCAATGTCGACTCATCGATTTCTTGGAATTTATCTAGTTTTATTACAAATTGTGGTGGCGTAAAAATAAATACATCCTAAATTGAGATTGGAAATATACATAGCAATCAAAAGAAAGCTGGATTTATTGAGAACAAATATATAATAATTGTAGCATCTTAAGACTATTCATTTTTTGCAAATGCGTAAATTAATATGAAGAATTATTTACTTGCATTCTTTCTTAATAGCACTCAAAATTCTACAATTCACAAATTAAATGCTACTTCTAATAAGATGCTGTTTGTGTTTAATAATTCTGTGACTTTTGAAGACTCAAATTTTTTGATGACGACATAAACTTGTACAAATAATGTGAATATATTACCAGGAATGATTAGTATTTTCAATGTCAATTTCGAGTCTATCGAAGATTATTTATTGCACAATTAATTTATCAATTTATAGCAACCTACTCGTTTTACTGCTTTCTTTCAAGTTTCTAACTACACCTTCTTTGTTTTTAGCAACTCTTCTTTAACATTAATAAACTCTTAAGTGATTGCAAGTCAAATAGGAGTATTAAATAATGGCACCATAATTTTGGAAAACAGCAACTTAAATACTTCGTTTTCTGGTTGTTACATCAATTAGGGGTATTTTAATGAGTTATTTTCTAATTAGGAATGCAAGAGGTCCTGAGTTCATTAATTATAATCAAAAGTGTTTTGCAAATGGTGGTTCCAACTCTGGATATGGAGGAATTGGATTGAATATTGGGGACTCTTATTTAAATGATTGCATATTTTTAACTAATTCAACTAGGTTCATGTTTGATTTATATCCATATGGTTATTTGCTAACTAATCTTTATCAAGGATCAGGTGGCAGCTCTGTAAACCTCATTGAATTAGTGAAAGAATTTGGAACTGTTTCCAAAAATCTATTATATGGATTTGGTGGAGGTTCCATATTTATATATGCAAATCAATCAGTAAGCATGAGTCATTCACAGTTGCTTGCTAATGGATCGCCAGGATATGTTGATTCAGAGACTAATTATAGTATTGGTGGAGGTGCAGGAGGATCGATTAAAATATATTCCACTTAAATTATTAGCGATCTGACAAGTAATATTTCCATACAAGGAGGAGATAGCGATTCTAAAGGTTTAGTTGGTGAAGGAGGTGGAGGAGTATTTTAATTCAAGTGTTTAACAACTCCTTTGAATATTAATCAAGCTCAAAATTTATCCTCTTACTGTTCAAGTAGCTCTTATAATGGAAACATCCTAAATGGACCTGGTTTAAGATATAAATAACTAGGAGCAGGGTTAATTGGATAATAAGGAAATCTAATTGAACCTTTGTGTCCCCCTGGTTATAGAATCTCCAATTTCTAATGTGTGCTCTGTAATCAGTAATAATACTCTATTTGGTGGAGTTCATAATGTGTACCTTGTCCATCTACCTATGTACTCTTTTTATAATTATCAATAGGGGAAATTTTCTTAAGATAATACATTTTGTAATTAAGCACCAAGTTGTTAAACTGCAGATTGCTGTATTGAAGATTTTAAAATTCTAAGGAATACTGGAATTTAATTGGTAGTTTTTATGCTGCTGATCATTATTGGTTATGCATTAAGAAGATAATACAAAAAGAAAGATTCTACTACCGAAAAAAACTTTAATTTTGAAAATGCCACCAAAGAAATCATAGCAGATAAGATAATCACTGAGAGTTTGTAGGAAACTGATCAGTTTGTATTAGGAGATCTAATGTATCATGCACATAGAATACCAGTCATAGGTAATAATACTTTTCTTAATCCGTGGTTTTTGCATTCTGAACCCCCAGTTGAAATAGATAAGGCAGTAAATAAAGAAGAGTATGAAAAGTTTGCAAAGAATTTCAATGAGATTGCAGCTTGGAGTAAGACAAAATATATTATTTTAAATTTCTTGGCTATATTATATTATCCATTATATTGGGGTTGGCAAACGAAAATTAAAAAGGATAAGTATAAATCATTAGCTGCTTTACTAAATAAAAATGAAATACCAAAATTCTGGAAATAATCATCGGATCAAACTTATGGTAGATTCAAAATGACTAAAAGTGCAGATTACACTCTTCTATATATCGATATATTTAATTATAAGAATTGTGATCTTAAATACATTTATCTAACCTGCCCCTTCATTATTTATCTGTCTGGTGAAGGTAATTATTTACGACCATTTTATTTATGTGAATCAGACTAGTTTTTAGTCTCTCTCTTCTTTGCTGTCAATTAAACAAAAAATTCTATTTAAAATAGATAAAATATATTGACTAATCTTGTCTGTAAAGATGAGAGAGAAGAAAACTCCAAAGAGATCAGAAGATTCTTAAAGAAATTCAATAAAGTAGCTATGACTTTGGATTTAGGAGCACTAGATTCGAATTTCATATCAAATTTTAAAAGATTATTTGATTTATTAGAGAAATGGAATAACTAATTCTTTAACAATCATGATGTAAAATTGCAATTATTAGTTGCTCAATTTCCATTTGATTCTCAACATCAATCATCCACAATCACATTGATTGAAATGAAATAGGAAGCTTAATTCAAAGAGTTTATGAGAGAACTTCATAAGAATCTGATCTTTTAAAAATTACAGGATGTTAAATTTGGGGTGTTTATTTTTAATACGGAATAAGATCCTGCCGAAGTTGATTAGCAACTGAAAAATCAGAAACTCAGTTTTAATGATATTGAGGATTTTTCTATTAGAAATATCGAATATGACTATGATGATGAGAATTCAATTGATGTAGAATTGTTGAGAGAATAATTTCTATCTAAAAGTACCGACAAAGATCACCTATAGATGGGACACACTAAACATTAATTCAAATAAATAACCAAGAAGTAAAGTCAAAGACCGAATTCTTTTTCAAAGACTTATCATCTAATCATAAGAATCTTTGATTATATCAGATTCCAATCATTTTCTCATAAACGGACCTTTTTAGATAAGTATACGCTGATCATCATGATTTGTATACTAATCTTAATAGATAATGTAATATTTTATTACAATATTTAGTTCTTGTTACAAAGCATTTTAAGTTTGATCATAGAGAAGTATCATCAAATGAGAAATTCTGAAAATCATTCCAAAGAAGATATCATAATTTTATAATTAATTTTATTCCCTTATCCACTCACTATAATACTATCCAATTTATTTGAATCAATTTGGGTATTTAATTATATTATATTAGATACCAAGTCAATCTTATGGTATTTTGAAATTGTATTTGATCTTTAATGCCATGGCCACATTTCAATACTTTGTCAGTTTGTTAATCTTTGTTTGTAATCCCAAATAACAAATATGCATTCAAGATACCTTGACCTTTTTGTCATTTCTAATAAAGATCACACTAAATCAATTAAGTGAGAGATTAATACCTATGAGCACCAAATTGAATTAATTGAGCAATGAAAAATAAATGTGATTATTAATAATATAAAATATACTTGTACACGAAATGCAAATCACTTAAGATATGTTTAAATGGTTGAAGTCATTAAATGTAATCTAAAATGGAATTCCAAAATAAAATGGGAGAATTGAATTAGATCCTGAAACCACATCAGCCTTCTACAACGGTTTCAAGATGTCAGAACTCTTAGATAAATTAGTAGGTACTTACAATTAACAAATCAAAACACAAACTAATCCCACAGCTAGATTGTATAATTGGAATATAATCACAGAACGATTACATTAAATTAAAGTGGAATTGGATACTGAAATTAAGAAATTAATTATTGATGGTGATTTAGAAATGATTGTTGAAGTCTTGAAGGATATACAATCAAAATTCGTCAAAGAAATCACTTCCAAAATTGAAAACCCAAAGAAAAACTTCGACATTGAAACTCTCAATTCTGCAAAGCCAATAAGTTCTTGTGAAACCGTAATTGAATATGTAATCGTAGCCTTGAGTCAGAATCTTATCTTGAAACCTAAATAATCGTAATAATTACTTAATAACAATTTTAAATTACTTACGCATGTCTTTATTAAAGGAGTCAAAGGGTAGTACATTTAACTAGTAACACTACTATAAGAAATATATAATAATATGCCCAGATTAATTGAACTCTTAAGGGAAGAAGAACATCAAATTGGATTCTTTGTTTCATTTCTTAAACTCTCTATATTCTCTAAGGACTAAGAAGTTGTCCATTGGGGATTAAGATTACTTGGTAAATTAGCATATGATCTTGCATAATATGACTTGCTATTTCATATGTTTTAATGGTTATTAAGTATTTAATAGAATTCATCTCTTTAGGTTCTGGTTTATCTAGTCTGATTATTACACTCTAAAGATAACCCTAATTGGCTGAACCATTAGCAACTGCCTTAACTTAAATTGCATATTATGATTATAGTCAAGTGTTTGGACAATAGAAATATTTCGAGAATCCAAAAATCCTATATAGAATTCTATGGAGCATTGCTTCCTTATTTGAATTGTGATGTATTTTAGAATACTATTGATTTAGCTTATCAATTATAATTTGGAATAATAAATTCAGATAGCAATAAGATTAAGTGATAATCAAAGTACAAGAGATGAAAAGAATGTAGCCATCCAATTTCTTTGTAATGCATGGATCCATTATAATACATTTTTGGAATAAAATATGTAATATCAATAATCAATTTTGGCTATGCTTTAAAGAACTGCAAAGGATAGTTCAACAATATTGAAAACATACTCGATTACGCAAGCATTTAAATTGCTAGATGGATTGGCTTAGAAGAAAGTGGTTACAGCTGTATCCGTATACAAGAAGTTGATTTCAATTCTGATTGAGAGTCAGAATAATGAATATATAGTGAGATAATTCACTTACATTATTCAAAAATATCCAAGCATTCCAATAGAATTGTTGATTGATGGTTTAATTAAGAATCAACACCTTAATATATCTGATTGTGACACTTTATTATGTATTGAGCGCACATCAGAATTTAAAAGTATAATCAGCAATAACAATGTTGGAATTATTAATTAGAATTTATAATAGTAGTGTTTTATTTTAAAGTGCATTATTTCCAACTATATAACAAATCATTCAAAAATTCATAGAACTTTCAGAATTTTAAGAATATATGAATAGGATGGCGTAGACATGTTTAAATTTATACGTTAATTCTGTCAGATCTAAGAAGACAACCACTAATCAATCAAATTACTAAGATGATTCTGTAATAAATTCTTAAAGAAGAGCTTAAACTATATAGTTATTTAAATACATCATTTAATTGAGATGTTTTTAGATGAACAATATGCTCAAACCATTATTTGTGGGAGCACATCTAGAACTTAGAAGTATTGAAAATAGAGACAATAAGGGTATCATATAATTGTTGTAAATGCTCGGAGATCCAAATACAATTGTTGATGAATATGTGACCAAAGATCAATAGATGACTTCTCAATTATTTCTCGAAAAGAAAATGTAGTAAATGGAAGGTAGTTAATCATAAGCCTTGGAAGATCAATATCTTTAGAAAAATAAGAAACTATTTGAAAAAGAAGAAGATTTAGTAAAATCGTTATTACTTGAAGAAAAAAATGAATCAAAAAATCCTCAATAAACAAAAAAGAAGAAAAGAAATTATGACTTTGATGAATTTCAATGCGTTTACGAAGAAGGAGAATTGGCATACAAACCTTAAGATGTTTTCTTGATTGATTTTTCATTAGAAGAAGATGTTGATAGAGAATCCATGAATATTGCCATTAAGCATTTTTCTAAGACCTTCAGATATTTATTTAATAAGTATGCTTCAACTCCCCAAGAGGCTGCTAAGAATAGATTAAGAAGTTTAGATTAAAACTAGTTAGAATTAAGATCATCTGATATTGTTAAGATACTTTAAGATTATGAAATATTTAATTTTAGTACTTATGAGGAAATTATAAATCTTATCGCAACTGTTAATCATAAGTTTAATCTATTTAGTTTGAGTTCTCAAGTTAGACATCTACCATTAGACAATTAAACAGAAAAATAATCATCAATTTCAGCTACTACATCTAGAACAGTCAATTATAGATTAGATTTTGAGAATTTCAAAAAGTTTTTAATTTAATTTGCTGTCCTTATTTTTGGTAGACCTCCTAAAGATTTTAGAAAAATGCCTTCTGGACATGTTTTGGTTGAATTCTTTAAATATTTCTCCTTTGTTGCTAGAAGAAGGAATGATAATCATCTAATTTTTGATGATCCCGATGGTGTTACAACTGTGGCTGATAAAGGTACAATTCAAAAGTGGAATGCTTAATTATTGTAGAATCCACACATAGAAGTACCAGCTGAAACTAGATTAAAAAAAGTATAAATTGAAAGGGTATCTTTACAATATTAAATGAGAGATGTTATGAAAAATTTAAATAAATCCTATTTAACTTGTTTCGAAATTGTCAATGAACTTATCTAATCTAAATTTAAGTAATTTAATTGAATATATAATAATAGAACTAATATTGTAGAACCAACATTTAAAATCAATTTAATTTATGAAGTCAAACCGATTGCAGCAAAAGGAGTGCATTCTGAACTCAAAGTGGACCCTTTAATTGAGAAGTAAGAGCAATTAAAGAATTCTCTAACTTTATTGCCTATAGAGAAATAAGAGATTATGAATAGATCCTTAGATTTATCTTAATTATCTGAAGAGAAGATCATTAACAAGAGTATAGTTGAAAAGATTGTATCAAAGCAGGAAGAGGCTTTAAAGAAAGAATTGAAGGATCTCAAATGGCAAAAAAGAAAGGATTATCTAGACAAATAATAAGATAGAATTCAATAATTTAAGGAGAAGAAGGAAGAAACAAGATTTAATGATTCTCAATTAGTTGGTGAGTCATTGAGAGAGTAGAAACCAAGACATATAGATTATATGAATAATTTAAAGAAAGAGTTAAGAAAGAATTAATCAGAAGTTATTCTTAAAAATTCATAACCGCAACATGAAGAGAAAAAGGATAATAAAAAGAAGCCTTAGCCTTTATAATAATAGGATAATAAATAAAAATAATAACCTTAGGCACCCGAAAAGAAAATCTCAAAAGAAGAAAAGGCGGAAATTAGATTTAAAGCAAGAACCACTGAAATGGCTGCTCATTACAAAACATCTTTAGAGAAAAAGGAAAAACTAAATGAAAAGTTTTAGAATTTTTATAAAGATACAAAAGTTTAGGCTGAATTCAAACACTTTAGATCATCTGGAAGTGTGGTATTAAATTTAATAATTTATTGAGGCATTTAATCATTATCTTAAGTATTCTGATGCTTGGAATTATAGTGGTAAAAAGATTGTGTTGTAGGGATGGTTAGATTTTGCAAATGCTTTCAATTTAATGTAGGTATTCAATGAAGAATAATTGATAAAAGTGTTTACTAATACTTTAAAGTAAAAGAATTATGTAGCTCATCGGGAAGCAGTCTAAAAGAATTTAAAGTATCAAGATGAAATAGGTTTAACATATTTTGAATTTGAATACATGTTATTGAAAATAGCCATAATGGGTTAGGACTACTTTAATGCTATTTAAAGTGGCAAGAAACTAGATGACAATTTAAAATAATTAATTATTTATAAGGAGAAATAAAGTAAAAAACCCAAAATTAAACACAAATATGTTGAAATGTTGGAAGAAAATATGAATAAAACTACGAGCTTTACTTTAGCAGCATGCTTAGCTTATTTGGATATCCCTTAGAATAAGGATCTGTTTGCCGGTAAACTGAGATCGATTGAAGGTGATGATATTATAGAAGAGACAAAGCCAAAATACTAATCAGTTGGTAGATATTTACATTTATTATGTTGATTAGACTTATAATCATTGAAAAAGAAACAAGGACTACCAGAGAGTCCATAATTAAAGAAGAGTAGTAAATGGTCAGAGCCAGGAACACATGGAAAGGCTTAACCAGAGAAGAAACCCATGTCAGAATCTTAATTTAAGTTGCCTTATCTTCCTAAAGACGCTAAGACTAAAGAGTTGCTTGAAGTAACAAAAAAATGGGAAGAGGAGAAGAAGAAAAAGTGATTCAGTTTTATAAATTTATATTAATAATGAAATATTAAAGAGATTGTTTATATTTAGAATAGATTGATTGAGAAACTAATTAACATAAATGTAATATTGATGATGATGAGTAAGTTAATTATAAATGGATGTATTAATACTTTGAGATATTAATTGGAGGTTATGGAAGAAATTTGTTTATTAAAAAAATAATCAGAAATAATAAACGATCGTTTAGAAATGAGAAGAAAATGTTGACATTACTAAAGCAATTAACCAACAAGAACTAATCATTTGCATGTATGAGATATTATGAAAATTAAGTTGATAATAGTGGGAGTAAATTAATAATTAAATCCGTTCGATGTAAATTTGTATTTATGTTTGATTCAATCGATTATGAAGTTATTCCACAAATAAATATAGCCGCAGTCTCTCTATAACTATTAGTATCTCACAATTATCGATATTATAGCAATCAATCAATAGAAGAAACTCTTAAACAATAAAATCATCTAAACTCAATTGTAGAGATTTGGAACATAAACCAATACTAAAATTCAAGCTTAATATTATTTAATTTATTCTATATTATTTTTTTTATATTCTTCTATATTATTGAGACATGCGATCTGAATCTATCTCTTACGAAAAAGAAATGGACATTATAAAAAAAAGAGAATCCAGAAAAGAAAGAGCGAAATTTGAAGATATTATGTATTAATCACATAAATCTATCCTCAGAGAGGAAAATGAAAATTAGAAAATGACATGTTATGAAAGCACCAGAAATTGTTTAGGTTCATGCTTTGGAACACTACGAGCATGGCTTCCTTGTTGCTTTTGTTGTTGTCCTTATCCATTTTTTCTTATTACCCAAGGTTAAAAGGGATTGCTTCAAAAATTTGGTAAATACCAAAGAACCTTAGAACCTGGTCTACATGAAATCAACCCGTAATTATTTTATTCATTATTTGTAGATTTACTGACAAAGTGATTCCTGTCAGCACTAAAACTTTGTATCATTATCAAATTATAATTCAGTATTATCGATTTAGAAAGATAACTTGTCTTAACCAAAGACAATATAACTGTTAATATTGACACTATCGTTTACTATCGAGTAATAGATGTCATGAAGTCTGCCTATAGAGTTAAAATGATCGTTGAGGCAGTCAAAGAAATAACATATGCTGTATTCATGCATCTCTCTATTCCTATAGACTTTACGTACCATTTGCGGAGAACACACATTACAGGACATTATTGAAAATAGACAAAAAATAGCTGATGAAATTGAATCGTTCGTTTTTGATGTTGTTTCTGAATGGGGTATTCATTTACTATTATTAAGGTATTTATTTGGAGCATATTTTTATTAAGGATATGCATATGGGGGAAGAATTATAAAGCTCATTATCAAATGCTCCAAAAGCTTAAAGACTTGCTTAATCAAAAATTATTTCGGCCCAAGTATTTTTTAGATCACATTCTATAGAGTGATGTCGCTGCTGCCAAATTAATGAGAGAGGCTGCCGATATGTTGGATTCAAGAGCTGCTATGTAAATTAGATATTTTGAAACTGTTTAATTGATTGCGAAAAATCACAATCCTAAAATCCTTTTTCTAAATGTGGATTAATAAAATCAAAAAAAATGATTATTTAATATATTTTTAGAAAATACATGTTAAAATAGATTATTTTACTCTTATTTATTACATCCATTCTTACAATTGATTGCGATTATTGTAAAGCTGAATTGTTAGATAGTCTTAGAGTAATTTCAATAATATATTTTAGGTTAAAACGGATAGCGTGATTGTCAAATGCTTAGATTCTGATTTCTCTAAAAGTTCGGTTGGAACCATTTTTGGAAATTGTTTATCTATTTAAGGAGTGGATTCTGCCAAAATCAAATAGCTTGTATCTTGTGTGAGTTCAAAATGTTGGGATCAATGGATTAATCAAAAGAATGAATAATTTTTATTCTGAAATTGTTATTAATTTCTTTATTCAGACCTATAATCTAAAATTATAATTAATAACATCTTAATTGATGAACATCCAAGATAATTTAGAACTCTTAAACCATCAATTAAACGTTTCAAATAATAAACTTTTGCTTTAAGTTGAAGTACTCTCCCAACAAAATAATTTATTAAATAAGAAACTTGAGGAGTAATAACATATCACCAATCAAATTCAATACTTGCAAAATGAAAATAACTAACTTAAATAAGATATCTTAATACTCCAAGAGTCCTTATTTAATTTAAAGAATGAGAAATATAATGATATTGAATAATCCTACTCATCAATGCTTTTAGTTTAATCAAAAGAAAATGAAAAGGAGCTTTCTTATTTGAAATAAGAATATAAGGATCATATTTTTAAATTGTAATAAGAGAAAAACCAATTTTTTGAATAAGCAGTGTCTATCGGTATTTAAAATTAAACAGCAAAAAACTTGGAACTATAAACTACTAAAATCATCTAAATTGCATAAAAATTGGAGTAAGAGATTATGATTATTTTTACTATAGAAAAATTATATGTGAATCACAATATAATTAAGAAAATAAAATAGAAAAAGCAAAGACTGCTAGAGAAATTTACGATAACTTAATAACTTAATTAAATACAGATTTGAATAAAAACCAAAAAGAATACGAAAAAAATGACAAATTTAATCAGTATCCCATTTATTTTAAATATATTAGTACTTAAACATCCACTAAGAACTTTAGCTCTGCGAAATATAAAGATAAACCTATTAATCTCACAAGATTGTTATCTCTCACTAAAACAAATGAAACTCCTAAAAGTCAAGCATACCTTAATGGGCTTTCATTACAAATCGTGAACAAAAACAATTGATTTATTTATAATAAAATATGAATTGTGTTATCTATCTTAATAATAGTAATTATAGACTAGATCATTAAATTATATAAATAGAGTAACATGCTATTTTGAGGATATATTTATTAACTCATATGTATTAGATTTGATTTTAATATCAATTCATAAAAGTTATAATATTAAATATAAAAGTATTTTATAAAATTTCTGATTTTCAAGTCTAATTAATTAGGAGTGATTATCTATAAGTATTTAGGAAATAAGTCTTAAAGATTCAAATGTTTAACAGAATACTCAAAAACTACTAATTTTCATATATTAAATTTTAAGAAATTAATAATGATGCAATATATAATGAAATAATGTAAAAGGATTATTTAACATAGTTATCGAAAAAATAGTACAGTTCTATTGATTTTAGCTACATCAACTATATAATTAGATGTGCACATCTATCACTTGAATATAATTGTCTTTTTATTAATAAAAATGGAAATTAATAAATAAGAAAAACTTGAGATTTAAAAGCATATATATTCATCTGTTCTATTCTTAATGTACTATAGATACAAAATGATTTGTAATTACATGCACTCCAAAAAAATAAACGAAGCAGAGTAACAAAATAAGTCAATTAAATTTAGATATTTTATCAAATATTTCTAGTATGAGTACATATTTTTGATCTCATACAATCGATCACATTTTTTTATTTACTAATTATATTTATTAGAGTAAGAAGAAGAGTTATAAGTTTTAAATATTAATTTTTATTGATTCAAAATTATAATTATATGAACATCCTATGATTTAAGGTAATCCAAAGCATGGAATCAATTCTTATGATGGGATTATGATAATAATTATATAGATTTTGGAAAATGGATTGATTGATATATGTTAACAGTCTTATTGCTATTTTATATTCTTCGTTATTTTTTAATGATAAGATTTCAATGATCTTTTAAATATTAATTCCCAAAAACTATTATATTTGCACCTATTTTGTAATTAATTTTATGATTGAAATTGGATCACCTTCCTGCAACACAGCTCGAAATTTTCTAATGTCTAATGTTGAAATAGTACATCCTGAATAACCTTAAGACATTTCTTCCCTCAGAGAATCAGAAAATGAATTTGAAAAGTAATTTAAATTATCATCAGTCCCTCACATTACAAAAGGCAAATTAAAAAGAAATGTTTATATATTTGTATTCTTTTATAGGAGCATACTCGAACTAAGCAATCCTTCTTTTCGTTGATTAAAATCTAATAATTGGTTAACAAATTTAAAAAAAATTTAAGGAAAAATGCCAATTTATGCACTATGTATCCGAAATCACCTTACGTAGATTATTTATTACTATCTGCTTATAAAGGGAATTATGCAGCATAATAAAATTCTATGGTTATACGATTAAAACTGAAAATCAAATTTATTTGGGAAGTATTATTATATCTAATCAATTTATTGTTAATTTTATTACTACCTTTTCATTTCGAAGCAAGCTAGGATGAGATTGTGAAGTTGAATTTTTGTGTATTTGGTTTAGAAATGGGGATTAAATTTGTTCAGTCATTTTATTCTGAAGGTCGACTGATACGAGGAAGATATGAAATTATTAAGCATTATCTTAAAACGAGTTTCATTGTAGATTTCATAAGGATAGCAATTCTATTATCAACAATCTTAGAGATTCCTAATAGAGTAGAAGTAGAAATCATAAAAGATATAATCTTATACTCTATATGTTTATTTAAGTTGCATTTGAAATTTATATGTACAAATTACTATATAGTTAAATTTGGAGAGTTAATATTTTTAGTATTATTTGTTTGTCACTTTTTCACATAATAATTGTTTTATTGGGAGGAAACCGATTACATATATAGATTTGGTATGAGTTTGGATATCTTTTTGAGTAATTCCCTAATATAATTTCGATAAGAAGAACTATATCAATTGTTAAACATATTCTTTGAGATAGTATCATTGATAGTTAAAATTTACATATTATAGTAAATAATGAGTTATTGTTTGATTAACTAAGAGATTATGAAGAAGAAAAAGGACTTGTTTGATTTACATGGACATTTAAAATACTTGAATGTGTCAAATTTGATTTCTAATCGAGTGATATCTTATTATAAGACCATAATGAAATAGGATGAGAAAATTAAGACACAGGATTTTCACCTCTTCTTCAATGAAAAATTGAAACCAAATTTAGCTAAAGAACTGAAATTGTAAATACAAGGGAATTTCCTTAAGAATTTTAAGGTGTTCAATAAATTCACTGTTTAAACAAAAAAAAATTTAATTTGTAATATGGAGGAAGTAGATTTCAGTCCAAATCAAAAGATTTATTGCAAAGAGGAATAAGACGATTAATCCATCTTCTTTATTACCTAAGGTAAAGTGATGATAATGTATGGAAATAGTGAATTATAGATATATCATGAGAATTCTTCATTCGGTGAGATTAGTTTTTTCACTGGTTTACCAAGAGGATTTACAGCAATTAGTTTAGGATATTCAAGATTGTATAAAATACAAAGACTTGCCTATTTGAATACTGTTAGTAGTATTAATCAAGATTTGGTAAATAATCTCATAAATTTAGAGGAAACAGCCTAGATGATCAAAGACTAAATTGTTTTTTAAGAAAAATTCAACATAATTGGAAGGAAATGCATGTGTTGTTAAGATCAAAATCATTTGATTTAAAATTGTCCTTTCCTTCATTATAAGCCTAACAAAGATATAATTTTGAGTAAATTTATTTTCCCTGTAAAGATGCGTAGAAACAAATGTAAATGAGTTTATTAATTAAATAATAGATGAGAGGAGAAGACTTCGTTATTAGAATGTGTTAATCAATTAGTTCTTCAACCATATGAGAGCGTAAGAGTATTAAGAGAACAACGATTTAATTAATATAGAAGACTAGTCTGAAAATTATTTAGTTGATCCTTAGTCCTCCTCCTTCTCAGGTGAGTTTAAGATGAAAAATTCATCATTGTCTCCAGATCCAATAATTGCTATTTCAATGAGTCATAAGAAAGCCACTCTTGATTCAGAAGAACATTTTAGAAAGAACAAGTAAGCATTCATCCATCCGATTCCTGAATACAGCGATGAGATACAATCATTGGCTTCTTCTGATATCTAAGCACCTTAATTTATGGATAATAAGTCAGAAGAACCTCAAATAAGGATCATCTAAAAGTAAGTAAAACCAAAAGGAGATTTATTAAAATCCCAAGGAAGTCAATTAAGCCGATCAATTTCTTAATAAATATTTTAGCAAAGATCGAGATCGCAATCTTAGAATGTTTTAGACATTTCTCAAAATCAAAATAATTAAATAAATAAAAAGTAAATACTTCGATCACTCTCGTAATTGAGTTATGATGATAAGACGTTTCATAAATAGAAATCTAAAAGAACAAGCACATCGTAGTAGAATGTTCAATCTTTGATCTAACTATTTTAGAATGATTTGGTATAGATATTATTAATAATTAGAATCCAATTTTGATGGATTTCATTTAGATAGATTTGGACAGGGGATGCAATTTCAGAACTTATTTGCCTTAAAATAATATGAAAGTAGTGTTAAGATAGAATAAGTATGTGACTGCGTAAAAGAGAAGCAAATACACCTTAAATTATGAAATTAGTAAGAAACTAAAAAAATTAACTAGATTATGAGATAGTTTTATAGAATTAATTAACTTAAAATTTTGATATATTTAATATTTATGTATAATAATCATTTTGAACTAGTTGGTGATGATCTATTTGTAAACTTTTTGATGGATTAGCCACAGTAATATATAAATCTAATATCAAGCAACAATTTTCCTCATGTTAATAGCAATTCCAATATTCATTATCCATTCTGGGATAATGAAGGTCAACCCTAACAAGAATTATTATTAGCCAATTAACTTCCACCCCAGAATCTTAGTAAAAAATAATAGAAAAAAAAGAAAATGGATGAAACTATGTTCAATAACAAAAACAACCTAAAGAACACTTATATAAATAAGATTACTAATTTAATACAAGAGACCAAATCAACCGTCACTCCAAAATATGAAAGAAAAGCTTCTATTTACACTGAAGATTCAGCTTAAGCAAAACTCATTCGCAATAGAGAATGTGCTAGGAACTCTAGAAAGAGAAAGAAGATCTATATTGAATTATTAGAGACTAGGGTTAACACTTTAAACGAAGAACTTGAAAAGTGCAAGAGAATCATTAAAGGACAAACAAGTTGCTAGCAGCAATTAGGCTCAAATCACTTGGTATAACAACTCAATTTACTTAGTTATAAAACTTTTTTTTGGGCAGATAACAATTGTTTGAAAAACTAGAAAATGCTCTCAAAAATCAAACAGACAATAATGAAATCAATCTTCTCTTAGATTCTATGAGATTTAGAGTTGGAGGAGGAGGAAAAGAAAGAGTCAATGCTTCCAACTATTTCTTTCAATAAATCATGGAAATCTGTTTCCCCATACATGTTAGATATATGTTGTGGGCAGCAACTTCTGAAAACTAAGAACCTACTTGGCTTACTAATTTATCTAAAGAAATCAATCTCACTGAAGCATAAAACAAATCATTAAAAAAACAATATAAGCGAATTCAAACAGACAAAGATAAACTTGAATAGTATATTAAATATTTATCCCTAGATTAATTAAATAATTCTAAACTGTTAAGGATAATTTGTATTCGAAAACCCATCAGTTAGAGAATTTCATAGATGAACTTAGGAGCATTCTATCTCCGACTCAAATCGGTACTTTTCTCATTGGTCTTGAAAAAGTATCTCACTTTAATTAGTTTATAATAGAACAAATTTTAAAAAGAACTGAGTATATCTAATCTCTGGAAAATATTCGATGAAGAGTTCGAAACTGAAGTCAAAGAAGAAGACTCACTTCAGCAGGATTCTTAATAAAAAAAAGTACATTTATGATCTAATCCTAACTTAAATCATTTTATACATATATTATTTATTATGTCAACTGTTTTACCTATTTTAATACCAAAGAGCAAGAACATTTTATTACTGAAAGATGATATTGGAAAACCAAAACCAAGTACTCGAAATCTTCCAGGCAATAATTTTGCATATGGAAAACAAAGCAAAAGAGATCCTATCTAAATTTAATTTGCTAATTTAGAATGTGAAAATCAAATTAATTCATCCTTGAGAAGAAATCATAGAATCTAGAGATCAGATATTACCTTAATGACTCATGGGATCAAATATAAGTATATATGTCCATCTATAACAATAGACCATAAACTCCTTTTGATAAAATTTTAAAATAATAATATGCTTCAGAAGCAAAAGAACTATTAGATAAAATCTATCAATAAAGAATAAATTCAGAACCAAAAAAATAATATATCAATAATCGATCATTTTCATTAAGATAATAATATAATACAAAAAAACATTAGAAAATAATAGCGAAGCCTTAGAAGAATCAAGAAATCAAATTTAAAATATGTTTATGAGGACATAATTTATACTCTTAATTATGAAACGCATTTATGAGATCAAAAAATTTTTAATCAAGCGTAATTAAATTACACCTGATTATCTTCATTTCATTTTTATTTTACTGTTTCATAAAGAATCATTTCATTTTTATCATATTTTAGTGATATATAATTTATCTAATCTCACAATCGTTATTTTTCCTTTAAAATTCAATTAATGACCAATCATTTCTGTAAGCCCTACTATTTCATCATCTTACGAATAAATAATTTAATAGAGCTAAATTATATTATGTATTGTTCAATCTTAACATATATTTTTGTTATAGTATTATTAATATTTGTTGGTTAAAATATATATCTAAAGGTTTTCATTATTCTATTTGCCAAGTGAGACTTCAATTTTTGTATTTTACCATTGATAAGCGATTCATAAGGACAAACACTCCTATATACACAACGACAACCAAAAATTCGATATATATATTCTTATCAAATAATATCAATAATTTTAGAAGATAGAATGTTTTTTGTATTTTTATTTCATAATATTATTATTATTTTTAAATAATAATTGAATAATTTAATTTCAATTGATTATCCTTATTGACACATGAATTCTTATGGTTCTTGCTTAACATCCATCTATAAAATAAAATTGAAATAATCAATATTAATAATTATTTACATCTTTACTTACTTATGATTAAATGAATAAAAATAATGAAATTATTGGTAATGTAATTTAAAATATGTAGCCATAAAATTAAAATAATGGAAATTATAAAAGCTATAATATTATAGCACTTAAGCATACAGAAGATTATACTTGAAATAAAGATTATTAGTTCTACTAAAATCAAATAGTCTAAAGTGTGGTAAAGGCTACTTGAATTTAGATATAACTTTATAGTTGTTGCAGATACGGCATTAGATTAATGTTACAGATCTCCACAACATAAAATATTTAAATTCAAAGAGAAATTAAATCAATTCGTAATTAAATATCTCTTAATGGGATCAAAGATATGAATAAAATTACTTATGAAATCTTATAATAAAAATTATCTAGATAGTAAAAGCTGGAGAAAGAGAAACAAAATTGAATTCATCCATACTGTAAATATATAAGTTCGAGAAATAATTTAGTTCATTCAAACCAAAAATTTGATCAAAATAAAAAATATGATATCATTTGCTACTAATCATAGCATAAAGGGTTGTTGAGTCAATTTTAAAATGACCTTCTAAGATTATTTCATATGAACACTTTTATTAATAGGGAGATAAATGTTTATATAGATAATGCCAGTACACTAATAGATGTATGATTAATAATTTGTTTAGAAAAGTAGAATAATTTAAGATGCTGTTAAATTTTGATTTGCTAAGAATTATCGCGGATATCAAAATATATATCTTAGAAAGTGTGTAACCATTCTAATATTGCAACTTAGTTTAAGATAATACTATTTCCATGATTGTATATTATTTATTAATTAAATTATTGTATAAAATTAGAAGTGTTCCCTTTTATTTCAAGAGTGTTGCAAAGATGTACGAATATACAATAAAATGAGTTGAAAGAAATGTTTATTGAATAGGATAATTAATTCATAGGGACATGTATTTACATAGTTTGAATAATTCCTACATCGATTAAGAGATAAAGTAATAGATTAGTATATTCATAATTAATTGACTTTATTGTTTCTAATGAGATATTGAAAATGTTCTTACAAAGTTATTAATGATTTTCTAGAATAATAATTTAAACAACAAATATTATATACTATTTTGAAGCCAAAGCAGAAACTAATTATTTATTTACATTAATAAAAATCACTTAAAATAAATGTCAAAGGAAGTTAGCGAATTGGTTATTACAAGGCTAAAAGCAGAGCGTAGAGCGTGGCGAACTGATCATCCACATGGATTTGTTGCCAAACCTATCACTAAAGAGGACGGAACAGTTGATTTGCTTAAATGGGTATGTGAAATACCAGGACCACAAGGAGTATAATCCTCTTTAGAATTAGTGTCCTTGGGAAGAGGGTACCTACACTTTGCACATGGACTTTTCGCATGATTATCCTATGAAACCACCCAAATGTTAATTCAAACCTGTCTTGCCACATCCAAATGTCTACCCTTCTGGAACTGTTTGTCTATCAATTCTCAACGAAGAGGAAGACTGGAAATCTAGTATAACAGTGAAACAAATCTTACTTGGCATTCAGAAACTATTAAAAGATGAACCCAACATTGAAAGTCCTGCTCAATATGAACCATGCAATTAGTACAAGTAAATCTACTTTTTTTGATCTTAAGAAACAACCGTCAAGAATACTTGAAGAAAGCAAGAGAATTTGCTGCCTCACTCAAGAAGCAACCATAATGATCAGTCAATATCTATATCAATTATTAAGTTTTAATTACACCGTTCTAACCTAATTATTAATTCCCCCATAATTAATTATTAATATTTATTGGCGTATCATTTTTTCAGTTTACACAATTATATTACTTATTCTTCTCTTATTATTTATTAATTACTTTATGGGCTGTATCATAGACGTGAACAAGACAGATCTTTCTCATGAACTTGATCAAGTTTCTTAAGAAATTGAGCAGCCATTGAACACAATTAACAGCTCGATCGAAAAACATGCAATGGAATTTACCTTAAAGTCTCATCCTGATGATTCTGCCTTATTTCTTCAAAAATAGGCATCTACTTATCCCTTAGCAAGTAATTATTCAAGCAACTCCAATACTAACTCGATTAAATCATGTTTAAAATCATCCTCAAGGAGGTAATTATTTGAAAACGAATATCGTCGTAAATCTGTTCATTTCGATTAAATTATCAAAGTAGTAACTAGAAATAAAGTGTTTTATTTAAGAAGAATAAGAAGATCAAAAACCAAGAAAACTAAAATAGACCTTGATGAAATCTTTTGAAATGCTCATTAGGATTTTAATTAAAGTCATAAAATAATTTGATTTATAATATTTTATTTCATATCGAAATGATCTATGTCAATCCCTCTTACAAAACAGAAAATAACAAATAATAATGTCCCAAATTAAAGAGTTATATATTTATATTTTTATGAATCATTAAAATTAATACATGCTTACAATACTTCATTTTAATTGTCAAATCTCTTCAGTCTAGCATATATTTACACTCTATGATGAATCAATTGAAATTAAAGGCCCATAATTTCTTATGGAAATAGATATAAACTATAAGATGAAAATAAGATGGGATATTACTGACAAAAGAATATTGTCTCTTCAAATTAAAGACTTACTTATCCAAGCTAATCAGGATGATCTTTTATAGTTAAAACAGCAACTTGATGGAAGAGTAATATATTTAGGAATATAAAATATTTATGAAACAATGGAATTAGTTTCAGCAAAGGAGAATAGCAAAGTAGTATTTTTAAATATATAAAGGTATGTTAACTTGAAGATAGATTGACAAAAACTTGCGTTTGTTGCAAGGCACTACGTAAAGATGCCTACGACATAGAACAATTACATCAATCAATAAGGATTTTATATAAACTATAGCAATATTCATATTTTCCTAGAATTTATGAAATATATGAATCAAAGACTCATTTATATATAGTTTAGGAATTGATGTTTTAACATTTAAGTGTAGATCTAATGCATGAAGAAATTTAAATAATTATATATGTATATATTTATGAGATAAACTAAGGAATTATTAAAGATAGTTAAAATATTGATTGAGAATAAAATATATTACTAAAAGATCAAGTTATCAAATTTAATGTTGGACAAGAAAGGTAACTTAAGATTGGTTGGATTTTGTCCTGCTTAACAAATTAATGAAATAGATGTTGAAAATTACTTAGATAACGTTGGAAATATAATGATGAATTTGTATGAGTAACTTTACAAATTGTTAGGTATGGCGTCAATGATAACTTTAATTCACTTCCTAAAATTGCTGATAATGGAAATGAATTCATTGTAGGATTGATGAATCCTAATCGTGATTATAGATTTAGCTTTGAAGATGCAATGCAGCATGAATATATTCAAAATATCTTTTGTGAACCCAATTTAATAATAAAGAAATCACCCAATCCAAAGTTAATTACGGATGTCGCCGAATCTTCAAGCTCATACACTAAGAAGAGTACTAGTTATTAAAAATAATATTGATTTATTTATTAACTTTCTTTAAGACAAAATAATATTAACTACTTTTTTATAGCTCTGCAAAATTTAATGGAAAATAAATTAAAGTTATAAATCATGGATTACAATCTTTACTTGGAGGGCATTTTCAACAAATAGCCCTCCTTTGTTATTTGTGATTAGCATAATCTCAAAGTGAAGACCAAAAATGAGTATTTTAAGTTTGAAATTTCACTGAATCTTCATCTCTAATGGATATATGTCGAAGGATAAATTAATGAAGTTAGATTTGAGAATCATTCTCTTAAGGGACCAATAGAAAACCTGGAAAAATTGAAAAACTGCTTGGATTGTCGAGTTATTTATTTAGGTGCAGCCTAGTTATATGAATAGTATCTCATAGTCAAAGAAGACGAATTCAAAAAGGTGATTATTGATATTGATATTTTAGACTATGGTTGTTAAATCAAAGACAAAAGGGGGATTGTACTTTTGTAAGGCATACAAAAAGGAAATTCGAGAAAATGAACATAAATTTTTGAAAGAACTTAAAATCTTGAGAATGCTCAAAGAGAACAAGAATGTTGTTAGAGTCCTAGAAGTATTTGAATCAAAACATAATTATTACATGATTATGGAATACATGATACGCAATCTTGAATAAGATTATACGCACGAAGAAAATTAAATTATAATAAAAGTATAAAAATATTAATTCTTAGGAAATATTAAATATTTTAGAAGATCTGAATCAAAAATCCATTATTCATGGTTAAATCAGGCCAAAAAATTTTATGTTCAATAAAGATAATGTGATGAAATTGATTGGATTTAGCAAAACTAAAATAATCCAAGAAGAAGTCTAGGGAGAAGATATATATGATTTACATAGAATACTTCTGCATTTGAATGGCCTCAGTCAAAATGTATTAGATTATGAAAATGGATATTATCCGCATATTCCATCTCACGGAACCAACTTCCTGAAAAGTCTATTGAATCCCTCTAAATATCGAATTAACATCAAGTAGGCACTTACTCATCCTTTTTTGAATTGTAATGAGAATGATCATCAGATTGCAAGAAAAGAAATGAACCTGAAGTTCAAACACAGTTTTAATAGTTTTTAATGAGTTGTTTTTATATATAATTAATTGAGGATGTATAAGAGAATTACTGCAAATCTCCGAAGTAAAGAAGAAGATGAAGACTTTTTCGAGTGGAATCAGATGTATGTGCAATAAGAGATGGAGAGTGATGTCGAATGCTATAGTTGTTCTCTTTGTGATCGTCAATTTGGTAAAAATGAATATGAGTTGAATGCTCACTTAAATTCTCATGATCATAAGAAGTTAGAGAAAGAATTTAGAAAACGCTATAATGATATGATTATCGAATATCGACTAAGCACTTATTCTTAAAAAATGGGAAGGAAATTGAAAAAACTATAGTATTTTAAGTGCATTTATGAATACAAATGATTAATTAAAATATGAAACAATTATCAAAATCAATAAGATATGCTTATTGGAATACAATCAAGGACATCAATCCTCTCTTTGTTGAAGCCTAATATGCTGTAAGAGGATAAGTCCCTTCGATGGCAGCCACAATCCAAGAAGAAATAAATGCTGGAAAGAAATATCCCTTCGATTCAATTACTGAATTGAACATTGGTAATCCATAAACCTTTGGTCAAAAACCCATCAGTTTCAATAGAAGTGTTCTCTCTGCTATGTTGGATCCAAGCATCTTGAAATATTAATCAGGAGATGTCCAAAGAAGAGTCACTTTTTACAATGACAAAATTGGATTCCAAGTGGGTGCTTACAGTTAATCACCTGGTTATCCAATAATTAGAGAAGCAGTTGCAAAGTATATCTAATCTTTTAAACTACTCTTAAAGTTTCATCTAGAAAAGAGATGCTACCAAAAATAGACCTTCTATTAACGATATCATCTTGACCGATGGAGCATCATCAGGCATAACCTTAATGTTCAACTTATTGCTCAAAGATAAAAATGATGGCGTCATGATTCCAATACCTCAATATCCTCTCTATTCTGCAGTCATAGCCCAATGCGGAGCATAATAAATACCCTATTATTTGGTAGAAGAAAAGAATTGGTCAGCTGAATAATAATAATTAGAAGGTATTGTCTTTTACATAGTATTTTAGAGTAATATTCCAAAGCCAAAAGAAACGGAATCAACCCAAGAATATTGGTATGTATCAATCCAGGCAACCCTACAGGATAGGTATTTGATAAGCAGAGCATTGTAGAAATGATCAAGTAATAATATAGATTTATTAAGGTTTGCGGCAGAAAAGAAGATAACTATCTTTGCAGATGAAGTCTATTAAGAAAATATCTATGATCCTAAGAAAAAATTTATCTCCTTCAGAAAAGTTGCCAATGAACTTAATTTGGATGTTGAAATATATTCATTCCATTCCATCTCTAAAGGTATTACTGGTGAATGTGGTTTGAGAGGAGGATATATGGAAATTACATCCAAGGTGGATTCTGAAGTTCATTTCCAAATCCATAAATCCAAGAGTATATTTATTATTACTATTCCCTTAGCAATTATGTTATGTTCAAACACAGTTGGATAATTGATGACAGGATTGATGGTAACTCCACCAACTGTTGAAGAAGGTTGTTCTGAATCCACAGTTTAATAATATAATGAGGAATGCAAGGCACTATTCACTAGTTTATAAAGAAGAGCTGGCATTGTGACTCAATATCTTAACTAAACTAAGGGTGTATCTTGTTAACCAATCGAAGGTGCTATGTATGCTTTCCCTAGAATCTTCTTATCAGGTATTTTTAATCCTCACATTTTTTATTAGATAAATATGTAGAGCATGCTAAGAAATTAGGTTATTAGCCTGATGTCTTATACTGTCTAGACCTACTCAAAGAAACTGGATTAGTTGTTGTACCTGGCTCTGGATTCTTACAATATCCTGGAACTTACCATTTCAGAATGACCATCTTGATTTTACCAGAAGAGAAACTTTTAGCCAAGATGAAAGTATTCCAATAATGGCATGAAAATTACATGGCAAAATTCTAATGAATGATTTATAAATTTAATGAACATAAACAATAAACAATTATTCAAATTATCAATTTAATCTATTTAATAATATTCTTTTGTATCAATGTTTTCAAAGGAATGAATCTTAAACAATACTTTAGATTGTTGTAATTGTTAATCACAAGATATCCTAATCCACAACTTAGTACTACAATTAGCAATTATATCATTATTCCTAAACCAATAAGCAGGTAAAGAATAAAACGAGTTTCTAAATTCAACTTCTCTTTTGCCAAAGATATGAAGAAATCGGAAAATAATTTTATTTAATAATTGGTAGCATCCAATCCCCAAAATATATAAACAAAGTATTCTTTGGAATATAATTAATCCAAAAAGTAATTATTCTAATGCGTATTATTTATTAATCCCAAGTTGTTCACTACTGAAATAGTTTATTAGTAGAGCTAAATTAATCCTACTGAAAAGTAATTTTCCAAATGATCAGACAATAGTCTATTTTCAAATATATCATTCTTCATCGAACAGTCAAAAACCAAACAAATATCTTTTATCAAAAGACTTTCCTTTTAGTAATCATTCAGATTCTCAGTCACATTTGTAAATGGTTCTTGTTATGCATGTGAAATTGAATTATTTAATTTAGTTTCATTAATTTCAATTAATGAAAATATTGAATAGTCACTCTTTATATTTTAATTCATTATGTTATTCTCCTTTTCATTATTGTAAAATGTCTAGTAAAACATTTTGTGATTGTAGACATCCCAATTATTTATTAACTCTATGAAATTAAGTCTTATTTAAACTGCTGATAATGCCTAATTTACAATTGGATTTATTTCATTTGAATAACTTATATATTGTAACTAAAAGATCAATAAAAATAGGAATATGAATACAAAAACCAAAATCTAGAGAATCTAATAGTATCCTATATTGAATTTGTCTTCTAATTTCAAATTGGTATTTTTCAATTATGGCTCTATTGGAAATGAAGTTTCCTATGATTTCTCGTAAAATTGATTGAAAAATTTAGTATTAAACCAAAATTCCTCTATTTTAATATTTTCAATAATATTTTGTAAAATTTCGATATCAGAATCCAAATCTCGATTATCCAATCTTAAATATACCTACAAAATCTATCTTAATTTCTTCACTATACTCATTAATAAACATAGTAGCAATACGAATAAAATAAACAGAATCATGTAAATGGTTATAAAGATAACTTAAACTTCATTGTCGAATTAATTATTGTATTCTTTGCTATTCTATAAACATGATTCTATAAATTAGGCAGTAAGATCACAAACATCATTAAAATTCAAGAATAGGATTGATCTTGTATTTATTTATGGAAAAGTATCTTCACTTCCAGTCAAATAATTAGATGGATCACCAGCAAAAGTTTTAATTGCTAAATAAAACAATTGATTCATCATTTCATAATATTTTGCTTATGTTTCAACTTCTTATACTTTTGTCTTGGTTATAAAATAATCGACATACTTGAAACTGATTGACTTTTATTCTTAATAACTATCTAAATATTTGATATAATTCTCATAAAGATTTATCAATTGCTAGCAGTTCTTTTAATAAAGATTCAATGATAAAGTTATCTTATCAGTAATTACAACCGAGGCTGAATCTTGCATTAGTTCAATTTTCTGCTCATCCTTAACAACCTTATGAAAATCTCTATAAAAAACTGTATGTCTACTACCTTTCAAAATGAGTCCATAATAATCTAGAAATTCAGTGCCATAAAATAGTCTATCAAAACATACATCCTATTAACTCCTCTTTGATATTAACAATAAATAAATAATAATCATTGAAGCAATAGAAATTATTACATTTAATGTAGATACCAATAAGAAGTTAATTATACATGAAGGTAATGAAGATGATGAAATTTATTATAAAAGTTGGTCACCTTATTTTATTGCGCTTGTTGTGCTGGTTTAAGAATGCAGAGATCTTAATAGATCATGTTTCCCTTGGGATTTAGATTTACTCATTCTACAAATAATATTAATAAATACTATTGCATATGTTCTCTTCTTTCCTTCTTATCTTAACTCACGCAATGTGTTTGATCTAATTTATGATCTTAATGAATCTAAGCCAAATCTATGATTAGTTTATAATAAATGTAGTATTCCTTTTCCTCTTCAAATTCATAGTGAATAACACACATCGATATCTCATAATCAATTTATTTAGTATCATCATTTATAGTTGATTATTCAGTTTAAGAAGTTAAACTATTTATTAATTTTGATTATTGATTCTAATTGAGTGATTTTTAGATATTGTAATTAGCGCTGTTTGTATTATTTGAATAACAGTTGCTAACCTAAATGATTTAATTTTAAACATAAATTGATTTACTCTCATTGGTTTGAGAATGAAATTTAATCAAGCTTTCTTTTAGAGTTGGAATCATCTTAAAGATGTTAATTTTGTTAACAGTAAGTTGATATTAATCAAGAAATCTTTGAAAGGTTTTATTAACAGACATAATATTGAATGATAAATCTAGATGTATTATAGCATGGTTTCCTATTTCATTTTTACAAATAAAAGCTATTAATTAAAAATAATTCAATTTTTGACTCGGAAAATATGGCTACAAAATTAATTTTATTTACATTAAGTTTTTATTTGGTAGACTTATAGTAGTATCTATTTACTTTCCAATAAATTTGGATTTACCTCTATTCAAATATGAATTCATTAATTTCACATGACTAGACCTAGAGAAAGATGAAGAAGTTAAGAAATATGAGTAAGTTCAAAATTGTCATCCAAATCTAAGAACTTTTTCTACCTAGTCGTCAGCATTTGTGTCACCTAACCATTTTCTTTGAAAGCTGCAGTCAAATAGATTCCATTATTAGATGAAAAAGATATGTTTGTAAAGAAATCCTCTTCTTAGTAAATTTCACTTTAAATTAATTCATTAATTTTACAATAAATCTCATATTATTCTCTTAAATTTTAGGTTAAATATGATAAAAGTAAGCTAATTCTTAATGAAAAAATATTATTTGTCTTATTATTTTAGTAAATTTTCATATTCTTACTTAATTTGATTACATTCGCTGTCATTTATCTTAGACTCAACAACTTATAGTATAACTATTAAAAATTGATTATCCTGCCTTCTTTGAGACCAACATTTAGTAGTATTTTCTATTCTACTATTTTCTGTAATTCTGTTTAAATAATAATACCATCATATTTTAACAGTTTTATTTCTTCGATAAAATTGTTCCTATTATCCAATTGAGAGAGTTGCTTATTTATTTATATCTATATTGTAGTTTCTAACATTTAAAGTATAGTTTAATAATAATAATTTTAGATGGAAAACTTATGAGCTAAAATTAGTTGATAAGCTTGAATTAGATTATGAGTAACTTCATGTAAATAGGAAATGTAATACATTATAAGCATTTCATTTTTTAAATTTGCAATCAAATTTCTGAAACAAATTGAAATTATTTTTTATAAATCAACATCTGAAGTAATGGTCTTATTCTTCTTACATGAGCATTTTAATTCATTACAATTTTGACTATGGATTTATTAGTAGATTTTAAATTGCAAAAGCTCATAAGGATCATGTATGTGTTACACATAAGTGAAATGATAAAGTTAACAAAAAGTCATTGTATTGGCCTAAGACTTCATGATGGATACTATTCTATTTTAAATTAGTATTGCAATATTAAGAGTAAACTATTATTAAATATTAAGCTATTACACTAAAAATGAAGAGAAATGAGTAGAGTAATGTCTTATTTTGAGGTTAGTAGGATTAATAAATGCCAATTGAAGTTAGAGAAATGGAAAAGGAGTGTATGTTAGATTCATAAATTATAAACCCATTATGATATTGCAATACTTCCATCATCATTTCAATAAAAGCGCAAAGCCAGTGAAATAATAAGAAGTATTGAAGATATAGATTGATGTGGAAATACTATTGAAAAATTAAGATCTACTGGATTACTAATGGTTTTATTACCTGAAACTTTGTGAATACTCTATTCGCATTATTCGGCAGAAAGTTAATTGGTTAAAAATAGTAGTTCTGATTTAAACTAAACAAATAAATAATAATCGTATTTATCACCTAGACGATTGTTTATTCAATCTAACTGCTCATATAATTGAGGGTTATTATTTAAAATGGAATCAAGCATATTTTATCATAGTTTTTAAGTATGAGTCTTAATATTGTAATACAATTTTAATTCATGTTGTCAGTCAAAATGAATGCTATTAAAATAAACAATATTATGAAATTAATGTTTAATACTACATAAGGTGAGGATTGCAATAATACATTATTTATAATTTGATCTATTATTGGTATTTGAATTAAACATATAGATTGTATTAAAAGTGATACATTTATAAGGTATATAGGATAGACGATATATTTGAGAATTTATTCTTCCTAAGATTAATGTTAACTATCTATGTTAGCTATATTTGCTATAAAGTATTAGTATTTGTATATAATGAGCGTGATAATTTGAGTTAATATCATAAGTTAAAAATAAATAATTCTTAATTTTATAATAATTATGAATAGAAAAGAAAATTACCTTTAATATCATCAAACCATAATTTATTATTGTTAACTTTTTGAATCCAAAGTTGATCAATAATCACACTACTTTTTGTCATTTACCACTGTTCTTTTAATATTTTCTCGCTATTGGGAGTGTCAAACAAATGATTTTAAAACAGACTAGAAAAAAATCAATACTACACATATTACAAAATAATACCCTATCTAATTAATTTTCTCTTAAAAATTATATTGACATTGCTTTATAGATTTAAAACAGACCATTGTAATTCAAATTTGCAAATTCACAACTATGGGAAATTTAATAATTATGCTTCAAATTATTTATAGTGATCTAATTGTTTAGATCACTTTTTCTAGTCGATTTATGTGGAACTGAATGTTCTCTAGTTTTTAATAGGAATTTAACAGGAGACATATTACTTATAAATTAGAAATTCCAATTCTATTTTCATACCTTATTTAATCAAATTCTAGAGACGTGGACTTGATCAAAAAAAGAAGTACTTATATAATCTTTACAAAGAGCTCTTTCTTTATCTCATTGGTATTAGCAACTTTTTGTATGGGTTATGAATTTTAAATTTATTACCCATAAGTTTTCCAATCTCAACGCTGTAGATTCACCACCCTTATGATTATCTTGGAAATCCTGTCAAAGGACATCTTTATCTTTTAAAAAAAGTCATTTTATCTTGCATTTTAATCTATTGAGAAGATTTCTTTTCTTTAGAAAGACCTGAGTTTATTAAATTCAAATGCATCTCTTAATTTGTATTCATGTATATAAACGTGATTTTTAGACCTCATTTCAAGCAAAAAAATAGAATTACTAATCTAATTTAAAACATATGCTATCAGCTAAGGTAGCAAATTATTTGCCCAAGTTAGACTTTATCCATTTAATCCAAATTTTTGTATATGAGCTAGCCATTGAATCTAGTATTGCTGTTCTCAACCTCTATAAATAATTATCTGAACTATTTTTGGCTATATGAGGTAATGAAGGAAGGACTATTAAAAGATCTTTTCTTTCAAGAGAATCTTATGCTTATTTTTAATTCAATATCTCAATGACATTCTCATGAAAGAAATAAATTAAGCATTTAATAGCATTCTATAAATATATTAAATAACAAGTTCAGGATGATACTTTTTAATATTATTATCAATTAATAATTATCGTAATAAAAGATTAAATCACCTCCTTCTACTTTCTCAAGAAATTATTTGTTTGTAATCTAAGATGTCTTTTTATGTTATAATTGCATAATTTTTTACTTCCTTTTGTATTTCATATAAAATTTATGATAGTGATGTAATTAGTAGCTATGGATTTATATTTCTTCATCTTTAAAAAAACTACTTTAGTTATAAATCCGAAGGCTTCTTAAATAATTCAGACAACATATGAAAATGATATTTAATCCATTTATCTGATATTAATTCTTTATTTGATTCTCTTTTTACGAAAACCTTTCGTTCTTAAATAAAAATTCTTAATCATATTCAACAATAAGCAATTCATAATGCAATAAATCCTTTTTTATTTCAAAATTAAATGGCTTGCCTTTACAAATGACAACTATCACTTTAGCTTTAAATTATTTTTATCAATTATTAAGTCCTGAGTACATCTCTATTTCTAAAGTTTCCTCTATCTTTATCTGAATATGACATTATTAGAAACTAGTAAACCAATAATTTAGACAATAATGAATAATTACAATATTTTAATATAAACAATACATATCCATACTAAGAAAATGTTAACATATCATTTTTTGATTTTATTCAATATGGTACCTACTTACAAGAATCTCTTTAAACAATTCATAAATTCTTAATCTGGTTCGAATTCTTTGGGAGTATAAATATATTCAGAATTTCGCTATTATTCTTATTCATCTTCCACATCATCTTCATCATCAAGATTATCAATTAAGAAGGAAGAATCCGAAGGAAACCTAACAACTGAAAATTATCCGTCTTGATTTTGTTAGACTCCGAATTATGCTTTTTAAATTTGAAATGCTGATGGATTAGTAATATCTTGGCTGGAATCAAACTTTCTATACATCAACTAAATCATGCCCTATTCATAATGTTGAATGGCTTAGGTTTAATTAGACTCAATTTCTTCTGTGATTTGAATAGCTTTTAAATAATTTGTTTAATTCATATATCATTATAATTAACTTTTGTTTCGCGTATTTAAAACATGATAGCTGGTTGAGTTTTATCTTAAGTAATTGAATCACGATCTTTGTATTGTCTTTATTGGACCTTGGGAGCAAAATTGATTGGTAATTAGACTCTATTATGAAGTGGGTATATACTTATTTTCTTATAATTAACCTTCAACTATAGCTCCTTTGGCGAAGATCTGTCGCTAGATAGTGGTTTACTGATTCTCTCAATTTTGTGATTGGCAGCCATCCATTGATCAATAACTTATTGACTTAAGGATTACTGATGTTCCACCTTAGAAATGCTTTTCGCAGAATATGCAAGGATAAGCATCCTTCTGACGAGTATTTCTCTATTTTAATCTCATTTGTATGATTTCATTGTCGATTAATTCATTTACTGTCAATTCATCACTGCTCTCTTCTCTGCGACGATTGCATAGAGCTTAAATGATATCCTACCACTCTAAATTGCACTTCTTTTTTTGGTCTAATCTGAAGAAATGCTAATTGTAATAATGATTTCACTTACATAGCCTACTTTAGACACAAGTAATCTATAGTCTGAGAATTCACCTCCACTTTTATAATAGTTGTGTATTCTTCTTAGATATAACGTTTGAATATCCAATTGTCTGTTGAAAGTTGGGTCATCTCTGTGTTTTAATGGCCCCTCAATTAGGGGATTGCCACTTATTCCTTTTTCTTCATCCAAAACTTTGATGAGTTCTCTTTATTATTGCAAGTCTCCCAGAAAGGAACATCTGGATCATCATTGTAGAAATGATTATTTAATTCAAAGAGATCCATCACTTGCATTTCAGTCAATGTCAGATTTATATTGTTAAACCCTCACATATGGATATCATTGCTTACCTATTATTCTATGCTTAGAGACTCTTACGTATAATTCTTAAAACTAATCGAAGTTGAGTAACTATTAATTAAGTGGTGGAAATTCTAATATATGTTTGACTCGTTTAATCTGCTTCTTTTTATATTTAAAAAATTTCTCTGACTCGCCCTTGCTCAAATTCCAGACAAATGAAGGTGCCGATGAAAAGCTATGATAATCGAAATCTTCCTAACTCTTTAATGACCCTTTTTCTTATATTAAATAATTTAATGAATTTATCTAAATTTTAATAAAATAAAGTTAAATAAGATGATTTAAATAAAAAACTTATAAAGTAAAGACATCATTCAATTTTTCATTTCATATATGATAAATACTATTAAAATATGTGACAAAATCAAGATTTAAATCCATATATATGATCCTCATTCAATTTAATTTATAAAACAAAAATAAATGAAATCAGATATTGGGGAGCCCATATCTCGTTCCCCAAATTAGATAAATCATCTAGTTCTACTTAAAAAAGATTAAGATGGATTTAGAAATGATGAATTTTATTAAACAACTGAAGCATGTGAATATGACCTTGAAGTTCAACAAAAGGGTGAGGTTTTCATATTATGTTAATAATCACCTCACAATAGCCCATTGCTTCTTCAGAATGTTTGCACCGATGTTCAAATTTTCTTAATTTTGGATGTTCCAATATAATTTTGTGAATAGATTTGGAACTTGATATCTCGTATTTATGATTCACCTGTAGAGAATGGCTAAATTGGAAATCATTCTTAAAAATTAGTTACTGATAAGATTAATACTATTCTAAGCGATTATTATGATGGGAAACAATTGCATTTATTTTTTCTTAATTTATTAGAGCTCCTTAAACGTACCATATCTAACACTTTGAAAATCGATCTCTGCATTAATTTTTTATAAGAAGACTAACATTTATAATACTTGTAGAAAATTTATGATCACTATTAGGAATACTTAAAATGTAAAGAACAAAATGATGGTTTCATTTGGCAAAATTTTTATATAGAACTTGAATAAACTATTTTATAAAGTTTGGAATCTAAACTCAATAAAAATTCTTACTGAATTGCTTGCATTATCTTTTGACTTTATTAATTGTTTTATATATTTTTTATAGATTCATTCATTAATTATTTCATATTATAATTATCATCTTACTTACAATTGTGATTATTTTTCAACAATTGTAATTTTATACTCGTCTTGCTTATAATCTATTTCTTGTTTTAATTTAAATTATTTTTTAACATAAATTTTAAGAGCTAGTAAAAAATCGATTTTATAGAATAAAACTTATATAGAATCTAGAAATTCAATCAGTAGCCTTTAATTAATAAATTAAAAAACACAAATTTAATTAAACAATCTGGTTTAATTAGGGTGATAGAAATACATAGAAGAAATATCATTCAGGCTTGGTTGAGGAAAAGTAGGAACTTTAATCTGTATAAGACAATTCGATTATAATAGAGAAAATTTTCTTTTAGGCCTATCAAGATCATCAATTAAGTAAGGCTATTCTTCATATACAAGAATAATAACTCTCTGCCTAAGTATTAATATGAAGATAAAAAATATTCCCAAATTTCTTCATTAAAATTAAAATTCTTACTAAAAAATGATCCATTTATTATTATTAACTAATAGAATTCCTATAATTTCAATTTAAAGTAGTAGAAAGTTTTAAGAAATAAGATTTAATTGAGGCTAATCTAATAGCAATGTCACAAAAAATAAATTTTGATTTTTTAGAAAAAATATAATTTTCCCTTCATCTATAAACAGTTAAGGAATTGAATTTTGATCTGATCTGATTCTAATTCATTGTTTTTTGAGACTGCACATACAAAATCAAGAATACTATTATCATTTCCAAAATCTCAACATGCATATATAATTAATTTGTATTAAAACAATTTAGTATTGTCAAAAATAAGAACAAAAATAAACTATTAATTGAATTTAATATAAATGTTTGTTTTATTCTTGATTTATTAATGCTTTGCTCAATTTAATATATTAACCACAATTGGAGGGAAAAATATTTCAATATATGAAAATTAAGTGCAGAATCACTAATTTAGTGTGCAAGAATAGTATTAATGCCATCCATCGGAGTTGTTTGAGGAGGATTATAAATAGGATAGCAGAATATTTTATATTTAAAATTTGCATTCTAATGCCTTAAACTTAAGCATCATACCTATATCACTTAAACCTCGAGATATGCAATTAATAAATGTTACAAACTAAGTTGAGTAACAAGAAATTACAATTGAAGGAAGTTCAATCTCAGAATACAAAATATTTTATGAATGCTATTAGGATTGGGCTTATGTTGAATTACACGTGCGTTATGGAAAGACAATTCTAAATTTTCGATATATAAAGATTTGTGAGGAGAGTCTCTATTATCACGATTACCCTGATTTGATACTGGGAGTGATGGCTTGCATATTAACGTATATAGGTGCAATTTATGGATAGAAGAGATTCAAATTGAAGCAAGAATAAGCATAACAACAAATTGATGAATTAGAATCAAGTGATTCATTCTACAAAGCACGACAAATTTACTCTCCTTAATATTCACAGCCAGAACAAGTAATGAAAATAGGAGATTTTTAAACAACATCCGGCTCTGCACAAATAATAGCAGCAAAGGGAAAAGAGACTAATTTCAAGTTGAAAATAGCATTGTATTTATTTTTTGTGATTGGATACTTAACAGCGTTAAATTTATTAGAACAACTATCTTTATTGGAGATCCCAATTTATGGGATATATTTTATTTGTGTTTAAATAGCTATGACAGATCTATTGATTTTCATCGTATCATCATCTATTTCTCCTTATATAAAACTACCGGTATATGGACGAGTAAAATTGGTGAACTTATTTACTTATTTGCTTCAATTTGTGTACACTTTCTTTTTAATAATGACAGACAATTGGGTGTTGAGAAATTTCAGTTCTGTTTGCTTGCTATTTTAATTAATTAGAGTATTGCATTAATTCATTTAAATTAGTTCATGAAGTTTTATAATCTTCAACAATTACTATCAGTGTATTGTTTTATTTTTGGGATGTCATTCTTCATTTAGTATTAATTTTAGATTGAATTCCCAAAGTTGTATTTTCCAAACACTTTTTTTCTAGAGAATCCAAAGTTGACATGTTCAAGTACAAATTTATTGTAATTAATGTTCCCTTGTTCTTTATTAACCTTAACAAGATACTTTAGTAAATAAACCAGATCACATACAATACTATTTAAATTGGGATATTTAAGTTATGTTATTGGTTTATGTCTGAGTTTGAAATCAAATGAGACTGAACTCTTGTAGACATTGATAGATAATCTATTGCCAGCAATTATGATCTTTATAACAATAAATGTGTACAGTGTTGCAAAAAGAGAGATGAAATAAATGTATTCAGGAATAGAGCCTGGATTACATAACAGAGCAATTCAATAGTAATATAGTTATGAATTAACAATTGATAAATATAATAAAAATTAGTGAATATCATCATAGAATTCGCCTTCTTTCAATCTAATTGGCACTATGACTGTATTCTCTAGAATCTTTAGCATAGTTATTAGATTTTATCTTTCTATAAGTGATATAATTATCATAGTTGTATCTAACTGGCAATGGACTCTATTGACGTCCAGTAAAATAGTTTTTATTGATTTTCTATTGAAAACAGGTCCTTCTAAATTATTTTTACTAAAAATCCTCATAATCCAAAAGAACTGTTCTATTAGATAAATCTCCATTTATGCCTATCATCTAATAAATGACCATTATATCATATAATTCATCACTTGTATCTTCAATTTGATCTAAACAAATGCTGGCTGACTTTATTGAATTTTTGATTATAACTTCTTGTTATTTGATTGGATTTTGAATCGTTCTCTTATTGGCTGCTAATTAATCTGAAAGAAGTGATTTAAATTACTTGATGTCTGGTTTGAAATTGTGTTGACAATTATTGATATATTAAATAGGTTTGATAACTCTTTAGGAAGTGAACTTCAAATTGTACAGTTATTTGAATTGTAACATGTTGAGAAGAATTACTACAATGAGTTTATCTGATAGTATCATGTCCTTGAAGAATAATTAATAAAGGTCATCTTCCCCATTAATTTGGATGTGGAAATCTGCATGGAAGTTTCTAACGGAAACTGACAGATGCTATTGAACCAGGATTAGATTGGCTATTAGATCCTATAATTCTAGTTTCCTAGCGTATTTAAGTATAAGCACAGATGGTGAACACTTCTGCTTGGGAGTCTTGTTTTGTCTGTTCACACTAAAGATATCGACCTTACCACTTAAGTATTGCAATGCCTAGACGTATCCTAGAGATGCCGCTTGGTGCATTAGGGAATCCTTTTGCTTTCCCATTTTCTTGTTGTAATCAAAGTACTCCTCACTGCATGATTAGAAACTCTGTTTAAAATACTTGATCTTACTCGAATTGATGGCACCTGCAAGACCTCATGGATAGGGGCTACTTTCTGACTATTTTTTTGATTAGGATTTTGGTATCTCATCAAAATGTGAATCAGTTTTTGTTAATTGTCATATTCACTCTGATTTCTACAATGCTTTCTCAATACAAAATGCAATGGTGTATCTCCATTCACACCTTTCATAGGTGTACCCACATTTTGACTAATCACCAACATCTTCTCTTCCCAAACCCCAAATATTTGTTTCTCTATCATATACTCCACTATCTCGACTTCCAGTTTGCTACATGCCCACAAAAGTACAAATCTAACTAATTTCGAACATGGATCAATGTGATCCAGCAAAATCTTGAAGATTCTATAGGGTTCATAAAACTATATACTTAATGTTCAACTTTCCTGCCAATATCACTGGCTGAGGGTGGTACATTCTCATCAAATATTCGGGATGATATACACAAATAGAAGGTATCACACTTCTCTCATCATATTGAATTGCCTTGATCAACACTGTATTTGTAAATGATGAAAATACATTCACAAAATGATTGAAGTTGAATTCCCTATGATTTCTCAACAATTACCCGATTGTACTTTTCTGCAAATTTTATTGCTTACTATCCATCTCAATCAATAAAAACCAACTCAAATTTATCTATTGAATTGAAGGCTGATGTTAATATATTTCAAATGGGTTCTGTTGAACATCCAAAGTCACCAAATTCAAAGAAGAAAAGTCAGTGGACATTAATTGATTATTAGCAATATCCAAGGTATGCAATCTTGGCATCTAAACCTTGGGAAAAGCACTTATGTAATTGTGATTCAATATCAATATCTCCAATTATTATAATTCAACTATTCTAGTAGGAATCATCTTTATGTTGTTGTTGCTTAGGTTCAAATACCTTGTGTGTACAATTATAGGAAACTATTCCAATCCCGTTGAATTTAAGTGCACCTCTTTCTTATTGCTATGATCCATTAAATTAATAATATATAATAATGTTTGATTCATTCATATGAAATCTCTAGAATATATTTAACAACTGTAACTACCCTTATTATATTTTGAAGATATATAACTCTAGGTTCTGATAACTCACTTAGCAAGCTATATAACTATAACGAGATAATAATAAAAATCCATTTGAAGGATTTAATTTTAACAATCAATCATCTTTGTTCAAGGGTTCAAATGAGAAGGAGGAATTTATGGTTAAAATTTGACTGAGTTTTCAAGAAATTAAGAAAATAATAGTATATTAAAATATTTAATAACTATTAATATAAGAGAGATTAGAATTCATTATTAACAAAAAGGATGTGAGATATTTTAAATAGTTCATCAATCATAATATTGATAAAATATATATAATGTACAATTCATCTAGCGACAGAAAATTCTAATTTAACATTCATGGCTGCCAATTCATTTACAAGATATCGGAGTACAAATGGTATGGCTACCTTAGAACATTTTGCTTGTTTGCATCTCACACAATATGGATGAGAACTCTACACAGACTGAATATTTTCTAAGGATAATAATTGGACAAATTGATAAGTGGCTAACATATTACCACATTTATCACAGATGTAGGCTATGATTAATATAATGTAATACTTTCAGAGTAATCTGAACATTTGAGCAAACGATCATTAATACAATACGCAACTCCATGAGCAATGAGAGCATCTCTTTCCATCTCACCCAATCTGATACCTCCTCCCTTCTTTCTACCTTTGATTGGTTATTGAGTGAGTACATCGACAGGTCCCATGCTTCTGGCTTGAGATTTATCTGATACCATATGTCTCAATCTTTAATAATAGACCACTCCGAAGTAGATGTCAACCTTTAGAGGAGTTCCGTAAATACCAGAATACAAGGTTTCATTTCCATGATAGTTGTAACCATGTTTAATTAATTGTTTACCAAAGTAATCCACAACATTATCATTCTCATAATTTTGGAATGGGTGAGTTTCAAACATCTCTCCTTATAACACATTTGCCTTAGCAGCCATACTCTCTATTAACATACCAATTGTCATTCTAGATGGGAAAGCGTGAGGATTAATTATGATATCTGGTACCATACCTGATTCAGAGAATGGCATATCAATTTATGGCCACAATAAGGACATCACACCTTTCTAGCCATGACGAGATGAAAATTTGTCACCTATAATAGGATTACGATTGATTCTATATTTGATCATGACTGACACATCATTTTCAGATTTATTCACTACAGCTACTTATTCGATTCTAGCAGTCTCGCTGTCTTTAGAATGATGAACTTTGACCTATTGCAATTGACTGTCATATAGAGCTAAGACAGCAGTTCCTTTTGTAACAACTTAAGATTATTCAGGTAATCCATAAGGTAACAAATTTACTGGAATTTGTGATTTGATTTGGTTGTATAATTAAACAGGTATTTGACTGAGTAATTTGTATTTGACTTCTTTGTCGTCATTCAAGGAATACTCTGAAGATTTATAAATTATGCCATGTCCGAATCCTCTCTCATAACTAGATTTGCATAAGATCATAGCATCTTCCATATCATATCCTGTATAACTGATGACTGCCACAATAGCGTTGGTACCACTAGCATAATCGGCGAATTAGTAATCATCATAACCGAAGCATCTGACAACTGGTTTTTAAGGGAATAAAATTCTATACATTTTGTTATCAAATCTATAAGGGTAGTTATGACATGGAGATCCCATTGTTTATTTAGCCATCTGACATTGATACATGTTTCTAGGACTTTGATTATAATTCAAGAATGGAACATTGGAAGCCAAAATACTTAAAATGTATGCAGGATCAATTTCCTAGTATTGAGTATCAGTACGAATATCAGCTTATGTGCAGGCTATACTCATATTAATCTATTCTAAAGGACTGATCCATTCAATTGTATTCAACTTCAAATTAATAACTGGCCTCATTAATCTAGCTACAGTAGTATTGATATAAATTCCAGGAAACAGAGGAGATTTATTCTCCTATCTAGGCAGACAAGCCACTTCTGTAGTTTCCTTGATTGTGCCATTGGATTTGTACACTCTAATAGTGTGTTCAAATGTGGGTAATAATGAGGAATTTAAGTAACCAATTAATTTGCCATTCAATACTACAGGGAGATCATTCTTAGAGTAGATCAAACGTTGAGATTGCACTCCTAAAGGAAACAGCAATTCTTCAATATCTTGTTCATCTGGATGAGTTAAGGGCACACAACTCATAGTAATGTGATTGAGTAGACCACAAGGTCCTCCATCTGGTGTATGGACAGGACAGACGAATCCCCAAACATCTGGAAGTAATTTACGAACAGTTGTGGTTTTCATTTATGCAAAATATGATCCTCTATGAACAGATCTAAAATGAGAGAGAAATCTCATATTATTTAATTTATCAGCAATGATAGTAAATCCACTTGCTTCCATTAAATCCAATCCAGTTTATGATCTCAAATTACCAGTGGCTAAGAAATTTTCCAATTTTTCCCCAACAGTAGTTTATAAATCAAAGCATCTTTTAAAATAAGCCAAGTCCTTCAATTTTGATTATTCCTTGGTTGCATCTTTTAATATTTTCTCTCTGACTCCGACTAATAAATCTTCCAATTTTTCTCTCAAATATGCAGTGTAGAGATGACCAGACAGGAGAACTTCCTGATTGACTAAGGAATCAAGATTGTCAGGATTGATTTCATCTATGAAAAGAGCATACAATTTTTCAATGCACAATAAGAGAATTGATGCTTTATCTTGATCATTGTCAAGATGTACACAAATGTGTTCTCTCAAGAATATGCGACCGACTTAGAGATCAGTGGTCTCTGGATTAAAGATGTTGAGTTCCACTCTTAGTAATCTACCAATATATTCAAGTGCATCCTTTTGAGTGTTGATTCCTCTTGATTTAGCATCTGCAATCATAACTTCCACTCTATCAGAGATATCTGACTTGTCTGCTTATGAACGCACTATCTATTAATAAATTTGATAATCATTCATATCTGTTAATGCTCTTAATAATATTATTACTGGCATTTGCAATTCCTTCTTCTTCAAGATGATACGCAAGTACACATTACCATCCATCAAGTAATGTAGTGTGATAGTTCTTGCATATTGATCTGATCTCACACACTTCATCTAAACTGCATATGGAGAGAAGTTGAATCCCTTGTTCTTGTAACCAGGTCTCTTGAATGCAATTGGGTAGTTCCTTTTCTAAATGATCAACATTCTTATAATCTTCTCATTGCCATTGATTATAAAGTAACCTCCGAATTCATTGCAATCTTCCTGTTATTACACCAATTCTTTCTTTTAGCCAAATCACAAATACCTTCTGCACTCAGCCCATTTAAATGACACTTCTGGCTCTTCACCAATATTGGTATCTCTCCCAGAGACAAACGGACTGTCTCCTTTGGATTATCATCTATCTCTCTGCAAATAGTGGCTAACATTGGAGCTGTGTAACTCTTCTTCATCTATCTACATTGAGTTGGCAGAACTCTATTATCTCCCAACATTCCTTATTATGTTGGCATTCCTATCTATAGTTCCTCAATCCAAATCTTCATATTCTTAAACGGCAATCGAATGTCTCGATTTCCAGGCACACAAACTTCTATAGGACTTAGATGTCGGCATATTTCAACCAAACCATGAGTGTACAAGTAATTGAAACTCTCAATATGATGCTTTGCAGCCACTCTTAATTGATCCCCTTATTAAATTTCCATAAATTAAAATTTATATTAAATATAATTTCACATTCATAATTTTAGAAAACTATTATTGGAAATGAATTCAGCATAAGATCTTTGTATTCTTTAATAGATTATGTTAATCTCATTGATATAATAACCACTAATAAAATGTGAGTGTAAGATAATCTATTAATAATATATCAACTCAATAATTGGAAAATAAATTAAATTATAGTATAATAATTATCATCAATGCGAAGGTAGAAACTTCTCCTCAATATATGCTGCTCCCACTCTGTTTGTGAACTCTCCAACTTTATCCAAACCCTAAGCCCAATCATAACCAGTCGCATAAGCAAATATCTACCCGTCTTGTGAAACTTAACCTGCAATAGCTGGTCCATCCAATTTAACACCTAAGATCTTCTGCTTTTTACCAGTGTCCCAAAAGGCTAGAGTGCCATCAGATCCTAAAGTGCCAGCCCAATTGGATGATCGACAATTAAATTAAAAAGAATTGCACATATACATTCGAGATACTTTCTCTGTTCTGAATTATGATACCTTCACTTCCTCATCTACCTTATAGCATTTGAATTGGATTTTGCTTGCTAAGTCTCCTCTACTGTTAATTGACTTTACCAAAGCTCTCCCATCCACTGTCGCATATGCCAATTACGAAGCATTATCATTGACTGCCACACAAGAAATCTACCCTACTAAATAATTGTCCTCCATATTAAAGAAACTTCGTGATGCCACACTGCTCTAATTGCCTCTCAATGCACTCCAATGGAGCCATCTAAACTTATTATCAACATCTGCATATGCGAAAAATTGTTCATTTCCACTCTACTCTCCAGCTGTTGGTACGTGCTGTAAATCCAATGAGAATGCAGGCTAGGGCTTTCCTCCACCACTTGCCTATAGATTCCAAAATTTTAACTTTTTATCCAAACCCAATGATATTATTAGTTTCATGTCCTCATTCCAAAATACTTACCTAGCAGGACAATCATCGTGAATTCCAACGATTGCCATACTCTGTGTTTTCACATCATATGCTCTGATTGTATTATCAGCCAATGCAGCGAATACCATTGACATGTCCTACTTCCAACTCACAGATAACACTCTAATTAATCATCTTAACTATTTACGGCTCTTAACAATCAATGGCTGTCTTGAAGTCTACTTGTATGTTAGCCCTAAATCCGGGTTGCAGCTAAACCTAGTAGAACCGGATATACCCATCCCAAGATGAAGTCACAAAAACGTCTTTGTTCCATCTGATTTCTGAAACTGTGTCCATCAAGTTATCATTAACGACTCTTTGTGACTAAATTCTCAGCTATATATACCTAAACAATATTTTAAAATTGAGGTTGTGTGTTGTACATTGCTTTTTTAAATTTAATTTTATAAAATAAATTAAATCACTAATAAATATATGTGTTTTTGCATATATATATTCAAAATGAACATGGAAAAGAATTTAAAGAATGTATTGATTTAAAACAACCAATTATATTATTTATTTTCGTTTCAAACATAGGAAAATATTCTTTTTCATTTTAAATAAATTTTATCTAAGCTATTCAAATAAATTAATAGAATTTGTTTCATCTCAAGTATTGAGTATAAAATTATAAAAACAAGAAATATTAGTCTTCAAATAAGAGATAAAATATTATTTTAATTTTGTTAAGAAAGTGATGTTTTCATAAATCAAAATAACTTCTAAAAATTAAAACTCAAAATTCCTCATTCTAGATGATTCAACACATTTTTACAATACTATTTTTTGTTTTACTAAGAAAAAGTTTCTATTTATTAATTATTTTACATTTTGTATTCTACAATAGTTGTTCTGGTTCAAAAAATTTAATCATTCATAGTATTCTATCAACTTTGATACATTTTCATTTTATTAATAATAACCTGAGTCTAATGACCCTTTGGCAGCATTATCTTCTCTATATTATTTGTATATTAGGTATAATTTAATTATTGAATTTCTGTTTGATTTTCTAATTCCAGTTATGCTTTTTGAGTTCATTCTTTCAGATTTGAAAAATTTCATTGTGATAGAATTAAAATACCATAATAAACTTTCCTAAGCAGTTACTTCTTGAATTAAAATATATTTTCATATAGTATTTATTAATTCTAAATTACAAATTTTATTAAAGTAGAACTTATGATTATTGAGTATCCAATAAAATTCAGACAATCATTAGCCCTCACATTAACCCGAGCCTAATTATGCTAATAAATTCAACTAAGAGACCATAAATGTTTTGGTGAGTGTTTAAATTACGGTACCATCAATACTTTAGAGATGAAAACTATTTCAAGAAAAAGACCTGAATTACACTCTTCATGATGATAATCCCAAGAGTAAGTTGAAAAATATAATTTAATAATTAAGCATAAATAACAAGGATTTAATAATATAATAAATGACAAAAATTATCAATTAAAATTTCGATTTTTAAATAATAAAATTATTTTTAATAGAATAATGAAATAAATTCCCTGTTTGAAACATGAAGGCTCATATTTGTTGTTTATAAAATCAGATATATAAAAATCTGAGTATGTTTGTGAGGAATGTTGTATGGATATGGAAAAATAAAACATAAAAGTTGAATTATCTAAATTAATTCATATCAAGAATGTATATTTCTAAATAAATTATTAAAGGCATTAAAATCACCAGAATTTTTGCTTTCAAAATTAAATTCATCAGCTTATCTGTCAGGCTTTTTCGCAGAATTAGATAGATATAATGAAAAAACCATGACTAATATTCTTAACGGTTTTAAAGTCAAAGTTTTAAACATATAAAGTGCTCTTTAAGAAGTTTATAAGGAATTGGAATCGCATACAAAATGCTTTCTTGAAATGAAATACAAAATTAGGGAAGAATTAAAAAAAGTAATTATTTACCTAAATAGATTATCAATTTTGATTAATTTATATAATTTACAGTAAATCTTGAGTAATTAGGAGATTCTATCAATCCAAAAGCTATAGAATAAAATGAAAAGATTCTGCATTAGTATATCCAAGAGCTTACAAAAAATGAGTGTCGAGAACTTAATAAAACTTTAGTTGATATGTTAGGTAAAATATTACGACAACCAAAAGATCTGAAAGATGAATAATATCCTTAATATCTAAAATTTGAAGAAGAATTTAAAACTTTTAACACAAGCCAAATAGAATTTGCAAAATAAATTAATTTAGGAAATTTTAATTCAAATTTTGGTGTATTGTCTGATGGAAAATTGTTATCGTAACATTAAATACAAAAGATAATGAATATTATTGAAACTAAATTGAAAAAAAAAATAATAGGATCCTTTCCTATATATAGAAGCATTCGAGATGGATTAAATCAAAAATATTTTTGGAATAAAGTGAACAATTAATCAAATTTATTAATGATATTTAAATCCAAAAGTGGATACATTTTTGGGGGGTTTTCTCCGTGTTAATGGCAATAAAATCTAAATAATTATGTTCAGGATAATACAATGTCATCATTCATATTTTCATAGACCCACGATTAAATATATTATTTAAAGGATGCTAATAAAGCATAGGCTATCTATTGTCATTAATCAAATGGACCTATTTTCGGATCTAATGATATGTAGTTGGGTGCGGATTTTCAAAGTGGTTAATCTAATTTAGGGACTTCATATTAATGTGATTAATATTAGACTGCTGCCAAGAACACTCAGTTATTTGGTTAGACAACCCCAAATCTTGCAGAATGTGAGATTTATCAAATAATTCTATCTTGAATTTTTACAATAATTTTACACAAAATTCTTTGAATCCATTTATTATCTTAGTTGCATGATTAAAATTGTACTTAGCTTTTGAATTGTTTATCAATAGTTCATTTTTTCAGATGAATTCTATTTAGAATTTACCAAATTAAAAATCAAAAAAAAAAGTAATTTTATTATAAATGAAAGAACCAATATCATGTAAGAAACTCAATAGTATAAACATGATAATCTAGAGTATGGCTTTTCAAATAACGCTCAAAAAGAAATTAATAACTATAAATTAAATTAAAGACATGTTTTCAAAATAATATCATAATTTCTTAATGATGTTATATATTTTCTTTATTCTTAAAATATGTTATGAGAATTACCCAATAATTTATCAAACTTTATTAAATTTATTCAATTACTTGTAGAATATTTTGTGTGATCAATATTTCATTTATCAAATTAATAAATAAATACACCAAATAAATGAGTTTTCTTAAAAAGATCTGATAATATTTTAATATCTTAACGATTTTGAAACATGCTCCATGATTATACCTATAAATACATTGCTTAAACTCTTTGATTGGAAAAATAGTATAAATTTAATCATGATTTTAAGACTATTAAAATGAGAATTTCGAATCAGCTTAGGTATACACTCTAAATATATATATTTTAATTTAATTCATCTGAAACACATTTTTGAAAACATTACTTTTATATTTCATTAATAAATAAAGTTAAATTAATTTTTTATGTCTTCCAGTTTTTTTGTTTCTGGGAAGCAATTGTTCAAATTTAATTTTTAAGCAATTTAAATAGATAATTTCTTCAATTTTGCTATCAACCTATCTTGATTATTATATTGAGATTTAAATATTAATTATTGTAAATGGAATATGTTTTGTATGAATTCTTTCACCACCAACTTTGTATAACAGTCTCTCACTTATTACTTTTAATCTCTGTGTAAAATTGGGCATTCTTTATTCAAATTCTCTACATCTACAGTCAAACTGATTCACAGGCCTACAGTCCTTGCAGGAATTATTTGCAAACATAAGTGAATACTAATTTAGATTGATAATTAATTGGATAAACCTAAGGCTTTTTTTTTCTTAATATTTTTCCCAAGCGAGATTTGCTTTACTATTCTATTAAGATAAGGTATGAGTTCTTCTAATGATTTATTATTTTTCTTAATTTAATTTTAAAGACTTTGAAGTATAAATCGTTCAATTATTATGTATTTTGTGATCCTTTTAAGAGGATTTTATATTCCAAAAAAATTGAATGATTAATGTGTTGTACACACTAATCATTTAACACATTCTTTTGAAGATCAAAGCGAGGAAGATTTTATGAGTTCTAAAGTCTAAGCTAATTCATACAAGAAATAGCTTGAAATTTGAAAAGATTTAAAAAAACAGAAAATAGATTGAATTATTAAAAGTAAAAGTTGAATAATTGATAAAAAACTATTCCAAGAAGAAAATTGAAATTATAGATGTATTCTTTAAAATACGAATCACATTTAATGACAATGTGAATCCATAAGGCGATAGAGGACAGAAGATCTTGTTGGAATATACAATTCTTATTTTCCTCCCTAAAATCCATGGCGAATAATTATTGAGTTTAAAATTGTTAGTTTTTTTGTTTCAATTTTTACACATTTTATAAATAATTTTTAAGTTGAGAATTACTATACCTATTTTACAAGATTATTAATTTTCAATCAGTGTAGAGTACATATTAATTTTGTGGTACATTTAAACTTCTAAAGTTTATTTAGAAGCCAAAAACTCAATTGTGATAATCAGTAGTTATCTTATTATTTAATTACAACATAGAAAATTTGTAACTAAACAGCAGGTTATTGTTTGTAAAGCAAGATGAGGTGAAAGTTTACTTCAGAAAAATGGTATTTTAAAAATATATGCAATTGGAATAATTTTATAAAAAGGAGGAGAGATTCAATTTATAGGTACTTATTCTTACATATTGCTTTTGTTATTTTTTTCACACATAGAAAGATCAACGTAAGAAGTTAAAAAAATTAACAAAGTAGAAAATGAAACTTAATTTCTAATTTCAAATTAATCATAAAAATTAAAAAAATATTTATTCACACTTTTTCAATCTATAAATTTCAGCTATTAATAAATGTTTTTTTTCAATATTGTTGCAAATGGTACCTATATTAGATAATGTCTAATTATTTAGTTCTACTTCTTTGAATATTTACCATAAAGCAACAGTGCAATCAATGTTATAAAGAAATAAAATACTCCCAAAATTAATGCGAATAAAAACATTGAATTCCCAGATTGCTATACATTATTAGTCATACGTTCTGTCAAATAAATTATGCTATTCGATATCCTCTAATTAATGATATCAAAACCCCAAATATTATTCAAAAAATAATCAGAAGAAGTCATTATCTTTTCAATCTTATCCATTATAACGTCAGGATCATTCTCATTATACAATTAACTATTTTAATAAAACACTTGTCCCTGTTGTAAAAGCAATTGATGCTCACTCTTATTATAATAAGTCAGTAATTCAGATTGAAAATCTAGATCTCTATTTTCTTAGTAACATATTGACTCATCGACTTAACACAAATATCCCTAAAAAAATAGTTCTAAGTTTTCATCGCTCATTTATAGTATATTTTATATATCGGTCTAATTGGATGCCAATAAAATGGTGTTAAATTCATTAGTGTTCAAATGATCTAAGTCCTTGCTTAAATTATCAATTTGAGATTGATTCTGCTCATATATTTGTTAGAGTAATTGAGAGTCTTTTTAATACTTATACATTTGAAACATCATTTGATATTGGCAGTTACTGTAGGAGTTCAGATAATCATAATAAAACTACTATAGAATTTGACTAAAGAAGGAGTATTAATCAAGGTTTTATGATGAATTGACTATCTGAACATGGAATGATATGATATACACAAATGTGAATACTGTAATTCCAATAATTATTAGTAGACTTAATAAATTTGATAATTGGTGAGATATCGATATTTTAAATTTCACATTGTCAAAGTTATCTATTTTCTCCGACTTAATTGTTTTCCCTCTGTCTGATTGTTTTTATTAATAACCCAGATCATCATCATCCTTCAATGATTTCTAATTAATGGAATGAAGCAAAACAGAGATGTTTTTGGATAACCAAATATTTTCTAAGTTTCTTAATGTATTCTAAATTACACTAAATTTCTCTGACTCTAACAAAGCTTCTTTGTAATCTGTTCTTGTGAATAGCTTTAATATTAATTTCCGTTAACGAAAGAGCTTGTTAATTACCAATAATTGAAGCACAAAGATTATAAATAGTAAGACATAGAGACTGATAATCACTTGATTTGATGTGTTGGTTGACGAATTTAATTAATTATCAAACTCTATAAAGCAGTTGATGATATTTTCATTTAAGTATTGAATGTGTTTAGGATAATTAATAATAATAGTACTTAAATCTTTGATATTCCTCCTGATATCATTATTTTAAATGCTTGTTAATATGATTTATCTTAAAATCAAAACATTTTACAGACTTTGGACATTCCTACTAGCAGTCATCTCATTTACATAAACGAGTTGTAGGTCTTCCTTAGTTTCCATTTAGACATTCCTTTCCTAAATAACAGTAGTAATTTAATTGGTCAAATAGGATATCAATTACTATTAAAAATTTAAATTATCTTCTGAGGAGATGACAATGTTCTATTAATCAAATTGTAATGCGACTTTACTTAATGGGATGGTTGTAGATATTTGTTCATTATTAAGGGCGTTGACAATACTGCCCAAAGATGAAATTTCTCGTAAAACATGAGTTTGTGTTGAAATGCAATAATTTCCAATTGAAAATTTACTCAAAATGATGAAACTTATGATAATGAAGGTAGCCAAAAAGAAAATGGCAAAGATCAGATTGATTAAAATAAATAATAAGGTGATGTTTTTATTTTTATTGTTCAATAATTGATTATGAAATTAATTTGATTGTTATAGTAGAGACTAATTACTTGATTTGGATCTTTATGATCCTAATTCGAGTATGGCATTTTCTATACTTTGACTAGTGATCGAACTACCATTTGGAGTGTTTAAGATATTTTAAGGTTAATTGTGTAATTTTGAATCCTTTTAATCTTTAAAATCATTTTTATTATCTTGTTCCTCCAGAAATTACAACTTCAAAAAAAAGAAGTCTTTGCTGGTCAAAACATTGCCCTTCTAATAATGTATGATTTTGGAGAATAACTGATAGCTAATTTAATATTGTTTCAGATCTCCAAAAGGATTAGCCTTTTGTAAATCATCCTGGATATCCTCCAATTAGGACAGCCTGTTCTTGAGACTGCAATTCTGATTAATCTAGTAGATTTTCCTTAGATCTCTAGGCACATAGAATGATTCCTATTGTTTCTGCATAATGATATCATTGTCCACCAATTCGCTGACTTATCTTTCAATCATAAAATGATATTGAGCTATCAATGAATCGATTACTGAGGGTATGATGTAACATAATTCCAATTTGTTTAAATCCAAACTTTGTTGGTTGAATACCTTAGTGTAAACAACTTCATTCACTCCTAACACATTAAGATTTATGTCAAAATATATGTAGCCAATATTACTTTTCTCTGTGCTGCCTGCTCTCTAATTGCTTTCGATCTTTTTGAAAAAGGCCATCAAGTAGAACTCAAAATCAGAGGAAAATTTGGGAAAGAAATATCCCAAAGTGAATTACAGAGGTTGGATCAATCCTTCGCCGTAAATAGAAAATATCAAGCTAGTCTATTCCATCTTGTAACTATAGCCCTTACGAATAAAGTTCTCAATGATTCCATCGTGAATATCAGCTATGAATGGAGGCATCAACTGATTGAGATGAGATATCTGGAAGTTCACATTAAAGTATTATTCAAGTAAGGCTTAATTTGGTTTCCACAATTCCCCTCTTCTCTTCAGTGTAATATTTGAGACCAGTCCAATGCTCTGTTAATTCTGAAAGTGGAAATTCAAAAAGGATTCCAATTCCTATTATTCAAGAAACAAAATCTGTTAGATTTGATGTTGGATCTCATAGATTTCTAAAATATTATTGGTGGAGCAAATCTTGAATAATAATTCGAGATTTAATATGCTAACACAATCAAATACCAATTATTTTTTCTTAACATTTTTGCTTCTGAGCATTTTCACAAGAGTGCAGACTGTATGTATTTAATTCTACATCTTATTTAATTACTCTAACAATTATTGGAATGTCTAGATCTTATTGTTGTAATAGTCTTCCCAGAATTGTTGTTTGATCAATGCCAAGGATCTGATTTCCTATTGTAGAAGAGTCCCTATATTTTCGATGATTGAATGACCCTTCAATAACTGGAGGATTTATTCAGAATGATGAACGTTTTGATTTTGAAATTGAGCTCTGTTTCGTTTCTATAAGATGAATTGGATGTTGAGAAAATAAAAGGATGAAGATTGCACTTAACGACCTTTGATTTGCAAATTCTAAGATTGTTAATTGTTCATTATCTATTGCAGAATAGTGTAGGCATTGATGGGATTATTTTTGTACTTTGCTAAAAAGGTGACATATTTCAAGGCCAAATGCTCATAGAATTCATAATCGCGATTCAAGAGGGCAAGTTGTAAACATTTCTCGAAAACATATGTTGTCCACAAATTTAATTGTTTGTAATCAACTGAATTATTTTGAAAGAAGTTTTATACATTCAACATGCATGAACATTAATTGTCAGTGCATAATTGTATGTGATGATTAAGGATTTAAATAAACAATATTTTTGACTCGATGCTTGTGTCACTTTCTTCAGCAGTCCTGTAGATCTCTTCCAAGTATTTGTCAGCCCTGTTGTTGTAAATGGCCAATTGGAAAGTATTGCATATCTTAATTTAATCTCGCTTTTGAAATTGGTTAGACAATGTAATCAACAACTTAATATATTATCATTAGATCTTACAGGTGCAATCAAAAGAAACGTATAGAACATGAAGTAGTCTTCCAGTCCAGGACTAAAGATCCAAACTGATGTGAGAATTAGGAAGTACTGATGAGTGAAGGTGGCAGAACTGTAAAAGTTGGCTTCGAAGGAATATCCAAACGGTTAATTCACGAGGATATCATAAATTAAGGACATCCCCAATAATTGTTGAAAAGCATGTTTTGCAAAATCTATTCCTGGAAAGTTGATATAATAAAGTATTATCACTAACTGATGCAGCATTATCCTGAATACATTGGTGTAACTAAAAGATCTCGAAAATGTTTTTTCATAAAATTGGTAATTTCTAAAGAAATATGATATCGAAAATCCTGAAAGTGACACAAAAAGAGTTCCCAATACTCCGAAGACATAAAATAATTTATTTTTCTCTGATGTGCAATTAGGTGAGAATTGATTATCCTTTATGAAGGCCGTCTTACCGCAAACCATGACTCCAACGCTTATTTCCTAAAAGGGCGTAACAAATATCCATTGATAATTAATGAAAAACAGGTTCAATACTTTCTTAATGTAATTGGGCTTTGCAATGTCTGAATCCAGGGACATCTTAATCAATGTCAAATAAACTATGACATGCAAACAAAATATGAAATAAAAGAAGAAAGATGTCAAGATGTCGTTCCCAATTTGCAGCAGTAGGAAAGTCAAGGGTGACAATTGAGTGTAATTGGAGAGATAGATATTTTCAGACAAATTCAAATGTTTACTTTCGAATTGACTAAAAACATATCCCTCCAATTATAAAAAATATATCACTATTTTACAACAATTAAAAAAAGGACTCTTTGCTAAATCAAATCCGTCCTCGGATATATAAAGGAGAGCTTGGATTGTTCTCTTTTTTACTTTCATCATAGTCTTCCTAATTTTACTCATCTCCATTCTTATTTATTTAATTATAATTTAAGTGGTTTTTCATTAGAAATAGCTAAATTCCAGCTATAATGCTCATTAAATTTATACAATAATAATATGAAAAGTATTATTCAAAGCAAACATTTCAAATTATTCACAAATTCCAATTATTAAAGTTTCAATCTAACTTCTAACCGAAAGAATAATTTCCTTAAGATCGCTTCCTGCTTTCTCAAATTCAATTTACACTGCTGTTTCTACTAAGTGTTCACAATTATGCTCGATTTCTTACTCAAACTGTTGTTACGCAAGATGTTCACCTGCGAAGAACATTGAACCTTTTTGAGTCCCTTTGCCTAATCCAATTTCTTGAATTGCTAAGTGAGTGATTAATCAAATAGCGTCTTCGTACTCTTTAGATCCAATTAGGATTCCTGATCTTACAATGTATTCAACTACCTAAAGTTTTGAGAATCAAATTAGAATTAAGAATGTTAACTTGATGAATTGAATGATTGTTGAGTGTTCAATTTTGAAGATATGTTTTATTTTGAGATTCTCTGAGGCATTTTAAAAGACTCCTATTGCGAAGATTCACTAATAAGAGATGCCCTTCTATTTTTTAAAGGAGTAATTTTACTTTCTGGTCGAGTCAATGAAGATCCCACTTGAATAGGAGGAGATGTCATCCTTATGCTTGATTTTTTTTTAGCAGGAACAATTGCAATTGACTTTGAAGTCTCAGTGTTCTCCTTTTGCTTAGTAATCATATTAACCAAGGTTTCTAGATCTTATTTTGCCTATTCAATATTTCTTTTGGCCGAACTCCTTTCAGTGAGCAAAGGGTCTCTAGCAGTTCTCTTATTTGGTGATTGATTGCTTGATTAGAGCACTTAATCCCTTTTGTTTGACAATCTATTCGTAGTCTTGGGATCCTACTCATTGTCATAAGATTGAATGGTATCCAAGGTATTTTTCTTGTATTTATTGGATTTGTCAAATGGTTGTAATTGCAAAGGGAGATCCTTCTTGACGGAAGAGTCATCATCTAAAATATCAACAAAACTATCCTATTATTAGATGAATCCACTGTTATTCTGGAAATCTATGCCAGATTATGCTGACATACTGTCAAACCTCTTATTTGATCTTGATGTTCTATTGTTTTATTTAGATTTCCTTTTATTGTTCAGAGTATCGTTGTTAGTGAATTAATTATCATTTTAAAAGGTTGGCAATGAATCTTAAAGTTCTTATTTGTTTTGGATGAGTAATAATTAATCAATAGGTTTTTCTGGTTTATTTACATGAATCTTATTCAGTAGATTATCCAATTTGATTGGAGTTGGATTTTGAGGTAGGTCTTCAACTTCTATTTGATGTAATTGAATAAGACTCTACTATCTATTCCGATCTTTTTTATCTTTATCAACTGATACCGAAACTGGAGCTGGTTTCTCAAAATTCAAACTCTCTCTTATGGTTGCTAGTTTCTATGCTAAGGTCAAGGTCAATCCCTCATTTGAAGGTTCTGTGTATGGTTACTTATCAATTGTGGTAGATCTCCGAGAATCCAAGATTTTCTTTTTGCAATCCCAATCATCAAACAGAGATTACTTCATTACGAGGATACTGCTGCTTTTATTATGAACTTGATTGGTCTTGTCAGTCAAATTGAGACTGGTGTCAAGAATCTTATTTTCCTTGATCAATGCAAATGAACAGAAGGAGTACTCTGATTGAAGAATAGAAATGTTTTGAAATTGTCTCTGCTTGCATTTGAATTCCACATCATTGCAATAATGCATTTTTTAAAAGATCTACTGATTGGTGAAGAATTGATGGGATTGAATTTCCTCTATGGAATATTGTAGGATTGTGTGATTATTTTGAATAGCAAAGATGTACTTCTCAGTGCAGAAGATGTCTTTGATATCTTTGATTTTAATTCGGATCATCTTCTGATTGAATAGGTAGAATTCTCCACTTTCCGTTATGGCCACTCCACCAAAAGAGAACAATAGGGATTTCTTAAAGTACGTATCCAATTTCAATCCATTCAGTTATGGAATCTGGACTGTCTTATCAGCCACAACATTGAAGATCTTGCCACCAATTGTGATGAGAGTGAGTCGATCCTGGTAAGAGGAAATGTGTTTGCAATGACTATAAATTTGCTTATTGGTTTTTCCATATGAAACCTCTGTGAGATTGATCGATTGCTGCAATGGGCGAGATCCACTTATAATGATTTCCACTTTTGAGCAGACGAGGTGGCTATTCGATTTGATAGATGTCTCCATTTTCTAAACTTGTTATATAAGGCTTATTACATAATAAGGAGTATATCAGTTTACCATCTGTGCAAATCATTGAAACTTCAGCCTACACGATGACACTATCTGAACAGTTGTTATCAATGAAACTCACCTTACGAAGGAGAGAATTCTCTAACTTATACTAACGCAGTACCTATATAGTATATGAATTTGCCTATTCGTAAGGCTTGGCTAAATTGAAATTGGAGATAGTGCAAATTCTAACTTAGTAATGTGTATAAATACCTCGATGTCTTCGAAAATAACAGACATATTAATTCGTTAATATATATTAATTATAATTAGTTTTGATGATTTATAATCACAGATGGACGAATCCTTTATGAATATTGATCTGCCCTTACCCTTTCTACTGGCTTAATCATTCCTGCCCTCGAATTGATATCTCGTCATGCTAACGGAATCCTATTAATATGTAGACCTTAAAGTTACTCTTTACTTGATCTTCCAAGAACTATTTTAAGATTCTATTTTTTTAATTGTAATAATCATAGGATTTTCAGTTAATCAAATGAGAACTATTAATCTCTAATTATTGTCACTAATTGTAATAATAATCATAAAGACATAGTATATGTTTAAATACACACTTAATACTGCTTATGATTTAATTTAATTTTCTATGTACTTACTACTCCTATAATAGAAAATTATTGACTAATATAAACTTTCTAGCATGAATATAGAATTTAAGAGAATTAATTGAAAAACTTTTTGTAAAATTGTTATTAATACATCATAATCCCAATTAAATGTTGTTTACTATCACTAATTTGAGGTTGAGGTTGAGATTGGTATAACTTAAAATATATACAATAATCTCATTTACAACTTTAACTGATCAATAAATGACTATTAGCATCAAAGTCTTTCAAATATGGTGATAATTTTTCCAGTTTAAGCAATACTTATTAAACCTTAATAGTTAAACCATATATTATCATTTACAACCAATTATTTATATTCAAACCTACACTTATACAACATTAATTATTTTAATTTTGGTCCTCCTTCTAAGATGAAAATTTCTATTTATTAGATATCAAAAAGATGCCTAGCCTAGTGTTTTAAATCTAAAATATGACTACTTTTAAACAAGGGTCATTTCAATTATTCAATAGTTATGTAGAAATTTAACTATAATGAATTACTTAATTTTTATCATTATATTTTACATTAATTTAAATATTATGAGTACATACAATCGATATTATTGTACATCTTGTTATAGTGTTTGGGATGAAAATTAATGCGTACCTAAAATTCTGGATTGCGGACACTCCTTTTGTCTAAAATGTCTGAAACGTCTCTTGTAGAACGATCAAATAATCTGTCCAGAAGATATGTAAACAATATTGTCAGTATTCCTAGGAAATGCATAAAGATTAACTCACTGAATTAATTACGTACCAATGAAGAATTGTTACATCCCCAACCGCAACGTTCAGAGAGAATTCTGCCATCAACTCATTCATCGCAATAAGACATCTCCGTGACTAAATCAGAGACTGTAACACAATCTACCACTCGCTTATTTATCAATGTTCCTGACAATTCAGTTTCCATTCGAAAACCACAACAAGTTTACAAAAAAGAATAAATCCCATGGACTAGAGAACAATTATAACAGTGTCATCAATAACTACAAGAATATCACCAATAATTTGAATTGAACTAGTAAACCAATTTTAATGAGACATTTAGAATGATCATTCAATAGAAACGCACTTTGATTGAGCAAATATAATAGAAGTTTTCAGATTTTCAAATTAAACTCAAAAATATTGAAAGCCAACTCTTATACGAACTAAATATAGTAGCCTTGAAATTGGAAGATGACATTCGATAAAAGCATATCTCCATAGACAAAAAGTCAATTGCTGAAATCCAATCAACCAAAGAAAGGTACCACTATATTTTACATCTAGTTAGAATTGAGTAGTTGCTCCTCTTGTCCAATGAGAAACTCAACGCTCAAGTCGATTTGGTCAATACCCTAACACAATAAACTGAACAGCTCATCACTAGCTTATCCAAACAGGAGACCCTCATGGTTCACGACCTTATCAACAAGGAAATGCAGATTTAGTTCGATCTTACTGTCTATGATTATTTGCCCCAATTTTGCACTATCAAGAAATACGAGAATAATAATAACAGAAACCAATTGTAAAATAAGAGCTAGACTAGAGTCAAAACACTAAATGATTCTAATTCTAATAATTGCACCAATAAATCTAACTAATCCCTATCATTTACCAGTAGCAGTCCCAAACCCAAAGTACGTGACAACTCCTCTTCAAAACCATTTCAATACTCCAAAAATGCTCATCACATAGAAGAATCCCCATCATAAAGATAGAATCCAAGGGAATTAACTTTTGGACCTTCAGTGCAACTAAGGAGATCTCATGATTCCAGAAATGCTTCACCTAATAACAAACTTTATGAAGCCACAGGCATCGATCGACTTGAGGAACTCTTATTTAAGGGATTGCCTATTGAGAAACTGGACTTGACCAATCAAAGTACTTATTCTATATTTTATTTAGATTTAAATGATCAAGATGTGCAGGAACTTATAAAACTGGTTCAGTAATCCACCTCATAAATAGAAATACTTAAATTAGGTAAGAACAGGATTAGCGATATTGGTTTCGATAAGTTACTCACTCTTCTACTAAAAAGGAGTGACATACACACTCTCAATCTATCAAATAATGATTGCACTGTAAAATCAATAGATATGATCGAAAGAAGAATACAAAAACTATATGGAAAGACTATCTATCTCTCTAATTGCAAGCTCAACAACCTCACCCAATTGAAAAAGAAATAGACTCTATTTCAAAATAAAGGCGTTACTTTGTTTCTGTGATTTATATTTTATAATTTAGAAATTAACATCCCATTTTATTTTTCAATAATCTAAAATATATATTGATAATCTTTTAGACTTTGATCTTGAGAATAGTCATAACCTTAAATAAAACTAAGAGATTTTAAGATAAGAATATAAAAGTTCAATAAGTAATTGATAATAATATACAATTAAATTTTGAAGAATAAGTATTTATGCAAAAAAGAGAATATACATGATGGATAATATAACCATAACGAGTTAATGACATTCTTTGAATTATTTTATTTCAATATAATTAAGATGAATAAAATAAACTAGATAAAAATTATTTATAATCAATTAAATACACTATGGATGCAAGACATAATAAATAATTATTCATTAATATCAATATCAATATCTCCATTTAAAAATGAATATAAAAACTATTTTAATTAAGAAGAAGTTTTCCATATAGGTTCATCTACATAAACATTAGATTTAGGCATCAGAATAACACTAAAATAAAGATTATAAAGAATTAAATGATTTTTTGCGTCACTGAGATGTTTAACTTATTTTAATTTTGGTTTTGATATAGTTTATGTTATTCAGAAATTGAGTTTGCGATTTAAGGAGTATTAAGATGTATCTTATTGTTTAGTCAATGTATTTGAACTACAATTAAGACATCCATCACATTTGCAATTATCGGAACATTCTATTCCCATTTAATAGCATTCACAATATTTCTTTTGGCATCCACTTTTTCTGCAATTGCATCCCTAAATTCAATGTTGAATGAAATTACCTTTGCGTGTGTCATTTTAGATTCGACTTCCTAAACTTTTTAATTGAAAGCTTAAGGATTCCTTTCAATCATCTTTTGGATAAAGGAGTTTCGTTCAAGTAGATTAGAACTATTGTTAAAGCATCCACAACAATTGCATTTTGAGGAGCATAGTTTTCCAACAGCAAAGCAATCACAATACAATTTCAAACATTTACTCTTCCTACAATTACAAGGTTTATGTTCTTGATTCCTATTATAAAATAATAAACAAATAAAATAAATTAGGTTGTAATATTTCGAATATGATATTTAAATTTAAATTATAATATTGTGTATGAGGTTGTAGATGTATGGAGTAATAATACATACCCTTATTTTTGATCGAGGGTGATAGATTTAAATTAGCTTATGGGTAATTGAGTGAAATTCTGAATTGCTAATTATGATTGAAACTTCTAGAATGATTTCTATTCTGAATTATTGAATGAGATTTATTTGGTTTATGGAGTTCTAACATAAAGCAAATGAGTTCTTACTAGAAATTGCTTTTAATAACAATTTGAGGTATTGTCAATTCATTACTCAAGAATATTTTCTTAATTGGTTGGGTCAAAAAATTTAGATTCTCATTGGTTTCTTAGTCATTGAAGATGGTATCGCATCCAGGATTTATCATTTGCAAACGTGTAAACATATTTAAAATTAAATCAAAAATTGAAACATAATTACATAAAAATGTTAGTTAGTATTATTAAGAGGGTTCAATCCATTTATTTTTATAACCTGAGAATCTTTTCGTAAAGCTAATTGTGTTTCATGTCAGCCAATTTGGCATGCTCTCTCTGTATGTTTGAAATAGTGTTAATTCGACCGAATTTCTATTCAAAATTGTCCAATTACGAATTAATCTGATGCTTTTGAGGCATGAATTACATAAACAAATTATCGTGATTGATCTATATTGGACATAATCTGAATTCTTACTTCTTTGCATTTGATATTCTTTAGAGCAGCCTTGAAATCAAAGCCTTTATCATATATTTGCTTCTTCTTCCCCTCATGTAATATTTTCTGAGACAACGCCTCTTACACCTTTATACAAAAACAGTACAGTTGTTTAACGTATTCATATTCAACCTGTATCTTGTAATATGATTTAGCCTCACTCAATAATGATTCATAATTTAAACTATAATGCTTTTCAAACAACTATTGAATTAAATAAAAATCCGATTAATGGAAATTCTAATTCGAAAGTATCTTCTCGATCTGATGATACAACTCCTAACATTCCTTTGGTTGTTTAATTACAAACTTAACTGCTGAATTCGTAACTATATCCACCAAATCAGACTAATTGAACAAGATGTAAAATAATTGAAATGGAAATGTAAGATTTCGGAACTTTTGACATTCAATATCTTCGAATAATAGTTTCTCCAAACTTTAAGGAATAAAGGGCTTAAGAGTCTTTAGTAAGTACTTTGGAGTTTTAAACATTTATTCCAATCCCTAAGTTAGAGATACATTTTACATCTATATTCAATGGCAAATTGGTTAGATTATAAGTTAGATTCATGAATCCCACAAATTATTAAACATTGCTCAATAGATTCTCCAATTTGTTTTCTTTACGAAAGATTTGAATCATATAATCAAATGCCAGTACCAATTTGAAACTGTATTGCTTAGATTCTGCTTATCTAGTATATTTAGCAACTATACTTTTTGTCTTTTAATTCCTTTTAGCTTTCTCTTCTGAATGATGATTGGGTCGTGTATTTCAGACCCTTTTCCAAAGAGACCTCAGAATTCAAGGTCTCTGCATGCACTAAAAGTTGAGATCTTGTGAGTTTTGATCTGACAACCCTCTCGTCCTTTTTAGGTTCTTTAGAAAAGAGAGCCTGAAGGAATTGCTAGTCATGATCAAAACTATTCATATGGGAATGAGTCTTAAAGTTTTTTAATTGAATATTTTCACAAGATGCGTGTATTTTTTTAAATGGTACTTTAATAACTTTTATCTAAGAAGAATATAGGCCTCCTGAAGAGTCTTGCTGCTGGGATTCTTTTTAGATAAGAAAGGTTCTTCTTTTATGAAGCTTCTCTGTTCCATTTTAATCTGAACTGTATTCTGTAATATTTTTTAAACCACTCATTTGTGATCTTAGATTGGGCTATGACGAATTCTTCGTAATCTGTTTAATAATAGTTCTCTTTTCACTCTAAGGTCCGATGCTATTGTTGGTTTAAACAACAAATTAGTATTCCTTGCTTTTTTCAATAATGTCTTCTCCATAATAAAATTTTTATGCATTCATATTTATTATTAAAATATATATGTTAAAATATCAATCTATTTTGTTCAGAACATTCAAGAATTCCTTATTATCCTCTAACAAGCATATCAAATCTTGTATTTTGTAATTGAACTTCTTCATGATTTCTTTAGTGATTTTACTAGCTACATTCTCGCCCACTTATTATTCTTTAATGATGTGTTGCTTCATTAGAAATTTTATGATATTGATCTTCTAATCATCTTTTAAGGAATAAAATGTTTCAAAATTATTCATAATAGCATCTACAGTCTAATAATTTTTTATGACTTCTTAATGCAAATCCAAAATAATGATGTTTTCAGCTTCTTCAATTTCCAAAGTAAATTTCACAGGATTTTTGTAAAGATCAAATATTTCTTCGACTTTCTGATGCTTATTAATTATCAAACCTAAAATATACAATCATCATCATACATGATATTCGTTTTTGATCTACCAAATTTAAATGAGATTAATTAGCCACAATTTAATAAATTAATTACTACACTATATACTTTTAGTCAAGCAAACTCAGCTATTAAAAATTCTGCAACTCATCTATCACCTAATCAAAGCTTTTAAAGTATTCTTTGCTTTTCAACTCAGTATTTTTTGTTACAACTGTTTAGACTTCCTTTTTTCGAAACACCTCTTCGTATAATTCAGTCAATATCTTTTCATATTCATTATGCTTATAGTGAAGCTTTTGAATTTTTATTGGAGAATCTGAAATATTAAATCTTGACAATTAACAGCTCTATGTTCTGTTTTCATGTTCCTACAAGATTACTTCAGCATCATAAGAGGTGAGAGCCAATGCAAAACATACTTTGTTCTTATCCTTAAGTTTTTAATCTGAATCATTTCTAAACAATAATGACTTCAATAAGCCAAACTAATGAAGATATTCTCTCATTTATTCAATTGTAACCGAATTTTTCAAATTTGAAATTACTAATATTCTATCATCATAATAATCTTGACTATTGAAATGGTATCTGCAACTGAATTAAGTGAAGTTCCCATTAAAATATCCTTGGGATGCTCTTTATTTGAATTATTCATTTGATCCATTTTCTTATTTGTAAAACTATTAAAACGTTTGATATAAAGATGAATCAATTGAAAAGTTGTGAAATATTTTTGGTATTTAATCGAAATCGTGTTGAAAGCAAGGATGTCCCTTAATTTAATCTGCCAATTTCATAAATTTGATGGTGTCACTCAATGTTGGAAGTACCAATATTATATAAGGTTAATCATTTTTCATTTTAACAAAACAATTTTTCATTTACAATTTTCTTGAATTGAAATAGTTGACTATTAATAATTCCCAAGTCAACTCAATTAATCTCTAAATCCCTACAATATTCAATTCTGTCTAATTCAACTTTCTGCAAAATCCTTGGATAATCATTTATGTTGAAGCTCTTGGTTGAGTTTTATCTTTAAAAGGTTAGATGATTAGAATTTTTCCATTGACCTTCAATGGCTATCTTAAATAGATTTCCATCAAATCTATGGTTGTCTAAGGATGCTTGTATTCCACAAAGCCAGAACTAATTGTTAGACACTATCTTACAATTAAGGTTTATGATTTAGATGATTCTATTTCTTTATTTTACAATTGAATACTGGTCCAAATTATTCAAAAAAGATTGACAATTATTCTTAGGTGATATCTGATGGAATGTTATTTACGATTAAATAAGTTGTTTTAAACTCATCTTAAGTTTAATCATCAGGAAGTGAAATCTTTAGGATACTATTATTAATTTTAAATTCTTTCTGTTCAAGTACAATTTATTATGCTGATATCGGATCTGCGTATTCAATTATGGAGCTTTAAGACTCATAATATTCCTTATTAATCGTTATTTCAAGTATTTTGCCATATATTTAAAATGTTTCAAACAGAATTTCTTCATTTACATCCTTAAATAATATGATGACTTACAAATGGGAGTCCATGTATGGTAATCATTACAAAGAAGTATGTGATAATTTTACGACAAAATAATATATGGATTATTTATTCTATTCAAATTGTCCTTCTTTTTATTTTCCTAGAATATAATTGTTGAAAAATATAAATTATATGTATCATCTAATTAATCAATAAATAGACTGATAGATCCTATTTTGATTTTAATAAAATGCAATTTTTGACCAATCTTTACACAATGCAAATTTATTAAGTGAAATAGAGTTATTTCCTTTTTAATAATAAGAACTATTATCCTTAAAATGAAACTTTCATTTTCCCCTACCATCTATACTTCCAATTTGTAATAGTAATTATTTTATAATATCATTATTAAGTGATGATCTTTAATTGCTCAAGACACATCGAATGCTTTCGGTTTAATTGCAATTAAAATTTGAAAAAAAAATTTCTAATTATTTGATCAATATAATAACTATAACGATAAGTTCTCTTATGATAGGGAACATATATGCCTTATAGGAATATTTTAGAATAAAATTGATAGAATTAGCCATCAGAAATCGTCAGAAAGGAGTATTCATAATTAATTAATTGTAAAAATGTTTGATTAAAAAATTTCAATGAACGAAGCTTAATTCTATGCTCCTTTAATCTAATAAAATTATGAAATGAAAAAAAAATGTTTAAGGGAAATTATAAATCCAAAATAACTGATTGTCTGTTTTGAATAAAATTAAAAAAAGATAATACCATTAAGAAGTGTCAAATATCATCTAAAAATATATAATGGTCTTTAAATAGTTCAATTAGAATAAATATTTTTAACAGACGCCTTTAATTAGCCATTAGACCTAGAATATGTATTTTCTATCCACGAGAACGCAGCTGTCACTAAAATGAAAGTTGAATTAGGAGATTAAATAGTTTATGGAATAGTGAAGGAAAAAGAAGAAGCAAAGTAAGAATTTGAAGAAGGAATTAAACAAGGAAAAACTATGGCTTATAGCGAAGAAGATGAATAATTCCCATAGATAAAAAGACTCAAAATAGGATAACTTGCTCCAAATAAATAATTAAGAGTGATTTTTGAATATATACAACCCTTGGAGGTGTATTTGAACAAATTTTGGAAAATTGATGTATCTCCAATTATGGATGAAAATTATTAAAAAAATTAATCTGATACTCAAATATGGTTTTATAAAATTGTTAGCTAATATAAAATGGTATGTTTTAATTGAAAGACTTTACATTTGAGTACCAATAAGACATTGAGATCGAGTTCGACACTGGATCACCTATCACTTTTTGGAAATCTCCAACACATTAATTGCATTCTACAAATGCCAAAGATATTGAAGGTATAAAACAAGAGAATGGCAAAAGATTAGTTCTTAAATTAGATGATGATAATCCTGAAAACTTTAAACCCTTAAAGAAATTTACTCTATTGTTTTCATCCAATGATATCAATTTACCGAGAGCAATACTGAGTCATACAAATAATGATGCTTTATAGGTTTAGAAATATTGTGCCACATTAACTTTCCATTCCGCAATTTAATTAGATGACATTAGATGATGCTTATTCTTAATATCTGGATAGCATAAACTTGCCAGAGAAATAAAACATTAATAGAGGGAATTATTTATTCTTTATTGATAGAAGTGGATCCATGGATGGATCTAGAATATAAAAGGCAAAACAATCATTAATTCTATTTCTTAAAAGTTTGCCTTAAAACTCTTTATTTAATATTGTCTCATTTGGTACAATGTATATTTCCCTTTGGGATGAATCAAGAAAATATACTTAAAATAATTTAAAAGAAGCCATTTTACATGTGAATAGCATGAAGGCAGACATGGAAGGAACCAATATTTACAAACCTTTACAAAATAAGATATATAATAGTAGTTATGGACGTTCAAAGGACACAACTTTAAATGTATTCTTACTTACAGATGGAGAAGATTATGCAGATCCAATCATTGAACTTGTTAAAAATAATAATCGGGCAGAAACTAGGATATATACATTAGGAATTGGAGAAGGTTGCAGTATTTATTTAATAAAAAGAGTTGCTGAGGTAGGAAATGGAAAGTTTCACATAGTAGGAGATAATGAAGATATTAATGAAAAGGTAATTGACTTATTGGAGGATTCATTGACTCCATATCTCTAAAATTTTAAATTAGAAACTAATGTAAAAGAAGTCTATTCAATCATTCCAAATCCTGAATCAATAGTTAGTCTAAAGAAAAATTAAGAACTCACTATTTAGATTCTATTTTCCAATGAATAAGAATTAGAAAACATTGAATTTAGTATGCATTGCTATAATCCATAAGATAAATAGCCTATAAAATATTCTGTCAATTTGAATTTAAATTAATCACAAGACAATGAATATTTTCATAAATTAGCCGCCCATAAGTTCATCACATATTACGATAACGCAATAAAATATGGTGAATAACAAGTTAATTTTATTAAATTAAATAAATAATTTCTAAAAGATGAGGATATTGTGAGTCTATCAATAGAAAATCAAATATTGAGTAATAAAACAGCGTTTGTTTGTGAAGTATGCGTATTAGAAGATCAGTTTAAATAATAAGATAGATCTAAAGTCAAAATAATAAAAATACATCCTGTAGTAAATCGTTATACAGAAGAGACTCAATAACAGAGGATGAGTTTGAATAATCCTCCTTTATACTGTAAAAAACTCCCATTTCAATAATAGAAACTAAAATCAATCTAATAATTCAATTAATTGAAACTACCATTTTTAAAATAATTTGTTAGAAAAGATTAAAAGTAAACACCATAGTTAGGATTAATGGGTAAAAATTATCAAAAGTAGGAACCAATGTTAGAATGCTTTGGGAATTAAATGTAAACACCATATTAAACGTCAGCACAAAGGGCAAACATTTCATTTCCAATCGAATTGTTGGGAATACAAATTTCTTAATCTATTAATATGTCACAATCATCCTTGCCACAAATTGCACTACCCAAATAAAATCAGAAATCATTAGAAAATTAATCAAATTAGTAATTGTTATTGATTAGTCAGGACAAAAATAATGATCCTACATATGAAAATTTGATGAATTTTGCCCAGGTAGATGGAAGATTTAAGATTAATAAAGACATTTAAATGAAGGTCAACTATTTAAATTTAAGCAATTAACAAGGCCTTAAAGCTGACGTATGGAATACTCTTTTAATATTACTCTATTTAGAAAATTTTTGTAGGCAATTTAAGAAATCATGGTAATTAATATATTTAAAAGGAGTCTAATATTTACTTTAGAACGGCATAAATTATAAATAAAAGAAACAGGAATTAGGTTATCCTTATACATGAATTAAATTAAGTATTATTATTTAAAACGCATTGAATATATAAATAATAAATATTATATTTTTATGACTTATGACCTTGATAAAAAAGTAGTTTAAGCAAGGTTACTATTTCAAGATAGATTAATAATTAAAAAGAATTTCAGAATCAATTCGTTTAAAAATGAGCCTTGATTTTCAGAATATCAGTTAGTTCAATAAAAAGGACTAACGTTTGAATTACTTAAAGGAGGCAAAAGGATACAGAAATCTATCTATAATTTAATAATGATGTAATTTTACTAATCCATCTAATTAATATTATGTAGAGTAAACTAAACTTTGAACTTAAGATAAAAACAAACTACTATTGAGATTTTTAATTTTGAGCTCTATATTATTGACTAAATAAAAAGGAATTTTTTTTGTTTTTAAATTATGTTATTACATTGATATTGCATCTAATTTTTGAATAATTATATTATAAGTGAATTTAAAGGTTTATATGGCAACTTGAGATTTAAAAAATCAGTAATATTTAGTTAAGGGAATTTATCCAATTTTATGCGCTTTTAAACTGAATAAATTGTAGATTTTTTGTTATTTACCTTAGTTTAATAGAGTGCTTAATTAATAGACATTTATCATTTAAAAAATTTAATATTATAAAAACTGTTTCAGAATTTAATTATTATAATATACATGAAATATAATCAATCATTTTATATATTTAAAAGATAATATTCTCTTTAAAAGATAAACCAATTATAGATATTCTTGATTAATCAATATTGTGATTATTTTCATTTCAATGATAGTTATTAAATTATTATTATTTAATCGATTATGGGCAGTAATTAATTTTTTGCTACCTAGATTTGTGCGCAAGTGTGAGAAATTCAGAGTTAACTGTTGAAGATGCCAGCGAAATTCTATCTATAAAAATAGATGAAAATGAAGTTATTATTCTTTAAGGAGATATAAGAGAAACTCAAAATAAAAGCATTTGTATAGCCTATAAAATAATGTATTAGTAAATGCTTGCTTTGATCCTTATAACAACCTCATTTTAAAGCAATGCCGAGTTAAACCTGAGCAATGTATCGATTATACTTAGTAAATTTAGTGAAATTAGGAGTGCCATCCTTAATTTAATTGCCAAGAGGAATCGTTAAATCTGAGTTTATGATCAACTTGAAGATCAATTTTGATGAATTCTCTAAATAAGATCTAATTGATGCTTTTGAGGAAAGGTAACAATAAATCTATGGGAATTTATAGCTTCGAACAACTATATTTTAAAGAAATAGATTCCATCTCATATTACGATTAATGTGAATAGTACAGCAAGGAGATTTAGATCATCAATTGTGAATGTTTCATAGAAGCATTAATAAATGAACTGCACAACAACAGACGCTCGAGAAAATATTGTATATATCATCCAAATCTAAATATTTGTTTGATGTACAAAAACGAATTCAAATCCTAATACTCCTCTTATTGTAGAACCAAATACTCCATGATTGAACCACAAAATTTTATTTATGGAGACGTACTCCAAACAATCCATGAAGAATTCACTGAAAAGAATTCATAGTTAGCCTTATCAATAACTAAATTATTTAAAGAATATCCATAAACATATGAAAAGAAAGAAAGCCTTGAACAATTTGTACCTAAGATGACTGCTTTATCCTAAAATTGAAATTAATTTATAGTTATGACTTCTTTGGTTAATTTGATATACATATATCATTTTTATGCATAAACATAACTATTCTACAAATATATTATCAATTTCTCTTATACTGTTTTTTGTCATACAGATTATCAATTAATCTCTATGCCTCTTCGTACATTGATTATTATCTTCTTGGAGTGCATTCTCCACCCTTTCTCTTCGGAGAAGGCTGACGAATGCTTGGCAATTTTTTCTGCTATAGTCGTTCTGATTTGGTACCTTATCCAAAGATGTTATACATCTGCTTATAATTCTCTAATTCATTATTAAAATATTTGATGATTTCTGTTGCTTTGATCAATTGAAATTGCAAATTCTCACTATGAGAAATCTAATTTTCTAAGTGCTTTTGCAATTCTATTTTCTTCTTAACCGCATCTTTAGGTTTCTCCAATTGCTTTAACAGAGTTTCGTTCTCTTATGAACTTTTTTAAATTTATTGCTTCATTTACTTCACATTTTCTTTCATCCTCTCCTGCATTTCTGAAGCCTTCTCCTGTAGATCGGTTATATTCTTAGCCTGTATGTGATTTTGCTATTGAAGAGATGCAATCTACTCCTTAAGTATAGTGATTTCCTCCTTCTATTAGATTTAAAATTCGTCTTGATCGCTTTGCAGAATCTAGAGACTAAATTGATGTTAATTTCTAGAACTGTTATCTAAAATAGTAGCAGCTATCTGATTCTTGTTGTTGGGTGAGAAATACTAACTTTCTTGTTGATGAGAATTGAGGGTTCTTTAATTTTCATTAATAATCAAGTATTCCAATAGGAACTCGTCAGTTTAGCAAGAGATATCCTATGTTTGAATGTCTTGGTTAAATTCTTATTATTGAACTTGATTATTGGAGAAGCTAATTTATATTTTGCTTCTTCTCCTAAGATTTGCATGATGAGTTGCATATGCTTAGGTGAAGTTTACGCTAGCGAATTTAGAATTAGGTGTTTCCTCACTTTACTTTACAGAAGGTCCTGTATTAACTTCCTTTGGAGTATAGACATCATTAATTTTCTTTTGGTAGTAGTATAGTTAATCTTCTCTGTGTTTAGATCTTTGATTTCTTTTCTTTTTGAGTTTCTTTATTAGAGAGGCTTACTTTTTAGATTCTAGTATTTCATCCAACTCTAAAATTGGAACCTTGTCTGGATTCTACTTGATATTAGACATGGGAGAAATTTAAGTAGTTTATTAATCAGCATATTTTAGATTAAATTTAAAAGTATTTGGAGATAACTAACTGATATCATCAGGCCATAAGGAAGTTTATGTTTATAATTATTGATGTTCAAAATCTTATTATAATTATGTTTGAGTTGAGAAGTGATTTGTAGGATTGTTCAAGTAGAAGTTTTCTAGGGATTATTAGATTTTCTGTTCTGACAATTATTGCTCTTCATTAAGTACTATATTATTATTTTTCTTTAGATTTGCAATCATGGCTTATGTTTAATGAAGATACAAAGATTGTTATTGCATTTCCACTCTTAATTAGTGGGTTTACTATTATTATTATTGTAATTGAATCTATTGATTCTTGATCAAGATAATCTATTGTTCATTCTTCTGAATTTCTTATTCATATTTATTTCTTAATAGTTCTAACTCTTTATTGGCTCTAATGGATGCTTTATTTGCTTCTGAAATTCTGAATTCACTGTCTTTAATCAATTTATCCATACGCTTTTCATAAGTGTTTCTCAATTCCCCCAAAGCAAATTCGTATTGATCCTATTTAATGGCCACTTGAGTGTGATGTTCCTCTTATTATTTTTGCATCATTTAGATGTGTTTGATTTTCATTTAAGCTTGCTTGTCTATTTCTTCATTGATTTGATTGGTAAGTTCTTCCAACTTCTCATTGTAAGAGTCTACTAGTTCAAAGTGTGTATTTTAATTCTTCTTAACTTTTTTGTTTTCGTCTTCTATCAATTAATTTAACTAGAATATGGTTTGATCCTTTTGGCTGATCATCTCCTCCTAGCGAGTAACAGTATTTTATAGTTCTATTGATTGCTTTGAGACCTCTATTTTGATTTGTTCATAATGAGAATTGCGTTCCTCATTTAAAATTAGTAACTGGTTAGTTTATTGTGCCAATATTTGTGTTTCTAGATTACTAATTAGAGTTTGAAATACATTTCCTTAGTGTTTCTTACATGGATTTCATATCCTCCTACAAAATAGATATCAACGTTGGGAAATCTGCTATTCTCTTCACCAGTTCTCTGCTCTCAGTTACCCTGATAATTTGCGATAGATTCTCTCTTTGTTGCTACATAACTACTGGACATTACCTCCAAATAAGTTTAGGTTGCTAGTATAGTATTTTTAAGTTCTATATTTTCATCCCTCAGTGGTTGTAGTTGCTAGATCACATGAACGATATTCTCCTCGGCCTTTTGATTGAACAACATACTTGGTTAAGTGAGCAGACTTTTGACATCATTGGATGTCTTATCTCTTTTTTTATTGTTCTTCTCATTGTTCATTATTAATGTTTACAAAAATTTTATACAAATTTTCTTCAACTCCTCTACTTACGATTTCCTTGATAGGCAGATCTTCTGTTGGTAAATCCTCGCTCTTTAATAAATTGTAAACAGGAGAGAATGTGGCCATCACATCCAATCAAAAGAACATTACGAGGGATAGAAAAGAAGTAAAATAATCAAAATATTATTTGAGGCTATATCTGAAATCTTCCCACTTCCCATTAGATTTGTTGATACCGCAGGAATTGAGAACGTAGCTCTCAAGAAGATTCTAAATCCATTACAATAGAAGATGCTCATGCAGACCATCAATGCAATTGAGTATTCTGACATCGCTTTATTTGTGGTGGATGCCAAAGCTGGTTTAACCAATATCGACCATCAAATTGCCAGGTGGCTAAAGAAAACACTCTAATTAACCAATCCTGATCCCAAATTAGTCAACGAATTGAAGGAATTGGAAATCAGGACCAATCTCAAAAAAGCTATATTAGTAGCAAATAAATGCGAAAATGATTCCATCTTTGAGACTGACATTGATGCATAACTCAAAAGATTGGGACTTGGCAATCCCATTTATGTCTCTGCTGTCGATGGATCAGGATTCTAAGATCTACTTACTAAAATCTCTGAAAACATACCCCAAAATGCATATGAGGAACATTCCGAAAGGAAGCAGAAAAGGAAGGAAAAATACAAGGAAATTAAAGATAAATGTAGACAAGAAATGGAAGAAGTCATCAAACAATAAGAAATTGAGTTTGACATGAAAATTTGGGTATTACTTATTATTTTTATTTTTTACCATTAGGAAAGAGAATTTGATTAAGCCAATCCCAACCCTGAAGACAATAGCGATCTTGATGATGAAAATATTGCTAATCCAATCTATACTAAATCCCCTATTCAAGAAAAACAAGGAGTCTCAAAGGAAAATCTGCAATTACGAAATCCCATCATGCTTTCCATCATGGGCAGATAGAATGTTGGAAAGTCCAGTCTAGTCAATACCTTATTAGGAGGTATTCTCATTCTTCATTCTAGAGGACAGAGTCATTGCTGATCCAACTCCAGGAACTACTAGAGATCCTATATCCACATTCTGGGTTTACAAAGGTTAAAAGATCTAATTGGTTGACACTGCTGGAATCGAACCTAAGCCAAAGATTTAAACTGACTTGGACTTATAGATCATTGCAAAAACAAGATCCACTTTGAGATTTTCCAATGTTGTCGTTCTACTAATTGATTCATTAGGAGCATTCAGAGAAGTGGACCTAGAACTTGCCTAGGAGATTGTCAAACAAGGCAGAGGATTAATTATAGCTGTAAATAAATGGGATATGGTTGATAATGATTACAAGGCCAAAATAGTTAAATACTTGAAGGGTTAATTGGAGAGGAATCTTGGAGAAGTCCCCAATTGCAAGTTGATCACAATAAGCGCTGAGAAGAAGATTAACATCGATCTTTTGATGGATTAAGTTATTTAGGTTTATGACAAATGGAATACTAGAGTACTCTATTGTTTTCTATTAGGTTTCTACTGGTCTTTTGAATGATTGGCTCAATAAATTCAAAAAGATTTAAAGTTTGCCTTCTGAGGATGGTGATAAATTAAAAATTAGATTCATTGCTTAAATCAAAGTGAGACCACCCACTTTTGCTTTGTTCATTAATTAAGGTTCTTTGTTCAAAAGTATCGATTGATCATTACACATTAGCTAGTTATTTAAAGTTTTTGAGGAAGAAGTTAAGTGAAGAGTTTGATATATCTGGAGTTCCCATAAGATTGGTCTTGAGAGATATAGCATATGCTAAGGAGAAGAAAACCTTAGAGAAGGACAATGAAATGACGGTGGCAGATTTGTTATTAAAAAGAAGGAGAATTGCTCGATTGGCTAAATAGAAATTAGAAAAACTTAAATAGAAATCTCAAGCAAATAGATAATGATTGAATTGAATTGTATTATATTTATATGATGAATATTATGATTTATAAAAAGTTAGAGAATTAATTAAATTGAAAATAGATAATAACAAGATCATAATTATTATGATTATAAATAAATAGTAATTAAAAATATTAGGAAAAGTAGAATTATTTTATATGCAACTATTTTTTATATAATAACAGAATAGAAATTCATTAATTTATTTCATCCTTAATTAAATTGAAAGATCCAATAAAATTGGTAAGTTTTTCGAGTGGAATAATCTGCTCCTAGGATGATTTATCAAAATGTAGATTTGTCTACATAATTAATGTACAATTCTTAGGTCTAGTGACAAGGGTTTAACTTTAATCTCTTGTTGTTAATGCTTTATCCCTGGTTATTGATTGCATGAATGGATTTTTCGAAAAGGTAGGCATAGCTGACTTTTTAAGTCTTAATAATTTGAATAAATGAATTACATGGCCATGTTGACCTATTTTGGATAATCAATCTCATTTTCAATTTGGTCTTCAGATTGTATAAAGAACTTATGTTTTAGTAAGTCAGTAGCTTTCCATCTATGATGTGGATTTTTTGATAACATTTTGGACATCAAATCTCTCTCCACATCATCCAACTAATCTTATGAGAATCTTTGGAAATTAATCTCACATCTTCTATTTAATTCCAATTATTCTCGTCTGTCTTTTTTTTCAAACAAAGGTTCTCCAACTAATCTAAATTTGCATAATTTAATACAAAACATAAAGGATGACTCCAGCACTGAAGATATCACAAACAGTCGAGTATCTTGCAAACTCTGAATCTTATTCCAAAATCTCTGGAGCCACGAAGCCAGGAGTACCACATTTGGGATAAGTGTAAGGATGTTAATCACAAGATTGTGCCAACCCAAAGTCTGCTATCTTGAGAGATTCCAACTCTTTTGACATGAATAAAATATTTTCAGGTTTCAAGTCTCTATGCATGATATTGAATGAATGAATAAATTCCAGTCCTTCTAACAGCTATCTCATGATTATTCTGATGTCACTCCTACTGAATAAGGTGGATCTCTTTTTCATTAACGATAAGAGAGACCCACCTTTGGCTAACTCCATGACCAAGTAATAGTTTTGATTTCCAATATACAATTCATGCAATTGGAGTATGTTCTAATGCTTGTGTTCAGAGAGAATTCGCATAGTCTCTACTTCTTGCATCAATTGACGATACCCATTTTTTTTTTCGTTTATTTTCTATTAATCTATACATTTGGCTGCGTATTATTGATGATTATACAAATTGGTTAGTTCAAGCACAGTGGCATAAGAACCCTTGCCTAAAACCGATTCAGCTTGATATTCATCCTGTATTTTCATTTGAAATGCATACAAAGCGAACTTCTATTTGATTTCCCTTAGCTATTCGTTGCTTCCAAAATACTCGTAGGAATGGCTTCCAACTTAAAAGGTTATTGATTTTAACATGCTTTTTGAGTATTGCCACGAAATGCGAGTGTCCGTATTGATTACTAACTACCTCTCAGGAATTTGCATCTTGGGAGACTGTTGTCATATAATAATATCCATACTTTTCCAATACAGATGTGATTCTTAAATAAGTAGATATACCTTGGACCCTTACCAATGAATTTCTTCTTTGTGAGAATACACTAGTATATGCACTCGTTGTAATCGACGCTTTATAATGTATTTTACACTCCCTCGTGGACTGTACGAGATTTCTGTCTCATTTGTAAAATAATAATATTTATATACACAATTTTGGAATAATTCAGAAACTAAGGCCTTTTTATAATAATCAAAAGATTTATGACATGAACCAATTATAATATAAATTTAAAAACGAGAAAATTATTGCGATTAATTTAATATATATATAATTCAATCAATCTCAATATTATCATCGAAAAGTTCACCCATTAATTCTTAAATACACAGTAAATCCTCTGGAATTAAATCAGATGCTACTTTATCCAAATAAAGTGCCTTCGTATCTGCATCCAATATCCTATACGAAATCCAATAGCTTTCTTTCAACTCCTTACCATTCAAAGCCTATATTTTATATACTTGTAATCTTACTTAATCAAGTTTGTAAATTATGCTTTGATAATACTCTCCCTCATTGGGATCACTCAAATTTATTCTACCCATTAACAACGATTATATGCTTCTCCAATTGTCCTTCAAATCATTCAAATTCTTAATTGGGTCATTGGGATCAACATTTTTTGAAAATTTCTACCTTATAACACTGATTTCTTACCGAAAACTTCTCTTCCGAAAAAATATTATTCTCCAAAGAGAAAGCAACAAAACGATCCAAGGACATGGCTTTCTCTCCACTTTCATTTGAAACTGTATCACATCTTTCCATGAATTGTGTTCTGATAAACTTCTTGTTTGAAGTAGTCCCTTGATTAATTTCAAAATGCAAATATAATTTTTGAAACTCTTAAAACTCAATCATCCCATCCATATCCATATCAGCCGAATAAAACACCTCTTCAAAGTGTGCTTAATGTATCAATTTGTGTTGATGATAACCCTTCAGCAATTTGCTTATAAAGAAATCAACATCCACACAGACCTTGCCCTTCCTCTCATAAGTATTCTAACGAATCTCCCTTATAATCTTATCCTTGATATCTGCTCCCAAACACTAATGCTGGATATCCAATGATGCTATAGCCTTATCCAATTGAACCAACACTCCCTTCTCATTTACAATTGATGCCATATGAAGAGCTATTTCATTCTCATCCAGGATCTTCAAAGATTGGATATATATATCTAAATCTTCCAAAGTGAGGGGACTTAATAATTACAGAAATCTTTGATCAATTACATATACATTTACCTTCCGAATAAGTTTATCCTGAAATTCTCTCTATAAAAATAGACAGATTAATAGAAGTTGGTTAATTTTTATTCAGCCATACTTTTGAATCCATAAGTATTTACAAAGTACTCATAGCACATCTGATGTAGAGGAGTGTTTTTATTAGAGTATTACTTTATCTTATCAGAGTAAAATTGCGATATGAATTTTAAAATATTAATTCTCTGCATTTTAGGCATGGCTAACTTTGGGTTTTTAGCAAAACGCTCAGCCAAAAATGTAACCAAATATTTAGATCTCTAGAAATTGAGTTGACTTGTGGACTCAGCATTATTTCTGTTTTGAAATTCTTATATGTTCAACAATTAAATTACTTGGGGCTTGTGTTTATGTGATGTTTCTTCTCTTTTGTTGTCTATCCGACTTTTTTTTGGAGTATGCTTCCAATTTAGATGAAATTGACGATTCAACACTTGAAGCATCACTATTATCGAGTTCCTCATTCAGAAACTATCTTAATGTATCTGAAATCATCTTTACACCCTCATTGTTCAAAGTATTGGAAGTACTAATTGGAGTACTCTTCTTAGCAGATTTCAAACTGGATCTATTATTTCCATTACTTGGGATTAATTACTACATAAACATAATTGACATTACATGATTTCCAGGTGACTTCGCCTAAACCTAAATCTGAGAAGATCTTCTATTGGATACAAAGCTACGTTACGATAAGACATCCTACACAAATATGATTATATAAATACATCTTAAGCCATTGAAATGCTTTATTGAAATGAAATTTGAGATTACGAAATTTCACTCTCATTGTCAGATTCCTTCTGTTATTCATCAGTATTTGTAATTTGAATGTTCCACTTCTTTTTAGGTGCATTACTTTCCTAAACTAACTCCCGTTGTGAAATAGTTCTATTAACTTAACCTTCAGGTTTGGGTTAATTTCTATTTGAGTACCCACTCATTTACTATCTTCCAGGAGATGAAACAACAAGGTTATTTTATGGAGAATTGGCTGATAAAAACTACTACGATATATCTACGGATGAAGGCAGTTAACTTTAGGATTGAGTGGAGGGTTATTTTTTCTGTATGAAAACACTCGATCTCTTCTCTTGTATCTTTTTTTTGATGATATTTGTAAATTTCTGTGTTTTAGTCAACGAATTTATTAAATTGGTAGTCTTTTCAACTAGTTATTATTTTTTTTCTTTTATTTTATTGTATTTTCTTTCCAATTTTGAGTTTATCTTAAATAAATAATTGATATTTACATTCTCTTGTAATTCTAAATGAGCTTCCAATTCTATAATCTCATTTTTTGCAGATTCTAAATTCTATTAGAGATTTTCATTTGTATTTTTCTAAATTATGTAAGATTATTATTACTAATGATTATAATTCGGTTGCATTTCTAAGATTTTCATCTTTTTATGCACTATTAACGAGTAATAGACTAGTTCTATACTCCCTCTATTTCTAAACTGTTTATTTAATCTTAGATGAAATATCGCCTAGACTGAGAACAAAAGAAGACATTTAGTTTAGATCAGGGCTATCCAATTGATCCCCTTCCATGAATTGTTTATAATTTTCCTAAACTTTGATAAATTAATCTTAGAATTGAATTAGTTACTCCTCTTCATTTTTGATTTCCTCTTGTATTTCGTTGGGTAATTCAGTTTGTGTTTCCTTTTCCACTGCATTGCTCATACTAGAATCGGTTTGGACAATATTGTGTCTGAAATCTGGTAAGAGGATCGATCTAAGATTAAGATTAAGAGAGAAGTATTACTTATACTCAGGGACACAGTTAAATACAAAGGTTTGAATGGATTATTCTTTTTGTAGGTCCAGGATTGTAATTAGATCATTTGTGTCTGTGGCTTAGTTTTTGAGGATGTCTTCAATATTAGATATAGAGATATCTGAGTCGTTTTTTAAGTCATCCATCATTTATGCATCATTTTGGTTGTCGAAGGCTTGATGCATGTTGGGTTGTATCACTTTTATTGGTTGTGGAAATTGAAGGGGAGAATGATCACTGTTTTATGGAGATTATGATCTGTAATTGGTTTGGAATCGCTATTGAAAATCATGGAGATCTGTTTCATTATCTTGGATTTATTGCTTAAGATTTTCGATTTCACTTAGTAAGTACTTATTAGAGGTGGTGTAATCATTGAGTTGGAATTTGAGTTGTCTGACAGTGTTTTGCAGGTTTCTGTTGGTTTTCTTGAGATACTTGGCATTATCCTTTAATTTGATTAATTTTTCTTAAAGTTTTGATTATTCCTCTTTTTAATTTGAAATTATTAATTGAAAATTATCAATTTCCAATTGATATAATTAATGTGTTTTCATGATTTGTTTGAGATTTTATTTTTCAATTTCTTTTTTTTCATTAACAAGTTAATCAATAACAGAGGAGTTGATTTCAACATATTGAGTCCAAATCTTTTCCAGTAGAACACTAAATAAGTTTACAAATTTACATCACCTCCTTTCAATACAATCAATACTGATTTGGCGTATGAGTTCCTTCAAGCACAAGGTGAGAACGTTTTGCACTTCCTCATAGAAATCTAGCTGTTTTTGATCATTGTACTTATCTACAATCTATTGAACCATTAGATCAACCCAAACAGCGAGTGATTTAATATCATGTCTACATAAATAATAAGGTTACTTTTGAGGAATACCTCGATGGAGTTTGTCTCTTGGGTTATGTTTAGACAGGTTACTGCAGAATTTGCCCAATTGCAAAGGGGGTTCTTTTAATTCAGTGGGGATATGCACTTCAACAGTGGCTTGGATATAAATGAATTGAAATACGCTCTCTGAGTGTTTTAGGTGAGAGATACAGTTCAGATAAACGAGTGGGATATTGATAGGGATCCACGCTTTTCAGTTGTCCATAGAAATCATTCCGAGGCTAGAATTTCATCTTGTCAATAATATCTAATTGATTTTGTGCTAGCAAGGGGGATCCGTAAAAAGTCTATGTATTTATCACTCAAATACTCCTTGAGATAAAGCCTTGTGCTTTTGAGAATATCTGTATGAGATATTTGAGTACTGTTACTAGTTCTTTAAGTTGGGGAGTGAATCTCTCTGTATTCTGGTGAGTCGTTCATTGGATGAGTCAGATCTTTAAGTTGGACATCCTAGTTGGTTAGGCTGGATTGATTAAGTAGTTTTAAGTATGCGAAATTTGTACTATTCGCTCATATTGAATTTTGGATAAATTAAAAATATAAATTATCATTACACTAGAATTGACGACTTCTTCTTAAGAATGTTGTTTTTCTTCCAAGCGATAAGAACACAAACGAATGCTAGCATACCTGAAGAAAAGAGATATATTGTGAAATTAATAGAGGTTTCTTGTCTATTTAATTCAATCATATATGAAGTGTTGAGCATATTGGCTTGATGCTTTACTAAATCGATATCCCTTCTAAACTTTTCAGCCCTATATGAAAGTTACTCATTAAGTAAGATTAATTATTGCAATTCTTCATATTTTATTTTTTCAATATTCTCTGAATGATGATCATCATGAATATGATTATGTGATTCTTAATTATTATTATTATGCTCATCCACTTCGACATCAGTAACCCATTATACATCTTCATTGACTTTTGGTTGATCAACTTAAATGTATATTTCAAACTCCTCCTCAGAATGCTCATGATCTCCAACCAACCATTCAGTAATTGAGTCTGAATTCCATTGCTTATCAAAATAGATCAAAGCCTTTGCCTCCTTATCGACAAATAACAATTATGGAGTCTGCTCTATACCCAATTCAGCACATAAATCTTCAGCTTACCGACAATCCACCACTCCCATCATGATTGAATCTGCATGCTATTGATACAATTGATTCCATAAAGCAACCATCTGGTCATCCTTAATGATCAGGAGTAGCAACTACGTTTACAAAGTCTGCTTACATTTTACTCACTATTGAGAAGATTCTCAAACTCTGACTTGCTTACCCGATCTCCAGAAAATGAGGCATAGGATATCGTCAATAATATGTAAAATATTATCATAATAAAAACAATTATTATTAATCAGAATAGCATTAATAAATCTCTTTCTATTATTCTTGTATCAATTTACAGATATCCTCATAATCCTACAAGATACACTTGAAATCCTTCATCTTCCTATTGAATAGTTGCTCAGTCAATTCAGCCACTGTTCTCTGATAATTCCTTCTCTTCTAAAAGAACTTCTTCAAATTGGCCAAGCATTATTTGGCCCTGGCATTTGAAAACGGATTGATGGGGTATTTCATTAAGTAATAGAATTGTTCCCCAATTGCCTAGGTCAGTATCAGCATCTATTGAGATGCCTCCAATCGAGCAAGTAACACATAGGCGTTGAATTGATTTGATTTCATATAGAACCGCTTTGCTACGGCTGCAATCAACAGCGAAGTAGTAGCAAAACCAGAGTATTGTGTAAGTGTTAGAACCATTTTACCATAAACAGTATATGGTTCGTACTCCTCATAAGAATATCTTATCAATGCCAACATGGTCTCGTAAAAGGAGTGCTTCAACAATTGCATTGTATCTGAATTCTCCTCCCTCATATACGGACGTTCCACTATCCACAATGCCAAAGTGAGGAAGCATGCTTGAATAATGAAAATGGTCGAAATCACGAGCACTGGTTCCTCGTTTGCCAATGATTTGAAGGTGAAACTCCATTTCACTTTGAATCCAAAATATAGGGACAATCTATACACCTGACTGTTGTACAAATGACTCAATCGCAGGAGCATGAACATCAAGGTTATGCCTCTCAAACAGGTCCACAAAAATAGCAGGTCATTCAAAGTAAAGTAAAACACTCCTTCAACTCGATACAGGGTGAATTCAATCTGAATATCTAATTTAATACTCAACTTACTTTTTGAAAATACATTAGGAATCGGTAGATATATCAACAATTCTAATAAAAAGGGATTAAAGAAATCGCTTTTATGAAAGCCAAGGTTGAGCGGAATCAACTAAGTGGCTTTCAAGTAATTAAATTTCATGTTGTATGTCAAATATGTCAGCAGCAACAAAAAGCAATTCAAAGCCAACACCAACCACAAAAACGTATCATCCTCCCAATCCTATATGAAATATTAATCATCAAACTATATAATAATTCTCATACATCGATGATCAGTATCACAGTTATCACCAATATCAATTGCAATCTCACTTGTTCAATCAAACGATGAGTCTCAAATAATAGTTTTGTGACTCTAGCGTCCTCAAATCCAATATGATCCTCCTTCTTTAAGCTAGCATACTCCCCTCCTTCTGATTCAGACGAGAAGCTTCTCTCGTACCCAAGTCCATGAATCCCCTCTGATATTTGATTGGTTAAATGTAGTGGAATTGCATTGCTCTCATGAAATCGTTTTTAATTCATTTATAATTCATGTATAAATATATAATGTAGTCAAACACGATATCTCCATTCCAAGTAAATTAGATCTCTCCTTCTAAACAATCAAAATACATCCTTTATAAAATACATTAATAGAAATGTTAACGTTTTGTTTCTAACTGCAATTAGCAATTAATTCATAAACTAAAACCGATTGACATATCATTGCTAAATTTCTAAATATTAAAAGAACTTGTTCATTGTTAGTTTTCTGATCATTTTTATTTTCATCTCTAATTTTGTATATTTTATTGTATTAGTATTAAATATTCTACTTCTACTTATATTTCAATCAAGTAATGCCTTAAATTCATAAGCCTGATAACAATTCCAAATTTAGAAATGAGAATTCAGGAAAACCTGATCACCATTAGATAAATTTCTGAATACTATATTGATTTCACAGTTTAATTCAATTCTTTAGAGTGTTGATCTGTGTCAGCTATATTTAAACCATAAACAAAAGAGGACTTGGTCAGAATTAACTAATTATTTCTACATCAGCTGAATCACCCTTAATTGGAGCAATCCATTATGTATAAATTTAAGTCTTAGTAAATATACTCTTGTCTCTATCTGTAATTAGTGTTTCAGTTTTGTTTTGACTAAACTCAAAACATTATTTTTATTATTATAATCCATGAAAAAAGTTACTTAGACTACAGCATCCACCTTCCAACCAAAACGTAGTCTTGCCAAGGCAAAAAGTCAAAATTAATTTGAAGAAACAGATCCTGCTTAAAGAGGTTATGTATTTATACTATGAAGACAGGAAAATAATCAGGATGAGAAATGTTGTTGATTTGGGAGATGCTTAGGAGGATAACAAAAAAAATTAAAGAAAGAATGGTAATTCTCAAATTGTAATAAATAGAGGATCAAATCGACCCTTTACTTGAGCAACTCGATCAATGGCATGAAAATATAATGTCGAAGAAAAAGACTTATGCATTTGAATAGGTCAAGCAAAACGACAACCATAACAAGTTGATTGAAAATGAATTCACATTAGAACATGGACCTCAGATTAATTCAAACATCATCAATCAGATCATGAAACCAATTGAAATACCCAACTTCAAAACTGAAGAGAACAATGAAGACGTATAAGTCTAATTCCAAATGCTTAGAGCCAACAAAGAATCTGGAAATGTGCTTAAAACACTCGATCAAGTAAGAATTGAAATGAACAAATAAATCTTAAATACACTTCTGCTTCAGAAAGTTACCAAAAGGCTTGATGAAATGCATATCAATAGAAAACATAAGACTAATTGGAATATACAACGCATGGATGAAGAAATAACCCAAGTATTTCGAGATTAGACACACACCTTGAAACAAAGAACTTTGAACAATTTCAAAGGTTTAACCGAATACTTTAGTAATCCTGCATAATACATTGATTATGACATGGTTTTATCAAAAGCTAAATACCATTCTAATAGACCACCAACATCATTCCCTACAACTTAAATTCCACAATAACAACAAAACTCTACTTCTGCAAAATCCTTGATGGAGAGCTATCAACTTTTTCAAACATAAATCAAAGAACATAAAAATGTGCTGTTTTAAATGAGAATTGAAAACAACACCTTAGTTTAGTAAATGAATCATTTTGAGGAAGAAGTTCAAGATATAAGACGAAAGTTTTTTGCCAAAGAAGAGAAAGCAAGGCAAGGATGGATTCCTGAATAGTAAATTGATGGGTTACCCAACAAAAAAAGGAATCTCATGGATATCATTGAAAAAATCAGAAATTAAAGGGATTAGGAGGTGAAGACAAGGACAAAGGAAATAATGTCCTTAAGAAAACAAATGTAATAGAATAATGAGAAATAATAATAAATACAAAAGGAACTCGATGAGATGAGATAAAAGAAGAGAAGATGCAAAATGCTACTCAAAGATATCTTTCTTAAGCAATTCTAAGATTCAAACAACTCTCTTGTTCCAGAAGGCCTCGTTAGTATTATCAAGAACATGAGAAAGATCAATGAAAGTGCTAAGCCAGAATATTTCCCTAAATTTCTAGATGAAATTTCTAAGAATTACTTGTTGTTAGCAGCTTAACTAGAAATCGATATTGAAGAGACTAGAATACTGTCTCAAAAATACAATCATTAACAATTATTGTAGCGTGCCACTAGTGCGAGATAGCATATTTCTACTCAAAGATAATAGATGAATGTTTCTGAAATTAAAAATTAAGTGAAAATAATGCTAAAGAAAAGTAAGGTGTCAATCAAGAAACCAGTGTTTGTTCAAGGCATCGATCCAATTAATCCAACTTAGTTTGCTCATGTGATTAAATGGGAACATCAAGATTTGGAACATTAATAAATAACTGAACCTATTGAAAGCAATTTTAAAAATTAAAACGTCTCTTCTGAGCGAAATCACATTATGAAAGACTACAATTAGAAGCTAGTTTAATTATAATAGTAGTTAGAATTGATTACGAATGAAGAATGCCAACGTATTTTAAAATCATATTCCAATAAAAAGTTATTATCTGATATTCAAGAACTGAAAATGGTTATGTATGCACTCTTTGGTTAAACATTGGGAGATTAATAGTGGATCCAATTTGTTGTCGATTGGACTGAATAGAAGCAATTAAATCCCTTATTTGTTTTAAAACAAGAAGAACAAACGAAATAAAGTGATACACGTAAAGATCAACATTCAATTCCAGACAAGATGAAAGCTAAAGTATCATAAACACTAAAAAAATTAACAGAAGTTACTAATGTTGATTATAACTTTGAATTAATCTATTGATTTAATATCTATATGTAAAATAATAATTATTTGTTAATAACTAAAAATGGAATTATTAATAAAATATATATTAAGGAGAGCCATTTTTAAATCATGAAAGTTATGCTAATATAAATATTAATTCTTGTTCAATTTTGTTACATTATAATCTCTAATTTTTCAATTTATATAATTTATTTTGATTATTCTATAATAAAATTTAAAATTATGGAGGAATATTATTGTAATGCCATCATAGAGTTGGTGTTAGAGAGTGAAGGGGGAAAAGTCAATGATCCAAACGACCCAGGAGGTAAAACAAACCGAGGGATAACCTAAAAAACCTACAACGATCAACGAAAAGAGATCATGGGGTAAGCAAATAAGTAAATGGCAAAGAAAGAAAAGAATCCATTGAAAATACCAGAAGACAAAGATGTTTTTGATCTTACAGATGATGAGATCAAAGATTTTTACAAATATTAATTCAAAAGATTTTTAGCTCATGAAATTAAAGATCCATATACCTGTTATGTGTATTTTGATACTTGTGTTTTGTTTGGCCCTAATAAAGCAATCAAAATACTATAGCTAGCATGCGATATTGAATCAGATGGGAAACTCGGTCCAAATACAAGAGCTAAAGTAGAATAAACTATTGATTAAAGAGGATTACAATTAACTATGCTCTTCTTCAGAGAGATGGAACATGAAATGTCGAAAAATTATGGAATATACGGAAAAGGATGGTCTAATAGAATAAAGAAGATCACTCAACAAATAGAGGAGGGAGTAATACCAAAATGGCCAAATGATAATGCTAATAAAATAGTACAATTATAATAACAACAAAAAGTCATAAACTAACCTAAGAAGAAATGAATACTTTAGTAGAATATTATGCAAAATATATTGAAATTATTATTTTCTCTTCTTAATAGAATTATCTTTAACAATTACTTTATGAGACTAAAGTTAGTTTGAATTACTTAATGATTCGCCATTATGTTTGATATATGAAAACAGAATGGAAATCAATTTAACTCTATAAGTTATAAAACGATAGACTTATTTGATATAATTTATTATTATCATTCTGGCTTTACTTTAGTTGGTTTCTTTGATGAACTACTAGATGAGCTCCACAACAATAAGCCTCCAACCAAGGCAAAAAGTTTTAAAAATTCAATGGAAGTGGTTGAATCAGTATTCATTAAAGGGTTGGCTGTGATAACTATTTATAATGACAACCCAAGCAGTGGTAAGTAAACAAAGCTTAGCAAATTAATTAATTATATTACCATCTGCATATGAACATCAATACCGAACTGCTGATAAGTCCTGCGATTATTAATTTTGATAATTCAGGTGGCAATAATTTGATGGTATCTGCAGGTATATACTTGAGTTTAATTCGAGAATTACTTTTGTGACTAATTTATGTTTTAGTAACTCATTGTATTTAGTGTCAAATTGTTTTCCCAAGGATGAATAGGAGATGAGAAGGGCACTGTATCCAACAAGAGCTGTGAGCAATAGTACTTTACCGAAAAATGACATAATATATATTTTTATTTTATTTAGACACAAGGATAATTAGTGTTTCTAGGAAAGCAAATCCTCCAATACCCAATAGTATGATGAATAATAAATAATAATGTAATGTAATAATTCATTTGGTGTTTTTTTTCTCTCTAAATTATACTCTGAGTGAATATATTTTTTTATCTTTATCCCAAACTGGTTGAAATTTGCCTTCCTAATATAAATAAAATAAAAAAAGTACTTATGTTTCTATCTCTTGATTAGGTATTTTAAAGCTAATGTTTTCATATGGTTCACCAGCGAATATCAAGTACTAGTAATTCTTGTCTGGCTACTCAATCTTTTGTTCAAAGGCTGACATAACTCTGTGTTTGGGGATGAATCCGGGTTGAATGTCTTCATAATAAAGCTCAAAATATAGAACTTTAGAAGTGTTCTCGACAGTGCGTGTGACCTTGTACCCTGGACGACCTATCTTAATAGTTTTATGTTTCTAGGGTTTGGGTTGGTTTTATTTGGCCATGTGCATCATCGCATTGAGATCCTTGCCTTCTCTGGCTTTTCTGCGCAACAGATTCTATTGATGTTTCTTTCCTTGAGTGTGTGCCAAATATGATCCCTCATTGGTATGGAGAGTCAAACATAATCTATAATTTGAATTATATGTATACTTGCATTCATAGGTACCAAGATGATTGATCATAAAGTAAGGGTCCTTTTGGAGGTCGATGATCTCCATGGCCAGTTGCTTAAGACGTTCTCTTCTCTCGACATTGGCATCTGCAGCTGATGCCATAGGACCCGAGCCGGTCCTACCTCCTGGTCGATTTTACATGTCCATTAATTTAATTAATGCTATCAAACCCTCACTTAAGCAACTATATAAGGTTTTTCTAGATTATCTCAGATATGGAACAGGAATGTCTGATTACATAGAAAGAGAAGCACCAATTAAAGGTGAATCTAACTCTCAAGGACATGCAATTGGTTAACATGATTGCACTCAATACAGGTAGTGAAGGATTACAATTATTCATAAGATGCCGATGACGAAGAGTTCAAATACAGCATAATCAACTATTTGAGGAAGCAAAACTAGTCTCCTCGTCAGAGACAGGGGTAGAAGATAAGATGCAAGTCAACAGGGATCGAAATGAGTCCAATACGTTTGATGAGACGCAATTCTGTGAGCAAGGAATCCAAGATCACAGAGGAACAGTTGATGCAACAAATTGATGATTTGAATGACTCGCTTGTAATGATTCTATCGAATGAGAACAAATGTGTATATTTCGTCCTTTTAATGGTTTTGACTAGATTCTCACGCACCCGGTAACTGAGAAATTGAAGAGCATCCTCGAGGTAATACAAAAGACGACCATTTCATCACCATCTACGACAAACACTAAAACACTGTAAGTTGATGAAACAGAGAATTGCAAAATAGTAGACAAATTTACTCAGCTCTATTCAGACATGAAAGTATTCGTCATTCTCATCCAAATAGAAACATTACACCGATTATTTGAACTGCCATCTCCTATTAATGGACAACAACCTATCCTACGAGACTCTGGTTCAAAGTGTCAGAGTTTTTGTCAAACGATTAATCGATTCCGATTAGATAACTTATTTGCACATCCGAGAGGATCAATCACAACAGACATATTACTCAGTTGAAGACTAATACATCATCACAAATGATAAGTAAATCTACAACGAAACTTAACTGATTCAACCCAACAAAGTTTTGCTCCTAGATGAATGTAATTTCTATCCTGCCTTGAGTGAATAATTCAAGATTAAGTTGTACAAAAGGAATTATTTGATCAAATTGAATAATCAGGATGTTTTCGTCTGTTTTCATCTGAGTGATCAAACATCCATCATCAGTGAATTTCTAGCCTTGGCAGATGAATTCGATATCTTCGAAGATCTCAATTAACTGTGCACCTTCTTGATTGAGACCATCAAACAGGCCAAAATCCAGATATTTACTCCACTCCAACTCTCACACATGATCCAAGGTATTGGCATTGCCTTCATTCGAAGTTCCAAGTACTTGTTCATTAAGAAGTGCATCCATATCTTGCAATCAAAGTACCAAGTTGATATGTATGTATTATATATCCATCTATTTAGTCACATCAATACTGGAGATGCAATGTCTATAATTAGTAGTCCAAGTTTCTTCTATGGCACTTAGAAATAAGTGGATTTCGAATTCAAAGATGAACTCAATGTATCCATCACCATCAATGGCATGGATCTGAATAGGAAGGCAGATCTAATGGTCTACAAATAACTGACTCAAAGTTTCAACAAGTATCTCAAATTCATCAGACAATGTTATGACCGAACCACCTTCTACAAGTTCTTTGTGAAATCGCAAGACACACTCATTTTTGAATTTGACAAGTTGGGCAGACTAATCTTCCTGTCTCGACCTATCCCTTTAGAAATCAAGAAGGAATTCAATATAGATTTTGATCCCAAAAAAACCAAAATGACCTATCAACAACTATTCCAAAATGAGGAACTGCTCAAATATATCGAGAATTTCCTCCAAGAATAAAACATACTCAGAGACAGTGACCAACAATACCAGGTATTTATGAAAATGGAAGAACGCAGTTTCAAAGGATTTTTCATTATTTTTTAACAAGGCTGGTTTAAATATGATCAGAAGAAGTTTGATCTCAACGACCCTTCCCTCTAAAAGGAATTGCAGAAATAAATCATTCAACAAGAAACCATAAGATTTATTGACAAGCTCGAATAAAATAATCCTCAAATTTTGAATTCTGTTGTCTAGATGTTCAAACCAAGATCCACTTAAAGACAAACTGTTCATTACAGGAATTCCATTCTGCAATTTGAACCTGCAAAACTTGGAGTCCAACACAAATGTTCATTACGATTGGAAGACTTAAGTACTTAATGCACAGTTCCCAATATCAATAATTTTAATTTCAATATCCTGTCAGTGGATGAAATGGTTTAAAAATAATTGGTGGTGGTTGAAATCTTAAAACATCACAACTTGATCAAAGAGTATGATGTACCCTTGGATACTCTTTGTTCATTCCTTAGTGAAATCGAGTATAAGTACAATAAGAAGAAGAATGTGTTTCATAATTATGATCACGGTGTCTCTGTTATGCAGAATATTCATGCCATTCTATTTTAATTGCATTAAACTAATAATGCTTCTATTTTATCAACCTTCAATCAATTTGCGTTATTATTGTCTGGATTATGTCATGATGTCTCTCACACTGGGAGAACCAATACTTTTGAGATCAATAGCTTATCAAATTTAGCCATAAGATATCACGACAGGAGCGTTTTGGAGTAGCATCATGCAGCCAAATCTCTTAAGTTGCTTTGTGTACCTCATACAAATATTCTGTAAAGTTTGAAAGGAGAAGAGTTTCGAAAATTCAGGAGGATGTTCATTTCCAATATTCTATTCACCGACATCACAGAACATTTCAATTTGATTAAGAATTTTGAGACCAAAGTATTAGAATAGAATTTTGGATCGTAAGATGAGGACATCAAATTATTAAGTGGCATGATCATTCATACTTCAGATTTCACAGGAGGAGCTAAGCAATTCGAGTTGTCCAAGCAATGGTCATTTAAGGTGAATAAAGAGTTTGAATAGCAATATGAATTAGAAGGTTAATTGGGATATCCCCAATTACCATATATGAAGGACTTGCAGAAGGTATCCTCAATTGTAATTAATTAGTTACCTGTGATGGCAAAACAAGAGGCTGGGTTCTTTAAGTTTATTGTTCGACCATTGTGGCAATCGATGTCCAAATACTTAGATAATAGGTTATAAGAATAAGTTGATTATCTTGATGAAACAATATAAAAGTGGGAAGAAATTGCTAATTCTGAATGATATTAATAATTAATGATTACATTTACATAATCAAAGAGTCTATTTTCTCCTTACTATTAAGAAGAGATTCAGAATATTTAAAAAATCGTACTTCAACAAAATATTTCCAACCATGATAGGCTGTGAAATAAGATATCACATATTAGAAAGAAGAAAATTGTAAATTTATGTTGGGTAATTACTATCCTATTAAGAAGAAATAAAACTTCTAATTCAGAATCTATTCAATAAATAAACAAAAACTTCTTTCCAATTAAATGCATTGTTGAAATTGACACTCAAGGGCCTAATAGTAATTGGGTTATGTTAAATGGATAAGAGAATATCCTTGATTTAAAATTAAAACTTAGGTTCATAAAATCAATTGGGAGTTTGAATTGCTATGTAATATTAGAAATAAGGTGTTGGAGAAGGTCTTCAAATTTGGTTAAGAGAAATTAAAAATATAAATGGATTTAATATTTAAACATATAAGAGAGTGGATGATGTCGAATTACGTTATTTATTTTAAAGTGGAAAGAAATAATTTTTGGCTAAATAGTTATGTTGTATAATGTAATAATTAGAAAATTTCTTTTCAATAGTGGAAATCTATTGAAAGTTCATATAGTCGATAAAATATATCTTGCTATCATATGGAGAGTATAAATTCAGACTAAAACTAATGATGAAAAGATTCAACATCTATGTTTAAATAGGCTTATTTCATCTTAGGAATATTTCATAAAATCAAAGAAGATAATAGTTTTAATAATGACATCACTTAATATATTGACTTTCCTTCAATTATTGTTGATTATAAATCCTCAGAATTATGTTAATAAAGAGATCTCAGACGCTTTATGACTATTGACAAATCTTTGATTCCATTATGGATATATTCCATCTCAAAATTCTTAATTTCTTAATGATAAGATAAAGAATGAATAAATAATAAAGTGAAATGTGTAAATTAGATAACCTAGATTGATTCAAAGGATATTTATAATATTATGAATAACTAAACGCTTCTGAATTTTAAAGGGGTGTACGCCGTATCCCTCATTTAACGTTGATGTTAGATGTTAGAAAGAATAAAATATTAGTTAAAAACTTGAGAGTAATGATGAATGATTTTGATGGTTAGAATATTTTAGAAATAAACATTTTGGCAAGAAATTAAATCATGGCTTTAATATCAAATTAGGTAGAGTAAACTAATCATCTCATAAATATACAATAAAGATGACTTTTATTTTTTTAGGAATTTGAAAGTTGAGATTCATAAATAAATTTGTGTTTGTAATTTCAATCATAGAAGCAAGTTTAATTTGTATTAAGATTCAATAATACCGTCAGTTCTTTAAGATCTTGATAAGAGAGAATGATACAGTAATAAAGGGTATATAAAAATATCTAATAATATACCTCATTATGTGAGAAATAGTAAGTTATTATTATTAACAAAAATTTACTACTCACATGCGACATTTAGATTTAAGATAACGTAAATAATGATATTGTAATATATGTAAGATATAAATATGATGAAATCTTAACTTGTAGTGTATAACTATGTATTTCAATTAAATATCGCAGAAAAATTTTTATATTGCAATATCTACGATGTTATCGGAGATTAAATTAGACTTACTAATATTTGATTGTTAAATATGATTAGCAGGATACCTAGATGTAGTAAAATGATAAAGCTACATGTTGGATGGTAATGTTAATATTTTATAATATTGATATATTATATATACATATAATATATAGTGTTATAAAACTGATGATCATAACACTTTATTCTCAACCTGTATGATAATTTAAATCAGCATATAATAAATTATGATTGTTATTTGAATATATGTATATACTAATGCAATCATTTATAAGCGTCTTAGACTTTCCTGAAAGAGTCGATTAGGTGGTTTGTGCATTTTTCTATTGATAGAGTATAAGAATTACCAAGACATTAATGATTTTCTTTTGTCAAGACATCATCTTTGGAAGACAATACTCCACATCTAACTTGACAGATACTTGTAAATCTCAAAAATAGACCTAGTGTCTCTCTTTATTAAATATTGTCCATAATAATATAATTCACACTTACGAGCGAAGTAAAATTAAAATAACAAAGAGTTCAATTTCCTTTTAATAAATTGAATGCCTGGTAAGACGAAGATCTTTGATTAATATAAGACCCAAAATCGCAATTATACCAGATGTGGCTGAGCCAGAGACATGGGTACAGAATTGGAGTTTATTCTAGACACTGTTCAAATAAAGAACATTATGAACACCTATAGCAACTCTATTATATTTGAAATGTTCTTCGATTCCTTTGCAGGAATATGAAAAGCATCTGCAGGGGATCCCTTTTATTGATTAAGAATGATATTGCATTCAAACGAGAAACATAGGTGGAATTCGGTATGTCTCTAATGGTGACTGCCTCAATGATCATACAATTGTTTGCAGCAGCAAAGTTGACTGATGTAGATTAGAATCGAAGGAGGATAAGCAACTTCCTCAGAAGCATAGATGTTATTGAAAATATTATAACATTAGGTGAAGCATTCGTATATGTTCCATCTAGAGATGTATGGAGATTTGGACAAATTGGGAATATTTAATGCTATTTAGATAATAATCTGTCCTCTGGTGATCATTATTGTTAAGTTGCTATCTAAGGGTTATGGAATATATATTTCTGGAACTTCCCTCGTCATAACAATCAATATCTGCGAAAACATCATGTGGAAGGAATTCTCACTATATTACTCACAGAATTAGAACTGGAATATGAATAAGCCATACTTGGTTTCTTCTATGGCATATTAATCCGAGAGGATAATATCACTGCCTTTCAATCAAACCTTATTAGAGACTCTTTATGAAACCTTACTAATTTGCTGTCCTCCGTTTTGGTGTTCATGATTGTAAACTATTTCCAGTGATTTGAAATAAACATTCCAATCAAAAACAACAAATTGAGAGGAGGCCTAACTTTTTATCCTGTCAAAGTGTTCTACACTTTCAAGATACCAATAACTCTTTAAACAGCATTAGTTTCAAATCCTTACTTCCTTTCACAAATTCTTTACAGAAATTTTATTGGCAATTTCATCATCAGATTACTGGGTCATTGGTAATAATTGGAAAATGGATATACTGCTCCCATAGAGTGATTAGTCTACTATGTTTCACCACCCAGATCCATTTCCGAAGCTATTTTAGATCCAATTAACAAAGTCCTTTATACTGCATTTATTCATGGTATTTGTGCTGTCCTCTCCAAAACTTGGATTGATGTTTCTGGATCATCACCAAATGAAGTTTGCATCACAATAGGTTGCCAAATAACTCAAAGAACAAGACATGAAAATTGTTGGTTACAGAGACTCCTCCATGAAAGATGTCTTATACGATATATTCCAATCGCTGCTTCCTTCGGTGGAATGTGCATTGGAGTTTCACTATCTTAGCTGATTTCTAAGAGCCATAGGTTCAGGTAATTGATGAATTTTATATATACTCTTAGGAACCAACATACTTTTATAAGTTACTATCATTTATGGTTATATCGAAACACTTAAAAAAAGAAAAGGAACAAGGTACACTTGAGTTGTTTTAAGGTTGTTCAATATATTATGATGAAGTATTATATATATAATCATGATTATTATTATGGACTCTAAACCACAATATTGTAGAGACGTCTTACAGACACTAACTTATTATTCACAGACGATTATAACACAAAGTGACGGGGATACTGCTTCAATTTGCTCACTCCCGCTAATCGAACATTGTACACTGCTGATTCTGTTTCACTTTAAGTGCTTAAGGCCTTCCTCTTATATTCATTTAATGATATCTTGGCCTCATGGTAACCAACTTATAGTTGTTTTGCCGCGTCCTTCAATTAAACTCCCTGATTGGTCAGGCCAATCAACTCTTTTTTTTATTCCAAATTTAAAGGTTTCTTAACTACTGATGGTGATGTTTTCTTTATTTTTTTCATCTCAACTTCCACTTGTTTCTTTATTTCTTCTAGTATATTCATCTTAATTTAATTCTGCATTTTTAAACCACGATTTCTCTAAACTATGCTCATACTATCAAATCGAATAGTGCGAACGCACTTATTTATGATGTAAATCATTATAAAATGAAGAATTCCATACTACGTCATACATAAATATATGAAATTAAATCAAATCATTCATATAATCATAGTATGCAGTATTAACTGTTTTTCATACTTTTATTTAATTTACAATATGTTTTATTTATGTCTTACTGCATCAGAAATTTTTAATTAATTAAATATCCATTTCTAAACATCTAAGAATATTAATAATTGTATTAACATTTCTAAAAATAGTATATTATTTTTATGACTTTAAACTTTTTCATTTTTTTATTAATAATTATAAATTATAATTGCAAATTAATTATAATTATTACTCTAATGTTAATATTGACTAACCAAAGGATTATAAATCATAACATATTATGAATTATTTCAATAACTCTTCTTTGAATTTCAGGTATTTTCCTTGCATTCTGTATATTTGAATAATCTTTCAGAGATTTCAAACTAATTGTAGAATATAAGAGGATTGACTATTTACCTAATGATTCTTTCAAAAATTGGATCTGGGATAGATTCTCATGTTAAATCATGTCGTGATTAAAAACAAGAAAATTTAAATGAAAATTAAATTAAAATGGTTTTTATAAAATTTTGGAGACTAGAGAATTAAATAATAAAATATAAAATCATGATTTATAATTTTAATTGATTATTAAGATTGATAATTAATATTTCTAAAATGATCCTCAATTCATTTTTAGGCTGTTCAGAACCTGAAATAGATGAAGAATTTTATTTGTATTATAAGAAGTAGGAAGAGATTCAAGTTAAAAAGGATGAGGAGCAAGAAAAAAAGGAATAAGACTAAGGCATGAATGAAAATACTCATCATGAAACCTAATTGATCAATCACATGGAATAATAGACAGAAGTGTAAAATTAAGAATTTGAGGAAAACAATTCAAATATATTATAGTCAAATTCCAAATCACAAGAAAAAATTTAGACATCAGAAAATACTAACCAATCTAATAATATTGAACATTAAAATTTAAAAAAATATATTTTAGTCGAACAGGAAGGCTTGGAATCGGTAAGAAGGATTTTTCCAAAAATTATGAATTTGATTAATATAAATGATTTTAGAACCTTTTTTCATTCGATAACACCAGCCTCAATTAAATCAGCTTATCCAAAATATTTCTTTATTTTGAGTAAACTATGGATTAGAGAGCCTTGGATAAATAAAATGCTTGACTATAAATTTGACAATAAGGATAAAAATTGGGTTGATAATTGCGACTTTCATCAACCAATAAAAAATTAAAAATATGGAATTTACTCACATGAGAATTTAATGAAGGTAAATGGATTAGATCAATGCACAAAAGACGACGTACTTCAATCTAAATTAGGTGAGTTTCACATTCTCTGTAAAAAATACAAAATAGTTGATCAAATAGATAGATTCATGACTTTTCAAAAATTTAGGAGTGCTATTGATTAAATTAAATAGTAATGTAAGGAAGAGGGAATAGCTGATTCTGATTTCTTAACTCATATAAAAGCCTTATAAGAATTCGCTATTATAATTGAATAATTAAAATAGAATACTGTTCGATAGACGAAACAATAACCAAAAATGAAAAAAACTATCGACATTCTCGTATAGGATATCTAAGAACTATTTTAAATTCCTGAAATACATCTTTAATAATATATCATCCAGGCTCATATCAAAGATGTCATAAATGAGGATAATATAAGGCAAGATGATAAGAATAAATGGACTGACTTCTAAAAACTTGTCGATACCATATTCTAAAAAGATTCAAAGAGGGAAACCAAAAAATAATAGAAATAAGTTAAGTCAGATTAGAAATTTAGTTAGGCCGATTCTTATTTAAATGAATAATTTGTCAATGCTTGTTTGGATGGAAATTCTGTCTCACATTCTATCAATTCAATAGATTATTGATAAATTAATAATATTTATATTTATAGCTCATTATAATAAATTTATTTTCAAATATATACTATTTTATTATGAATGAATTTTTACCCCCTATTTGTGATTAAAATATTTATTGTTTGATTTTGCAAACTTGAATCTATTAATGAATGTATTGATGTGATTAGAATTATGAAAATTATTAATAAAATTTATATAATTGTATTAAGAATTATAAAACTCATATGGATGAATTATTAAGTGCTGTAGTGTAAAGAAAATCAAAGATAAATGAAGTCTTGGAAACGATTTTAAAACTGAAGGTTAAAAGTATTTGTTTGATTAAAATATCGTAGATGTCATAAGTCAATCTGAAAGATCAACAATATATGCGATCATAAGGAAACTGAAAGAGGAGGAGAAAAATAGAACAGAAAAAGAGAATTGGATTGTCAGCATAATGAGAAACACAAAATAATACAACGAGGAGCAGATGAAGTATGAATGTATATGTAAAGATAGTCATATATTTGTTAAAACCAATGATATCATGAAATTGATTAATGAATCTTTTATTGAACTTCCCTATTAACCGCCCAATAGTCTGGTTCAATTTTTGGAATAATACTACAATTTACACCAAGGGTTCTTTTAGCAAATGAATTAAGAGTACCAATTAAAAATATAATACAAACAAGCTATCAAATAAGGAAATGTAAATGAACATTAATATCTAAAAATAGATCAATTTGATAACTGATTTAATCAAAGCATTGTTAGCATCTTCACGAAAAATCCTAAAAGATAATATCGATGATTTGGCATACTAAGTTAACAAGGATCTATCGCCTGAAAAGCAAAAGATTATGAAAAAATTAATACCAGATCCATTGGTCGAGCATTTAAGAACTAGATCATCCACTTAGAATGGAAAAAAAGATGGAACAGTTATCAGTATGACAAACAGTGTAATTCAAAATGAAGAGCCGATTAGATACAACGACAAGAGGGAGTATCAATAAATCAAAGAAAAGTTGAAATAGCAATAACGAAGATTTATTTTATAACCAAAAATCCCAAATCAGGAAATTATGTTCTTGGATTCACCAGTGTATTAATTAAAGTTGAAATACTAATAATACAACAATAGCAATATTGAAAAGAATCAATTTGCTTCTCTATTCAATAACATCAATCTTGATGATTTGGATGATCAAAACATATGTGTTCTAGATTATCAAACTATCAAAAGATAATAATAAAATTTTGAAGAATTTAAACTTAACTTTGATAGTCTATACGATAAGATTAAGATGAGGAACAGCTATATACAACAATCAGTAATGGATTACAATTAGTATATTTCAAAGAAGTATGCATTTATATCATATTCAAAGATGTACCAATTCTACTATGATGCTGAGTAGTCAATGCAATAACAATTTAGAAAATGAGTTTTTTAATGTTATCAAAGATAAGTATGAAGAGTTAACAAGTTTGAATGCAGAATTCTAATAAAATATGTGTCATTATCATTTTTGTAGGATCTATCTAAAACCACATATTAATTCAATTTGTGCCTGCTATAACACCAACAGTAGTAAATATGAATTAAACTCAAATCCAATTAAAAATAAGATTGTCATCAGAAAATCCGTGTAGAGTATTAAAAAATCAACACCCATTTAATAAAATTAAAATACATTTACTTCAAAAAATCTTATCGAATAATTGAAGAAAGAGAGAACTTTCAACTAATCAATCATATTAGAAGATTCCAGTTATCAAGATATTTATAAATACAATAATAGCAGTGGCATAAGTCCCTTAAACAACTCGATACTCTAAATACGGAAATTGGATTAATCATAAAATTTAAATGGAAGTACTTAATATAAATTATATTCTCATAAATTATCAAGCGATATATAATCATTCAAATAAACTTCGTTGCATCATAGAGCTTAATCGGCTAATGGAGATTAATTAATTATTCCTCCTCTCAACTTGAGGAATTGTGCAGAGTGATATCAAAGGATAGATTAAATGATACAATTTAAATATTATTTTCAACTCTCATATGTATTCTGATGTCTTTTATTGTTAATTTGAGATTTTACTAATGACTCTATTAAATTATAAATTCTATAATATTTTTATTATTATTCAAATACTTTTTCTGTTTTAACACTCAATTATTACATATTATATGCAATCTGAAATACTAGATTAGGTTAAACAGATTGATATATATTCATGAATAATAATTCAATTATGTATCTTGCATTTTGAGTTAGATGAGAGTCAACTTAACAATTATAAACATATTATTCAAATAAATGGTGCACTTATAAGTTGATTAAGTGAATTGCTATTTTCTTAAACTATGAAACAACTAAAATGGATTTGAATTCTAAATAATTAATGTCATTCCTATATTTATTAAGATAATATTTCATTGAATGTCAAAGTAGGAATTTTATAAAATTATAAACTAAAAATATATAATTTGTATATATTATTATAAATATTTATCGCTGATTATAATAATTACAATTTATATTGCGAATTATGATAATTATTTTAATTTGTTACACACTAAAAACTAGTAAATTTCATAATTCAAAAGAATTTAGTAAATTTAATTTTGTATTTAAAATTAATCGTCATGGAAAGCACTCCTCAAAATTAGACTTAGATTGAACCATAGCAAATTATATGTAACTCTATCAATTTAACCTTAAGGCATAAATCAAGCAGAAAAAAAAACCCATTCGGAATCGCAATTCAGCTCAAATAAAGATTTCCTTTCAGTCACAATAATTGAAAGTAAAGAGATTCCAAAAGAAATACCAATAGGGAAACCTACATACTTTGAATCCTAAAGCTAGAAAGAACTTAAAAGGTTTTTTGTTTAATATATTTTTAGCTTAAAGCTTTGTTATGCTATTTTTAGTTTATTTATTGTAGGCTTCATCTTAGCAAGAATCTTACCTTAATTTTTATTTAATGGCTGTAGAGTTTCTGCTGGTGTCTGGATAGTTAGGTACTTAATTAATAATATCCATAGTATCATCTTATACGTCTCGAATATCATCTATTTCAATTTATAAATCAGTAACAGAATGTTATGTACAATAACGGTTTGGATGATTATTAATTGCTTAACATTCTTAGCAGATCTCATCGCAACCTTGCTCGCATTTTAGGCTCCATTATATTATAATGAATGCAAGACCTAAGATTCTATTGAATCTTCCAATGATTGCTAATAAAAGAGCGAATTAAAAAATGCATTGTAAAGATATTCATTTAGCCATAGTTCCATAATGAATGTAATCTTTTTACTGATAATTGGCGTAACTAACGGGTGTTATTGCTATAAAGGGTTTTTGATACGGAAATTAATAATCTCTCAGCAAAGGTTAGCGAATAAAGCTCCAATTCCTTTGTAAATTGAATTTTGAATAAATTTTTTGTTTATTATTTTTTTTGTTGTCCTTAATTACTTAATATCAATATTTTTTTCCATTTTTGTATTTTATATATAATAAGATTGAAATTAAAATAATAACATTTTGAGAATAAAAATGAAAGTTATCATAGAAATAAATGCTTAACTTTCTAATATCCTTAAGAATGTATTTCATTTTAGATTTCATTCCCATAATTTAATTTATTTTGAAATGGATCGTAAAATCAAATTAAGTATTAGAAAAAGAAAAGCAGAACTTAATTCCATAATCTGAAGTTAATAAAAATTTGATACACTCTTAATAATCATCATCAATTTATCCAAGCCCGATACAAATTTCAACAATAAGTTTGAGGTGTGCAAAATCAAATTACATTAATATACTTTTCTTTCATCAAATCCTTAAATATATAGGCTTAACCTAGTGAAATATTGATATCCATATTATATTAAACCATATTGTTCCAATTCTCAATTACTCAATCGAATTAAATTCAATAATATAAGTCGATTGGAAATATCCATATTTAAGTCGTAATGCATCACATTATATATGAATAAATCATTTTTGTTTTTAAGTAAGAAAGAATTTGTTATTTTTAGTCATCATTACTAATCAGATGATGTGAAATGAATAACTCAATTTTAATTGGGCAAGGAATATATAAATGATTTGACAATTTTTTAATTCTGAGGCAAAGATTTCTAGTGCAAATGAGATTTTAATTTGATATATTTAATTAATATTTTTTGGTACAGAATAAATATTGGAAACATAGAGGGGTTAATCAATTAATTTTAATCAGTAAAAATGTAAGTAATTTTTTTATTACAAAAATTACAATAGCGGATTACTAGTTGACTCATAAATATTAATAATATTAGTTTAATAAATAAATTAATAAAAATAATCACTTAAATCATACAGATGGATAATATATACAAATTCAAGGCGAGCTCTTCAGTGGGACATCTGAAGAATCTAAATAACGATAAACAGTTTTATTCAGAGGAGGAAACCAGCAAAAAGGAGGAGGAGGAGAAGCAGTTGAAAAAAGTGAGCAAACCACCTAGTAAGATGTCTCAATTCAGTAAAAATGCTACAGGGTACTAAACTGATGACTCTGATAAAGAGACGCCTCGAAACAATAAAGTAGGGCCATCAAGTAAAATAATCTTGAAAAATGTTAGATCAGAAAGTCTCTAAATTTCGTAATCTGGTGAATGCGAAAAAAATTGAGGGAGACAACGACGATCCAAATTATGACGATGATGATGACAAGCCAACAACCATCTAATAGCAAATACAACATGTACAATAGCATCATGAGGATCAATATGATATAGAGTAGCAAGCGAAGCAGGATGCAGTAAAAATATGCAAAGGCAGATAAACCTAAGGAATCTAAAATGAAGTACATAATGTTTATGAGATTTCATATAGACACTCTAACACACAGTAACCAATGGATGTGAATTCTGATGTTGAATAGATGAAAAACAAATAACATCAGGAAGGTAAATTGAAGAATCACCCATTTCGACATTTGATATACGGTCCAACCATTGGTGAGAATTCGTTTAATAAATTTTTATAACTCACTTAAAGAGGTTTAGTATATGCTAAGAAATGCCTAAAGGGTCCTTCTGATAAATTTATCAAGTCAAAGATGGTTTAATTGCCAGAATGTGTGATTGTGAAGCCAAAAACCCTATTGTTGGATTTGGATGAAACCTTGATCCACAGTTGTTCTCTAAGAGAAAATCCACAAGTCACAGTCACCGCATTTGGAGATTATGGCGAAGAAGCCAAAGTAATACCCACTCATTATTTAGATCCACTTCAATATTAGACCATTTTGTGCGTGGTTCTTGCAATAAATGAGTCAATTGTACACAATTTATGTCTTTACTGCCTCTTCATCTGCCTATGCTAATGCTATAGTGAATTATTTGGATCCAAAGAGACAATGGATTTTGGGAATTCTATCTCGTGGGAACTGCATGGAGACGAAGAATGGTTTCTTTATTAAGGATTTGAGAATTGTTGGGAACAAATAATTGAAGGACATGGTGATTGTTGACAATTTGGCTCATTCTTTTGGATTCCAAATTGAAAATGGTATTCCCATCTTAGAATGGCATAACGATTAGAATGATTAAGAACTTAAATACTTGGCGACTTATTTGATGGAAGCAGCTGATTAGGAAGACATCAGAGTATTTAATACATAGAGATTAAAATTGGATCAACTTATAGAATATAGTTTAGAATGATCTTATTATCATTAATAAATAAATTCAATATAAATAATTAATCATCATAAATGGGGTCATGTTGTTCAACTAACAAGGTAGTTAAGGAAACCTATGATTACCCAGATGGAGGAGTTTATGTAGGTGATTTGGAGAACAATTTGCCAGTATCTATTTTAATATTGTGGTAAGCATGGAAGAGGCACAATCAAGTGGGACAATGGTTCATTATTTGAGGGCGAATTTATAGAAGGAAGAAAGAATGGAAAAGGATTATACAGATGGAATGATGGATAATATTATGATGGCAATTTCAAAGATGAAAAATTTGATGGCTATGGCGAATATTTTTGGACTGATGGAAAAGTTTATAAAGGCAACTGGACTGATGGTGAAATGAATGGATAAGGGGAAATGAGTTATCCAGATGGAAGAGTATATTCAGGTTCCAAATTTATTTAATCTTAAGGCAGTTTCAAAGCAGACAAAAAGGATGGCGATGGTGAAATGACTTGGCCTAATGGAAATAAATATATTGGAGCTTGGAAAAAAGGTAAACAACATGGAAAGGGTGTTATGGTAGATCGATAAGGGAATAAATCTGAAGGCACTTGGAATAAAGGAAAAAAATAATGAAAATTATATTTAAGCATTGTCAATCTGTGTTAATTATTAATTTTAATCCGTTTATCATTAAATATCCAAATTGTATTTACTTATTGTATACAAATTCTAAAATTAATAATGTCTTTCAATATTGAATCGATAATCCATCAGCAATTCTATCAACATTGTTAATTTATAAATAATTTTAGGAACGGACTCTTTAATTTTCATCTGTAGCTATTTAAGTAATTGGATGAAATAAACCAAAAAGAAAGTATGTAACTTGAATGTAAAGCAATTTATCAGACTAAAATACTTATTACTTGAAGTATTTTCAGATTATATCTTTCATAAGTTTTATTTTTAGAATATATGATAAAATATTACTTAATAAGTTCAAATAGTCAATTTGTTTAAACTATCACTTTTTATCAAAGTTATAAGTTATACAAATAAAATAATAATCACATATGCATTTAATGTTTATTTTAATAATAATATGTATTTTAATTCATTTTCAAGGTTAATTTAATTCCTGTTTCTTTTATTTATAATCTATCCCATTCTAAAGTAAATATTAGACTCCTTTGGAGAATATTAATTACCATGATTTTTTAAATTGGCTACAAAACTTTTCTAAATAGAGTAATATTAAAAGAGTATTCCATACATCATCTATAAGACCTTGTGAATTGCTTAAATTTAAATAATTGACCTTTAACTGGATGTCATTATTAATCTAAAATCTTCCATCTGCCTAGGCAAAATTCATCAAATTTTCATATGTAAGATTATTAATTTCGGGCTACTTAGAGATTGCAAAAGATGTCGAACATATGTCTTCATTTTTGCATTATTATGCCATTGAAAATGTATCTTCCACAGAACATTTTTATGCCATCTATTGTACTATTGGTTGTTTTGGTGATAGTGGCGTTTGCATTTGCATTGGTTTTGGAAATTACATATTGCAAGGTGGTGGTGGTGGTGTTGCTTTTGATTGCATTGGTAGTGGAAATTACATATTGCAAAATGGTGGTGGTGGTGGTAGTGGTGCTGTTGATTGCATGCCATACATTTGTGGTGTTGTTGATTGCATGCCAAACATTTGTGGTGCCGTTGATTGCATGCCGCCAAACATTGGTGGTGTTGCATTTGATTGCATGCCAAACATTTGTGGTGCTGTTGATTGCATGCTGCCACACATTGGTAGTATTTGTGCTTTCATGCCGCAAGACATTGTTAGTGATGGTGGTGATGCATTCATGCACTTTAATTGTTATGAAGGGTATTTTCCTGATGTCATGCTGCAACCTTAACTTAGAAATTAGCAAGAAGACAGACCAAATTGATTTGGAAATGTTTTTTTAGTATGTGTTATCTTGATTTTAGATCTGGCCTACTATTTTAATTGATCTTCTAATTCGCATACTTCACAAACAAATGCTGTTTTATTACTCAATATTTAATTTTCTATAGATAGATTCACAATATCCTTATCTTCAATATTTTATTTATTTAATTTAATAAAATTAACTTGTTATTCACCATATTTTATTGCGTTATCGTAATATGTGATAAACTTATGAGTGGCTAATTTATGAAAATATTCATTATCTTAAGATTAATTTAAATTCAAATTGACAGAATATTTTATAGGCTATTTATCTTATGGATTATAGCAATGGATACTAAATTCAATGTTTTCTAATTCTTATTCATTGGAAAATAGAATTTAAATAGTGAGTTCTTAATTTTTTTTTAGACTAACTATTGATTCAGGATTTGGAATGATTGAAGAGATTTTATCTACATTAGTTTCTAATTTAAAATCTTCTAGATATGGAGTCAATGAATCCTCCAATAAGTCAATTACCTTTTCATTAATATCCTCATTATCTCCTACTATGTGAAACTTTCCATTTCCTACCTCAGCAACTCTTTTTATTAAATAAAAACTGCAACGTTCTCCAATTCCTAATGTATATATCCTAGTTTCTGCCCGATTATTATTTTTAACAAGTTCAATGATTGGATCTGCATTATCTTCTCCATCTGTTAGTAAGAATACATTTAAAGTTGTGTCCTTTGAACATCCATAACTACTATTATATATCTTATTTTTTAAAGGATTGTAAATATTAGTTCCTCCCATGTCTGCCTGCATATCTTTTACATGTTAAATGGCTTCTTATAAATTATCTTAAGTATATTGTCTTGATTCTTCCCATAGGGAAACGTATTATGTACCAAATGATATAATATTGAATAAAGAGGTTTAAGGCAAACTTTTAAGAAATAGAATTAATGATTGTTTTGCCTTTTATATTCTAGATCCATCCATGGATCCACTTCTATCAATAATGAATAAATAATTCCCTCTATTAATGTTTTATTTCTCTGGCAAATTTATGCTATCCAGATATTAAGAATAAGCATCATCTAATGACATCTAATTAAATTGCGGAAATGAAAGTTAATGTGGCACAATATTTCTAAACCTATAAAGCATCATTATTTGTATGACTCAGTATTGCTCTCGGTAAATTGATATCATTGGATGAAAACAATAGAGTAAATTTCTTTAAGGGTTTAAAGCTTTCAGGATTATCATCATCTAATTTAAGAACTAATCTTTTGCCATTCTCTTGTTTTATACCTTCAATATCTTTGGCATTTGTAGAATGCAATTAATGTGTTGGAGATTTCCAAAAAGTGATAGGTGATCCAGTGTCAAACTCGATCTCAATGTCTTATTGGTACTCAAAAGTAAAGTCTTTCAATTAAAACATACCATTTAAATATCTTACAATTTTATTAAACCCTATTTGAGTATCAGATTGATTTTTTTAATAATTTTCATCTATTATTGGAGATATATCAATTTTCCAAAATTTGTTCAAATACACCTCCAAGGGTTGTATATATTCAAAAATCACTCTTAATTATTTATTTGGAGCAAGTTATCCTATTTTGAGTCTTTTTATCTATGGGAATTATTCATCTTCTTCGCTATAAGCCATAGTTTTTCCTTGTTTAATTCCTTCTTCAAATTCTTACTTTGCTTCTTCTTTTTCCTTCACTATTCCATAAACTATTTACTCTCCTAATTCAACTTTCATTTTAGTGACAGCTGCATTCTCGTTGATAGAAAAAACATATTCTAGGTCTAATGGCTAATTAAAGGCTTCTGTTAAAAATATTTATTCTATTTGCACGATTTAAAGACCATTATATATTTTTAGGTGATATTTAACACTTCGCAATGGTATTACCTTCTTTTAATTTTATTCAAAACAGACAAACAATTATAATGGGTTAACCATTTACCTTTCTCTTTCTTTTCTCATTTCATATTTTTGATTGGCTTATTAAATTTTAGGACAAGATATTTATACTTAACTCATTTAAATTTTTTAATTATTTATTTTTCCAATTAGTTTTGGTTATGAATACTCCTTTTTTGGCAATTTCTGATTACAAATTCTACCAAGGATAATAGACTATCATAATAGAATTTTTACTTATAGATTATATTGATCAACTAATTAGAAAGTACTTTTTAAATTTTGAATTGCAATTAGACTGAAAGCATTCAATGTTAATTGAAAAATAAAAGATCATAACTAGATGAATTAGAATAATAATAGATATTGTAGATAATCAATACTAGGAATTCAGATGGCAGGGGCATATGAAATTTTTATCTAAAGGATAATAGTTTCGATTATTTAAAAATTTGATATTCTAATTCACTTATGAGATTTGGATATGTGTAAATTTGTTGTAGAATTAATTATATTTTATTAAATTTAAAGGAGGAACTTTCAGGATATATTTTTTTTTATTTATACGTTTAAATTTTCTACAATTATTTTCATGGAAAATAAAAAGAAGGTCAATTTGAATAAAATCAAAAATCCATATATTATTTTATCGCTAGAAACGATAGATTTGATGGAAATTTAAGATAGCAATAGGTGGTCAATGGAAAATTTTAATGATCAAATCTTTTAAAGACGTACACTAAATCAAGAGCTTTGAAATAAATGATTATTTAGAGATAATTATTATTTAAGAATTTAGCAGAAAGATGAATTAGAGAGAATTGAAAAATTGTAGAATTTAGAGATAAATTGCATTGAAATAACTCATAGAATTAACTTAAATATTAATTGAAATTTTGGCTTTTGAGCGAAAAATATTCTATTAAAAATTTAATTTAATAATCTTTTTCGAGTTTATTTTAAAGTATAATGAACAAAACCCAGATAATTATCAATAAAAATATAGCATTAGCTTTTAAGAAAGGTGATTAGAAATTCTTGAAGTTCAATTAATCTATCTTAATATCCGATTAAATATCTACAAAAACCAGAGAAAGAAGTAAATCAGGTTTAATATTGTTGTGTAAATAGTTAAAATTAAAAAGTATGACAATAGCCAGATTTCAAACTGATGCGGGAAAACCCCACAGATTTTAAATCTGCGCCTTAGCCCACTCGGCCACCATGTCTATGATGAGAATTCATATTGAGAATCAACGATTTTGAAAGATTTACTAAATTTTAGATATAAACCATCATAATAGAATATTTTTGTAGAACTAAAAATTATTATTATTTAATAAAAACTGTCCATCAATTTATCCTTTTTAATCAATTTCAAATAAACTTCACTATTATTATTAACAAACATTTTTCTACTTTGGTTGCAATCTATTTAAAAAATCCTACTTTTAATACCATTAAACAATTATTCCTTGTAAAGATAGTAAATTCTATAGATTTATATTTGATCTAAGTGTTCCAAAAGTTCCCTTTTATTTAAAGGAGAGTAGAGCATTCTCGATATATTCCATCAATTTTATATGTTCGCTCCTTATCATAATTAGTCTTTACCAATATTGTATTTTCAAAGGACATTCAATATACAACATTCTAATTAAGAGTAATTATCTTTTTAGCTCTTTTGACGTAATCTTATTTCATCAGAAAAAGTCAAAATAATAAATTATCAAGTTCATAAAGGGGTTTTTAATTACTTAAATAGAATAAAGGTTGATTAAATAGATTTATGTAGGAAATTAGGATGGTAATACAGGGAAAGTAGGATGATAGAGCAGCTGACATGATTATTAAAATAGTGATTGTTGTTGTGTATTAGAAAATGTGAATTTGAAAAATTTTTCCTTAAAAAATAATTAGTATATAAATAAATGTAAAGAAAATCAAATACATTAAAATACTTATGCAAGTTACTTTATTCTACAACCCCATTTTGTTAGCACAAGAATTCTTGTGTTGTGAATATGTCAAGAGGACTGGTTGAGGCATTCACTAAGGCATTTTTGGCAAAGCTTTGTTTAAATGCCATAATGTTGGTTATGAGTTCTAAGAAGATTATCAAATCATCTAATAAAATCAAATTGGTTTTTCAAATTTTGATTAATAGGTATTGTATAAAATGTAATTATGTATAGAACTAATTTTCATTTGGGGTTATTTATGGGCACATAGACATTTTTAATTAAATGCATTTAATGTCTTTTGAGAGCAATAAGAAATAAGGAGGATGGTTGGAATGCTGCAATTTCTGGTTTTATCGCAGGAGGGTTGAGTTTTATAACTTAGAAGCCGCATGTTCAAAATATCCTTAGAGTTTATTTGTTTGCAAGAGCGACAGAGTGCTTATATCAGATTGGTATTTAGAGGTAAAATATTTAAAAATGAAAAGAAAGTATTACAACCATCAAAAGGCGAACACTGCAATTGCATTCGTAGCAATGACTGCAGTAATTGCATACGGGTTCTTTTTTGAGCCAGACATATTGCCAATGGACACATTCAAGATGTACGAGAACTTTTCATAATAAACCCTGGTGGATTAGATTTGGCATATGTGCAATGTATAATAGTATAGAAATAGATGCAATGTTTGATAGGATATGAACAATACTTATAAGTTATAAAATGATCATAAAATTTTCTTTAACTTTCTTAATTTTCTCTGGGAAGTAATTTCATTGAAGCAAAAGTACAGAATCAAAATGGGAGTGCAAGGTAGGCCAATGACACCAATGAAATTCACATCTCTGTCTGGAAAATAATAAATCATGTAGGGTATGTACATGAGTAACACTAAAAATAGTGAAATTAAATAGGAATAGACCAACTTCTACAAAATTGATAAATGTAATAATTTACTTTGTTTAATTTCTAATATCTGAATGATAGGATTCTTGTTCTGCCCAGGAAAACGTGTAGCCATCCCCACATGATGAATCCATAGATGAACCCTAATTGAGCAATATCCAAAGACAGGTATGAGTAACAGAGTTCTGAGTCATTTAATTTGCAAATATCAGAGTTGCTGGTGACAAAATTGGTAATCCAAGAGTGATCGGTTTCATTCAATTTGACAATAACATTTCTGAAGTCAAATTCAGATTCCTTATTGAAATGTTTATAAAATTAGAAAGTGATAAAAGGATTTTGTGATAATGGTTGGGGATTGATTAAGTTCAGATTGCCCAAATATTGGTCTGAAGTATTAAAATTGTAAAAATCAGTAGAATTGAATATTTGACTTGAATATCCAGTTTTGTAGATGATTCCAGGTAAGGATTTGCTTTGAAATCCAAAATAATGCATAGTAACCAAATAACTCATCATTCCTGATGATGCAGCCAAGACTCCATGAGTGAGGATCCATCTTAAGAAATGTTGGAGTTTAATAAATATCTTCACATTACTTGGTTCTCTGATTATGATGTCGACTTCCTCATTTTCATTCAATACTCCCAAGACCAGAATTTCCAGCACAAATGTTATATACAATATTCCAAAACTAGTGAGTGGCAATGGAATCCCAAAAAACAACATTAAGAGAATGGGGATGAATTGACCGAATTTATTACTCAAACACAATTTAATCTGTTTAATTAGGTTATCAGTAAATCGTCTGCCATGATAAATGCATTTCAGTATCTACTCCAATTCCTGTTGTTCATTGCTCATCAAAATAACTTTAGAGGATTATTTAGCTAATTCATCAGATCTATTCAATGCAAAACTTACATCACACTTCCTTAAGGCAGGTGAATCAATCGTATCAAAACCAATCATTCCAACTTTATATCCTTGTTTTTAAAAAGCAGATATAACCATTAATTTTTATGCTGGATTTATTCTTGCATATATTGTATTTAATTATGTACATAGTTTTGTATTGATTGATTCTTCATCTGCCTACTCTTTTTATTATTAATTCTCATCTAATTATTCGTGATCTTCTAAATCATTACCTGTAACTATTTTAGGATTACAAACTAATTGAGATTCTTAAGCAATATATTCTGCAGTTTCAGGAAAGTCACCAGTCCTTTTTATATGTAAATAGATTACATTAACACAACTCTAATTCCAGACAAGTTCAATTTCTGCAATACTGTCCTAATGATGGGAGTGATGCTCAATTTCAAGGCAATCGTCCCTAAATTGGTTGCATGATTCAAATTAAAATTAAATTCGTTCGTGTTGGCTATATCGAATCTGTAGTTCTCATCTAGGATTAAGAGTTTCTCAGCAAATGAGATGAGCGAGTACCCCTTCTTTGCCAAATTTCTGTGAGTATTCAAATATTCAATCTCCTCTTGACTTCCAGATCTGAATAGCTTTTATGAAATGACTTCAGGAGAACCCATTAAATACACGATATACTAAGACTTGAATTCCATATTCTGCACTATGGTCAAACAATATCGTTCTATTGCTGTGAACTGTCTCTATTGAACAATTCTGTAATCGTCAATCCTATAATCCCTAATGAATTGTCTCATTATTTGTTAAATGTCTTATTTGTTGTAAGACTCCTCCAAGGAATAATTCTCCTGATAGATGCAATAATGGATGCAATTAAGTAAGTCTATCAAATCTAAGATTTAAATACTTTGATAGTTCTTGATCTTGTTAATGTGATATATTTGATTGTCCAGGATTATCTTCTTAGGTTGTTATCCCTAGACCAGGACAGCTTCCTTATTGATCAACAGCAAACTCATTTAAGTTAGACTCTCAATCACGTCAACATCCTTCAAAAATACACTCTGATCTTGCATGATTGAGACAATCTTCCTCTTTGAGTAGGAGATCAACAACATCAAAGTGAAGGGAAGACTAGGTTAAATTATTTGATACTTAGATAGTATGATTATGATGATTGTGTTAATTAGGAATGTGAAGTCGTAGTGTCCATTCTGGTACTCCTCGAATATCCATCCAATGATTGTTATGATGATGAATGAAAATATTATCAGAGTAGTAATCTATATAATTCTTAATAATTTAAATCAAATACTTCTTGACTTAGTAATCGATGTGTGAAATGGACATGGGAACATCAATCTTCTTGGCTAGTTTCCCCAGAATAGTCTAATTGCCAGTGTTTATGACTATGGCTCTTCCTTCCCCAAAAACACAACCGACTCCTAAGAAGGCTACGTTCCTTGCTTCAAATATGGATTTGTGATTGCTTTCTTCTGATTCCAATAATATTGGCTGACAATCCCCTGTGAATATAAAATTGTCCACACTCAATTGTTGGGATAGTATGATTCTACAATCGGCTGGCACCTTGTAATTGGAATTCAATTCAATCAGATCTCCCTTCACCAATTATTCCGAGGAGATTTTTTACTTTTAGCCATTTCTTATTACTATCACTTCGTCATTGGTGATTATTTGATTGAATTACTAAAAGAGTTTCTTCTTCTTTTGATACGACGTGAATGTAATTATGTGGGTGAATACTAGAATTGCCAATAAACTAATGATTTCAATCAGAAATGAAATGTGCTCCTTCTCATCATACAAATATCCAACTATCGACAACACTATAACTATAACTAATGCTAATGTAAAGAGGTTGAACACTTCTCGCAATTGCACATTTGCATGTTTGCTCGTAATTTTGTTTAAACCGAATTTTGCAATCTTCTCCTAGACCTATTGATCATTCAATCCATCCGTGATGTTCGTCTTCAAAATCTTTTATATCTATTCAACAGAGTATGTATGTTCGATCATCTCTATTTGGTCTTAATCAATCTATATAGAATTTTCGGACATATAGGAAGGATATACGTGACTCATTCGCTGACTTGGCTTCTGCTTGCTAAACAAAATATTCTCATTATCATGCATTTTAGACGAGTAGTCCGCCCCTCTCTCCAAAAACCGAGGAGCCTCCTCAACTATTGAACTGTTAATCAATTCCCCCGGTTAGATTGGATGCTCCTTTATTTTGAATTCGAGCATCGCCTATATAATCGAATATTGCACTAGACTTTTATTTGGAGAAGAGTCTAAATCACCTAAATAAACATACTTTCAGCGAACGATTTCGTATTATGATTACTTTGCTCTAATAAATATTGAGATTATTCTCCTTTATTCATATAATTATAAATTGAATTATAAGTAATTCTTTAACATTAACTTATTTAATATTATCACTATATGTCACTACTTTTACATTATGATCGAATATATATATATATAGAAATTTTTATAAAAATATTAATAAAGCAGATTTTTCAATCTAATTCCACAAAATATCCTCCTCCCTCGGATCTCCTCCCCGCACTTCGAATCTATTAGATTCTTGATTCAGAAGCCCCACATCCTCAATCCCCACCAATAAATTATAGAACTCTTAGGAAGAACTCCACCACTCTTCATATATTTTTCAATATCCACATTCCCAATTGACCTGACCTCTATTCTTTTTTTGTGCCTCTCTCTCAAATAGGAATTGATTTGAAGATCAAGCCGTGTTACAGAATTGACTTATAAGAATTTGATTATAACAACCAAAATAAATTTGAATCATTATACATCTAAAAATAGATTCAATTAGTATTATAGTTTATACAATGTACATATTGTGATATTGAAAGAAATATATGAATATGTATCAAATTGGGTTCAATTTTTGTAGTTGCTCAGCTTCCTTAACAAGCTATTGCTGCATTACTTCTAGTATTCTAACATTTTTATCCAAACTTTCAACTTGCTCCAATATCACATTATGCCAAGGGTAAAGCACAAAGGCCTAAAAGCTTAATGCGCAGATTCCAACAAACATGTTCACTTTCGGGAGAACCATTATAATTGCTAAGTTTATCTTAATTTATTAATTAATTTCTCTTCAAACTATTTTTATGCTTTGAAGGAAGATATTTTCCATTTATTTCTAGAAATCATCAGGTTGCTTCTATTTTTAGATCAAACTCTTCCTTTCACTTCCCCATGCTCCCTTAATGAGCTAAGGTCTCTCTAAAATTGTCTTATTAGATTATTTATATTATTGCTACTATTTTTAGGATAACATTATTTATATTTAATATACAAAAAACACAAATGTAGAAAATCACATCAGGCACTTTTTCCATTCCCAATTATTTTTTGCTTGATCAACTGCTGATTCCTCTCCATATGAGTTTTCAATTCCACTTCCATCTATTCCAATCTCACAATGTTTTTCTCCAATTTGTCGACTTATTGTGATATCGTCTCATGACAAGGATAAAGGACCAATGCCTAAAAGCACAAAGCAGTGAAGCCTATCGCAAAATTCATTTTGATTATTCCCATCGATCTGAAATTGATTTATTTTAATAATTGTGTATAAAAACTTACGAATTTTGATTTTATATTCCAAAATTTATAATATTATGTTATATTTATATAACTATCATTTATAGTTATTCTGTTGATTATTAACTTAAATTACTCCGTTAAACTTTAAAAAACTCAAATTCTTCTTATTCACAGTACAACCTCCTACTTTGAAATGAAGAACTCTCCTCCCTCTACTGCAATGCGTTTATCATTTAAAACGGAATCTGATACGCAGTACATTCTCAAATAGGCATGTCAAATATGTCAAATAAAATTATATAATGATATATAAGATTATGGGGAATAATTACATGGGAGAGATTATAATATGATGAAAGAAAGATAAGAGTGTGTTTGTTAATAGATCTAGATTTATTTTTGATTCAAATCTAAAATATGAGTATTATTATTCCTCCTTCTTCAATTTAATTTAATGGCATTTTAGATAATTAATGAGTACATCATACTTTTAATCATGATTTTCAAAGTCAAAAGATTAATTTTATTTGACATAATTCTTAAAGGAATTATAATTATTATTGATTACTTGGATCTTTAAAAATATATTTTGATAAAATGAAATAGTGATTAGAATGTAAGTTTGAAGGAAATCTCGTAAAATTTCAGCATTTTTTGGAATTAACAAAGAATTTTTATAATAAATATATATATATCTCATAATATTGATTTGTAATAATCAGCTTCTACTTTAGATTGTGTCTTAACTCGTTTTTTATGTTTATTTTAGTCATCTTTGCTTTATATACTATGTAAGGGATGGTATGTATTAATAGAATCTGTCAACATAAATCCTTGCACTTGATTTTCTGACAATCTGTCTAATCTAGAACTCATTGATTTAGATTTCATAAATGATTAATAATTTGACTTTATGATATCTACTTTAGATGAAATATTCGGATTCACAACTCTTATATGTTATTTAGCTACTTTTATTTAAGGTAATTATTAAGAATCTTCTTCATATGATTGCCTAATAGAAAACTAATCTCTATTTGTTGCAAAGGAAGGGAACTATTTAAGACGAACTGACTGCAAGAGATCTTTGACACTGCTGTTTTATTTACTAAAATACGGTGTCTTGGCTCTACATATTGCAAGAATAGATACTTAGGTTTGGCAGGTTAAAACTATTCAAATTACTTTTCAACTCTTATCAAAAGACACTTTTAGAAATTGTCTCCAGCCAATTTGAGCATGTTAAATTCCTCTTATTTCTCCCCAAATTGTTCATCTAATTTAGTGTGTTAATCAATGATGGATTTATTTTATTCAACCATTTGCTGTTTAGAGAGTTTTGATTAAAACGTAGAGCGTAGAATAGGTTATGACAGAAATGGCTTAGCTTCTTCTTTGCCAAACTCATTTGCGTATCTCCTTTCAACAGCCAGAGCTTCTTCCTTTTTTGTAAGATAGAAGTTACAACTCTTAGTTTTCACAATGTCCTCTATTCTCCTTCTGAAAAGTTAGCTGTTTCTTTATTGGAGGGAATTCAAAGCCTAGAAAAACTCTGGAAATGTCTTCCTGACAATATGATAATTCTCAAAATAATGAAAATGATATTTTACTTCTAGAGAAAGACAAAAACAATTGCAAATAGTTAATGTTTTTACTGAATAATCTCTTCTCTCCTTTTTTTAGACCACTTCTGTTTCACCAACAAAGCAGCCTCCTGTCAGATTGGCCAAGATGATGGTTTCCTTGATATCCTTGATTTCTGGTTTAGAACTTTGGAATATAGACATCAATGTAAAATCTACGTTGTTCTGAGTGGGTGGTTTTGGATATTCAACATTTTGCAATAGTTACATTTCTCCATCTTTCAAGAGTAGGAATCCATCTGTTTCATCTCCTTATTTCCAAATGAAAAAGTTAGCTGGAAATTTGGCAGATGTAAAATACAAAATGAGTTTGGACATTTTATGTTTCGTCATGTGAGGAAACATTTTTAAAAAGTAGTCTATTTTCTATTGGAGTGCTTTCATTCCCTTTTCTCCAACTTACTATAGTTATGGATTGGAATTACCTTGAAATTAGCCTTGGATAAGGATAGCAATTTTAGATCAGTTAAGCCAAATATACTGGCAGTTCTGGGCTTATCGTTAGTTAATGCCATTTCTCCGAAGATTGTTCCTGATTGCTTTTAGGCCACCAACATAAATTTGCAGATTCCTTGGTTGGTGAAATATTTTTCAAAGTTTCCCGATCGAAATAATATTAGTTCAGAATCGATGACTTTTTGTGGTTTGGCCTACTTTTTAATTACTTAACCATAGAATTTCATTAAATCGTCTCCTTACAATTGAGAGACAGATTCCAAATGCAGCTTTTCGAGCATCTTTAATATTCTTGGTTAAGCAGCTGCTTCATCGGCTTCAATCGATGCTGGTTGTCTTCTAATATAGATTCCTGCCCTGCCACTCAGAACAATATAGAATTTGTCACCAACATCATCTACATATGATGCCAATATCTACCAATGTGAAACACAGGGGAATCTTTTGGGATGAATTCGTAAATGAGGTTTTGGCAGCATAATTTTGTAAACTCCATTAAGGTTTGAGTGTCAGGACAATTCTCCTTAAAAAAATCAATAACCTGAAGTATTTTGGCGATAATGTCGATTTATTCCTCAGATAAATATTGGTAATCTTGATAAATTTAGACAACGGGCTTTTTATTATTGTGATTTCATGCATACTTAAAATAATTCTTCCTTTGCCAATGCCTGATCTTCCTGTTCCTTCTCAAAATCTTTGGTTAATCCTCTTTTAAGTTTCGACATTTATTTATATACTATATAATGACTGATTATATTATTATTTAATCTGAAATAAAATTATATATGTGTATTTCATTCAATCTTAGTCTATAATACTTTAATTTTGTCTCCCAAATTAATAACGATTTCCCTGACCTTGCTTCTGATCCTCACAAATCCTTGTAATTTATCATTTACCACCTCAGCACTCACATTAAGTACGAAATCGTCATCTAAACATTAAATCCTAAATGCTTACCAAATTTCGTCTACGCATACATGTTAACACAAATAATATTGCCTTTGGGATGGTTCTCTTCAATAGGTCTCACCTTCAATTGCTTTTCCAGGAATTGCACATACTTAAAGGGATCACTACATTATCTATGATATATCAATACTTTTGATTGGTGTTGATCACGATCCTATTTTCCCATTCGTACTTAGCCCAGAACTTTCTGAATTGCTCGATCGAAACAGTGGCAGGTATGATGAAATCAATCAAATCTACATTGATCTCCTTAGTCACCAAATAGGCCTATTCGATTCCTGCATTGTTCTCATAATGAATAGCCCCATACACCACTCCGATATCTTGTGACGAGAACTTGATGGTCGTTCTAACTCTGGCCGATTAATTAGGCTGTAAGATGACACCCTAGGCCTTCTCTATGACCTTGCTTTCTCCCTGAGTCCTAAACTCCACCTAGACATTTTGAACCATCTTCGACCATCTATTGACCATGAGGACTTCGAATTGTATGTCGTATTTATGCACATTAACAAATGCCTCAGCATAGATGGGATCACAATAGCCAGTCAATTAGACTATGTGTCCTAATCTGGAGACATAAGTATTCTCCTCCTATTTGGTAGCAACGGATGTTTCATCATCGGCCAAATCAATTTCATTGAACTCAGAAACTCCCTTTAGTTATCTAATGATGATGGGATCATCGGGTTGTTTGAGAATCTTGTCATAATTTTGATGAGCTCCGAAATGGGCATTCTACTCAGGAATGACCTCAGACTTTTTGTATTGTTCTAACAATTTATCTTATGGATTCTTGCCAGTTAGGATTCTGATGCTGGATGTGATGGTCTCTAAAGTATCCTGATCAATTTTGGCAGTGTTCTTTTGATAGTAACGCAAGAGTGAGCAGAAGATCAAGAGCATCTAACTGGAGTACTTGTTGAATTCTTGAATCTTAGATAAGAGTTTCATGAAGGCTCTACTCAAGGAGGAAGCAAGGAAAGAGTTTTGCATCAACAATTCTCTTAATTTGGATACATGTTCTTCAGTGTCTTGCTTCTCAATCACTTGAGTGCCATAAGTACCATCAGGGAGGATCACAGTTTTGACTACCTATTTGCTTTCATCTTCCTATTTGACCACAGCCTTATCATGTTCAAGAGGGAGATTTCCTATGGCCTTTTTGATTTGATTGAATGATCGAATAGGATTGACACTGTAATCCCCGAGAACTGTGAATGTGGCCTTGTATAATTCCATGTGGTGGATATCCAAGAATCGATTAGAAAGTGCAGTTACGATTTTATGTTGAATTGGCTAATCAGATAATTAAACTAATTTGACTAGTGTCTGTCCAGCTAATTGAGCACATTGATCATCCATTTTATTGTTGCAAATGATGGAATCAATGAAGGTTTGGGCTACAACTTCATGGACCTGAGGGAATTTATGAATCATTGGGTTGATCAATTATAACATCAATATCTTGTATTCAGATTAATCATTTAAATTCTAGCATTTTTGGAATTCCTTCTGCAATGATTGAGCCAACAAGACAACATTTTCGTGTTTCAATTAAAAGAGTTTTAACACTTTTCTCCTAATATCGATACTCTATTAATTAAGCAAATAGGAGAGGTCTTAGGTCCTATCCTCAAGGACTCTAGGATTCAATTGATTGACAGCCTCTAATCTGTCCAAAATGACCAATTTGATATTGTTGTCAGTCTGAGAGTTGATCAAAGACATGTAGATTTGCACAGCAATTTTTAATGATGCTAAACTGGGTGACACAGCAAAGAGAGTGTTGGCACATTCATATTAGACAGATGCTGATTTGGACTTTGAAAATTGATAAATGGACTTCAATAACTTAGGTTTTTGTAGTGGATCCTTTTTGCACACTTTTCTAAACAATTCCAAGATGGATAATTGGAGTATGTCTCCAAATTAATTGCTGTCATCTGAATAGTTGATGTTTAAGTAGTCGAGTGCCTTTTGTTGATTGGCATGGAAGAGCAATAAGAAGGCATTCCTTTTAGTGGATAAATCTGTTTCATTCAATAACAATTTCTCCATCAGTTCATCCAAGTCTGAGATTAAATCATCTCCAAAGTTCAGGAATATTTCATAGAGACACACCACGGCATTCCTTCTCACATACACATGTTTGTGAGTAACATTCTCTACGATTGCTGTTTGCAATGGCTCCAGGATTCCCTATTTTATTAATTGTGATTCAATACACGCAATTGAATTCTGCTCAAGAGTTTGAGTGTTCTCCCTCTGATGTACTCGTTTGGATGCAACAAGTCCTTCCTTAAACTATTGCATACGAGGATCATTTCCTCCTTCAATGAACCATTTGGATGAGTTTTCTCAATTACTTCCCAATAGAAGAGGAGAATCTTTTTCAATGAATGTGTCTCATCTGACAATGGCACCAGTGAGTTGATAACGTTCATCACCATACGAGGCATTTATTCATCATGGATTATCTGAATAACGAGCGATTTCAATGCCTAATCAATAGATTGTGGAATCCTACTTTCAATTTATCATCGAACTTCCCTGTGTCGAATGCCTTTGCTATCTCCTGTGAACTCATCGGAGCATCCTCGGGAATTACATATACGCTGCACATTCTATCCACTTTCACTTAAGTCATTATTAATCAAATAATATATTATATACGTGGCAATTTTACTTATTACAAGCACATTTAATATTCACAATTATTCCAACCACTATTTATTTTCAGCATCGATAGTTTCATAACTATCCATTCCAGAAAAGTCCTTGATTTTTGGATCAGCTCCATTTTTTAACAACAATTCCAAAATCTCCTGATTCCCAGAAAGACAAGCATAATGCAAGGCAGTCATCCCAGACACACTCTCCTATACGTTCATCAAATTGTGTTATTTGTAATAAGGAATCAACAATTTCAGAGCTTCAACATTTTCAATGTCCACCACAGCATGAATCAATTTAATTTTTTGTTGATTCTCACTCTGCAAATATTTCACATCATTGTGAGTCTACAGCAATTCCCCCAATTTGTCAGTATTTTCAAGTGAATCCAAAATCTCCTAAAATATTTGTTGTTCCTTCTCATTCAATTAAAACTCCTATTCTATTGTCTACCCAGTCTTATTAATCTTCTCTATGAATGCCTCATTAGTGTCATGTTCCGCATTCTTCATCGTACTCACCTTCATTCCGAATTGCGAATTCTGAGCACTCCCTGTATCGCACTCAACCCCACTCTCTAAATATTATTGTATTTATTTTATGTATAACTTCTCGGCATCTCCCTTCTTTACCCCTTTACACTTCGACCACGCAGTCCATTTGGCATGATCCTAGAGATGCAAACGCATAGGCTCTGGAATATTGCAATCCCCCACAGTCGCCTACTTGTATAAACTATAGAGCCACAATTGATCCGGCTAACTCAAACCGACCAAAGTTCTCCCCTTTCGTGCAGCCTCCTTAAACTCCTCAGAGAATTCAGACAAATCAGTCTCCTAATTCAGTTTTGGCTGTCTCTTCCAAAATAACAAACTTCCCCCTATTGCAGCTATTGTTATCCCAACCATCCATGTCAACTTTTAATTCAATTTCCCCAACATTTTAAAAATCATATAATAATAATAATTATCATTCATAACAATTACACATCAGCTATAAAAAACTCTTAATTATTCATTTCCACATCCTCGAACCTACTCTGCAAATCAATAAATTGCTGCGAAATAATCAGAGTCTTGATACTCGTGTTCTTGTCCAAACTTTCCAAGATCACTTAAATGTCGTTGATCCTATTGCAATTCACATCCAGTAATTCAAGAGAGATCGAATCCTTTAAACAAGCCGTAAACTGCAATAACTCATCCAATTCAAGATGACTTAAGTGGACACTCCTAAAACAATCGTGCTTAATTATCAATTCCCCCAATTATTCAATATTCTGAATCGAGTTCTCAGATATGTCCAATTATATCTTTATTATTTCTATTATCGGATCCATTGAGTTCTCATAAAAGTCTTTCAGCAACTACAAGTTGTACCTATTGTACTGCCCCGTCTTATTCTTCAATTTCTTGATCATCTTAGACAATGTCTTTTACTTATTGTAGAACAACTCATTCTCCAATGCTGGAATCTCCAAAGCCTTACAGAACATCACATCAATCGCATTGAACAAATCATTGAAATTCGTTGCCCCAATATTCTTGAAGTTCATCAAAGTCAGCAATTCTAACTCCATCGAATCCGACTTCCTTGAAATCTGATGTCTTCGATAACCAGGACTAATGCTCTCCAAATTATTAGTACTGTTATCCCAAAATTGTAAGTATCGTTGCTGAATGCAATTGGCAATTATCTCTATGCCTTCATTTCCGATCCCTTGATTGTCATTCAAATAGATGTGATTCAAAGCAAAAGAGTTTTGATTCATCAAAAAGCTTCCGAATTCCTTTATCACCAAAGTTGTCAATTGACAATTGCTCAAATCGATTAACTTCAATCTATTCTTATTCTTCTTAAAATATTATAGTAATTAGATAGTTGCAATTGGACCTAATTGACTGTTTGATAATATCAATTAATAAATCTTATGGTTCATTAAACTATCGAATATAATCTGGGTGTATTTTGTTATGTAACATAAAGGTAGCGCATTTTAAATACCTTCTATTTGCAAAGCATTATTAGAGATGTTGAAAGTAGTAAGGTTTTCATTGAAAAAATAATCAACCATACTAATGGAAGGTGATTTGTCAAACAATCTACAAATCATCCACAAGTTATTTAAATATGCTTTATAGGCTATTTAATTGGAAATGGATCTTCTCCAAATTTATCCCACATAGGGCTTCTCCAATTTAATTGTTAAAGATCTATCTAATAATTTAACTATATATGTAGATCCTTCCTCTTTGATTAATGCGTCATCCAGTTATCCTATTCCTCTTGCTACCTTATCAGTTTTCAAATGATACCAAACCAAATGAAATCCTCTTTGTTCCAACCAACAAATGTGAAATTCCTGTGATTTTCCCTTCTATTTTAAAAAGTACTCTCCTTTTTGCAATTTGTCAATACCTCCTTTTCCCATCTTTGATCCTGCTTACAAGTTGACATTTGTAGTCTCCTTCAAATGATCCTTTATAGCCCTTTGAGCCTAATACCCTTAATTGTGGGGAATCATTTACACATTATAATCTTTCAATTGTTCAGTGGTTATAAATTGGAGATGTTCCAACTTTTTGGATCTCTCTTGTTTTTTTGCTTAAGCCTTGACTTTCTTCTCAATTTTTTTGATTTTGTTTTCTGAACTTTATTCTGTGAATTCTGATTCATTGGAAATGGGTTGAATTTTATAGGCTTGAGAGGGGAGATTATGAACGATGATTTAATCTTGGATGATGTTGATGGACTTGATGTAGTTGTAATCTAGGGCATCTAGAATTAACTCTCGAAGAATCAAGTAAATATTATATTGGCGAGTCAATGCAGAGGGTATGTTCTGATTGTGCATGAGATTGAATTGTTGGATTCGATTAAGGAATGAAAATTTGAAATGCTGATCAATTTTGACTTGCTATTCAACAAACTATTGTTCATTCTGTTCTTCTTCGATTTGATTTTCTACTAGCAGGACTTCATAAATATTTTTGTCTTCTCTGTAAATTTGTCTATTGATTTGATATGGTATGATGTTGATATTCAATTCCATTTCATTTTTAAATATGAAATGAATTTGCTCTTTGGTGTTAAATATTTTATAGATTTGCTATTGATTCTCATCCAATAATTGTCCATTAATTTTAGTCACTTGCAATTGAGAGGGTTTTTTGGAAAATCTTCTGTAGAAGTTAATTTTATTGCTGACTGAGAGTGCAACCTTTGTTTGGTTAATTTGATCATATTTAATGTTGAGTTTTTGCATCATTGAGTTGATCAAATGGAATTCCACAAAACCAGTGTCATTGGCAGATTGCATGATGGCTTGCAATTGCTATTACTTTTAATTGAAACTCTGTTGTCTTTCCTTGAGTTATTGTTGTACAATGATTTTTGAATCAATGAATTTCTGGTCCTTGTGGAGTTAGACTTTGTGCTTGGATTGATTAAGAATGGCTTGAGTTTACTTGAGCATCTCCTCAGGAGCAAGTTTTGGTTGTTCCTTTGTTTCACTTACAAACAAACATTTCTTTATTGTCTGTAGGTTTTATTCAGTTTATTTAATTTTATTCATATATGTCAACTGATGTTGATTACTATACTAAATAGCGAAGCATATCATAATTGCCTTAACGCAGACATCAACACTTAGATTGTTATGACATCATTACATAAGACCAACATTATTAAGATTTGGTGAATTTAGCTGCAAAGTTCAGGTATAACAGATTGGATCGCTTTAAAATGTTCGTCCTTAATGGGATGCTCTAGCGAAACCAGGCGCTTTAATGCTAAATAGAGAGGTGTTTTCGTCGTGGAACTAGACTCCAGACAGAAGAAAGAGTCTTGCAACCAATTAAGCAAGGAATACGTCGAACCTCATTGATTGATTACCCGCATTTGGGACGAAAAACTGTAGAGAGATTGAAGATTTAGTAAGAGAAAAACAAAAAATTAATGAAAGCAATTCATCGCAATAACGAAAATGAAATTTCCACACTCACCACGGAGTGAGAGTCATTTGATCACAATATTATTACTTAGATTTACATTTAGGTACTAATATCGGTTTTTGGTTTGACATCTTAACTTTACTATTCATATTTTATTTCTTCTATATCAAACAAGGCAAAGGTTGAATGTGAGTAACAATTGGTTCTTATTTTTAATCCAATGATTTGTTCTCACAAACACTGTTTGCTCTTTTAGTTCGCGATCCATCATTTGAAGTGCTTCTTAACGACCTCTTGGGCTTGTACATCTCCTTCCGAGGAGACCATCTCTTCAACTATTTTAAATATATCGGGATTGTCGGTTCTAATTGTAACAAAGTTGTGTAATCCATCTTCGTATGTTCAACTAAGTTCTGAAAAAGATGTTTATTCAGTGTTGGCTATTGTGATTGTAAGTATGTTCTCTGCACGCTTAATAAACTTAATCCTAATTGAGCATTCATTTATATATTATTTTATATTATAAATTATTTAACTCCTCAATACTTGTATGCACGCATTTCATTCAATGTTGTGTGGCACATTTACATTTAATTTCGATCAGGAATCTCAAAGGAAATAGGATAAAAATAATACTGTACACTATATATGAAAAATTACTAAAATTAATATTCTTGAGATCGTTATCAAATCTAACCTCAGAAAAGAGAACCTCTGTAGGTACTCATAGAACTTTCTTATGTTTTTAATATTTAAATAATCTCAATCTACAAGTTCTTATTCTATCAAATTAATGCTGTATTCTACATTACACTATATGGCAGTATTAGTTCTGATATTAAATAATCAATATTATAATATTAGAATGAGTTTAATTTATCAAGGCTAAAAGACATTCGTTAAAAAGGTAGAGATTTGCAAAATAAATAATTTGGAAATTGTATTAGGAAGTGGAGGGCAGGCTACTGTTTATAAGGCTATGATGACTATTCAATAATCGGATCAAACTGAGAGATAAATAGATATTGCTTTAAAAAGAATTTTACTACCTAAATCCAACAATTTCAGACAAAGAATGTCTGAATTAATCAAAAGAGAACAATCTGTTTATAGATCTATAAAATCTCCTTATATTATTAAATTATATGGAACAAATTTAAACTACTAAAAAAAAAGGCTAGAGGATCTAGAATATTTGGATTTTTATTTTGAACTATGTGATGGCTGTCTGGCCGAGCTAATCAGGGATAGAGACAAGGGAATAGATGTACCCCTCACAGAGGAAAGTGCATTGGAAATCTTTGAATCGGTTGTAGAGGTCGAATTGTTATTGGAAAAATCATCCTTTATGAGATCAACTACAGTTTATTAGGGCTTGTTTCATAGAGATATTAATGTTAAAAATATCCTTTTTAAAAAGAAAAAGCATAAAATCGAGGTCAAAGTTTGTGATTTTGGTGTTGCCAACTATGAGTATGATCAATTAAATCCTAATAATCGGATTGATTTAACTTAAAAAGTCGGAACCCTTGTAATATTTTTAGTTATTTCTAGTCTTTCACAAGTCCAGAAAATATACTCTAGTAAATATATAATTCACAGAAAAACGAAGCCTGGTCGTTGGGTGTACTTCTGTTTTGTTTGCTAACAGGATTATCATATTATAAAAATGTGTTACATCTTTTCAACAATAATAATGATCATCATAAATTAATTGAAAAGATGTAAATCTAAAGGTACACAAAAGAACTATTAATCAATCTATTACAAATTGATCCGGAAAAAAGATGGGCATACGATGAAATTGTTTCATCCAAATGGTATACTCTATTTGGTTAAAAGAAATGTAAGATTTTGGAGAGAATAGAGCCTACCCTAAAATTTAGACAAAAGTGTTTTAATGAGCTGTCCCTCAAATTGATAGAATATAACTAATTTATTGATTAAAACAAACAGTAATCATTAGAATTTTAAATCCCATAAGATCTGCTACTGATAACAATAAAGAATTATGAATTGTGGTCTTGGAAATAATTAGAAAAGTATAGTGGAAGTTATTGTTATGAATTCCAAAGTTAAGAAGAAATTGCAGAGTAAACAGCTTGTAAGGATGAGATTAAAAGCTATGAAAAAAACTTAATTAGAATTACGCAAGAACTCAGGGATTTTTTCTTATAGATTACATCTAATTAGAACTAAAAACATGAGAACTAAGAAAAAACGAAATATGAAGTTAGGAAAGAGGAGGCTATGAAAATTCAATAATTTTGGAGTAAAATTATATGTAATTCAACAACTACCTCTCATTATAAACCAGATGCTCTGTATTATTATATGCATTTATTTGAAGAAATGGAACAGAAATTATTAAGTCGTTTGTCAATATTTTTAATTTAGAATCACTATAACCCAATAAATTTCAAACCTAGTAGTCTAAACAAAATTCCAGTCTAAATTTCGAAGTTATAAAATATATCTGAAGCCTTCTCGTAAACTTTGGTTCAGAAGGAAATATTAATAAAATAAAATTTGGAATAATTAGTAGCTTAAAATTCAAAAGATAATTAGGATAAGGTTACGATAGAAAAAAAGCTTAGCTAATTAAAAGAGGAAGTTGATGAACTAAAAATTTAAGTTGATGAATGCACAGCCACAATAAAATAAAAATAAAAAATACTTTAAATCCTAGAATAACAAAAATAACTTCAAACGATATTGAAGATGTTAAAAGAAATAAAATAGAAATTTAATCGCTATTATTATTGGAAAAAAGAGGTAGAATATTTGTAAATCTTTCAAAACGATAATTGATCTAAATTCAAATTTCATATTTAGATATATAATTCTTATTTTCGTAATTTTTTATTGTTGTTTAATAATTGCAAATTCATTATGACTTTCTTAGAAGATTACATTTTAATAAACTTGATTCTTACGATAATTAAGTTTTTTAAACATTCCATTTTTTGTTAGGAAAATGATTATAATAGACATAATTACAACTAAATTAATATCTAAATTAAACAAAATATTGAATAAAGTAAATATTACTTATTAATGTTTTAGTAATATATAATTCTTAATAAATACAAGTTCTTTATTATTGTAAATTGAAAAATTAAAAATTATAAAAAAGAAAAACAAAGTTTAACAATTCATTTGAAATTCATCTATATATATTAATAAAATTAATTAATTGATTAAAATGAAATCATATATTATTAATCAAATATTAATTTAATTTTAATTCATCAAACTTTAATTTAAATGATTTCTTCTATTTAAATTTAACGTATTCCAAGGATCTTGATCATAATGAAATTAAATAGTCGAAGTATTTGGAGATATAAGAAAATATTAGTTTTTATTATAATATATACAGGGTTTTTTATTTCACTAATGTGTAACAATTCTTAAACTAAAAATGTTTTGCTCTTTTCAAATAGTTTTTTTTTAAGTAATAGCCTAACAACATGCCTTTTTTATTATTATAAAATGATAAATAATTTACATACACAAATGAAATATAAAATCAAGTTTATCCAGAAACCACCATTAATTCGATTTAGATGGTGGAATCTGTTTCATTGGATTAAGAATGAGTAGAATTTCTCTGTTTTGATTTATTTGTAAAATACAAATAGATCAGAGAAATAAAGCCAATAATTGATAATAAAAGTAGCAAAGAGTTCACCTTTTGATAATTTTCGTAACTCTCCACGCTTAAAATATTGGCAACAATATATGAAAAACAAGTCAATTCTAAAATAATGAAAATTAATACCTAAATTAATACAGCTATATATTAATCCGAATCCAGTGGCTACCATATGTGATGGCACAATATTGGGAATGTATGGCCACATAACTGCAAAATAAACTCCAAAAAAGAGTCCATTAAGAATACTTCCAATCAAAGGAAATATTAAACATGGAGACTCGAACTCTGGCAAAATTTAGTACATTATCAAGGTGAGTAATTGACAACTACAAGCAATTATTAAAATTTCAATGTCTCTTCCTATTCTTTATAAATAATAGCCGACAATTGGACTTAGTAAAGCTGAGAGATAATAAGGAATACTAAACAAAATATTCGCCGTATTCTGATCTAATTTAAAGCTATGATATAATTATATAAACAATACTTCTCTTTAAACATTTCTACAGAATTGTAGCTGAAGATAAAAAAAACTGAATAGCATGTTGCACAACTTATTAATGTTATATAAAATTCTAAACTAAAATTTTTGATTTATCTCAGATCAATGCTTTCCAGTTTTTGATCCTCGACTTTATCTCTCATATCGCTAAATCTGTCTATTTAAGTCAGAATTATAATTGTAATAAAACTAAAAATTGCGATTTTAAAGCACATAAGCAGGCATTTTGATAAGTCACTGTCAGATGCTGAATATAAGAATGGGTATAATATTGAAGCAGTTATTGATCCGATTCTGCAGAGAGCAGTATCGATACTATATTTATTTATAAATAATTACCCATATGCAAGTGAATTTTCTTTATCTTTGAACCACTTATTAATGTAATAACTCTCTGCTACACATCCACTTGACTCAAATATCCCAAATACAAATCTTCCGATGATCATTAATTTAAAACTGTGCAAAAATACCGAAAATAAGCACAAAACTAAATGTGGTTATAATTATTATCATACATTAGCCAAGGATTACTACCAATGCAAAAAGCACATATGATCTTCTAACGCCAAAGGCATCAATTATTAAACCTCCTACTAAAGTCATGACCATGTTTGGAAGTGATTCAAATAAAAGTAAATAATTGACATCTTCTTGTGTGACCTAAAAATAGTCCTTAATTTATTCTCCCAATAACGCAGGAAATTCAGCTATTAGGAATTGTGCTAATGGATAAACACCAATTAGACATAATACAAACCATCTTAGATTGGTTTCATGCCAAGAGAGTGCTTTGACCATTATTTAATAGTATTTAAAAACTTAAATTTAAAATTAAATGATCTTATTAAATTAAATTATTTAAAAATCGCTTTATGATCATTAATTGGAAATTTCCTAAGTAGGATAAAAGTGTATAATTTACAACAAAAAAAGAGCAAAATTAAACAAGATCAGTACTTTTTTCATTTAAAAATAAAGTATATGAATTTAATTTTCTCTTACCTGAATTTTATTGGCAAAATACAATATTTTGTTATTCAACAAAAATAAATCAAATAACTTAATTTAAACCCTAATTATATGGTAAATCTATATTAGATATATAAAGAATATTTTAGATTTGAAAGTAAAAAGATACTGTAAAATAGATAATTCATAAAAATTAATTTCAATTTGCTTCTAATCTAATTATCTTTTAAACATTTTAATCTAGACCTAATAGTGTTTGTCTAGACGTCGACTAAGAATTTAATAAATTCAAGAGGGATCTTATTTTTAATAAAATATATACTTTTATGATTCTAATTAAAATTTAGATATCTGTATTAAATGAATTCTTAATTTTATTAAGTTAGTTTTTAATTTTTTTTCTCTTTACTTCATTTAAATTAATTTTCTGTTTACGTAAAGAGTGAGGTTTTAATTGCAATTTAATAATTGTAAAGCTTTGTGTAAATTACTTATAAACGGTATTTTGTATTTCTTATAATAGACTCTTAATAAATCAATAACAAATGGATAAGTTAACTTCAAACAAAGTATAATCAATAACATTTCAATCATAACAGAAGCAATTTTGTTTTCTTATTATTCACTTATATATTTAATTGAAGCTAAGAAGATTGCAATGGAACATATTTATCCTGTTGATACATCTAGCTAGTTTAAGTTTTTGATAATATAAGGTTTTTATTTAACTGCATACAATTGATAAAGTAGTAAACATAATCCAAGCAATGAAGCCTTCACAAATATGTTTGTTTCAAAATATGTCATAATAAGAATAATGACTGTTTTCTTCCACAATTTGATCCATTCCCAAAAGTAAGTTTCATTGTTATATTCATTGAATAGATAACAAATATGTTTTCGAAAATTGATTTTGTCAAGCTTTTCTCGTTAAATGTACAGAAGCAGAAATAGAGCAGAGGGGATGAGACATCCAATCAATCCTAATCCGGGCAAAGCAAAACCAAACATCCAATTTTTATGGTTGGTTGAATTAAATAATAAAGATACATCTCCTGATATATATTCTATATTGGAGATAACCCTCTTTGCCAACAAGGAAAAGAACCTAAAAAATTATCATATTCATTTACTGTTTTATCAAGGCAGCATAGTTTTAAACATATAAATACAAGAGTGCTGTCGATATTAAGCTGCTATTAAACTTTCTCTTTTTGATGGTTGAATACAACTTAAACCCCATGTATATAATTAATAGTTAGGCGATCATCAATACAATCATGGTTATCATTCTACTATAAATTAGATGGATATTATAGATCTCGGATAAGTAGCAATCCAAATTATTAGCCATAAAGAATGATGTGTTGTTTGTCTAATTAATGAAAGTGAATGAAAAGGAAAATTCACATATTAAAAGTAAATATTACTGAAAATATCCATACATAATTGAGAAACAATTTAAGTAGGATGCTCTCATGATCTAATTATCATAGGAAAAATACCTTGATTAAGTTTGAATATAATTTTCACATACTTTTGTCTCACTTTCAATGAGGAAAATAATTTATTCGATGTATCGATGCTTCGTAAAGTTAAAAGAGTGGAAATAAGGGCCCTATTATATCATCTTAATATGTAATACCATATTGTTGTGGCAATAAAAGGTAAAACACTATTAACGGCATCTGTACAATCTTGGCAAGTCATATTTATCAAATTTTTAAAATAATTTCCATGACCTCTGATATCATAAATATCACATTCTTCACACAAACCTCCAATGTGACCTACAACACATAAGTGATCTGACACTACCCATCCTCCTTCGCAAAAATTCACAAACTTAAAACAATACTCAATATAATCAGATTAATAATCAGGTCTCCAATACCCCTGCTTAAGTTCAATCTAATTTGATGTTACGGATTTAAATTTATTTTAATCAAAAATTGAACATTTTGTAGTGTTGTACGTTACTGAGTAATATCCTTAACTTGGTTAACATATTTAACAACCAGATTAAACATAAAACTCCCCTAATTAACACTTAAAGCCTTTGATTTCTATATTATATAACAAATCATCAGTTTAATCATTCAGATGACAAGAGATTTAAATTTAATTGGTGTAATTATTTAATTGGTACGGATCAGCAGTAATTGATAAAAAGCTTAAATCAAAGCTTTTAAATTCTGAGTTGTATTCTACAGTTGTAATATTGGTTGAATCAATGAGAACATTGTTCTATAAGGTTTACCTAGAGATCTTGCATGAGGCATTAGAAAAATTAGGTAATATTTCGTTTAGACTATTCTTGTATGCTATTGAGAATTCATCTATATACTAATCAAATTTAAGTAAAGATGGATTGTATATATTATAACGAATAATTTCTTAATTGCTGGGAATCATTAATATTCTAGTTTATTATACTCTTCCTTGTTCCATTACTCGATAGGGCTGCAAATATAAACTATTTACAATAATATTGTTGATCTTTTTCTCTATGGTATTCATTTCAAAGTTATTGATTGACAAAGTTAAATGAGTGGGCTTTTCTTAAAGATTATTTGGAATTTGAGATGCAGAATTCAATTTCATCCAGGAATTAATAAAATTCTCAGAATTTAAATTACTATTGCCATGTAAGTAAATTCCTCCTCCTTATGAAGCTTAGTTATTGTAAATTATAGTTTGAGCTATTTTGAATTCGTTGTTATTCAATGATAGATAGAGAGCGCCTCCTTATTAAGTAGCAATATTTTTTAAAAATTTCGAATTGACAAGAGTAATCCTTACATTTTCAGTTGCAATTGCAGAACCAATAGTGCCATTATTCATCATAAAGAGTGAATTCTTTATCACTAATTTTGTTTCTTATTAAGTTGAAGATTTAGCAAATATACATCCATAGTTCCTTATATTATTCTTCAGGCAATATGCTTCTACAATTTTAATTGAATAATATTATGTCAAATCAAATTAGATTATTCCATTCCAACATTATAAGCATTGATTGTTTGATATTAATAGCTAAGCTAATTTAATTTTATTTTGAGAATGTGTACTTTAAATATGAATCAAAGCACCTGTTTCACTTGATTAGTGTAAAATTTGTTCAAATATCCACGCAACTTGAGTAGGAGCAGTAAAAACTTGATTCAATAATTGAAGATTGATATTGCAATTATTGTAATCTAGAGATATTTTTGAATATTCAATTATATTAGTATTTAATTTACTGAAATCAAATGAAGCCATATTAAGAATTTTAATATCTTGTAAAACAACTTAGTAAGAAATGGATATTGTTTGCCCAATATGAACCATATTAATTGGGTAAAAGGATTTAGCATTCAAAACTAGGAGATTTGACACATGTAGAGTTTATGAATCCAACACTTTTAGTAGTGAAGACAATAAAATTCCTGAAAATTTTAAAGATTAAATATTTAAACTGCATCCTTATATATTAATAATAGCATTATCATTTGATATTTTCTAAATGTCATAGATGCTTAGAGATTCCATTTTTTAGAAATATTAAACCAATTAGTTTTCATCTTGAAATATTGAAATGTTCTTCAAAGTAACAATATTCGTTTTAAGAGTTAATAGTTAAAACTCTATCTTCATGAATTAGTTTATTAAAGAGAAGCAATTTTAAATAGCTATGTTTTGAAATGTTATTAAATTAGACTTGAGGGATGGAATCAATGAAAGTATGGATGAGGCCAATCTATTTTGTATATCTTTAAAGTTCACATTTTTGAATTCTAGTTCTAAAAGACTATTTTTTGAATAAATTGATATAGCTCCGTCATTGTCCCCAATTTAGGAGAATATATTTTATGATGATTCTATCTAACAGTTTGTTATAGTCACCTTGCCTAGTCCCTGAGTGACAACATCAAGTATAGAACTACTTTGAGCCAATATTTCCTTAAAAACACAATTGTTAATTATAAATTATTCTGTTACAATAACCAGAGCTCCTCCTTTATTTTAGATTGTAAATGCTTTATTAATCAAGTGGTTGATGATATCTTAGTTAAATTTTTCCTTCAAATCTAGGTTGTAATTCTTATTCCAAAACGATGAGTTTAATTAGTTATGATTATTAATACCAATATTATTTATTTTGATGGAGTTCGTATTGATGTAAATAAAGGGATTAGTAGAATTAGTTAATGCATTGTTTTATGAGGTTAAATGATTTATGTATAAAGAGCTAGATTAAGAATTAATCAGTAGTAGACTTGAAGTAGTTTGGGAAGGATCATCAAAAAGTTGATTGAAGCTATTATCCTAAAATTAAATATTCTCCATTTCTATTATCTAAATCTTCTCGGAATATATAGTTAATTATGATAATACTAGACCTAAATTCCTTTTTACTAAAATATTTCCTATAAATTTTAAGCCTTTAAGTTTAATGTTCTCTCTCTAATTTGTCACTGATGAATTGGATAAAATTTAGATAAAAGATTAATCCACACTGTACTGATTGATAATTTCAATATTTGTTAAGGATAGAGATGAGTATCCTGAAATGTAAAATAGTTATGAATTTTTCAATGTAACTTATAAACATTCAATAGATGCAGGCACTTGATATCTCTGTATTTTATTAGCATATGATAAATCTTCAACGCTAATCTAAGTAACACTTTATAGAATAAAGTATTAAAGATGAAAGGAATTTATTATTTCAAATTTCTTTATCTCTAAACTAAAACAATTAATATGAAATAGATAAGCAGATGAATTTTATGCATTTGAAATACCATTTTCTAAGAAATTAATATTGTATAATTTAACTTCTCCTTAATTGAGTGTTGTTTATTACGTTGTGAAAATAAGAGAAGTGTTAACAAGAACATTGTTTTGAATGTCAAATTGATCGATTAATAAAGTTGCAGTTGATATTAACTTATAAAACAAAAACGTCTAATTTAAATTACAATCCTCCAACTTCAATTACTTAATAATTAGACTATTTTAAAAAACTAAAAACTTTGAATTTTCAAATTTATTTGAAATAAATGTAACTTCTGCTAAATCAATATAATAAGTGTCTGTCCCATTAATTAGTTATGAGTTTTATATAAGAGAGTTTCTAATTTTAAAATCATTAATGTTAATAATCGATTAGGTGTTACTGTCTTATTTAAAATCAAAAATTGTGGAGTTAATAAACTAACAATTTTCGATTGTAAGATTTTAAATAAAGCTGTTTTTAGGAAGTGAGTAAAACTAAAAAATGATTGTTTGAGAAAAATTACAGTTTCGAATTGTTAGATCTTGTATTTTAATAAAACTAACTTCATCCTGAAATCTAATCTAAAAAGCTATGGAATTTAATATGTTCAAATCGCTTAATGTGATATTCCTGATCTCAAAATGTTAACACTTTTCTGTCTAAACTGTCATATATATTGAATCTTGGTTGCTCGCAAAAAACGTAGAATCAGTCAGTTTTATATTAGTAGGATAATAAGTATTATGAATATATATCTCCAATGATTCCATGACAAAATATAACAGGTGGTTGAGATTTATGGAGTCAAAGTCTTAGAATAAAATTCCTGATGGAAAAGTAGTTGGTAAATCATCCCCTTATAAAATCATCTCTGTCCATTATAAGGAAATAACTCTTGCTTATAATTAATTAAGTATCTTTAATAGATACGTAAATCTTATGGGACATAAATCTTGAATAAGAATGATTAAGTTAAATCTTTGGGCACCGATTTGATTGAAGTATTCAAAATTGAATTACTCTAAAAATCTCTCTAATTCATCAAATATTTCTAAACAATTATATTTGATCTAATTACTTATCTATATATACTTAATAGGAGATGATATTGTCACAAATACCATCAAAACAATATTTCGCAACTTATTAATAAGGATCAATCATTATATTTTTTTCTTTCGTTTATTGGACACATTTATATGTATATTTTTTATTTGAGTCATTTATTACAAAGGCGGGATTAAGGTTCTAAAATTGGGATATATATTATACCTTGATCTCTTCTATTGTCCTTTCTTAACAAACCTAACATAGCAAAGAGCAAGTAATGCATAGTCCTTTTTCTATAGTCCTTAAAGGTTCCATGTAATAACTCTAGGTACATTTTCCACAAGTAAATCCATCGGCGGCATTTGTTTCCTTTTGACAAGTAGCACAATTTGAATCGCAATATTTTCTACAGAAATTTTGGTTTAATGAATATTGATCTATACATTTGATTGCAATAGGACTAATGTATAATATATCAGTAGACTAAGGATACAGATATTTATTTGGTAGAAATTACATCAAAAAGCTTTGTATTAATTGCATCCATGCATCTAAATTAGTATAATCTCCTTCTATACACAATTTAGAATATTGTAATTCACAAATTGTACAAAATCCAGTAGTAAGAGAACTTGAATACCCGTCTTCACAAACAATGCATTTTACAATTGATTAGGGTGTTTAAATACATTATTTACACTTAGATATATATTTTTAACAGTTTATTATCTCAGGAGCAACCTTAAAGTCTTATATCGCTGATAGAGTACATAGTTCTTGTCCTGATTAATTTATAAACGATCTCAAACAATTGGTCAAGGTTGGTTCTTTATAAATACACTTACTTTATGTGAAATCAAATATAAATCCATCCAGACATAATGCACACCCTATTTTATGAAACTCATCTATTTTAAAAGCTTAAAAATCATTATAGAGTGTGCATTTTGTTAGATCGTTACTTTCATATTCAAAACAAAACTGACAATTCTCTATTTAACATAAATTACAACCCTTTTCAGATGTTATGTAATAAGGAGCATTGCAATCATTTATTTATCTTATTCCTCGAGGGGTTATCACACAAACTCCATCTTTTAATTTTGCTACTCTTGAACATTTTATACAAATTTATTTGGTTAATAACATTTAACAAATCAAACAGTTTTGAAGAGTACAAGGATAAAAGTCTAAATCTGAGCTGTAGTATGAGTAAAGAATAAGAAAATTCTTATTAGTTATTTCAAAATCTTAGTATATTCTTTCAATTTGATCTTAATCCTCAATAAAATCCTTTTATGATGGCTTAATCTCCATTCCATCAAATATATAATAAGTCTTAAATTTATCAACTTTATATTGTGCTGGGCTTCCAAGATCATCAATGTAGAGATTGGTTTAACAATACGGATCATTATGCCACCCTTTAGGATTTTAAATACATTCTAAACATGTCATCAAGCTATCCTTTATCAAAGAAGGGCTAAGTTTAATTACAATATTAAATACCATTTTAAGCAAAATTAATCTTAATTAAAATATCCTTAGCGACAGTTTGATGTTGAGTCTTATTCAAATCCTGAATTTAGAAATAAATTATAGCTCTCCATACCCTTACATTCTTATTCATCAATATAATTATTTGGGCATACGCATACTTTATATTATTCAAGATAAACTCTTTTTGATTCTTCTGAACAAGACAAACAATCTTTATATGTAGGGCCTTCACATTCTTAGCAACTATAATGACATCCTGTGATAATATTATCATCAGATGCAGCATTACTAAATCTCAAATTTTTTAGAGCACCAGTCAAGTAATTAGTCGCTGATTATAAAAGATTTCCATATTATAATTTAAATTAAACTTCATGGAAATGATTAACTTAAAATTAAGTCTCATGCAGAGTTTATTCCAAGCCTTAAAAAAATGTTATTGAGACTTTTAGAATATTTTAGTCTAAAGACACATATAAGAAATGCCATAATTTTATATTATTAATGCTCCAGTCTTTTGATAATAAAAAACCTGACTTCTCAAAATCGTAATCAACAAGCGGTAATGTATAGCTATAAGTAGTTACAAGTAGTTTGATTTATGAATTTGAGAATTCATAAAATAATTAAAAAGCTGATAAATTTTCATTTTTCGCATAGTTATTTTCAAAGTTTGCTGATATTTTAATCAATTAATAAATAAATTATTAATCTTCTTGTCGGAAATCTGATATTCGGATCCAAGCTTCCAAAGAAAATCCATCACAATTTCTATTTTCTGAAGCGAATACTTCCTGGTTTAATTTGAAAATATCAAAATCTTGTAAACTTTATTCTGAGTTATCTACTTGTGTGCATTCCGGGTGATAATCATTTGAAAAACTTAAGAAAGTTTCAAATCCTATTTCATTTACTAATTAATTTCCTACATTTGGATGAAGTATTGATAATTTCCCAGGAAAATAAGAAAGCGTTGATATATCTTGGTTCCAGAGCTACTAGGATTCTTCTACAACTAATCCTCCTCCAATAACAAACTTTAGATCGGAATCCTTGAAAATACCTTTTATAACATGTTGCTAAATTGCTATTGTAGTTTCCCTTTGAAATATATAAACATCAATAATTCCTTCTGATGGTATCAGATTTAGACAAAAAAAATACCAATAATTTTCATATATCAAAGGATCGATTTCAAATTTATAAGTGTATATTTAATTATCACTGCCCAAGAACTAAACCTTCTTATAAACAGTATTTGTTGATTGATCAACGCAATCATAGTAGAGTAAGTTTATTTACAAATTTGTGTATTCTGAAATAGAGCTTAACAAATAGCAGTGACTATCAAACATTCCTATCAATCCAACTTAGGAAATTATACTTAAAGGAAGGTATTTGCTCCAAATCCCATAATTAAAGTAATCAAGCTTAGCAAAGTCTACTCCACCAGTATTGATTGTAAATGCATAATATTATTATTACTCATTTAAGGCTTCGAAGTAAAACGAAAGCACAAAGTTTTTATGATATAGGCCTAATAAGAAAGTTACTAAGAAATTATGCATAAAGAATTAAAGTTTTGAATTTAATTCAAATAACTATTATTCAAGAGTTTAAATATGTCTAAAGAAAGGGTAATGGCTGCATAATTTTACTAAAAATCACCTAGTTTAAAAAGAGATTAGGAATTTATTAATATCAATGATTGCTTGTTATTTCAATTAACTTGATTTCTTATTTCACTATTCTCAAAAATTAAATTATGAATTTAAGCACAATCGGACAATCAAATACTTTAAAGTTTTGTATTAGAAAATAAAATATATATGTAAGGAAATCAATTATTTATTAAAAAGTAAGTAAGGAGTAATTTCTTAACGAATATTAACAGTTTAAACCTGTTGAATAATCAGATAAATTTTTATAAAAAAAAATATATATTTCAATCAATTATTACACTTTTATTTTTTTGATATTTAATTATAATTCGTTTTAATTATCAATGCTCCATATAAGTTGTTGATAATTAATTTCGATAGTAATTGATTTAATTCCTTTTAGTTATTAGATGTTAAATTTTCGACAACTCATCTCTTAATACTGTGTAAATTAAAAGAAGTTTTAGATTAATGAAAATATTTTTTGAATCTTTTGATTGCTTAAATATTCTTTATGGTCTATTGTTCAATCCATTTAACTATCAAATATAATTTAGAAATTGCTGACTTTGATTGGGAGAAAACAGAGCAGATAAGAAAATATTCCATAAAATAAAATAGGATGTTATTTGATGTTAAAGATCGTCACTACCATAGAAAACATTCTTTTAATATTTTTCATTATAAAGAGCATTTTCTTAGGATCAAGTTGTAATATTCATAACTGTCTGGCTTGAATCATTTTCTATGACAGAGAATAAAGATTTATATCAATTTTAAACTAATTTTATATTTCATCGATATGATCTTAAGATTAAGGCTTAAATATCTTATTTACTATAAATATAAGCTAAGTTAGAGAAATCTAAAGAATAAAATAAGAAACTAATTACAGAGGAATATATTGATAAAACAACAATAGAATTAATGTTAATGCTGAAATCCTTGATGAACGGATTTAATACTAAGTGGCTTTCTTCAAAATTTAATGATTTAGTTGTTATTCTGTTTTCTATCAATTTTCCATGTATAATCAATATCAAGGTTAATTCCTAATCAATACTTCTTTGCCAAAGATTCTTGATAAAAAGTTAATTTGTTTTTTTTCCTAAAAGTTGTTTTTTATGCTAAAACTTGAGGGTTTCTTAAGAAAAAGACCTGATTAATAATAAGAATAAAAGTTTTCCATACTAACTTCACTTAAAGGTTATTGCTTACATTTTCTTATTATTTAATTAATTTGTTTATATAAAAATAGTTTTATTACAATAAAGTGATTACCCTAAATGGAGAAAATTTGAAAAAATTAATTTTTCATCCTTAAAAATAACATTCAATTCTTTATTGTATATTTTCTTACTTGAATGTTCTTTGATACACCATCCAAAAATAATCAAATACTCTCCATCTTCACTGACTGTTCCGAATATCCAAGGATTGTAAGCTTCATTAAAAACGATAACTTATGTTAATTAAAATTGCTATTCTGATTTTTTGTATTGCTCTTCTGTTTGGAATTCAAAATGTTTTAAGATATTTAAGGTGTTTCCGCATTTACTGAATAATATTTTCTTTTAAGTATTATATATCTAGGGGAAATAATACATGCAATCTTCAAGGTTAAGTTAAATTTAAAATTCTTTATCTTTAATAAATGATTCATTTACAAGGATATAGTAATGAATTTAAGATTCTCCATAAGGTTAAAAAGTAAAAGAATCATTATTAATAAAGCAAATTCGATATCCATGTTTTTAAACCTAGATTTTTTATTTAACTATCCAAATGAACTCTGATGAGGAAATTGGTTCCATAACTAATATTATTCCATCCTTTCCTGCTGATATTACTTTTGAACCATCGTTGTTAATTGATAATCCAACAACACATTTGATATGCTCAGAAATAACCTGTAAAAATGGCTTTCTCTTGTAATTTGGTTAATCAAACCAAAAAACAATTGAGCCCAGTTTACTACCAGAAATAATGATGTTCTCTTTTAAAGGATGAATAACAAGGCTTGAAATGTATTCTTAGCCTTCTAATCTTTAAATATATTTAGGATTTGATATAAGGTTATATGACCATTTATTAATCAAAGTATCTGATCCGGAAATAAAGATTTACTTTTTTTTATAAAAATTAAGTGTATTGATATAATTAAAGGTATTAGTATATTCCTATTTGAGAATTGGGCATCTAATATTTTAGAGAAATTTTAATCCTCCATCTTTAAAATAAAAAAGTTTAAAGTTAAATTCATCTGACACCAATAAGAGCTTATTATCTTAATTTATTGCCAAAGCATGTGAAATTGACTCCTACTTTAAGGCAACAACTCATATGAGAAAGTTTAATCATTACATTGTCCTTATGCTTATTTCATAACTTAAATAATTTTATAAAACTATTTCATTTAGTTTTCAATTTTATTAATTATTACACGCAAGAATGAAACTTAAATCCAATTTTTGTTCAGGGCAACATATCTGATAGAGACCAATTTTTAAAAGTTATAATATTAATCATCATAATTATTAATAAAAAGCAATATATGAAATCTAAAAAATGAAATGATTTCATTTAGTTTCAAATAGAAAAGTAATTTTATTGGACATTTTGAATAAAAATAAACGAAGAAATGAGTAATTCTTTTGAAATTAACAGAAAATTAATTTTAGAATTCTAAATTTAATCAACCTAATACATCTCTAAGACTTTAGATGAAATTAAATTATAGTTTTAGTGATTATATAGGCGGCTCTTTAAGTTTCAGAAAAGAAAATCAAATTTGAGAACTAATTTTTAATTAGAAATGATAGCATAAGGATATTTATGAATAAGGAATATTTTTAAAAAGAAATACTATTGAGCTATTGATTGCGAATATAGCTTAAAAAAGCAGAATTCATTCTAAAAATTAAAGCGTATTATAAAAAGATTTTGCGCACTTAAAATTAACAAATATTAATTAATTTTTATAATTATCTAATTTATCATCACTCACATTCAAACTTAAAATCTGACATACATAGGCACCATCCCCATTAAATTCTAAAATCGAAACTTCACTCAATTAATAGTAATAGGTCATTCATTTATTTCTTTTATTCATTTCTTCTATCATCATTATATAGCATTGTTTCTGTATAACAAAGAAGATTAATATCTCTTGCTATATAGTTTCAGTTTAATATAAATCAATACTGCTTCAAATCGCATTACTTAGAACGATGAGAAAATTTAACATTATATAAATAATACATGACTTTCTTAATATTATTTTTATAATAATTTTTGATTAAAATAAAATGTATTAAATAATTTCTTAATGTTGATAATTAATTATTTTAGATCAAAAGTTTAATTTTATATAAATTGGATGTTAGTTGACAAATGATTTCTTTACCTTATTATGTGTTTTACTGGTGTTGGCTTCTATTCTATAAATTTTCTCTTTTTTTAATTAGTCAAATTCTGACTGATAATTTATAAATCGAAAATTCAAAAAGAAAGATAAGGCGATAGATATTTTTAGATTAAAGAATTACCTGAAACACAAATAAAATTTGAAATTATGATGGAGTTTTTTTAGGTAATTTTGTATTTTTAATAAACAAATATATTGTAGATAATATTATAGAATTTAATCTACGTAGAACAATCGACTTTAATATTTAAGTAAGTACGACAAAAATGGTTAAAGAAATCAATTTTATTTAAAGTAATCTAGATATGAGCACATTTTTTCTGATTCTTATTGCATCAGTAAGAGGGGAATGGTAAGTCTACTATAATGGTTTTCATTAATCGAACTATCTTAATTGCGCTTCTAATACTTGCCCCTATTCATTCAAATTTAGTCAGACATAAACTAGCGCTCTGTTTTCAAATTGTACAAATCCTATAGGAACAGCATTAATTTTAAAATCCTCCTAAATGATGGCTAGTATAAGCGAATAACTCAACACTTTGAAAGCAAACGCCATAAACCACATTTTAAATTTAGATGTATACTTTCTTACTTAGTGGAATGGAGATTACTTGAAAATAGCGTATAAAACTTAGAACTACTAGTTTTAATTTACCACACAGAATCCTTTATAATTTAGTTTAGGAGGCTGTAATTCAAGTTAACATGAAGTAAAGACAATTCAAATAGCATTATCAGAATTCACATCTATGAATGATTTAAAATTTAGTATCGTTAATGAATCAAACTTGGCTTTAATTAAAAATGTTCATTTATCTTATTATTTATGTCATCCTACTTGTAGAAATTGTACAGGAGATAATTATAATTAATGCACATCATGCTTTCCAGGCGTTAGCTTAGTTGATGGTATATGTCGATGTCCCATCAGAACTATTTTAACTGGTGGGCCACCATCAGATTATAGATGTTTGAGCTTTTGTTTGTAAACATAGACAGATAGAAGAGAGAGATATTGCAAAGCTTATGAAACATAAAATCTACTTTGGCTTTCGCTTACAACCTACAGCTACGCATAACTAATTTAGTGGAATATAATTTATGATCCTGCAAATTTAAGCAAAAATAGTAAAAAGTTGGGATAATTTTTTGGAGTTTTCAAAAATAATGAAGGAGCTTATGTGACAATTAATACAACTTAATTTTTATATCCCATGAGCTTATAACTTTAAGTTTTATTTTGTAATGCCACTCCAATCAACTCTGGAATTTCGATTTATATAAATTAAACATATTATTCTTCATTTTATTATAATGGAGCCAATTTTGAAGGAGACAATATGTATATTTTTGGTTTTAGCGGAGCAACATATACCGGATGTTAAAAAGCTACAAAGTATATTTTGTAAACAAATCTCTATGTAGAACAAGGAAATTTTAATTTTTCAATTAAAGGAAATTTTACGTAATGATATTATTAAATATAGAAATTCTAATTCTGGATGGTACATTATTTATTGTTTCATTACAAGCGCTTAATGTCCTGCATTTTGTTTAAAGTGTGAAAAAGAATATGAATGTTCTATTTGCCAAAATGGCTATAAAAAAGTCTCTGATGGAAAATGTGTCTTAAGTTGCCCTAAAGATTCATTATTTTTAAATAATGTTTGCATTAAATATGATTAAACCACTAAATGTATATCACTTAGTATATTTTTAGATTCATAATACTATATGAGACTCTTCATTGATTTTACAGTTCCTTACAATATACATGAAACCTTTATTTTGGAGTCCTCAACTAGCAAAGATCTTTAAAAAGGAGAATTAGTATATTGGTCATACATATCTTCAAAAGCAGTATTCGGAGGGTAATATGTTTGGGCAACGGCAAAATTTTCTTAAGTATATACGATAGATAAGCCACATCATTCTTTAACAATTTATTTTGATGCAATTTTTGGATGTAATTTTTAGAGCAGTGGAGGTTATTTAAAATACTCATTTAATAATATAGTATCTTAAGTGAATTCGAATTAGACAGTAACAATAACAATTTCATAATATTCCCCTACATTATCAATATCTTTTGAGTGTTTTGGATAAAATAATAATGTGAAGGATAAGTATTGTGCCTTTTCTGATTATTAAATTGTTGTCCATTATTGTAGTCCATTTTGTTTATAATGTTCAGATGAAAATACATGCACTTAAATGGATACTTTTGATAATTAAGTAATTAAATTAGACCCATCTCAGTGTGGTCCTTAATAATATCTCGATTATTAATATTTTAAATGTGAGAGTTGCCCTTAAGAATGCGAAGCTTGTTTTAATGAATATGAATGCTCTTAGTGCATTTATCCATATAAACTATATATTACCAAATGTATATTAATGTGTTTGACAAATTAATTTTTCAATATCCAAACATAATTATGTGAAGGTAAAACAATATAAAATTTTAGACTGCAGTTTTAGATGTAAATAATGTAGAAATTAAAGAGATTTATGTATCCATTGTGAAGAATGGCATTACCGTTATTTGTATCTAAATTAATGCATATGTTATGATGGATATTATGATGATAACCATGGGGGTAAATGTTAAGTTTGCAATAAATTATGTAAAAAATGTTATGGATCATCTAATGATCATTGTACTTAATGTATTTAGCTAGATAAAGTTGAGAAAAAAGGTGATATTTGCGATTGCTAAGAAGGATATTATTTTGATGATTCTAGTTTTAAATGTAATTTGTGCCATGAAAAATGTTAGACTTGTTTTTCATCATTTGATAATTCATGCTTGAGTTGCAATCCAAACGAATACAGAAGGTTATAGGGACTAACATGCATTTGTTTATTAGGTTATTATGAAAATAATGATTCTTGTCAAGTCTGCCCATCATCCGAAGATGCAAATATATCATAATGTTACAAAAAGTGTGGAAATCAGATAATTAAATGGCATAATTAATTGTGTGATCAAATCACATGTTAGGCGGGTTTCTAGAATGTTGAAAATTAATGTACATCAATATGTGGAGACTTATTATTATCAGGTGATGAAGAATGTGAAGATGGAAACTAAAAAATTAATGATGGGTGCACAAATTGTAAATTTTAGTGTCCAAAATAATGTTTGACCTGTAATCTTCTAACAGTTTTTCCTTGCTCAGATATATGTGGAGATGGTATCATAAGTGATCTTGAAGAATGTGATGATGGTAATAATATCTAATTTGATGGATGCTATCAATGCAAATTAGAATGTTAAACCTCTTGTACAAGATGCATAAGAGGTTTGTGCTATGAATGTTTAACTTATGGTTGGATTATAAATATTGACACTTTATAATGTATAGAGAATTGTGGAGACTCTATTGTTATAGGATCAGAGGAATGTGATGATGGAAATAATCTGGACGAAAACGATAATTGTTATTAATGTAAGAGGCTATGTAGAAATGATTGCAAAACGTGCAGTCCAGATGGAAAAATTTGTTTAGATTGTTAAGTTATTGGATTCAAACCCTAAAGCTACTATTGTGTTAACACTTGTGGGGATGGGTACCTTGCAGTCGATCCATATGGAAGAAATTCAGAAGAATGCGATGATTTTAATATAGTTGCTAATGATGGATGCAGCACAACTTGCAAATATTAATGTTAAACTACCATTTGTAAGGTTTGCCAAAATGGAAAATGTTTAGAATGTATAGATCATTATTACCTTAATACAAATAATAATAAATGTTTAGAAATTTGCAATGATAATGTTAAAGTTGGATATGAAAAGTGTGAAGATATGAATACTTTACTTTATGATGGCTGTTATAACTGTTAATTATCTTGTCAACCTAGTTGTTTAAATTGTCAAACTACTGGCTGTTTGCAATGTTAAGTAGGATTCAGATTGATTGAAAATAAATGCCAAAATATTTGTGGAGATGAATTAATTGTCTCTGGTGAAGATTGTGATGATGGTAATATAAGCCCTTATGATGGTTGTCATTTTTGTTAATTTCATTGCGGTTTTAATTGCTAAGTATGTTAATCAGGAAGATGTTTAGGTTGTTAATTAGGATTTAAATTATTTAATGGAGTATGTGTAATTTAATAAAGTAAAAAAACTTTAATTACTCAGCAAGAATATCTTTTATAATAAAATTAGATGAGTTAATCTTATATATAATATTGTCACTATTAGATCAATGATATTTGTATCATCTGTGATGATTACTATTACTTAAATGCAAATAGGTCTAAATGTGAGAGTAAATGTGGAGATAATTACATTAATGATCTAGAGTAGTGTGAGCATAATTTAATAAAAAATGATATTATTTGTTCGAACTGCCAATTCTAATGTAAAGATAATTGTATTGAATGCTTGTTCGGCTTGTGTCAAAATTGTGAATAGGATTATCTGCTGATTGAATAAACTAATGAATGCCTTCTAAAATCTAAGTGTGATCCTGAATATGGTCTTTACTACAACATTTTAATTAATTAATGTTACGACATATGTGGGGATGGAGTAAAATCTATCTACGAAGAATGTGAAGACGATAATGTTGATCCATATGATGGTTGTTTTTAATGTAAATATTCTTGTAATCCTCTATGCCCATTATGTATAGCTGGAGTTTGTACAGATGATGGCACTGTTTGCCAGAAAGGTTATTATTTTGATAAATCGATCGGATCTTGTTTTAGTGCTTGTGGTGATGAAATGAAAGCAACAGATGAAGAATGCGATTTGCTAAACACCAGAAAATGTTTAAATTGTAAATTAATCATCGACAAGAATTGCAAGACATTAGATGAAAATAATTAATGTCTGGTTTGTTAAGATGGTTTTGAATTATTGGATGAATTATGCGAACCAAAAACAACTAAAAAATGTGATATCCGAAACTGTATTGCTTGTGAAAATAATATTTGCATTCAATATCTAACCGATGCTACTAATAATACTAATACTAATAATAATAATAACACTTTAGAAAATTTAAGCCAAGCTAAGTGTGGAGATGGGGATATCAATTAAAATGAATTATGTGATGATGGAAATTTAATTAATGGGGATGGATGCGATTCAGACTGTTAACCTTCAAAAAATAGCCTTTGCTAATTAAATGAATGCATATAAATCTTTCATCCTGTTCCTTAATTAAAATTTGTTAAATAAATTGAGAATTGCTAAGTTCTAACCTTATTTTATGATTAAAAAGTTAAACTCTCTCCTGGCAGTACATTAGAATAATACTTAAACTCATTGTCAGGTTCAATTGTAAACACTAAGTTAAATGTTACAATTGAAGCAAAATCTAAACTCTCTTAAGATTTAGACTATTTTGAAATCTTAATAAAAATTTAGTACTTAGAGAAAGTTGTTGATCCTGTCTTCTTTCTAATTTTTCAAAATCTAAGCATCATCATAAATGAATAAGAATTAGAATAAGAATGTTAGCAATTATCTTTATAACTAGCATCTCCTAATTTTTTATCAACTGAAGAATAATAAACTACTGTATCTCTCATTTAATTTAGTGAATATCAAATTTAAATTATAGTTGGATTAGTAATAATCTCATCTTTAAGTGGAAAATTTTAAATCATAGAAAATTAAATAGAAATGATGTAAATGCTATATTATTACAAATACATTAATATTGTTAAGGGATAAAATTTGATAAAATTTTTTGATACATTTAAAATTATTTAATTAGCAAACCTTTACAAATTCATTGGATTTTAACCCCAATCCTTTAGTATTTTCAATGTAAGTTAGGAAAATTCACCGTCAATCTTTGAGGATGATGGAAGAACCTCAAATTTTTTGTGCACTTTTTTAGAAATATTATCTATCTTTTTCGTAGCATATTTCAGCCATTTATTCTCTTAAATAATAATAAGATGAATCATAATGTATATTGCATATTTTAACACTGAAACATCAAATCTGTATTAATTAAGATTAGCGAGGAAATTGGCAAGGGTTTGCAAAAGGGATTATGGAAATCAATTTAGAGTACAATTTAGAGTTATATTCTGATCTCTCATATATGAGTATGTGATAAATACGATGCTATCACTTCAATATTAAGATAACTATGATATAGAAGGGACGATAAGTTTGACCCTAAAGATTATTTTATTCATATTGGTGATTTTCTATTTAGTCAATATATAGGATTGGAGATTTAGTGAATTTTATTATGCTTATAGTTGTATGTGAGAGATAATGTTTAGTTTAATGTTAGTGGGATGTTTCGGGTGTCCAATCATTTAGATATAGCTTTGTGCTGTTGATGTTCTATTTGGTTTTTCCTTTCTTTTTCTGAGTAGGGATGGATGTGGGGGGGGGGAGGGCTTCGAGAAATAGTTTTAGCGTTTGATTGTTGTCTTCTTGTGTCTGTTTTTTTTGTTTCATGAGTTTTTTGGGGGGCGTCCGCGGTCTTTGTGTCTCTTGTTTGGCTCTGAGTTGGGATTCTGTGTTGTGATTTGGGCTTCACTCTGAT